TTAAGAGACGCCAACGGTTTTATTGTCAGGCACTTCCAAAAGTGAATATCTCCTGAACTCTCTAAATCCGTCACAACTGTGCCCGGATATTATACAGTTGTTGATACATGTACAGGCATGTAACTATTAACAATGACGTACTGCAGAAACCCTAAATCCCTCAAAATCATGTCGTGACTGTGCAGGAAATCAGTGGCACATTCTGTAAGTGTTTAACCAGTTCGTGTCGGATGACTTGTACATCTACATGAATACAAGCAAAGGTTTTGCGGTATTCAGAACGGAAGACGGATAAACATGCAACAAGTTAAGAAAAACAACAAGGCTTTTACTGGGAGAAATCAAAGATTTCACAATCAGGTTATCCTAATTTCCTTCAAAACCAAATAACGGGTATAAAATCTGATTTCGCCAGAAGCTCCAATCCCGCTCACAGTTACGCCAACAAAAAGCGACAAGCGAGGCGCCGCATGCAATGGCCCCCCCCCCCCCCCTCCATGATGATTAGGTATAGTTTGCAGGATTCAAGAATCAAGAATGCAGTTACGGTACAACCAGAGAGCATGGAGCAAATTGGGGAATGTTCTTGTTGTTTTCTTTAGCATGTCACCAAAGATTAGTTACAGCATAAAATTCCACCAGCGGTACAAACTGTAAATTGTCTGCCGCAAACATCCCGTAACTGTCCCAAGAGCTCTCATTAAACTTTGATTTCCCGCACATGCCATCCTCCGTAAATCTGCATTGCCAATGATCCTGGCCAAAAAAAACGCCACTCAACACTCCAGAACCCAATATCCCCCTGCGCCCCGCTGCGCTCGCTGTTACAAGTCATCATCTAGTGAGACGTTAGCGGCCGGTGCAAGGTGTCAAGTGTAGCGGTCATTAGACAACCAGATTTACGGACGTGCCGGCCGTTTTTTTTTCTTTTTTCTAATTTGGCCGGCACGATGAGGACAAACAGTGATTTCAATTTTAACGTAAATGTTTTGGCCTACATGTACATTTATGTATGTCTCCTTTTTCGGTTATCCCTCAGTTTGCAACTCATCTCATTTTAACAGATTGGCTTACATGCACATGTACATTTTTTTGCATAAAGTACATGTATATACATGTACACATGTACATGCACAGAATACCAGTACCTTCCTTCTCCCAAGGACATACCAGTACATGTACCTGTACCAGTCAGGGGTGTGATGACCACTGATAAAAATAGCTGAAAACAGCTGAAAAAGGTTTAAAAAACCCGGAACTTTGGAAATGTCCTATACTTTTGTACACAGCAAGTGAGGGAAAAAAACTGAAATCCAAAACAAACAAAAGCTGAAATCATCTTTAGGCCAAAAAAAAAAAGTCTCCGGTTTCTGGTATGGAGCTTGCCCAAAAAGTGGTGTGGCGATGCGGCTTTTTTGTTGTTGTACATACTGTTTTTTTTTGCTTCAAATGTCGGCTGATGACTGCAAATGGTGTCCGACTAAACTCAGTGCAAATATTATGGGAGACCAGAGAGGCCACATAAAGCTTATTCTCGATCATAACCCCATCTAAAAACACGTTAAAATTGTGCAGCAGCAGGATTCCAGTCAAACCAGTGAGTTTGGCGGTTTTGAGGCATCATCTTTCATTGAAAATTTTTTTTTTCATTTTGCCGACGCGGATGGCTACGGCGACACGCGCGCATACCAGAAACCGGAGACTTTTTTTTTTGGCCTTAAAGCTGAGATATCACACCCCTGACCAGTACCAAGCATTCTGTTAAAGGGTTATTTCAGCATCACGGACATTACAAATCAAAAACATTTTGTACCTTAAAAGCTCAGTAAATAAACCAGAAAATGCATTTTTCAAATCAAAAGTGTTTTGGATCATTTCTCTGAATCATTAATTAGGTATCATCGTTAACTGGCTGTCACGGACATGTATACATTTTCTGCCATAACACTTGAGCATTTCACCACAGATCCAGACTTCTGACAATTCAATCTCATCTGATATAATGGCATGAATGCTACTGATGTTGAGAACAGGTTCTCAACACCAATAGCATTCATGCCATTACATCAGATGAGATTGAATTGTTCTCAACATCAATAGCATTCATGCCATTATATCAGATGAGATTGAATTGTTCTCAACATCAATCGCATTCATGCCATTATATCAGATGAGATTGAATTGTTCTCAACATCAATAGCATTCATGCCATTATATCAGATGAGATTGAATTGTTCTCAACATCAATAGCATTCATGCCATTATATCAGATGAGATTGAATTGTTGTCAGAAGACCTCTCAGCACCACTACTCATCAATCAGCCTCAGTTTTCAAATCACAGGGATAGGCTGTCGACGTGCACCAAATTCAAGTCTTCCTGTACCCCCCCCCCCTATATCATCCCATCCCCCACTCCAGAACTGAGTGCATGCATGACAAACCCAGCAAAGTGCCCTACGTGTATGTCATCACTCGTTTCCTTTTTTATGCAATTCCGAAATCAAGTGCCAAACGTCTACACCCGCTTGCCACCCCAGCCGTAAACATGTCAGTATCGTGTTCAACAGCGGACGAGCACTGAATACCCACTCAGTCCGTACGCTTGCAAGGAGATGGTGATTTACTTGTAGTCAGGACCCTCTGAATTTAGATTATTTAGCGAGTGTTAATTGATACGCACGAGACGGGAGACTGGCCTGCGTAGACTCTTGACCGGTCCACAATTGCCCCACTGAATTTTGAAGTTGAATGACAGTATTGTTGGGAAGAGAAACAACTTCTGAATGCCGGAAAGAGCCTCTCTGTTTTAAGTGTGCATGTGTATGTTTAATTAAGCCGTGTCTAAATCACTCGGCTACGGCTGGAAATCACGCATGCACCTGTGCAAGGAAGCCACTGCCTATAGCGGCTGCAGCCACTTCCCCATAGACTTGTGTGTTATTGCTAGTCGCAGCCGAGTGATTCAGACACTGGCTAAATACGGTACAAAGAACTTGGCATATGTCATGTATGTGCATTTTCTCAGTTTGTGTGATATCGAAAGGAGGTGAACATACTGGTACATTGTACAATATTACAGGAGTACATGCGCACAAAGTGATAGACATGTCTAGGATTTAGGTTTAAACACTCCACTGTATGCCCTTTAAAGCATGGCAAGGATTAAATTAACGAATCCACTGCACGAGTCCTTTAAACGGATTACTCATGACTGTAGGGCTATACTACATGTGTGTTTGGATGGCTCAAGTTTGCCTCTTTATGACTGTCCAGGGATACATGTACAGTACTTGTAGTGCATTTTCAAGTAGCACATTTCTCATTTACTGTTCTGGTTCCAGGTACTTACACATACATACATATTCCTAAAAACACAAGAAGGGAGAAATTATCTCTTTTTTTTGGTGTAATTTCAATTCATACATCAAGTTGACACACACCTCACCGACTAGGATTTCCATTTTTGCCTAGGATTTCACCAGTCCTGGGCTGGATTTCTGCAATCCGACGCCCAGCGCGTGGACTTCAGCAGGCCGCCGGCTACTGGCAAAATCAATTATCGCGGGAGCAGTGAACTTCTGTCAGGATTGATATTTGGCCAATCTTATTTCGTCGCGAATAAATTCTGGAAATTACCTGCGTGACGGGGGGGGGGGGGGGGGGGGGAGAATTCCGACTCTGGGGGGGAAACTGCGAGGAAGGTTTAACTAGAGTAAGGTAGATTGGGTTAACTGCCATTGACCTTTTCCCTTGACCGTGTTGTCCATCACATGTCCCCTACCTGCCTACCGCTGAACGTTACCGTTACAGGCTAATACCTGCCGAGCTGATAATTCTAGACAAATGGATCCATTGCTGTTACCGGTACTTAAAGGTACATACATGTACAGGCTCTGCTAAGCATAGCGCATACATGTATACATTTGTCCAAAAATTATTGACTCGGAACAGTGCAAAAAACTTAACACATTTGGCAAAAGGAATCATCTGATAAATTCAGGGTCCAAAGTACCTGTACGACATTCTCCATGTCCCTGTAATCTTTGTACGTCTCTAAATTGTATCATCAAGAAAGCATCATTAAGAATGACTTCCATTGGTATTATATTTGTTGGGTAAGTAGATTGCTATTCATAATCACTCTTGGAGGAGGACTGCACTGAGGAGTGCATTAGAATTATATAAAGATACAATGTCAGATTTACCCCAAATTTATAGAATGATCCACACATACCGTAACCTGCACAAGTTAAAGCCAAAAGTACCGGTATCGCCGAGTCTTATCAGACTCTCACGTCTCCACTTCAAACCCCTCTCTCCACATCGTTGCCTCCATACGAATAAATCTTCTCTTTTTTTTGGCTGGACCAAAATAGCCAGCCCATTGTCCTCAAACTGACTGGACTCACTAGGCAGTATAACTTTTACACTGTCCAAAAATGAAGCTTACACCCATTTTGACTATACAAACCTATAGTCTGGTTCAAAAAGAAAGGTTCAGGACGTTATGCCGGTCCATTCTCAGTTTTAAAGCTTCAAATCTGAAATTAAGTTTGACTTTGAAGGCTGAAGAAAACGAGTTTTAAAATCCGAATTGCAAGCCAGTTCGGTACATTCCAATTGCACATGTGCATATGAAGATTTGACGATTTTCCTTTCGGGTTAAAAACTTCATTGTACAAATATGCGTGCAAAATCATAGCGGGTACCAGCAAAATTAAAGAAACTGTAATTCTGAATTAAGCACAAAATTCAAAACAGTTTGGACAGTGAAGTGTTTTTAGGTGTTTTGTATGGCCCAACTTTTGTGCAAACGAATGTTTCCATCGTCTTTTGAATTGCATAAAAATTTGCAGAATGCCGATTCAGTTGTCACGTCCCCCATAGATTTGTGTGCTTTCATTCATCTACCAAAGTTAAATCTTGTTATGCACATGTGCAGAGTTTGGGTAGCGATTTGGCTTTTGTGAAAATTCAAATTTGACACGCATTACTCACTGTGACTTTGTCAGCGGCTCATCATCGTCATCTTTGACTCCTTCTTTGCTCATCAGCATCTTGCGGAACGCCTCCACCTTGCGTGTGATCTCAGCTTCGGAATACCTGCAATTGGATGAGAGAAACAAATAGAAAATGGATGAACAAAACATTCTTGAAATGTACAGTGGCCACAGTGTTGGGGTGGGCACCTCATTTTCAAGCATTGGCCTACACCGCGTCATGGGGAAGTTTTTCATTGATAGGGTAATTAGGACTGAGTTATGGGGACTTTCTGCTGTCCCCCCCCCCCCCCCCCCAGTTTTTTTTGGGCCCCACAAATACCTCGTACAGATGAGTGTATGTCCCCACAACTACGGAGCAAGACTGTGTGGGGGGTTTTCATGACGATAACTTTTTTTCTTTCTTTTTTAAACAGAGGTCTGTTCTGTTCCCCTTCACGATTTAAAGAATTGATGTCCATGCACTTGATTGTTTTGCTTTATATTACCGTAACTTACGTGTAGTTTTCAGTGAACATAAATTTACATGTACACTGAGGTCTGTGTACAAACACAAAACCATGTCAAAGGCATCAAACAGCACTGTTGAGAAATGGGTTTTAGAACCTGCCAGTAGACTGTGGATATTGCAAGTCAGAACAGGCCACATTGTATGAAGTTGCTACTGCCTGACCAAGGAGCAAAATACATTTAATGTGAGACAAAAGTTGATTACGTCTAAACCTGCGGACAGACAGTGACGTTAGGTGTCTGGAGCCACCATACATGTACATACATGTACATATCCCCTGTAGCTTCATCAGGCAAAACTTTGTCTCAGTTTTGCTCGTCACAAAATGACAGCTTTTCTGTTATTCCTCTAGAGGTTGAGATTCTTGTCTATTTGCCTTGATGGGCTGCCAGTCTCTTACACCCCCATTTCACTGCTCTGCTTGCCATGTACAGACCTGTCAACTACGGCAGACAATTCATTATTTCAGGGATTTGCAAGGAATTTTTGCTGGAACTGTATATGCTTGGATACATGTTGTATTTCTGGGTTAGTGCTGTTAGCATGATAAAGAGATATGTAAGCACAACATTACGCTGTTACGGAGCAACAAAAGTGAGCCCTGATGCCCAGTACCCATTTACCGGTTTACTCCTTGATGGTGCAAGGACTTGCCCAAAAATACAGCACATGATTGGCACCCCCTCCCTCCTGTCCCTACCCCTCCTCCCTCCTGCTCCTACCCCTCCCCCCCCCCACTTTCCCCCCCCCCTCCCACTTTCCCCCTCCCCTCCTTTCACAACCCACCACTAAATATCATATTCACCCAGTTGGAAAATAGCTAGGGGATGTGTACGCTACGCTCTGGAGGGAATACGATGATGGACTCAGGAATGTTGACTGACTGACCAGCGAAAAACGCTAATTGCAAGACCTGTTGACACTGTGATATAGCATCATAAATCCTGCATGCCGTAATGAATGCAAATAAACCCAGGATATGTATCGGTAGAGTACAGATGAACCTGCCCGTCTTAGATGTCTGAGTTAATAAATGGCCATCTGACATGTCTGACATCTGACATGGCATATAGCTGCAACACTACCTTTAACATAAATTTGCATTGCATTCTGGATTCGGATGACCAATGGAACAAAACACATTGTAATGATGTAATCAAACCTACATGTATGAAGTCTCATTTTGCAAGAACGCCTCACAATTTATATAAACGAGGAAACAATGGGGAAAAAAAGTTGACAAGCTAGCTTCCCCACGCATTTGTGTGCAATTTGTCTGATTCATCATACAAACCCATTCAAATTCAAAAAATTGAATAGGTTTTTTTTTAATACAAAGTACATGTACTGTACATAGGCCCCCCAAAAAAGTCTCCGGTTTCTGGTATGGAGCTTACCCCAAAAGTTGTGCGGTGACGCAGCTTTTTTTTTTTTTTTACCTGTTTTTTTTTGCTTCAAAAGTCGGCTGATGACTGCAAATGGTGCCCGACTAAACTTAGTGCAAATATTATGGGAGACCAGAGAGGCCACATAAAGCTTATTCTCGATCATAACCTCATCTAAAAACACGTTAAAATTGTGCAGCAGCAGGATTCCAGTCAAACCAGTGAGTTTGGCGGTTTTGAGACATCATCTTTCATTGAAAAAAAAACTTTTTCATTTTGCCGACGCGCATGGCTACGGCGACGCGAGCGCATACCAGAAACCGGAGACTTTTTTTTTTGGCCATATGTACATATTGTATCTAAACATGGAGTAGTTTAAACGACTGTGCAAAGTCCCTGATCACATAATAAGCAATTGCGCATGTCTGCAACTTTGAATCTTTGGTGTGACAGTCTCAATGAGCCAATTTGACATCTCAAGTGAGCAATGACTTGTGGAACAGAATGTTGGAATTAAACAAACCCACGTGACGCTGTAAGCTCGCTATCTACAGGACAAGGACAGCGTGACGAGTTTTGTTTATCCAAAAAAATTGCATTGTTCACAAGAATTTGCACATGAGCGAGTGAAATGTCGAATTGGTTTATTCATCCAAGCAAATCTTTGCCTAGATCCTCCAGCGATTGCAGCCCAGGGATCATTAGAGACGTGTATAATTATAGCCTCAGTGATGAGTACCGGCAATGATCACACCTGAATGGCAAACACCCAGATGCCTCACGCCTCTCACTATGGGGCAGTGTGTCATCACTCTAGGGCACTGTAAGATGTTATGCATCGGTGGCTTTCTACTCATTAGCCTCATGTAAGAGATGCTATTGGGATCGCACCTTAAAGGTACGGTAATAAAACAACATTTGCAAACATCAAAACAAAAACAAATACCAAATTATTATGAAAAACCTTACTTGACTGTACATTTTGTAAGTGCATAATAGGGTAGTTTCAAGCATCCTGTGAAATCATGGCACCTGGTGTGCTGCCGTTTAAAAAAAAAAAGTAGAAATTTTGTATTTTGGCTGACCATTGTTGGCGAAAAAAACCTGACTTTCTTCAGATACTGCCCCCAATTTACCAAACTTAGTAACTTCACATTTTGTTTGCAATCGGTTACACATCCATTTATCGGGTGCAAGCCAGCTACCGGTAGTCTGGTTCCCTGACCTGACAATTCCACATCTAGAAATTGCTCTGTCTCGTCAGGGAACCAGACTACAAGAACAGCATTTTTTTCTTGGTTTTTCCACCATCTACGAACACAAACAAGTTAAACAGCTCAGTGTAACAATATTTGCTACAAAATACTAACCCCCAAATCCATCCATTTCTAAAAAATTACAGCAAAAGCATTCACTTTAAAGATGTTTTAAAAAAACTAAGGTACTTTTGAAAAGCAGATCTACATGTACAAATGTATGTCAACCCACTAACTTTCTGCGTACAAAATTGTATTTATGCACGGTCATTTTTCAGTACTGTTTTCTTCCTCACTTTTTTTGAATAAGGCACTTGATTCAAAATTCTTCTCCCATACCAGGCAGACTGGCTTTGACTCTCCTTTAGCCCCAACTCCATACTGTCTCTTACTACATTGTAAGTACTGGACCAAGTCCCCCAAAATCCATCAATCACACTGCTTCCAATGCATGCTTTGCTTTAGGCCTCAAGTCCATCATACTCCATCAAAATTGAGTCCAATCAGGCCTGAAGGACCAAGTCCCTCAAAATCCACCAAAATGGGGGATGGATTTTGATGGAGTTGGGGAGATTGGGGTTAAACATCCTGTACACGTGAATTGCCTTGTTAAGGAACTTAAGAATAGGAGGAAATATACATGTACCTCACTTTCTAAAAAGTTTACTTTAATTTTTCGAACCCAATTTTGTTATAATTTCATTCGTTTTTAAGTAGGCCCTGTACCTGTCTATAAAAAGAGTCAAACGCTTCCCCAAAATAACCTCAAGAATTTGAGAAAGACAGAATGTGATAAATTTAACAACTTAGAATTAGTTGAGGACTCAAATCTTCAAGCTGGCACTGGGTATGGGAATAACTGTGATCCCCTTTAAACTTAACCAAAAAAAACTCATTCGCATCAATGCATGTAGGCACAATCTTTACTTTCTCAATGTGCATGGAGCTGCTACATTGTACACATACGGTTCATGTACCAGTATGGTGTAATTTGTAACCAATTCCTGAACATGAACCAACGCAAAACCCCTTTGGGTCAGGATTTGCGCATTGTTATTACTTTATAGTAGCATACCTACCAGCACGTCTGCACAACACGAGACCATTAAGTGAGCCGAGAGCAGAGTAAAAGAGGAAAAAAATGAGAAGCAAATGTCAGCATTTAAGGTTATTTCTTTTCTGTCTGGTCTGTCTGCGAAACGGGCATGGGATTGATTAAATTTATTCCTATGATGTTCATTTACGAATTGACACAGGTACATACTTTCGTCTTCGAAAAAGATTCTGTTATGATCAAAACGTCAGTCTCTCTGACCTACATGTACTTTACAAATTGAAACATACATTTTTGTACATGTAACGCTTTCATGTTTGTGAAGAATTCTGTTATGACCAAGACGTTGAGCTTTACTTCAAACTCTACAAATTGTTTGAACAAGCATGACAAGTGAACTTCTATACATATGTACCCAGTGAAGTTTTTCGTGCGCCATAAAATATGGGCGCTTAATGTTTTCAAAAAAATTTTCAACACAATTTGATTAACTGCAAATTAATATCGATCGGAATTGACCAGATAAAAGAATTTAACATCATAAAAACACATCTTACCCGGTAGCAAAAACAATATTTCTTTTGTGTCTTGTCATGCTTACTTGTACAATATGTAACAAGGAATTGTCCTAAAGTTCAACAACCGTAAAAAAAATATATAGGCCTATCAAGTGCAACGATACAAGCGCAATTAGCTAAGAAATCAACACGTACATGTACAAGTAAACGATTCTAAAATGAAAAATCCTCGAGTGCGGCGGCACGTTATGCGACCCTAGACTAACCGCGATATTTGGACGTCGTTTGCCACTGCAACAAGACGAAGGGCTTGAGGTAGTGTTAATTACACACTCCATCAGTTCTACCCATGGTATCGGGTGGCAGGCACAGCCAGATTGCCCCCAGCTACAAATGAGAAACATCGCGGCGCCAGCGTTTTTGTTGTGAAAGGATTAAAGTAAAAAATTGTCGGGATTTGGCCAAAGCAGAACCTGGTTGAGACACTGTGAGATGGATGCATGAACCTCATACATGTAAGCTGTGTGAATGGCACAATGCTATTTTCATAATTTGGCTATGAAGTGGTCTCTAAAACAAGTCAGTTATTTTTAATAATTGCATTAGAAAAAAAAAGAAAAAAAAAAGTACTCAAAATATGTGTCTACATGTATACCATTTGTCCTCAGTGTATGTAAAACATGTACCGGCATTATGTACATGTATGTACATATATGTACACAATTATTTGTCATGTTTCTATAGCAAATTTGTACATGTACATGTACATGTATACTGAACATGTACCAGAGTAAATGGTATTTAATTAAAAGATGTATCCTGCCCAAAACTGCCAAAGAAGTTATTTGAGAAAATTGAAGAAACACACTGCATTTTACGATAATGCTCACTTTTTGTCTAAAGTTCTAACACAATCATCAACAAAAATTGCACTTTCAAAATACATGTAAGCACCGTCGATATATCGATATTACTCGATTATCTGTTATAATTTTGATATCAATATATCGCCAAAAGCGATTTTTTTTTAAATCATATCAAATATCGAATTGAGGAATGATATCGAAAATATTGAAAATGCGTCAGATTATCGTCAAAATATATCTCCCGTTTGTGTTTTTTTTTTAAATTGCTGTATTTTAAAATGAAACTCGGCAGCAGCTTGTCCTTGTGACTCAAAATAAAAGCATCATGAAATGCCAAGCGGCGTTGCTTTTGTGCTCTACGCGGTCTACCCCAATGTAAACCTCAAAAGAAACCGCCTGTTCTGGACAAACTGTCAGTGCCGAGATTTGTTTTAAAAAGTTTGAGCAACATGCTCCACAGAAAGCCGTGGAAAATTGGGACTTAAGATTGTTTTTTTTTTTTTTTTAATCCAGTGTCATCTTTATGGTCTTTAACTTTTACATGGGATAATCGATATCGAATATTCTCGATATTGGAATGATTTCCGATATCAATTATTGAAAATTCTGATATCGACGGTGCTCATTTCAAAACGTAATTATTGTTGTTTACCCTTGACCAAAGTCAAGAAAGAATATCAGCGCTGTTCTGACAAGACTTACTTGTCCATAAAAGCTTGCTGCATGTAAATTTAATGTACATTGCATGTACATTTTATGCACGTGCATGTTTTTACCTTAGTTCCCTACCGTAGTTCCTTTTGATAACTTTCACTGTGTGCCCTCGACCAACAGATGTGCCAACCATTTGCCAATGACAACGTGATAATGTGATCAATTAGTCAATGCTGTGTTAATTAACGGGATATTGATTGTGATACTGCGATGTGCACTTGATGGGTGGAAGTACATTGGGGAGGACATTCAACTCTTCACACAAACACGCTTTCTAAATTGTATTACAAAAAATAAACTGTAAATTTGCTTTCTACGTGCACTCAACACGGTTAAAAAAAACCTAAGGGGGGAAAATCAATTTCATTTCCGGCTGTGTAGGCGGTGCACTACTATGACTACTTCCAGACACAAAAGTAAGGCTATGCATCGGAACGGGGGACTTGAATACCTGACCGTTGATGTCAGTCCGGAACCGATTCCATGTTTTATGGGATCGGGTACCCGTTATCAACTTTACAATTTAATTAGTAACTTCTCAGACGATGAAAAAGAAAGTTTTTGAATGTCATTTGTGGGTGATTTTAAAAATGAAAATCAGGCTACATGACAAAATAAAACATATTTCATGTTCACGACGCTCGCCAAAGTTGCAGTTTACACCGTATAGCTACCGTATGAGCTCACTGTACACGCTTGTGTATGTATCTTGCTGTACTGACGCACCGATGTGGTACATAATCTGAACAGCAACTTCCGCGATTTGAATTTTGGGGTTGGGTTTCTTAAACGGGTACCCTGGTACCCGTGTTTTTTTTTCAATCGGGTACCTGGTTCCCGTACTAAATGTAAATGCACATCCCTACACAACAGTACTAAAAATTGTGACTGACTCTTTTACAACACGTAAGTTGCTTAAAATGAGAATGCCGAGTAGTTAGACTTTGGCACTCTTGAACTGGACAGCAGTGTTGTTTGCCCCAAGAGTACTCCATAAGAATCCCCGACGACAGTTCATGTTTAAGCCACCAATCCAGCCATTCCCGCTGAATGACCATGGATCACCCACTGAATGGTCATGGATCATACTGCAGTGATTGGCGGCCACATTTGCCTGTGCTTGATCCCATCACTGTGCCATGCCCCATTTTATGAAATTACTCGGACAGCAAATAGTTTCACTTTGGAGTTTTCAAAACCTTGGTTTTGTGTCCCGTTTCAGATTCTTCTCCGGCTTCGAAATTGTTTTCAAGCCAAAACCAAACGAAAATTCTCAAATTTCGCTAAATGGATTTGACGTTCCCTGCAGCAAAACACAGACCTATACTAAGCCAAAAAATCCCAGAAGTCAGAACCTAAACAAAATCTACTCAAGTCCAGGCTACAGACAATCCTGGATTTGAAAATCCCTCAGAGATCAACTGAAATATTTCTGCTTTTGACCAAAAAAACCCGAGATAAAGCCAAGGTTTGAATACAAAAATCCAAGAGATCAACTTACAACTTAAAAAAAAATAATAATAATAACCTACCCTTGTTCCTCCATGATCTCCTTCATCTCCACACATTTCAGCTCCACCTGCCTCTTGCGCTCGTGGGCCAGGATCTCCTGGTTGGGCCGACGCAGCAGCAGGGCTTCCTGCTTCTCAATCTCCTCGGGGGACTTGTACTCCACCTTATGGGGCTGGTTGCGCACCAGGGCAAAGTTACGCTGGACGAAGCCGTTGGTGCCGCTGCCCCGGGCCGTGTTCAGGCCCACGCCGTTGTACATGGTGGCGCGGTGGGGTCACAGGAAATGGAGAGAAGCCGATTGGGTGTTTTGCAATGGGGACCGTCTTGTGGTAGTCTTAGGGAAGCAGACGATCGGCTGTTAATGAAGAGGAAACGAAACGAAAGAAGATTTAGATGAGTATCTATTTTGTAAGCGTTTTCATATAAATTTAATATCAAATGCTTATCACTATCACGTTCAAACAAAACTGTTCAAACATTCATTGACACTTTCCAAAAAGAATTTAACAAAATGCAAATGGACTGTTTTCTGAGACTGAGTGGAGTGATTTTATTAAATAAACAAGTTTACAACATATTCAATGTTTTGTAACTGTATGTTGAAGAAGGTCTCAAGTTCTCAACTGCTGGAGTTAAGAATTTTTCCATGCATTCAGTGGACTGAAGCCACAGAAAATACATGTAATTTGGGGCCCCACTTGTAAACACAAAGAATCCCTTTGAGTCAGCAATAACTACCAGTAACATCACCAATCTGAGTTTACCATGTAAATTTAAATTGCAAAATGTGGAAGTCAATGCCAAAGCTTAAAGGTAATATACCGGTACATTTGCTTAAATTGCTGTAATTTTCAGAAATGGTTGGATTTGGGAGTTAGTATTTTACAGCAAATATTGTTACACTGACCTGTTTAAAATTTAGTGTTCATAGATGATGGAAAAACCAAGAAAAAAATGCTGTTCTCGTAATCTGGTTCCCTGGCCCTATTTTAGACGAAACAGCACAATTTATAGATGTCGGGCAATTATCATATATGTGTAACCGATTGCAAACAAAATGTAGACTACTAAATTTGGTAAATTGGGGGCAGTATTTGAAAAAAAATCAGGTTTTTATCCAACGATGGCCGGCCGACCATCGTTAGAAATTGATACAAAAATTCCACGTTACTTGAAAATGACAGCACACCTGGTGCAGTGATTTCACAGAATGCTTGAGACTATTATTCGCAGTTAGCAAATGTTGCATATTACATTTAAATAACACCCCCCCCCCCTCCCTCTTCAGTGTTCCAACAGTGCTAACATGGACAGTCATAACATATCAAGAATGTCACTTGACGGTATCCACTTTGCTCGCTTACACACGCACCGACAAGTGCGAGTATGCACAAAGCCATGAACACTACACATTAAACTGAGTGCTTTCATTGTGATAAAGAACAACACTGACAAATGGCATGACACCAAGCGCGTAATTGCACTGTGCATTTTGAAATGAGGAAGCGTTCATCAGCCGCTGATCCATATGAACAAGTTAAAAGGAAAAGAAACGTTCAGGCAAGGTTTTTGTTGCTGTATGCAGTTTTGTAGTTGTTTCTGGTTAACCTAAAGCATACATTTGTATACGTACACAAAATGTACACAAAAATGTAGATCCTCGGAAAACTACATAATAGTATGCATCGTTAGGCTTTTTAACAATTCAATTAATTCTGCATTTATTATACAAGGGGTAATAATTATGGCTATTGAATCTTCAGTTTGGCATAAACAGCCTCAAGTGGTGAAGGTTATTGATTAAAGGGAATGTACAACATTTGCTTTTGCTGCAATTTTCAGAAATAAATGGGTTTGGAGGATTAGTATGTCTATACTAGAATCAGTCTAGCAGGCTTGTACCCCTTCACAGGTGTGCAATTAATTGCAAAGAAAACAATGAATAACTAATTATGAAAAATTAGAAGCAGGTTTTGAAAAAAGCCAGTTTTTTCCAACGCTGGTCGGCCGACCAGCGTTGGAAAAATACCATTTTTCTTGAGAATGATAGCACACCAGGAGCCACGATTTAACAGGATGCTTTAGACTGTCATTCCCTAACAATCTAGTAAGGTATTTCATGATAATTTGATCATTTCGTTTTGTGATGTTTACAAATGTTGTATCTCCCCTTTAAAGGTACAACATGTACAATGTACAACGTGAACGTTACGTACCGGTATCTATTGGGAATGCAAATTTGTAACAGCTTTTGAGAATAATTTACTAAAGAAAAATGTGTACAATTATATATATATACATGTGTAAAATGTTTTCAATTTCCATTATTTCTAAATTATTTTGTCAGGTTCCTATTTTTGTAGTCTATGGAATAGCTACTTGCAAAGCAAGTGCCTCATGATATTCACGCAGATTCAGCGATTAATTGTGCAAAGCAAGACTGTGTCTTGACCTCCAGATTCCGACCATTCAGCAGGCACCCTCTATCTGGTCTTCGGCAACCCCTTGTTGTATTACAAAACCATGGCAGCCAATTGACCAATCAACAGAGGCTAAATTTCTGCTAGAAATGGGGTCGCAATTTCTAAAGTCGACTCTGATTGGCTGGCGCATGCATGGCATGGGGTCGCAAAAATTTTGAAAAGCTCACATATCAGACGTTATTGTGGAGCTGGCGGGCTCCTCGAACAACGAATGAGGCAAGATATGCGAAGTTTACTTATTTTCCTCTGACTAACAAGCCCCCAAATAGCAATTTCATGTCATCAAAGTCAATTTGAGCAGTGAGAAAATACAAGCATTTTCTTAGAAAACACTTAGAATTTTTCAGTCCAACCTCATAGCCGGTTTGTACACAGGGTGTCGAGTGAACTTCGTATATGGAAATCTTTCCACGAATGATACTACTATTTTTGTTGGTGCTTGCAAAAAGAATGCATTTGACTGAAAATGAAATAAAATTTATCGAAGTGAAGGTACTGTACATTGTGCATTTTCATTTTACAGGTACATGTTTGAACACAATGAGCAAATGCCCCCTTTTCAAAAAGTAGGGCGAAAATATATTCTTTTACATGTACATTTGTACATATCTGAAAACCATTTACATACACAAGTTACATACTATAATCTACACATGTATTGATACTGATCTGATTGTAGTTGCATGGCATACAATGTAAATTTATGATAAACATTAAATTAATATACATGTGGTATCACTTCATTTAAAATATATCAATGAGAGACCACCAAAAAATCACAAAAATATACCGGTACATGTAACCACACAAACTGAGGCACTCCAACTCAATTTCAAATTTAGGTGTTGTATAGCTGCATGCAAATATCTACCATTGTGTACAGGTCCAGGCACACACATACAGCACACATACGCAATATAACATTATGTAAACACTGTGCACATAATACAAATATCATACCTTTTAAAAATGGTTCTCACTCATCAACAGTTAATGGAATGAGGAGTCACAGTTAGTAAAACGTCTAGTATCGAGAAGACAGCGACACTGACTGCAACGCATCACAACACAGCTCAGACACGCACTGTGAAACAAGCAGATGACGCTCAGCCATGAAGCATTATTAACAGGTAGATGGTGCTAGCATGCTGAGGGCTGCATGCATGGAAATGACACTAGGACAGCTTCCATAGGAATAATGCACAAGGCTACCGTCATGATTTTGAAACAGGTAGGTGATGCCAAATGTTTCATTTCAGCAGTCAGCACGTGGCATGCAAATGCAATCACCAACTGCGTGATGAAAAAAAGATCACCCAGTTAAAAAAAAAAATACTATCCAACACCACAATGATGCAAATAATCAGTACTGGTTCACTGCACAATTTCCACCAACAAACGCACACAATACAGGTGCTTGGGTACCAGCGGCTGTAATTAATCAATATCGGTTCCCCGCCAAAACACAACGTGATTATCCACGATTCTGTGGATTTCGGGGCCAGCTGTGATCAATACTCCATGATAGCACTTACGCTGTCTGAGGGATGCTTCCAACGGTACGGGAAGGACCAACAAAGGACAAATCAATATGACACATGTAGATGGCACTAGAGAAGAATTAATAATTAGACTGGGGCAACGGTTGGTAGATGCATGGGTGTCATATCATCTGCTACAGGCTTGATACTTGATGTGCTGAACAGCAGAAATCAATGTAACAAAACTGAACTAGATATCAACTTCTGACTGCAGCATGTAAGGGCGAAACTCCTCTGACCTCCCCAATAAATTACAGAAATCCTCTCAAATTTGCTTTTATTTGTACAGTATTATAGGTGGTTTTGATTTGGGTCATCCTATAAATACATGAATGGAGTCCACTTTTTTCCTGTCCCTGTTACATCTGACCTCTATGATTTTATAATTCTGATGCGGTACTTGAATGGCAAACTGCAAAGAACCAAGGTACCGTGTAACAGGGACAGCAAAACAAGTCACACTTTCAACCTTAACTTTACAGCATGATCCATTTGTAAATAACACCAATTCAAGACTTCTCAGTTTTGACAAAGGCCTCCATCAATTCAAAATAATGCACAACATAAAAATGTAAAGGAAGACATTTTCCAGCCATGGTTTGGTGCAATTTCCTCTTTGAGTTTGAGTCAAATAAGTTATATTTCGTCTTGGCTTTTCAAATTTCAAAAATTGACCAAAGAAATTGACTAGAGCGGGGTTTGAACCTGCGACCTACAGTGCTCTACCAACTGAGCTATCCAGCCCTATGTTGGTGGTTCCCCATTTTGTCAATGACTTTGTTCAAGTGACTAGACAGAAGCCTTAAATACATGTACCGAGATTCATCAGGCTGAAGGGTGGTACCCAACAACGTAATTTACCGGGCTGCATTAGTTTGAGATATTTGAAACAGGAGTTGAACATGTACCTTGAATATGTTGGAACGCCCTCTGGGTATGAATATTAGCCTATCCATTCAAAAATTGCAGTATGCAAGCAGTTTACATCACACACTCATTATAAGCACATTTGTTCAATACCGAAAATCGAGTTAACTGATATTTAATTTGTCAAAATGCAATTTACACTAAAACATCAATACGACTGCTCGACAAAAGCCAATGATTCGTCACGTTCAAGTAAAGTAAATTGATTCTTTGTAAAAATGCCATGTCTGTTTTCTTGACTGTTTGGTCAACACCAACGTGTGAAAATTAATTTGGATTAAACTGTGCCCAAGCTGGCACCAAAACTCTTTCACTGTCACACTGTGGCGTGAACATACCAGCTGTCAGAGTCATGACAAATGAGTGCTTACAATGTAAACCGTGTGGTCACTCATTTTGCCATCTACATGTAACTATAAAATGGTACACAATGTTATTCAATGGGGTAGTGTGGGGAACGTGTGGAATCAATAGAAACATGCTTTTTAATCTAATTTCCTTAACACAAAACCCAATTGTTTACTTAACTAATGGCCCTAATTTTGTCATTAGGGAGGCATGCTTTTAGCAGTCTCATGGGACAAGCTGTCTTAGCCTCAATGTTTACATTATATGTACCTTACATCTGTATGTATGCAGATCTGTAGAAAATGGGAGAAGCAAGTACATGTAGAACTTCTCCTGTGCACAAATACCAGTGGTTTGCAAAGATTTTTTTCTTAAAAATAAGTCATTTTCACATCTGTGAACTAGCTACCTGTTCCTCTTATCCAGCAGCTTTTGTATCTCATACAGGTATGTACATGTATGATGAACATGTAGCTCACGTTTACATAGAAATCATCTTGAGCCTTTTTTTCTTCATGGTGTTGCATTACTGTACATTTGCTGCCGTGGCTTTCTTAAAATGTTCATTTTGTATTACCGTGTGCTTGTTTCTGAAACCTGCATTTTTTGTGCCATACAATGTACTTCTACACATGCCCATAGTGAATGCATTTTTACACATTTTGATTCGTTTACAATTTAGGCCTATGGCGCATCTAGTTTCAAAGATTTTACAAATGAGGAGAGAGGCACAGTTTTTACAACAATCTGCTCCATGGCAGAATTAATCAAATGTTGGGAAGCTTGAGAATTCATGAGGACAAAAGAAGCATCCACGCATCATGTATAAGGCCAAATAAAAAAATTAAAAACATGTTTAGCGTCCCAGCCCGCTTCCTTTTTGAAGGCTGTCTCCTTTCTTTTTTTTTAACCAAAAAAATGATAAATTTTAAACCATGACATCATTTTGGCCTCTTGGTCTGTTGCATTTATCCCACATAAAGCTGGTATGTCATTTCCTGAGTCCAAGTGACTGTCAATTTTTTTTAAAAGGTTGCGGCCATTTAAAAAATAAGCTGGCAGCCATCTTGAAGAATTGCCTGGACAGGCGGCCATTTTGGAAGAAGGGGGGGGGGGAAGGGGGCTTCCTCCTTCCTTTTTTTCAAAAAGGCAGGACGCTAAACATGTTTTTTTTTTATTTGGCCTAATGCTATGGAAAACCAATACATGTACAGGCCAAGCATCTTTGATTTTTGTGAGAGTGTAATAGCCATACCATTATGTAGGCCAGTTATGCAAACAGGCCTTCTGTTTGCTGCCCTCATTGATGCAATTGTATACTCAGGCTTTTAGCAGAGGGGTCAGTACAGCTTTATGACGTTTATTTTCTACGGCTGTAACTCCCCTTATTTAATTGTTGATGTTGTGGATTGTTTCATATATAAACTGGGTGTTAAAAAAAACCTCTAGTCCAAGCGGGTCCTACTAAAATGTGTCAACAAGAGTCAACTGGTGTCAACAAGCGCCAACCCAGCGTCAACAAATTTTGGGAAGAGGGCAGTTTTGCATGAAAACGTGAATGATTATAAACAAAGCAAAGGATCCACTTAAGACCGAACAAAACTGACTGAAATATTTTTTAAAATGATGATTTTTGGCAGCTGTATTGAGGCCAAATTTGACAGCCTCCTCTATTTCTAGACCACTGGCTACAACGTACATTGACCTCCAGCTCTACATGTCATTGCCAATTCCCGATGAGCTTTGGAGCTGGAGTAGCTCTACTGAGTCGGGCGCCAGAACTTCGGTACCCTCCGTACTAACGTTCCACCGATTTGGCATACTTTGGTGACAGGTACACGGTACGCATTTTGTGCATACTCTCTCGAGTATGCAGAAAGCAAGACAACGAGAATGCTTTCCACAACAACGCACCAGGTGAAAACTGAACTCACCTGCAGCACCTGCAAGCGGTGTGGTACCTACATACATCACGCGCGCAGATTTTTTTTCGATGTCATCACGTGATGCATGCATTTACATAATTAACCAAAGAAAACAGACGACAGCCGTTGGAACTGGACGTTTTTTTACGGACAAGCCACCAAAATCGTCAAGATTTTTCACATTTGGTTTTTTTTGTGGTCTGTTTCAAGTCGATCATTAGCTTCGTGAATCTGAATGTATGAAGTATGTAAATGAAAAATGGGGTGGGATATAATTATTAGTACTTCTGAAATCAGAAGGCTTCCTCTGTCTGAGCCATCTGATTTCAGAAGTAGGATATTAGTCTCTATAAGGGGTGAAAAAGGACAATTTTTGGGAGGCCATTCTGGAAAGGGTCTCGCGCAATATGCGATATGTTCACGTCACCTAGCCTGTCAATCACGCGTGCAGGAGGTACGCCGCAGGCCCGGTGGTAGTCCGGTTCCCAGACCAAAAGATTCTGACTATTCCTGATGAGGCCGTGTCCGAAACGGGCTTCAGAGCTACGGCTACGTCTATTGTCAGCGCGTTCTCACGTATTTTCAATGGGCGTGGACCTAGACCTAGCTCTAGACAGTTGATGCAGATGCCGCCTTATTTAGACGTGAGCGTCGGGAATAATTGTCAGGCCTGGGAACCAGACTACCACCGGGCATATCGCATATTGCGCGAGGGCATTGTTCAGTTGGACCATGGAGGTAGAATCCAAGTTGCCAAGAAGGCTCCAGAAATAATCGTAAATTACGCAGCAGCTGGGCAACTGACACTGGCAGCAGGTTCCAATTTTGTTATAAAGAGGGTGAGTGTATTTTTAAAGCATAAATTAACTGGGTCTGAAGTCGCAATGTGGAAATCACTTTCAAAATTTCGCCGAGTCAGATTCCAAGATGGCGGATGTGTGGCCTATGTTTACGGAGGCAGTCCAGTAAACTGGCCACATTATGGGGCTATTGCTACCACACTCTAACTCCCTAGTTATGTCTCCAGCGCTACATGTGAATAAATATGAGCATGTCAGTTGGAGTTACTCTAGCCCCACTAGTGTGGCCGTCGGTATGCTGCGCTGAACCCAAGGCCACACACCGTGGTCTGCGCACTACTGAGGACGTTTTCATAATTTCAACAGCGAATTTCTTACATATGGTTGTATTCTACGATGTCCCAACTTTCACTTCTGGGATGCTTGGGTGTAATGATGTTCAATTTTCCAAGATATTCTTGAATCTTTCTGGAGCCCATATGCACTCGTGAAACGTCTGGTGATGGCAGCCATTTTGAATGTGACAAAAGATGACCTCAAGCTGTGACGTCGCGTTTATGCAAATTGCTTGTCGAGCGAGGGCGCGAGTTGCAAATGCGACGGCTGTTTCCTGTGCCGTAGATCCTGAATAGAGATCAGTGCACGTGGCCCCCAGACGATAAATGCATGGTACAGGAAACAGCCGTCGCATTTGCAACTCGCGCCCTCGCTCGACAAGCAATTTGCATAAACGCGACGTCACAGCTTGAGGTCATCTCTTGTCACATTCAAAATGGCTGCCATCACCAGACGTTTCACGAGTGCATATGGGCTCCAGAAAGATTCAAGAATATCTTGGAAAATTGAACATCATTACACCCAATAGCAATGCCAAACACAATTTTAATATTGAAGTGAACTACATCACACTACCCCTCATTTTGAAGCTTATGATGTCCTCTATCTCATGAGATGTCGGTTTTTAAAAAAAAATGTAACGTATTCTAATTAGCACTAATTAATTATGCGTATATGCATATACCGTCTCCTGATATTTCACCGTGCTGCTAATGTATCAATATTGGTATCAATTTCAATATTCTCTCTGATTTTTATGGGTATAAATTGTATCATTACAGTGCCAGAAGGTATAACTACTGAACATGCTGAATGCCCATTTATACATGGTAAATTTGCATATTATCTTAATTAGCCAAAATCCACGTATGTTAATTACCTATACTAGTTGAGTTCGACAACTGTGTGGGGAAATATTGGGCAACATGTACATGTAGTTAATTTAAAAAAATCTTGTTTTGTTTTGATTTGCTGAAAACCAAGACAGCTGCATGAATAAAATATCACATTTCTGATTACATTTGTTCATAACTAAAATGTAATTAGCATATTTGCATATCCTTACCTTATTAAAGTCTGTAGGCCCCCTAATACACAAACCGTCCAATGTACATCTTAGTACCCTAAGGTAAATTGTAACTTTTAGAAATAAAAAGTTTGAACTTATTTACAACAAATATTATTAGGGTACTACTACTAGTACCAATATATTGTATGGTTTCATTATTTTCTGGTCAAATACATGTATAACCCACAAAATATATGATTACGAGATTGACATGTCAATGGTCATGATGGCCAAAAAAATTCCAGGAAGGTTGGTCATTCCACCAAATTTCCATGAAAACTAGTAGTAGGACACAAACTAATTTTTAAATAAATATAAATTATAATTTATTATTTATTTGTAATGTTGGCTCATCATTTATTCTATTCCATACATACCACAACAACAAAAAACATTTAAAAGTATACTTTTGGTATAGCAAGACACTACAAGTTCACTAAAAAGATATTAAATTACCCGCCACTGCACTGCGCGTATGCGCCAATACCGGCCGCGCGCACGCGCATTACATGACAAAAAATCCCATTTTACAAAAAAGCGCAGCTTGTCGCAGCAAACAATCCCATTATAATTTCAAAGATTACACTCCAATAATCATTTCTAGAGCTTTAATTTCACCGCGAACCCTCTCCATTTAAAAAAAACGACAGTTTATTCACTTTTTTTGACAAGATTTTTCGTAAATCTGTACGATTTTTAGCGATTTAAAATCGTTCTCAGTGACCAAGATCGTCTGTAGACACTGTCAATGTAGGTTTCCATGTTACGTGCATGATCGTAGCGTATATTACCCATAATACCCCCCAATCTCGTGAGAAAACGCGTTTTCGTGACGACATCCGACGTCTGAAAAAAATTCAAAATGGCCGCCAACGAAAAATTTTACCCCGGAAATTACTCGGATGTAAATGTAAAATACACCACTAAAATATAATTTTACATAAAAAATAACAACATAAAGGTAAAACCTATTCATTATTCTTTTGTTATCGACAGAAAAAAGATTATTTTAATTATTTATTTGACGGATGTTGATCGATGGGAAAAAATTCCATACTCGGACGTCACTTTTTTCAATTAATTTTCTAGCGCCAAAAGTTACATCTTTTATGGTTATTCCTCCACTTTCCCTCCTCTACTCTCACCCTCTCCTTTCCTTAATTTCTATTTATTAATCAGTCAGTTACTTCATCGGGATTCGAACCTCTGACGCTTGCTTGATACACGAGACTCTTAACCGCTAGGCCGCGCACGATCGCTGTTGCAATCATCAATCTTTGGACGTATTTGAAGTATCCATTGAAATAAACTAAATATTCATGAGAAAATAAATATTCATAATGACGTATTGCACTATCATTGGCAGGCTCATGCGACGTCATGGTTGTTGATGTCACGTGTATAACGTACCGCTGTCTTTTCAGCCACTACAATCAGTTTTGACCGGCTGCTTCAAGTTAGTTCTGCACGACGTATGCATCCAAAATGTGCTCTAAAAACACATTTTGAGTACATTTTTTTCACCTTTACACAGCTTCCTGGATTTCTTTTGGTTCAAACGACAAAGTGAGGTGACAATAAATATGTTTGGCAGCAGATAAATTGACATCCGAGTATGGAACTTTTCCCGATCGATGTTTGAGCGATTATTTGTACACAGTAACAATAGGAAGCCAAGATGGCGGCACCCATTTGACATCGCTACACCCAAGCATCCCAGAAGTGAAAGTTGGGACATCGTAGAATACAACCATATGTAAGAAATTCGCTGTTGAAATTATGAAAACGTCCTCAGTAGTGCGCAGACCACGGTGTGTGGCCTTGGGTTCAGCGCAGCATACCGACGGCCACACTAGTGGGGCTAGAGTTACTCAAGCTAAATTTGGGACTGAGAAACCATTGGAAACATTTCCAATTTTGCTAAAAAGGCTAATGCTTTGAAAATGCACTCAACTCCCCATAGACTTTGTCATGTTTGTACACAACTACAGTTCTTTCCCTTGTATTATTCTTACGAGAATAAACAATCAGCAATCTAGGTTGTATAACATGAGTTGTGAACACAAAATACCATCATTAATGATTATGTCGGAAATACACGGACGTTCAGGTAACCTGCACTGAAAGCAATTGCGGCTGCATGCAAAAAATTGTGCCGTATATTTTATCATTTCTAGTAATAAATTACTTCTTTTACCTCAAACAATCTTCCTTTAATTGTAAAAACCATAGTTTTCACAATTTCAAACGGTCTTTTGACCGGAAATGCAACTTTCTTACCCAATTTTCCAGTTGATTCCGTGGGATTCACGTTCAGATATCAAGTGCGTTGCCTGTTTTGTTGTTGAGCAATTTGGAAGTATCGTCGACAGAGGGCGCAATTTCAAACCTTTAAATACCGGCAGGCTGCGTCTCATTTTGGCTTCAGTCCCTTCATAATTTTAGATTCCCGATTGACAGAATCTAGCAGTACAATTGTTTCTGGTCTTTTTGCTTCTATGAAGAAACCAACTAGACCAATGCTTGATACGGTTAATTTGGTTTTAAAAAAATAGCAGGCCTCATGGAATCTTGCCGGGAAGATCAAGAGGAAGCCGGAGACGATCGAAGCCTCGAAGCCAGGGTAGGGTTCTACCAGGATAGAAAGCGAGCTCAAGACTGGATTTGGATGTTGTTCTGTTTCATCCCGGGTTCCTGACAAACGCGGCCAAGCCGCCACAGCGGTGAACTGAGCTATTAATACGATGAATCGAATTAATTTTTATTCTTGGGGACTTCGCGGCACGGACGCTTGCCGACGTCGGTTCGCTTTGTAACCTACTCATGGGTGGCCAGCCCGTACGTCGGTTATCCCATACATATACCTGATACCTCCGACTGACGTCATCCATTCGGACTCTTGTCGGCGGAGTGATTCAAAGCCGACACGTCCAACGTCAAGCAGTCTGATACTTTTACTTCACAACAACAACAAAAATCAAATTTTGTGCACACAAATGCTGTTGCCCGAATGTTATTTGCCAGTGGCTGCCCTGGAACCGCTAAAGTGGGCACTCCTCCACGATATGTTCCATCGTCTCCTCAGCATCGCAGGAACATTGCTGTTCCACCTGGCAAGGGTATATAGCCCTGGGTCCACCGCCAGTGCGGAACTGGTTCAACTTGGTCCAGAGGTTGCGTTGGAGGTCCAGGGAGTCGAACAGTAGGGTCGGCGATCAGCTCCTTGTTCTTGGGGCTGCTCAGTCCTGTCCCATTCCTCCTGCCAATTAGTTGGTAGCTATTTAGGTTGTTTCATCGGGTTGGTCCAAATGGGTTGACGAGGTGGTAGCCGCTATGTCTGAGAGGTAAAAGTGGGTGATGCGGGTGAGCCTATAGATGTTGGATCTTCAGATCTGACATGTGTTTCTTGGAGGCAGATTACGTCAATCTTGGGCTGGTTGCAGAGGGATACAATATCAGGTCTCTTTTGGGAGCTGGCAAGCCTTCAACATTGAGACGGGCCAACATGATGATATCTTGAAGGAAGTTGGCGTCTGAGTCGCTGTATGGCGGATTTGGGTTGCCATGATACACCGGAGGTGAATATGGCGAGCTCAGGGGATCATTAGTTTCCCTAGATAGCCAGGGGACTCACTGGGAGTGCGGCGAGAACGCTGATCCAGTGAGCAAAATATATGTGTTTAGCTGATGTCCCGTGAGCGCTGCATCAACAACTGATCTGATCCGATCCATTGGCGGAGCCGGGGGGGGGGGCAACGGGGGCCATCTCTCTCGTATCCCCTCGCAAGCCATCAGCTACACATACCTTTTAATGTCACAATATGGAAATAGAGCAGGATACTACAGACTTAATCCCCTTCCCCTTTTTGAAAAAAAAGCCAAGCCCTCTTGCCCCCGCCCCTCATCTCATTAACAGCGCCCTCTAATATCAGGGGGACAGATTGCATTATCGCTTTTAGGAAACGGAGGGGTTATAAAAGGGTGGGGGAGGGGTTGAGTATAAGGCGTGCTTAAGGTGACGCCCTAATACATGTAATAAGAGGCGCAGGGACTCTCAAATTGATAGGGCCTTCCAAAAAAAAACTGCACCCTCGGTGAATAACACATTTGCTTCACTAAATCCATGCCACATTGTAGATTGATTTATTTGGGAACCATTCAGTTTTATAAATAGGAAAAACAATAGGTTCTTCGTTAAAACTGAAAATTCGCTATGGGCGAAAACTAACTTGTTCACGAGCATGGAACGTACTCAGTTTCCCCTTTTTTACTGGAAAGATGAACGAGTTATTGCATGCAAAAAAGAAAAAAATTGAACATTTATTTTTTCGGGGTTCAACACTCCTCAACTAAGCAAGTTCATAATCACTTTATTGCACGAGCACGAACCACAACAAAGTTATTGGGCCTACCAGTTTTCATTGTAATTGAAGCTAAATTCTCTTTAGATTGGAATCGGGGATTAGCGTGAAAATCACTCATATTTTACAGTAAAATTAAATGTGAAATACAATCAATGCAGTGGAAACTAAATAATTAAGAAAGTTGCTAGGCTAATAACCCATTTGACCTCAATTTCCCGAGAAGTATTTTATATCAGTTTATGTCAATACAATTAATCAAGGCATAAACTGATAGAGGATTACACACAGTGGACCAAACAATAAATGGCCGAGTTGCGAGTTTATGATATTTATACGGCTGCGTGACCTTGTTCAATACACATTGAGGACCGACCATGCTTGACTTCAAGTTTGTTGTCAGTTGCCATGATATCGGGTGCTCGGCTGGGGATATGCGAGGGTGACGTACTGGGTCAAATGCACATTGTTTGCGTGTTTGTCGTTCAGTGTCGGGTACATGAGCGAAAATAATCGCTCTTGGGGCCCAATAACCTTATTCAGTATCAACAAGTGCATGTACACTCGAAGTTGTGCTCCATGTAGTGTCGTGGAACGTATATATAGCCGTTCATCGATAACTGGTCGGGAGACCAATGTGGTCTATGAATTATTGAAGGACGGAAGAAGCTGCCTGGCCTCATACAAAGAGCCCAATACGCCTGCCTGATTTCTAGTGCCATTATATCCAAGCCTCAAGCCCAACAAATTGCAGTTTATCGTGTTTGATACTCTCATTGGGATCGAGTATAGTGATCACCCTTTTGAAAATTACCGTGGAGGCGTAAAAGCTAGGCTTCAATCACCGGCATTGGTTGGAAAGAATTGTAGTCAGTGATTTCACCCGATCCACGGACCCGTACGGGTAATCGGGTATACCGGGTACGGAAGTTCGATCTCCAAGCCAGCACTCCTTGGTTGATGATTACACCATGGTACACTGCATGCCTTCTGACTTGGCAGTGAGCCTGCATCTGTAGTTCCAGCAGGTTACTCAACAAATCCCAAAGATGACATTCATTACTGTGAAATACGGGGGTAAGTTTGCTGATCGAGCTCAGTGTAAAAACAATCATCGAGCTGCACATGTTCTCTCATGAATTTCTTAGTATCGTGGTAGGCCCTAAATAATTATGTAGGCCCTATCTGTTATAAAATCAGCGATCGACTGCAACTGTCTTGTAGGCCTACCAGATGTGTCTTCCAGAAATACGCTATCACTTTTAATCATCTATTTTTATTTACTGACAATAATTATCTTGTGACTATATACGATTATCTGCATAATAAGGGTTATAATGTTTTCATTTTCTTAGCATGTGATTGATGATTCAAAACCCTCGCATGGGTTATTTTCAATAATGAGCTGATGGTATAAAGAACTGGTGTTGGCGTCGATTCCTTAAACAGTCCACTTGACATAGACTAAATAATTATTTCCTTGAGGTAACATCGGGGATTGTTTTCCTAGGTATACTAGGCAGAAGCAAGCGCTTTTTCTACTTGTATCAATATGGTTTGTAGGTGGCCCTATAAGTTCCGGTTCAAAGGTGGTATCACCGTCCACTTTAGAGAACGCCATCAATCGAGTTAGAGGTTTGGTGCTGGTTCGCAAAAAGGACGAACAAATCTCTTCACTCTCAATTTTAACATTTGGTCCTCTTATCAGGCGCACAAAATGAAATCCAAATGTCAGTTCTTAAACCTCCTCAAAAAATCCCCTAAGTTTAAAGAAATACTCAGCCTAGCCGAGCCTCGTGCGTCAAAAAAGGTCGAGTCCCCCAACAATAATTATTATGACTTTTGTCTCGTAATTTTGAAACAGAAAATGAGCCGAAAAGTTCTATGATCAGGTCCTCCAAAATTGCCCCCTGAAATTTTCGGTCAACAACCGTGCCGGTAATAACTCGTTTTATTGACTTAACTAACGAGGGAGGTTGGTTTTTGTCTCTATAAATAACAAAAATCGAACCAGCTAAGAGCATTTGGAAATAAAGACCAGTCTTTGGCAAACTTAGCGGACAAAGCAAAGTTAATGGGACAATGCCCGCGTGGTTGCGGGGATGTTTGAACTTTTAATGGTCTTACACACATCTCTGAAAGTGACTTCATCGATTTTTTCGGGGGGAGGGGGAGGGAATGTCACACAACGAACTGGGCACAAGAGCTGGTCGATCTTGGACATCAAAGTGATGTGCTTAATATGTGCAAAACCTCTCCTTTAGTTTTCCATACTTAGGGAATTTTCCCGAACATACTTGGGGATTTTTCCCGAACAATTATAAGTTCGACACGACAGAAGCATTTCAGCTGAGGTTGCATGTTTGTATATATGCTTATTAAATAATCGTATTTTTTGTGCAAATAAGAAAAGCGAGACACCAATTGACATCATTTGAAGGAAATACAACGACATGCCCACCGAACAAAGAACGAATAGGTACAAACGTAGGTGATAGGCCTACATTATGTTGAACATTTAACCGGCTCAACTTTGTCTTCGTATGAAACATGATATTCCTTGCATTAAGGTAGCGGGGGCGGATCTAGCTTTAAGGAAACGAGGAGGGGGCGAGTTGATATAAAAAGGGGGTTGAGTATAAGGCGTGCTGGGTGGTCTGCGGCATGCCCCCCCCCCCCCCGTATAATTATGAAAAACATCTACAGTGATTTCTCCTGGAATCTAAACTACGCAATTCAAGAACAAATTTAGGAACTTCCTTTTATTATTATTATTTTTGGCCCCATGCATTTTACTAGTTTCATAACATCAGTAAGCGGCTGAATGGGGGTTAATTGCCACCTAACCCTCACCCCACCACCTCTGGATTTGCTACTGGGCGGGCTTACAGGTTCCTTTAACTTTGAAGTGGCGTAGGTTCCCCCAAAAAAACCGACAATGATTACATTAGCGTTTCGGCACTCGTGCAATTAATATTTCAGGATTTGTTCTATTCTGCTCGTACACAATGCACTTAACACCAATTGTCCACCTCTCTCATTCAATAATTCATGTAATCCCTTCGTCCTTTTTGCGTGTGAAACATTAACACCAGGCAGTATGCATGTTTGGCGCCTGTAAGCTATTAATGATAAATGACAACTGACAATTACTCCCAACAGCGCCCAGAGTATTGATGTATTCTAGGACATACTGTAAATGCCTAACTCTTTTGTTTCCATTGTCCACAAATAGCCGTCTCAACAAAATATTGGTTTAACTAATCGACCGTCTGAAATCGAAAGCTTTTAGTTTCATTTTGCCTGAATAAAGTGGCTATCTGAATAAATATATCAAAAACCTATAGTTAAAGGCACGTAGGAACATTGGTAAATACCCGGAAAGGACCTAACGAGAAAAGCTTTACTCAAAGTAAGGATGGTACCAAATACCATGTGAAATTATTTTAAATATGGTATATCGTTCGGAATGTGGTTTCATTAACAAACTTAACAGGTAAGCTGTTATATACACCCTATACGTAAGATTTTTAGCAATTTTGTTGCTTCGGAAGAACAAAATAGGCCTATCATGCATACAAAAACAAGATCTCATGTATCTTTAACACTGCCCGTAAAAAAAATGGTTTCTTTGATCTTCAGTTGTACATATTCAATTAACACTTGGCCTCAGAGTTTTATGTATTCCTCGAAACAGGTTAAATGTTGAAAAACGCGGGTAGCTAGCTTTTATTTTGTCATTTTCCCCACCCTTTATTCCAATATAGACAACGAACAGAAGTTATTCAACCCCTACTGCTCCAGTCTAATTCTGCTGGAGTGTATCCGCAAAAACTGCAATATAACGGATGCCAATGGTAAGTCAACATTCTGACACTGACCTTATAGCTTCATTTCAATCCCTAAGTTTTTTACATTCTGATAAGTTATGTGAATAATTATGTTGGACTGTTTAAAAATGGTACTTCTGCCATGCACGCATAAAAATGGCCCCGAACTAACTCCATAGTTCCGGACATGAATCCCGAGAGAATCGTGGTGAAATCGGCCCCATACTTTTTGGTTGATATTTCCGCACCGAAACTTAATGGTTTTCTGTCTTATTTCTGCCTGATTGGACGTTTCTGAATTCTCAATGTTCTCTTTCCGAGGCTGAGAAGTCTATAACATTTTCGACGCAGGTGCAATAGATTTCTTTGACCTGTCACTCATTAACGTTTTTGAATGTAAATTGTAAATTATGAATGAGAATATTTTACAAAAAGCCTAATACCCGATTGGGCTAATTCATAGCAGATGCAATGTGCATTGTAATCGTACAACCGTTGCCAAGCTTTAATTAGAATTGGTCTTTTAAAATGTTTTGATTTTCATTTCCCCAGCAACATTAGATTTATCAGACGCAATGGGTAGCGTTAAGCGTCTCCCAGATAACCTACACGCGTACGCAAATACCCTACTGGACGGCAGAGAAACATACTGGGTCATCAGAGTAGAAAGTAAGTGGTATTGTTCAAACACACACACAAAAACAGACCAACCACCGGCCAAATGGAGAAAATTACAGATAGCCAAGAAAATAATTACCTAAAGTTCTTATTGTCAATGTGTTAAGTCCACCTAAATCTTCCCCAGTTCACAAAAAGGAACGATGATGTATTTTGTATTAAAGGTGTGAGCCAGATAAAAATGGGTTTTACGGCAATATTCAATGATCGACTCAAGAGACCTTATGCGTATGGCGGCCATCTTAGAGGGCATCTTAGCTCTAATTTTAATTCAGTATCAATGAATGCACAAAAGCTTCACTTATGCATATATCAGCAAAACAACAAGGGCTGATCCAGGGGGGGGGGGGCGCAAAGGGGGCCATGCCCCCCCCCCAAAAAAAAAAAACGAAACCAATTTTTTTTTTTTTATATGACATCGCAATAAAGGCAGACAATGAGTACACCACCATCTTTTCCTCAAAAAAACATTGGTTAAAGTGGTCAGAAATTGCCTCAGATCGCACCACAGAGCATCTAGAATCCAAAAAAAATTTGGGGCCCTTAAGCGGGCCCCGAACCCCACGCCGTAATTTTTTGGGGCCCCCCCCCAAAAAAAAATTGTGTTCTGGATCCGCCCTTGCAAAACAAAGGCATTGCCCTCTAAGATGGCTAATGTCTATTGGAGACAGTTATCAAGTCGGCTGTCGGCAACAATTTCAATCATAGGATGAGTCGATACCAATAACCGGTCAAGTGTCAATTTACAAGACATGCCTGTACCAGTACATTACCCTACTCTCATGAAAACAAAGATCTCATTTATGAAAAAGAATCAACATCAGACCTATCTTGACAAAGAAAATAAAAACGGTCCGAACCTTTCTTCGAACACTTGAAACATCCTGTTACCATAGCACCAACAATCCCATCATCTTGTCTGGTCTTGTTTCCCTTTCTTTTTTTTTCAACCAGAAGGTGCGACGGACACCGATCCGACGAAGTACACATTGCTCATAGATGACCCAGAGAAGAACTGCCCAGATTTATCAAGTGAGAATTCAGTTGTTTTCCCTTCACATTCAAATTTCCTTATTGATCAAGATTGGTTATATCAAAGTATATTTGCTCATAATATTTAAGCGATTACAATCTGTGCCTATTTACATATTGTAATATACTTCTATATGAAGCTAGCCACATATCAATCGATATTCTTTGGGCATAACATCATTCTGTGCTCAAATAACTTATCCCTGCAGTACAGAATACAATGTATTCTCTTTCATTTGGTGTTGGTATAAGGCTTTGTGACACACGCACTTGAGTGGATTAATTATCGCTGCATTATTGCTGCCATTATATATAGTTTGAATTGATTTGTTCCCTGTAAGACAGGTGATTCTTATTTCCTCTGATGAGAGGTATTGTTATGGTCAAGATAAACCGGATGGACAATTCGCATCAAACATATTGTGTTGAATAGATTATTATTACTTGCCAACAATGGTACAATGACCCGAGGCTGTTCAGCGTGTCGGGGAAAGCAGGTGCACCGGGAGATGGGCGGCGGCATCGGCAGTGATCGAATGGTGGTTTCCTCTGTCCTTATAAATTCTGACGTCATTAAGACATCCAACATCCTGTAAACAATATACAGATGTAGTACATTTCATTAAGCCTGCGACTTAAATCGGAACCCACCCCCCCCCCATTTTTCTCAAGTAGTGTTGCCATTGTGGTAACGTTGATGTGCTTCAATTAAGGCGTACAACATAATGACGTCACGCTTTGGTTACATGCGCGCTTAAGTTGTAGATCTCGTACCCACCTGGCTCCTATAGGAAAAGCGCACATGTAAACAAAGCGGACGTAATTATATCTTATAGTCTATCCATTCAGTCAAATACACGTATTGAATTGGTAATATTATACCTCAATTAACTTTTGAAATTTTGTCCGACTGTCAGAAAGTGGAGTCCGGAAATTTGGCACAAACCAAGACTTTCGGCTGCCACTGACTTGACGCGCTTAGAAGTTGAACAAATCTCAACAAATCAGAAGTCTAGTAGTTTAGGACCCCGTTCCATAATATGGAAAAGCCGAAGGAGGTCCTAAAGTACACGACTTAAATTTCGTTCTCTAAAAACTATAGGGCCTAAGAGAACGAAAATACATTTTACGTTTTGGGACTTATGGGCCTAATACCTAAACATTAATTTTGCATGATTTGGTGATGATACAAGCAGGAATAGTGTGTTTGGAATCATCTATATAGTTCGTTGAGAATACACGCTGAATACAAATGTATCAGCTTGCTAATTTGGGCAGAGGGCAGGATTTTGATTTATGAACGGAACTTGTAAACATTAGAGGTGCCCCCTAAAATACACGATTACCAACAATTCTTTGTTTACTGTGTCATATGGACATGATGCAACGTGCTAAATGAGAAACATCTTGTGCACCGTTAGGTATTAGTATTACGTTCGTTCCCCACACGACAATAAAATACCCAAAAAGTTCGTTGCAAAATGACAGGTTTACCTTTCCTTTTCCACTCCAGGTCGTCTACAAGACTTGTCTCGGCCGACAACACGAGGTCGGAAGGAGTCGCAATGGAGCAACCTCAGACGCAAACTACCACCACGCAGCAAAACTGGCTCCGGTCGACCCAAGAGTAACACCAAGAAACGGTAGCTTGCAGCGTGGTCAAGAGTGACGGAATCAAATTTGGCGCCAAAAGTTCGCAGCAGACGAAATTTACCCAACTTCGAGAGAAGCATTTGGCCGGCGAACTCTGGTAGCAGACCAGTAAATAAACTTCCATAGACCCCAATGGTAAATGCTCCCACTTCAAAAATTCGGGAAAATACTCACAACTCTCCAAGGTGTTTGAGACGCACATCAAATTAAAACTTATTTCATCATCTTTCATTTTCTTTTCAATTTTCGGGGGGTCAACTGATGACTTTTAGGAGAAATTTCCATCTGAAGATGATCACCCCTGAAAATAGTCCTGAAGCCCATCGCCATTTTGAAAAACGATGCCTACACTCCATTGCAAAATAGAGCGCTTTAAGGGTCCAAATTACATCAAAATTACACAGAACTGCAAGCTCCCAGTCCTGTGCACGGCTTCCACCCATATTTTTTACAAACCCTCAAGTTCATGGCCCACAGCATGCCCAAATACCGAAGATTTTGAGGGCATGCAAATCGTGATTTGGCCGGCGCAGGCAATTTCGGACCGATTTACTGGTCTGCACCCTATAGAGAAGCGAGGTTTTGAAAAATTTCCCCAAACCACTTGTACGGCACGAGGAAGGATGGATGACTCATATTTCATCAAAAAATTGCAAGAAAAAAAATCTCTGACTGCGATTTCTGGCCTGAAAACAAGCCCTCTGTTTGCGGCTACCTTACTGTAGGGCGCCCCCAACGGGCGTTAATTGAGTTTTCGCTCCTTCCGACCCCAAATTACCCCCCCCCCCCTTGTTTTTGAAATTGCTGTGATCGGACGACGGTCCATCGGCCCTTTTCAGATTTTGGGCGCATTTGTTGCGGAACCGCCATTGGTGACCCCTTTTGAAACGCTACCCCCCCCCCCCCGGGTTCCGCCCCCCTGAAAAAAAAACACTCCGCAAACATTTGACAACAAACGATGGAAGGCGCCATTTTGAAACTACAGGTAGCAGACCAGTAAATAAACTTCCATAGACCCCAATGGTAAATGCTCCCACTTCAAAAATTCGGGAAAATACTCACAACTCTCCAAGGTGTTTGAGACGCACATCAAATTAAAACTTATTTCATCATCTTTCATTTTCTTTTCAATTTTCGGGGGGTCAACTGATGACTTTTAGGAGAAATTTCCATCTGAAGATGATCACCCCTGAAAATAGTCCTGAAGCCCATCGCCATTTTGAAAAACGATGCCTACACTCCATTGCAAAATAGAGCGCTTTAAGGGTCCAAATTACATCAAAATTACACAGAACTGCAAGCTCCCAGTCCTGTGCACGGCTTCCACCCATATTTTTTACAAACCCTCAAGTTCATGGCCCACAGCATGCCCAAATACCGAAGATTTTGAGGGCATGCAAATCGTGATTTGGCCGGCGCAGGCAATTTCGGACCGATTTACTGGTCTGCACCCCTCTGCACACCGCCGCCATTTTGTTTGTCCTCTATCACAAACATTATTTTGTACATTAAAATAAATAGCGGGAAAGTCGTCGTTTTTTTAACCAAGATGATTTTCCTGGGTATTTAACGAAGAAAGTTGTATTAATGGATAAAATGAAAGAAGGAATCATCGTCAGTTTAATTTTATTGGTTTTGTTTAAAACATGTTATCAAAGGCATAGCTTTTTTTTTTTTTTTTTTTTTAGAAATGTGATTTATTTCAAAAAATGTTGACCAAAATGTTTGGCCGCAGAGAAAAATTGGGTTTTTTTGGGGGGGGGGGGGGGGGAGGGGGGAAGGGAGGACTATTTTTACGTTGGTGGCGCCATTAACATCCCTATTTTCCATACGAAAATAGGCTACATACAATGTCACCACGGTCAAATCGTGGGACCCAAAAAAATATTGACCGAAATTTTTTTTACCACCTCTTGGGCTGGGCTCAAGAACCCCCCCCCCCCCCCCCCCCCAACGTAGGCCTATTCTTCAGTGATGGGATTTAGGAACTTGGGTGCAGAGTGTTTTAAAATAAAACCTTTGGATTTTAACACTGAATATTTGAATAATGCCTGCAAAAGTGCAAATAATGTTGAATATGACAGGGGCGGATCTAGCTTTCAGGAAATGTTGGGGGGGGGAGGGTAATATGAAGGGAGATGTGAGTGAAGACGTGCCTTGCTGGGGGGGGGGGTCCAGGGGCTTGCCCCCAGGAAACCTTTCAAATCTACGATGTTTTCTCTTGCATTCTAAGGCAATTTGTGAATAAATTTTAGCATTTCATTATTCTTTTGGCCCAATTTTACCAGCACATATGAAAAGTAAACGCATGTAAGATCAGCCGTTTCGCGATTTCAACACCTGATGAAAGTAACTGTAGGAAGGCCTAAAAAAAAAAAAAAAAAACCTATAACTAATTGATTTTAAAGAGTATATTTTCCAGGCGATATTTCCATGTATGAGTTTATCATTTTTTTATTGGCATATGAGCACTATGTTATCTGAAATCAGCTTTCCGAAGTACAAAAATAACTTAACTGTCTTAATTTAATTAGTTGAGTATTAAAAACAGATATCATTAAATTTAACAAATTACATTACATGCATACTGTTTCTCTGCTGTTGATTAGCAGTTGGACTCGGTACCTAGTCGGACATAGGTGTTTTATTTTAACTTGTTTGACCTGGGCTTTTAAATTCCTTGAAAGTTTATTACTTCTTGTTTCAAAAATATAAATCCAAATAGATAATTAATTCTTTTTACTATAATCCCTTTTAAGCAGTTTTCTCATAAAAAAACACAGATATGGCTGAATTCTTTGTATCAAGGTTGTTAGGAAGCGTTGATATAAATTAAATGTCGAAATGTAGCTTAAAACTGATTAAACATTTTGGTGAAAGTTTGCATTTAATTAGCAACCCAAACTGAACAGATTTACAAAAACAAAGAAATTATACACATGCAAAAATTGCACATAAAGAAGAACTAACAAATTTTAAAAGGCTATAGAGAAAAACATAAGATAAACAGTGACTGTCTTCTAAAATAATTTTACTTAATAAAAAAAAAAACCCCACTAAATTGCAACTGCATACGTTTATAATGCGACAATCACAAAGCTTAGAAGAAAATAAAACCAGTCCAACATAATCATCAGTTCTGACGGAGAGTTTGTTCGCGTATGGGAAGTGATACAAATCTCCTGTCTGCAAGCAACCACATCGGTCTAGGCCGTGTGCCACCAGAGATTCTATTGCCATCCAAATCAGCTGCGCATTGCTTCTGTCAAGATTTTTAAATCGGAAACTAGCAATTCTCTTAAAACTTAGTTAAGAGAATTACTGATCGAATAAAATAAACATTTTTACTTACACGGGAACAAGAGGTATTGTTCAGACACCATCAATAGTTAAGAATGCAACCTTTTGTGACTGCATTGTTGTTTTGTTTGGTCCAGTTGATCAGATAATTACAAAATTGGAGACAGGCGCTGTCCCTGATCTGCAAGTAAGCCGTTTATCATAGGAGGTACACATCATAAATTCTGTCAAGTTTTCAAACAGAAACAACACAAAATTGAATACAACAAAACAGCTGACAGTCGTCTATTCCATCTGCCTACAAAATAAATTGCAACACAAATACTGCCATCTTGCATGGTCACATTTTCTTATGACGCAGACACTATTGGCATTGAAATAACCAAAAGAAATGTATTCACGTGTGACAGAAGATTCTTTATAATGATTTGCACAACAATAACATTTAAGTCAGCCAAGAACGCAGCAACAGGTGTGAACAGCTTATGTATGCACTAGTTGACGGCTCACCTTTTCACTCAAACAAATTGTCCATGGCTTAATGAATATTCCGAAGTGCATCACAAATAACAAATACCAACAGCGATACCAATTTCAAAAAAAAAAGTTTCAAAAGTTGTGTCTTCACATATGTGCATACTGCACTAATACTGCAAGTATCATGCAAATGCCTGCATTTGCATATCCACGTCATACATTTTTAATATATTCATTCCAGGACAGATCGATCAATCGTGACGATTTGCACATTAAAACTTTGAGATTGATACAACCCACAATGTATCACTGCAATTTGCTTATTTGAATTACACTTGATTTTAAATGGAAAAAAATCCTTAGGCCAAAAAAAAAAGTCTCCGGTTTCTGGTATGCGAGCGCGTCGCCGTAGCCATGCGCGTCGGCAAAATGAAAAAGTTGTTTTTTCAATGAAAGATGATGTCTCAAAACCGCCAAACTCACTGGTTTGACTGGAATCCTGCTGTTGCACAATTTTAACGTGTTTTTAGATTATGATCGAGAATAAGCTTTATGTGGCCTCGCTGGTCTCCCATAATATTTGCACTAAGTTTAGTCGGGCACCATTTGCAGTCATCAGCCGACATTTGAAGCAAACAAAACAGGTAAAAAAAAAAAAAAAAAGCCGCGACGCCACACCACTTTTTGGGCGAGCTCCATACCAGAAACCCGAGACTTTTTTTTTTGGCCTTATGTAGTCTACTTAGGCAAGCGTTTGAAATTTTATTTATTTTATTAGTTAAAGTACTGAACTATAGAAATTTCACACCCAATGCTGATTGCTTCTACTTTGCATATTAAATTTACATCATCATCGAGGTTTATCTAAATAGAGTTATAAAGAATACCTTAGCAAAAAAAATAAAATACAAAACACAAAAATCAATTCTTAGAATTTAACAATTAGGTCTGTGCATTGTTGAGTTTGAGGGGCTATATTAATCATATTTATTTATACAACGCCTGAATAAATCCCTGTCATCTGATTGGTAGGTCATTGATCACATGTCATTGACACATGTCAATGACACGTTCCTTTCCAAAGTGAATGCAAAGGAAAGAATAATTTCATTCGGTGACAGGAATGTTCCATTCCACTCGGCTTCACTTCGTGGAATGGAACATTCCATCTGTCACCTCATGAAATTATTCTTACCATTGCACTCACAAACATTCATTATTTGTACAACAATGTATATTAATTTCAACAACATATTCACATTCATTTAGGTATGAATACATCTTCCTGCAATGGAACGCCTAAAATGAGACAGTGTATTAAAAGGACCATTCAATGCACCAGCATCTAACATTTACATCTAACATTTACGTTTTGATTTTCCTATCTCCAGAGAGAACAAAAAAGTGACATCAATTCACATCATCTGTATGGAGTAGGAAGGTTAGCTCCAACAATGGTCTGCCTCTAGCAGAAATGCCTAACCAAGAGTGCTATCAATTCGGGCGTTTCACAATGCAGTGCACCACCAAGAGTTTGCCATGGAGAGTCCATTTTTCTAGTTTACGGTCGACAAAACATGGCCCATTTGAATGAGTGTCAGTAGACAACTTGAACTAATTTGTTATATAGATTGGGGCATAGCGTTCTGCCGCCTCACAAAAAAACCCACATTGATAAAAAGAAAACAAAAGAGCAAACAGATACTCGAAGCATACCTTTACGAAACTGCTGACTGGAAAAACGAAAAATTTCAAATGTCCCGCGCTGTGAATTTGTTGACCATCTCCCACAATGCACTGGGAAAAATGAACTCTTCGTGGCAAACTCTTGGTGGCGCACTGCATTGTGAATCGCCCGAATTTTAAACAAAAAACTGGAATGCTAGCCTGAATACAATAAGTTATATACGCATTAAACTATAAACTATGAAATTATAAATGCTGTATTTTACTCCAAGATTTAGGAGCAACTTAATGCTGGTTTCTTTAGGGCAGGCTGTACAGCCCACATCTCACTTCATTTCTACAATGTCTCATGATTGATATCAAATATATTAGGTGCAAAAATGTCTTATTTGTAACAACTTTTCGCAGAAAATATTTGATGTAGCTTTATATAAAGTGAACTATGACATGCAGACACAATTTTAAAATTATGGAATGTATATTTGTTTTAACACTGGCTGACGGCTCTAGACACAGCTCGACAAAAGCTGATAAGCCGGGGGACTGCTAGATTGTTGCCGCATTCCTGCTGCATAGCCGCATCCATTCATAGACAACGGACGAATGCCTGCATGTACACATTCCACCCAATGTGCAGCTGTCCATGGCCGAACAATACCGGCGTCAAGGGGTTAATGATCGTTTACAACTAGGTTGCAATGTATTCTTTGGTTGAGGGGGAATGCCTATTTTTCTTGGACGCTATACCATCATCTAAATGCACTACCACCTGAGAGCGCCATATAATGGCGAGCTGGTTCCATTATGCATACATTTATGTTAGCACAGAGTGGAGCACCTTGGTCCACTGCTTACGGTGTCCAACTCGTGTGCGATGGTATGTGGGTTTGAACCCGGATGGGAACACGGTGCTTATGTTCTTAGGCAAGACATTTTACTTCAATTGCCTTACTCCACCCAGGAGTATAAATGGGTACCTGTGAGGGTAGAGACCAGAATGCGCTGATCTCGAGCTGCTGCAGAAAACTGGTCTCATTACCCTATGAACAAGGGTAATAATAAGCCAGTTCGGTATTTCAACTGCACATGTGCACAACGATATGGGTCACGGATAATCAAAAGATCGAAGGCGCATGAACGCGTGGGCGCACGACGCTTGCGTGTCAATTACTAGCAGAATGGGCGTGCGCGTAACAGCAGGTAACATCACCTCAGCGATGTTATACCGAATGACCTCGGGTCATTGAAATACCGAACTGGGAATATTGTGAAGTATATTGAAACTTTGGTATAAAGCACTATACACATTGATGTTATTAAAATGCAATGAGAAATGATTTTTTTTCCTGGGGGTGGTAAGAAGAGGTAAATACACACCCTCCCCATCCCCTTTGGGCCACGCCCCTTCCACTACCACTTAATAACCTTGGTCTCGGTCAGGATGGCAATGACCAGGAAGCACACGTAGAGCACATAGAGGCAGATGCCGTAGACCCTGGTGGCTTGGAACTTCCTGAAGACGTGGTAGAAGAGAGAGAAGAAGAGACTGACGACCAGCCCGGCTGCCAGTACATACTGGAGCTGGCTCGACACCAACTGCAAGATGCAATATGAATAATGGGCATCAAAAACCCTTGTACGTGTATCGCTGGTTTTGATTTTACCATTTAACTCCGGGCTGTGCAAACGTTTCCAACATTCCCGATCTTTTTGTCCATATCTAATAGAAAATCGCTTACATTGTTTGCATAAGTGGAACGTACCCCTGGTACCAAACTTCTATTTTTTTCCTGTTAAAGGGAAAATACAACATTTGCAAACATCGAAAAATAAAACTACCAAGTTGTTACGAAATACCTTACTAGGATGTTGGTAAATGACATGCTAAAGCATCCTGTAAAATCATGGCACCTGGTGTGAAGCCATTTTCAAGAAAATGGTATATTTGTATACATTTCCAACGCTGGTCGGCCGACCACCGTTGGAAAAACCTAACTATTTTTCAATTACTGCTCCAAATTTACCATTTTTTTAGTCTAAATTTTGTTTTGTTAGCTATTGGTTCCATGTTCATGAATGGGTGCAGGCCAGCTAGACTGGTTCCCTTACCTTACAATTTTCCGGTATTTTTGATCCATTTCATCTTTAGTGGAGTCAGGGAACCAGACTACTTGAATATTTTTGTTTTTCTTGGTTTTTCCAGCATTTTCGAACACAAAACGTCAAACATGTCAGTGCAACAATATTTGATCTATTATACTAACCCCCTAAATAGTTCATTTCTGAAGATTACAGCAAAAGCCAATGATGTACATTCCCTTTAAAGTGCAAGTTTTATGCACTTTAATATAACTACAGCGATTCGAGCGCAGACCAGAAACCGGATACTTTTTTCTGGTCTTAAGCAAGTCTAATTCAAATGTGACGGGGAGTCAGTCAGTCAGTCAGTGAGATAGGTATAAATAGCATTGTAGGCTAGCCCTCTAGGACCAGCAGGTGGCACTCCCACGCACAACCTTAAGAATCTATTTACTGGGGAAGACACGAGTATAACTTGACCGCCTAGCTTGTCCAGTTTGGCCGGCCAATTAATCCAAATCTGATGCAGCAGCAGGTGAGAAGGAGCAGATTCTATTTTGGAGACAGAACAGATGAAGTAAAAGGGTAAAAGTGGCAACAACTTACATAAAATGTGCCTCCATGTTTAATGCAGGCGATAGTACATGAGATGCCGATGCCGAGAAGCATATCTAAAAGGTACAGTTGTCAAGGAAACCTCATCCTAAAAATGCTTCAATCATTCAAAAACCACCTAGTCTACTACTTCTCTCCAATGACTATCCAGCATGCATTTGCACACAAATACCGCGCCGTGGAAATAGTACTTTGGTTGCTAATGGTATAGTACTTTGGTTGCTATGCGCATAGTACTTTTGGCCGTGCACAGAAAGATAGCAAAATTAGAAAGTAACATGTGACTCGCTCTCGGCCAATCAAGACACAGAATCTGGGGGTGAGGTGTTATAACACACCATATGTCCTTCAGCGGGTGGGATAACCATGTAACAACATGGTGCAAGTTGTGCATGTTGAGATGAAAAGTTCCACTTTAAGGGCCGCCAATCCCCCCCCCCCTTACTAGACACAAAGGATACTGAAGAGAGGTCCACCAAAGCAGGCAGCCACAGCCATCCTAGGATAGCCCTGCTTAGCCACGGCAATGTCTGAGACCAAATCTGAAATTTGGGAGAGAGTCAATGAGGAGAAAAGAAAAAATGCTTAACAAGCTATCATCATTAAATATTTATAATAGATGGCAACCAAATTTCTTTTGTGAAAGAACTGCAGTACAGTGGATGACAAATGTCCTTTTTCTCTCTCCAAACCCTTAAATGTGTGCAGGCGAGTTTTACCGTTTTACTGGCTGTTAGGGCTTGGCTGGGCCTGTCGCTCAGAAGCTATAAATATGTATTTTTGTATTTTTTATTGTAGTGGGCCCCTCCTGATGTTCAGGGCTGGCGACGGCGCTGGGCTTGGCCCATCTGATCAGGACCCCTTTAAATTTTGTCTTTTCCACTAAAATATTCCAGTCTCGAGGATGGTTCATACTCCATGTGATAGCAAATGCAAAGCGAGTTTCATAATGTCAACAACTGAAGCTCCACTGTGGCGGTCACACTGATAGTTGCACGAAATAAGAATTCATGGTTTATGGACATCGACACAAATAGAAACATTTTCTGCCTTGTATTTGTGCCAAGGCATGCTGAACCAGGCCAGTTTTGTGCAGGGCTCCAACATCGAGCATGAAAGTTCGTTTCCTGTCCCATTATTATATCGATTAAATAAAAAATACCTTTTTGAGACTTTGATCACAGAACTCGTATCAGGAGCTTGCGACACCATCACGGTGTCTTTGTCAACTGGTGTTGTTGATCATCGCCATGGAGGACGACCTCTGGAAGCGCAAAATCCGCGAGGCTGTGGAAATCCGCAGACACCACCCCCATATGAACAGAGATGGAGGGTACGAGCTGGCCCATACCACGTGTACGACCGCCTCCTGTCGCGCGACCAAGCTTGGTCACGTGACGGGTCACGTGAGGGCCTCAACAACACCAGTGACAAAGACACCGTGATGGTGTCGCAAGCTCCTGATACGAGTTCTGTGATCAAAGTCTCAAAATTAAATGAATTTATTTAATTGGCTCCAACATCGATTCCATGTGCCATACATACCTCCTATGCTGTTTCCCCAGGCCAACAACGTCAGCCCCAGAATAGCATTACTTAGTTGGAAGACTAGTCCGTACATCTGTTAAAAAAAAAATGTTGGAAGCAGGACTTCTTAATTATTAATGAATACTTTGAGGTGATGAATGCAGAAACTGTACATTATTCCAAAATTTAAAGAAAGAATTAAGAACCGAAGCGGAAAAGGAAATGTTCAGCTTAGATTAATGAATCAGGAAAAGCAGAAAGAGAAAAAAACTAAAACTGAACAAGATTTGAACCTAGGTAAACGTAATGATGGTAAGTACTACATACTACCATGGATGTGTTTAAAGCTCCATGATACTACTATGCCAACTTGGATCCAAAAATATAATGAATACAAAACAGATAAGTCAATCAAAAATGATTGTAAAAAACATTCACCAAATTAATTTCACAAATTAAGTTGAAAATGAGATGTTCTTTTAATCCTTCAAGGCATATTGTAAAAAAACCTTTAAAATTTCAACAGCACATTTTGAACCATTTACATCCATAGAATTATAAAGTGTAATCTGGCGAACAAAATTAGAGGCCATTTTTTTTTGGTGGTGCCACGCTCACGTGCACGCTGCACGCGTTCGTAAAGACAATACGCGAGCACATTTTGGTAATCCTATTGACCTATCGCGGTAGAATCGCGTCAAAGCAGCTTGTGAAATGCGTCAACGCAGCTTGTGAAATATTGTCCAATTACATGATATACAAATTGGACGCGGAACGCGCAAAATCTTAGACAAACAAAACTTAGTGTACAAAAATTCCATAGGGTTATCTAAGGGGCGTGGCTAACTCGCAAACGGCGATAGGTCAATTGGCCTAGGAGCCCGGAGTGCATGCGTACTACCTGAGTGCAACTCGCGCAAGCCTGGTGCCACCGCAGTTCAACCTCAGAAAATGGCTGTCACCAAATTAGTCTACAGGAATGGAGAGCATACATGTATGGAAACACACTGTCTTTGTGCCATACTTCTGAAAACTCATAAGATCAACTTGGAAATCGAATCAACATTTTTTACAAAATGGGAGCCACACATTATTCAGCAAATGATCAGACCAAGTAAATTTCAAAAAATTCAAGATTTTTAAACACTAACCTGTAATAGATTTACGATTTCATTTGCAACTGAATAGATCCACAGCACAGATACACCAAAGGCAAAATATGCAAATAACTATAAGAGAAAACAAAAGAAACGTTCTGTAAGCAAATCAGTTTAAGCAAAATAATTTCATGACCTGAGCAATGGTCTCCCCCGACTCTCCTTTTCTTACCGTTGAGGGGGTACTTTACCACTGAGCCATTGACATGTGATTGACTTGCTTAAATGAACACCATGACGAATACATTTTAATTGCAAGAAAGAATTGCACGACAAAAGATACTGTGACTTACAAAGTGGTAGACTGGTGGCTTATCGGATCTGGACGTTAAGTACACCACCAACGCTAAGAGGAAGCCTACACACAGCATGAGTTCCCATAGCATGAAGTTACCTGTCACCACCCTGGAAAAGTCTGGAATGCAGAAATTAATAAGTTAGCCTAATGACCTCTATGCATATTCATGATACGTTTGAGGTTTGAGGAGCATACATAAAGCAATGTGGAGATGAAATTGTATATTCCCTATGCATATTCAATAATTGAATGAGCTGGGAGAAGCCTACAGCAGCATGAGCTTGCACAACCAAAAGTGAAGTTATAATCAAAGCTTAACCAAAAATGTCATACTGCAGTAAATGCTTTAAAGAGCAATACATTATATTAGAAATAAAGAATGTCATGACACAAAATTATTATTTAATATTTTTGGAGGAACCACACATCAAACATTTCCTAAAGAAGTACTTGTATGTGACCATTCGAAGATGTTCAGACTCCTGGAAAGGGCTGAGAGTCTACTTACTTTTGGTGACCACCACACAGAAGAGTGGTCCAATGGCGAGCTGGAAGCAGTTCAGGAGTCTATTCCAACAGTGTTTGTCTTCGGTGTGGTCAACGAGTGGGACAGTCGCTTGCATCACCAGCTGGATTGGAGACTACAGCAAGACAGATATCAAGAATAATATTATTAACTTAACTTACTTGACTTTATTTCCATCCATGGTAGGTACATATGCAATAATTATACAAATACAATAATATTCAAAATTATGCCATTGAGTTTTGTTTGTGGCAGATTTAAAGAATTTATTCAGAAGCCAAAAAATCCAAAGGATGCCGAAGGTTCGCAAGGATTTCAATGGGTTCCCAAGGATTCCAATGGATTCCCATGGATTCCAAAGAATTCCAACGAATTCCCAAGGATTCAAACAGATTCCCAAGTATTCCAATAGATTCCCAAAGATTCCAATGGATTCCCAATGATTCCATTAGATTCTGAAGGATTCCAACTGATTCTTAGGATTTCAATTGATTCCCAAGGATTTCAATGGATTCCCAAGGTTTCCAACCGATTACCAAGGATTCCAATGGATTCTCTAGGATTCCAATGGATTTCCTAGGATTTCAATGGATTTCCTAGAAATCCAATGTATTTACAAGACATCCAATGGAATTCCAAGAAACCCAATGGATTCCAATGCTAGGCCTTACCTTGAAGATCTCATACATTTTGCCAATGATGGACTTCCCCTTCCAGTTTTCCGTGTCGATGGGGTTGATCCCACGCAGGAATTCCTTGATTTCCCCGCCAAACCCAGCTATGCAGGTTAATTGCGATTCGTCGTCATTGGTGCGTGTGCCAAGCAACGGGGTACTTGGGTCATCTGTGCTCATAAAAATTTAAACAGATACTGGGTAAGGGTAAAGTTTTCTTCTTATTTTCAATAGTATTTTCAGTTATAGAGTTAGTTCCAATGGCATATTGGAGCTGGATGGGAATTTCCCCCGTGTTTTCCCCCCCAATACGATGCCTTATACTTGTACACTTAAAATGCACTGGTCTATAGTATGTATTTTTCTTTCGTAAATATTTCCAAAGTGCTTGTAAATTGTATTAGTGTTACTAGTCAAACGATGCCCTTTTTCCTTTTGAACGTTACTTTGCCTTAACTTCATTTCATAATCTGTAATGTATGCAGGGCCCCAAAGGAAACCAGTTTTTGACTGTTTAGGCATGTACCCTAGGTAAAGAAATGCAGTAAATTACCAGTGTTAGGAATGAAGGATCTATGTACATCAGGCAGACCGTTCTGAGTGCTGACCACCGGACCGTCCTCTCCCCCAGGTGGTGTGTTGATTGATATGCCGTGCCCAGCCAGCAGTGATGCAGCAACTACCTGCTCAGAGTCTAGCAGAGCCTCGGTAATAGCTGTGGGAGAAAAAAGACGATCGTGTATAGTGTAGGGCCCCTGTTTAGTTTCGATCAAATTAGAGTCAAGGGTGGTTTTATCATTCAAAGATGACCTTTTCAACCAAAAAGCAGACCTCTCTCAAATACAATGACACATATTTTTGGAATTTTCAACAGTTTCTTGGGGTAGAAATTACGATTTTCATACGCGGTTTACAGCTGGTGCCATGCGATTCAACGCGGTACTGTGCATTCACGGTGCATCGCGGTGATCACCATCTTGATTTTCGTGTTGCGTTTGGTCGTCGTCATCGCCATTTTACAACAGTGGGTTTATGGAGCAACTTCAACAAATAAAGAAATAATATTTTAGCTTCAATGATCACATGTCCTATTAGGATTCATCAACGATTACTACTGATTTTGAGGGTCAATGCCACATGACATCAACACCAGAGACAACCTAATTCAAATCAAGATAGTGACAAACAACCTGCAGAGTTCACAAGTTCACACTAATAGAATCTGAGCCTGCTGATAATGTATCTACCAAGTCAATAATGACGCAATATCAGTGTGAATTGCATTTGATGTATAAGCCATAATAAAATGAGATGATAATCATGATAATAGTCAATATTAGTCGGCAAATATCACATGGGCTATTATATTCTCTATGAATAGAGTATGACCAGATGGCTTTAGAAGATTTGGAGATTCCTAAGAGTTCTTAATGCTACTGTAAACATCTAATCTTAAATTTCACAAAATAAATTTGTGGCTTCTTGAATGGGATGTCCACATGGTGCACCAGGGAAAGATGGGTCATGCACATGAATCAGAATATTGTATAGAGTGAGACAGAATGATCTGGACCCAAGTTCACCATTTTTTTGTGGCAAATAGAATATATTGAGAAAGAAAACTGAGTGTTTAATGTGAATGGTTATTACCTTGTCTTTCACAGGAATTTAGAATGTGTTTTAATTTAGTGGCCATTTTCATTGAAGTGGCTCATTTTCCAGTCTGCACACAGAATTGATTTTTGCCTTTTTTTTTTTACACGCATCAATAACTTCAAGTGAGTCAGTCACCATGACTAGGTTTTTCTTTGTTATTACACTGCTTCACATCAGTACGTGATTTCAATCAATTTGTTGAACCATGGAACGGCGGTCAGAGTGTTTTTTAGCATGTGTTTTTTGCTAGCACTACAGCGGATGACACTTTCACCAAATACTAGCCTATTAAACATATCTCCTTTGCACTTGTTATAATTGCTACATGTTTTTAATATATTCTTCAATAGGGTCCAGATCATTCTGACTGACTCTGTACTGTGCTTACAGAATGATTATGGAATGATCACACTGATCACACTTGTGGCAGTACAGGGTGAAACAAAAAAAGCGAAACCCAAATGTCGGGACCACTAATTTAGTGAAGTTCTGATGTAGCACTTTCAAAATCTAGAACAGAATAGAATAGAATTTTATTGTCATTTGTATATAAAAACATACATTAAAATTCATTATGGCCTTGCGAGCTATTAAAAAAAAAAAAAAAAAAGTATAATTACATACATACATAAATCAATGAGTAAAATGTGTTAATAACGACTTATTACTGATAAAACACCTTATACAATCACTATTAAAAAAATGCATTGATACTCAAAACCAAATAAATTAATACTAAAACGTTAAAACTATATTAACACTTGTTCATTTTATACTAGACGTTCCGGTACTGCACTGGGATAAAAACTGTTGAGAGTGCGATTGGAATTAGCCCGGATTGTTCTGTAACGTTTCTAGGATATGAAAGCCCAAATTATAAGCTTTCTTTTAGTACAAGAATCATTCAAATCACTCATGTACTTTTCAACTTACGGAATTAAAAATTGAAAGTGCTACATGCAGAACTTCACTAAAACAATGGTCCCGACATTTGGGTTTCGTTTTTTTGACTCACCCTGTACTCCTGCTGTTGAAAAACAATGCAAAGACTGTGTGCACAGTGACCTGTCAATGGTAACAAAGAGATAAATGGGAGGGACCACAGGAAGGGTCTCTTGGGTGGATTGACGATGACCCCTGACGCTCATATGAAGATGGTATGGTTTTGTGTATATTCGGAATACAATTAACCATACATACTTCGCGCACCACCCAGTGCATCTACGTGTGTTTCTCCGTCTGACGCCTTCATGTGTGGTGACGAAGCGCCGTCTTCTGTTTGTGTGTACGGAGTCCATACAATCACCAATGTTATTTTTTACCATTACAACCTCGCTTTCACATCATACACATGTACCACCCCTCTCTCAAACAGCATGAATTTGAGAAAACCAGGAGTTTGAGCACGGCTACCAAACTGTCACTTCCCTCTATGCATTCCACAAATATCAAGTCTCTACCATGCAAAAGTCCAATCTTCAACCTTATGATCATCAAAGTCTGTTCAGTGGTTTTAGATTTGAGACAATAATGTACAAGGCTTCAGTTTGCCTGCTTCGCTGGGTAGGCCACTTTGCGGAGGAACTACCGATTCAGGGACGAATGCCTGCTTTGTGGACAAACGCCCACTTTATGCGGGTGATCAAGTTGTGAACACACACATGCATACACATTTTTGTTTATGCTATAAATTGAGATTTTTCTTTTGTTCCTCTTCCCTTTTTCTTTGTTTGTACGATAACTTTTTTGAAACAGCTCTCACTGGTTTTGTACATGTTTTCCAATCGAGGTCGTTCTCGATTCGAATCCTATCCTCGATTCATCGATGATGTTGCATGGGTGCGTCCTCAATTTACACCATAAACACGCACATGCATATACTGTACTTTTGAGATTTATAGACAAACCTGGGTACACTGTACACACACAGACACTCCATTCAATGGCGATAGCATTGTGCAAGCTATTGTAATTGTACAAAGCAACTGCCCCATGATGGATTATCTGAACAATAGCTAGCACAATGCTTTCGCCATTGAAGGGGGCCTTCGTGACAGAATTGACAGCGTGCCAGGATTGGTCAATGTCTGGTTCTATGTTTGGTTCATCATGAAGGTTTCTGACACAAAACACTCTAAACGAAGGGTCGCTCTTCAAAATCTGCAAATCATTGAAGATCTGCAAACAACTTTGGTTTAACCGGACATAAAATATACCCCCTCCTGAATCAATTCATCGATCCCAATTAATCGGAATAGAATACCTTGGATATTAATTGTAAATAGAAAGTGCTTACCACGTGGAACAGGTACATTCCCGCCTGGAGTGTAGGTTTCACTGACGTACCGCAGCAGAGGCCCATAAAGCCGCCTATCTGAGTCAGGTACTGTAGAAACTACGTTGCCGCTTTCTGTAAAATCTGCAAATAAGGTCAATTCAGACAAAAATATGACCAAAGTTCATAGTGGGGACATATCAAATATCCGAGTATACAACGGAAGCCAAAAATATTTAAAGAATTTTGTTTTTGGCAATAAATATCAGATAAGAAGGAACATTATATCAAAACTATCCTAAACAGTATTTCAAAACCCAAGTTGTGTTTTGCAATGGGCTCCGTGCGGGAACAAGAGGGGGCGCTTTTTTGCCCGCTTATAATTGAGACTAATGTTATTCTGAAAGTGCACAAAAGCTGTGTCTTTGCATGAGCGACAGCCATCGTCGGCAATGCGTTCCAATGTCTCCGAGGAGTGCCATTCTTTTTGCTGATCTACATGTTTCAATTCAATTTTTGTGAATAGTGAAAAGTAACGTAAAATTACAGAAGGCCAAAAAAGAAGTAGTTCTGCATCCGGCTACATGGCATTTGAAAATAGGGTAGGTAGGTAGGGAATTTTTTTTGGGGGGGGAGGGGACAATTTTTTTGTGTACGATCATATGGAGGGGTCTGCGTGAAGTAAAAGGTAAAAGGTACTAATTGATGGTTTTCAGGTTTTTTCCTCATTTTTCCCCCCATCAAAAAAATTTAGGGTACGGGCTGTCAAAATAGGGTAGGTACCGGTAGGGTAACCGGAAGCCGAACTATTATTTTTTTCTGGCCTCAACTTGAGAATGATTTCCCTGCTGAAGGACAATTACTACGGCTAACTACATCTAAGTTTGGAAGGGGTTTGCAAGTTGCGGATGAAAACACAAAATTTTCAGATATGGAAATGAAATCAATTGTTTGAAATGGCAATAAAACGTCTCGAATCAGTTCACAATAGTTCTCTTTGCAAATTGGTCATCCGTCAACTCACCATGGCCGGTTCCGTTCATGACTGTGGCATTCAGTCGTACCTCCCAAGGCTTGATCTTTGATTGGTACAACTGCCGACCAATCAGAACGAATAATACATAGCCGACGTAGAGAAGAATAAAACCTTAAATGTAAAAAGAAACAAAACAAAATCTGCATAAATTGTCAAGTACTGATGAAGAGGTTAGATTCAAAGTGCAGACTTGTGCACATAACGTTATTTTTTACCCATCCAAACATATTCACTTCTTCAATTTATTCCTGGAATTCCAATAGCAGAACAGAAGGAAGAGAAGTAAAAAGTTTTGTGTCCGAGACAATTTTTTTATTTATTTATGTATTTATTTATTTTTTAATTTTTTTTATTTACCGGTATTGTTTTTGTTTGTTTGTTTGTTTGTTTGTTTTTTGGGGGGTGTTTTTTTTTGGGGGGGGGGGGTTATTAGTAGTCATTCTTTTCCCCACAAATGTGTCCTTCCCTTCCCTCCTTTCCTCATCCCTGCCAAAAAAATAGCTGGTTTTCACTTAGATATTACCCATTTGTATATGTCAATCAGTGAAAATTCTCGGAATACACAGCTGAGAAATCAAACGTTGAAATTCAAATGCATGCTTATTGAAATCGCTTAGTTTTATGAGCAATTGACAATTTACCACAATTTTGCAGATTAAAAAGAATTCCTTTAAAAGACCAGATTTGATCAAATGCACCGCAGTAAAGAAACAGACATTTGTTAGCATACCTATTGCCTCTGCAGTCCATATTTTCCCCGTGTATAAAACATAGAATGTCCAGAATGCTGCACCGATGTAGAAAATGGCGTCTCGTAGAAACGGTCTCTTGGCCAGCTCAAAGGGTTGGGCAATAGAAACAGACCCAGCTACTACTGTAGTCACGAAGACACCAGCCCCTAAAAAGAAAAAAGAATAGTGTTTTCATTTACAAATGTACATACGTGAACGTGTTGCAAATTTGTGATATACACATGTAAAGGGCAAGTATCCAAGCAGCATGTTAGCAGAGTTAAAGACATTTTAAGATTCACTGTCATTGCTATTTTTAAGTTTCTACTCCGAAAAATAGATTTTTAGTTTACACTGCTATTTTTCTAACAATTCCAAAGTTATATTCACTTTCCAAATTAAACATCCAACAACAACAAATATGATAGACCAGCTGGGAACCATCCTGTTGCACAGCCGATCTGTTTTGTGCGCAAAAAGACAAGCCTAAATAAAATTCTTTTTTGAAACGGTTACCAAAAAAATCCATTATAGAAAAAAGGGTAATTTTTATGTCAAAATAAAACAGAGAAATGTTTTGTTTTTTAGAGTGTGGGCATTAGATATTCTGAACTACAATTAATTTTGCTGCATATGAACCACAACATGTATCAAAACGAAAACACTGAACAATAAACATGTTTGTGAGAAATGAAGACGTACCAAACAAAGCTCCGATCGCCAATCCAGCATTGCCATCCTTTGCGTTAGAGATCGCCGCTATGGCACTGAAAATATCTGGAGCTCCATTGCCAAATGCAAGGAAGGTCACACCGTGACATGACAAGGTTAAAGAGACAATTTACAAAGAGACCAGAAATACAATATTCTAAAGTTATCAATGAATCATGCATCCCAGAACTCTAAACGATGATCACCAAATCAATTATTTATCAATTGCTTACTCAGGTAATCATCAATAATCACTCCAATCAATTAATCAATTACTTAATTAAACAACTAATAATTCCGCCCTCCAAAAAAATAACTAATCAGTCAAGAAATCATCCCATCAATCAATATATGTCAGAGATTATCAAATAATTAGTCAACCAAAGAATTTGTTTAATTATATCATTCAACAATTCATATCATTCAACTTAAACTTGAAAAAAAAAAACAATCCCAAAATCTATCAACTAATTATGAGAAACAAAATTTTTAAGAGACCGACAAATCTATACCACAAAATATTAATGAACAAATCAACTTTGTTAAAAACAACTTCCAAGAGAGAGTTGCAAGGGGTTGACAAAAAGGATATTGCTATATTCTGGCTTAGCTTGAGTGACTTGGAGATGGCAGTCAACGATGGACAGAAACTGAAACAAAAGCAAACAAAAATCATATTAGTCCAATAAATGACTTTCATGGAAAATGAAAAAATATGACACGAAAATACACACTGTCTGGCAATTCAGGTGTCAAAAAAACATGTCCTACTTTTGATCCTGAATAACTCTGTTGTTGACCAATGGAATTAACCCTAACTCCCTCGGGCATTTTTGACTCGGATGAAACCTCAATCATGCAACATCCTCCAACTGCCTCCATGTAAAAAATTGCACACAGCCTCAATCCTGCAAAATCATCCGTTTATTTCTTGAATGTGGTCCTTGGAGGGGTGACCACTGCCTCAGTCCAGCAAAATCCTCCAGCAATCACTGTCATTTTGTCAATATGTTGAGGCAGAGCCAGCGACATCCTGGAGCAGTGTGGAGGATATATTATACAGTATTTCAAGTATAATGTACCGGTAGGCCTAAATTTATGCACGGCTGAGCATAAACAACACAAGGTCCGGCCCAAGACCTTGACACAGTGCATCCTCAGAAATAAGCCACACCCTTTGGCCAGTAGCCTCAATCCTGCAAAATCAAAGAGGATTTTTTGAGGTTTTTGGAAGGTTAGGATTAAACCAACTTTTCAGATCATGTAAAACAAGGCATGATTGTGTGTTGTGCCAAACGATGGAGGAGGTGATGACAAACCTTTGTGGTAAAAACTCAGGAATTCCAGATTTCAAAAGGGATAACTTTAAAAATCCTCAAAGCAGGAAATATCCCGACAAATTTCACCCCTGTACTTCTCATCAATTGCATTAAAAATACATGCACAGGTACAGGAAGAGTAGTCATCCTATAAAAAGGTTTTGTTATTTGAAATCAGAATGCTATCAAAACAAACATACACAATGTATCACCGTTCATTCACATTCAGGAACTATTTACAGATTAGAACAAATTTCCTCGCAAATTGCTTCCTCATTCAGTTCCAAACAAAACCTGAAATTTCCCGTTCCTCTCACATCTGAAACCCAGATTTATTTCAGTCCTCTATCCTATCATGTTTGTGGCCAATTACAGAAATGCTGTTAGTGTTTTCCTCAATTAAAAAAATAGAGACAAAGAATTCAAAACAAGGAACCGAAAACGCAATGTACATTACACAGTGTCTGGAAAAACATGTCACAACTTGGTCTAGGTATAAGTTCCCCCATTTATTTTTTTCTGAAACTGAAAGCAATACAAAGGGGAACTGCCATTCGAAAAAAAATACTGCTTGTTTACTGACGGTAAATCCATACCTGCAGTCGTACGAAAACAAACATTTCAAGGGAAAAGCAATAAAAATAGCAGTTAAATAATCCTTTGTGATTGATGCCTGTTTACATCTGTTTCACATCACTTCTTACATGACTATGCACATTCACAATGTTTGCTTTTTTTGTTTGGACAAAACTGGGAACTACCAAACAATTTTCTACATCCAATAGGGGCCTACTAGTATTTGAAGTAGAATAAAATATCAAGCTAATAATCTGTGGAAGACAGCCTGACTATCCGTAAAGGGGGAAGTTTGAAATAAAAATTTAAAAAACCCAAAGGCAGCCACAATGTAATTGTTCATTGCAAGTGTTTCAGGTGACCAAACTATATAAGGAACCAGGTAGACGTACCGAGTGCGGCGACGGTTGTTTCTTTAGTTGCACCTTCTTTATGCTTGCCCGTGACTATTGTGTTCCATTTCTTTCAGTATAATAACATGAATAGGGTTGTTCAAGGTTTTTTATGTTATGCTAATGTGGGTTCACATGAGCAAAACAAACCAGTGATGTCATCATCAAGGCAGGAGCTTCCACTGGGTGAGAATGCTCAATTAGCAAGGTCAACTCAGTCTGTTTGGCATCTCTTTGTTCGTTACATGTGATAGTAAACAGCAATCATTCAATGAGTAAACTAAATGTTCAGGCAAAACAATTATCAGAGGCCACTAGCTGGGAGGCATTAAGCCCGGTTCATACTCTGCGCGAAAGCGAAAGCAACCACGAATTTGTGACGTCGTGGCAAGTATTCGCGCTGCGAATTCGTAAAAGTTGAACATATTTCAACTCGGGCGAATTTCGCAGCGAATGTTCATGACGTCAAATTCGCTTCGCATTCGCATTCGCTTGAAGTATGAACCGGGCTTTAGAATAGATGCCACATGTACATAAGTATTAGTCATTACTTGTTTAAAGAAAAAGGTGGAACATTTATAATACAACCACTCTGAAAAAAAACTAACGTTCCGTGAAATAGACATTGTCAGCAAACCCAAATCTATCACGTGCCTCTGTTTTGTGTGATAAAAATGCTGCAATCTTTAATAACTGAGTTGACTCTGACCTATAAATTAAACACACAGTACAGATTGGAATCTTGGGGCAAGAACGGTTTATCGTCTGGTTCAAGTGGTGTTTGAGTGATCGGTGATCATGTGCAAGGCTGGCCCCGTCATGTGACTACTGCGGCTGTGAGTAAAGCTAATCTTGGCCAAAAGTTCAAATGCCTTTTTAGGAATTCAGGCTGTAAATGTATTTCTTGAGCAGAATGATTCAAGTTCAACATTAATCATTCTAACGGCTGCTGATTGAACCCTGTTTGAACCCTTTTTGAACCACAGCTACATTTGGCTTTTAAAACTTCTTGTTGCTTTATCAAATTGTGTACTATGCAGCTCCAAATAAATGAGGTTATCGTGTAGTTAAGGATTCCGTTCCATATGAGAGAATGCAAAGACACTTTTAGGTTTTGGAACTCACCAAAAATGTTACCAGGAAAATTAACTATATATATTTTTTAGTTCGCTAAAATACAACATTGAATATCAGTAGGATTAAATTGGTAGAAAGAGGGCAGGGTTTAAAGGGAATATACATCATTTGCTTTTGCTGTAATTTTCAGAAATGGATGGAATTGGGGGGTTGGAAATATAAAGCAAATATAGATGCACTGACTTTTTGAAGGTTTTGGGTTTGAAAATGCTAACCAAGAAAAACGATCATTTTCCTGTAGTCTGGTTCCCTGACTCCATATAAGAAGAAACAGAGCAGTTTACATACATTGGGGAATTGTAAGGTCAGGGAACCAGTCTAGCTGGCTCGTACCCGTTCATAGGTTTGTAATCGATTGCAAACAAGTGCAATGGTCAATTGGGGCCGGTATTTGAAAAAAAGCCAGTTGTTTCCAACGCTGATCGGCCGATCAGCGTTGGAAATTGATACAAAAATACCACTTTTCTTGAAAATGACAGTATACCAGGTGCCATAATTTTACAGGATGCTTTAGACTGTCATTTACCAACATCCTATTAAGGTATTTCGCAAAAACTTGGTAGTTTTGTTTTTCGATGTTTGCAAATGTTGTATATTCCCTTTAAATGAGGAAAATTATGGGGTAAACTAATGGCAGCGCCTGAACTGCTGTGACTCGCACGTGTCTAAGTGCTAAAACAGGTAAGAAAGTCATATTTTTTTCCAAAGTAGGCCTACTAATCAAAATTTTAAAAATATAGAGTTAATTAATCTCAATAAAAAAAAAATGCTGGGGGCTGCAAAAGGCATTTTGGAAATTTGCCAGTCATTTGCGAAAGTCATTTTGACTGGAACAAGTAAAATAGGGAGGCGTCCTCAACTACACTTTTTTACTGAAAATGAGCACTACACAAGTTCCATTGAGTATTTTATTTACATTAATACTTACAAATCTTCTGCAGTGACTCCCAGGGCAACAAACAGGAAAATCAGCCAGATAAACTGAAAGGGGAAACAATTGAACAGCTATAAAACAAATTGTAGGAACAAACTCTAGCCAGAAGACAACAGTGCCTATGTCCTCAGGCAAGACACATTACTGTGACTGTTTCACTGTACTAAGCAGGGCATTTCCCGAGTATTTTGTCAGTTATATAAAAAAAAACCCCATACATGTCAAGTCCAATTTTTACTCTGCAAATTGTGCATTCATTCTGCCTGTGAAACTTGACAGTGTTTGTTCTATAGTTCATTCTGCATGAGCAGTTTTTGTGTTTACATGTGCTCATGTTCACATAGTAAAGGAGTGTTCCAGGGTCCAGACCAAACAAAATGTAAGCATGAATAATATGCCATAACAGTGACTGATTTGGGAGATTTCTGGAAACAACAAGACAACTAGGATCAAAAGTAAGGTTTGGCACCAGTTTTTCTAGCCAGGTATGTGATGCACAGAATAAGCCAAGTAAAAAAAACCCACAGTTTCTCGTCCCCGCCCACTTCATTTTTCCTTTACGCTTACGGTTTTTTTAAAATCATACATTAACAATATATTTCGTCTCTTTATCTGTTTCCAGCAAATTGTAGCTATAGGGCCTATGTATGAAAGTTCAAAATCTGGAGGAAAGGGCGACGGCTCCTTTGGACACAAAAGTATCAGCAAAAGAGTCCAGAAATGGAAGAATGTATCTGCTATCTTGGTAAATACGCCATCTTGGGGGAAAAGGGCATCTTCCTTTGTTTCAAAATGCCATACAAGGAGCTATTATTTTTTTACCAGGACTTAAGAATAAGTGCTGTGGTCCAATGGTTACGGTGAATGGGGGCGCTGTGGTCCAATGGTTACGGTGTTCGACTCGTGTGCCGTGGTGCACGGGTTCGAATCCTGACAGTGGGAACATGGTGCTTGTGCTCTTGAGCAAGGCACTTTACCACTATTGCTTCGTCCTTTGGATGGGACGTAAAGCCGTAGGTCCCGTGTGTTGTGTAATGCACGTTAAAGAACCCAGTAACACTTGTCGCTAAGAGAAGGGGTTCGTCCCGGTGTTTCTGGCAGTGGCCGCAGCACCTTGTAAACCCTGGTGCCACATAATGGGTCTCATATCTCTCATGTACTTCATTCATCTAACAATAGACATAACTCCCAGTGCCTTGAGTACCTCAGTGCTCCGTTGCGCTAATGCCTGAATAGGTTTCTGCAACGTAGCCATACAGATACAGATACAGATACAGAAGTGCGCTGCACCTGGCACCTGATGGTACAGGTGGATATTGTTATCAATTATAAGCATTATATACAATTAGGGCGTTTTCGAATCCCTGTTCTTGACAACACGCGTGTAACACGAGAACGTGTTCTCGAGCTGGTTGTTACGAACGCGCGGGTGCGTGTCGCATCGATATAAAGCAATGCAAAATGGCCGAAAATCGTCTGAATTTGTAGGTATAACAAAAATTGTTGCAAAACCGGACATGCGGGGATGAAATTGCAGACCTGCACTATTACGGTATTCTTATTCCAATCATTAGGGTATTAGCAAAAAAAAACACCCACAAAACAAAACGAATCTGCACAGTCCGCCATTTTGTTCAAGCTGCACCTCGCCGAACCCTCCATCAACCGGGGAGTGAAAAAATCGATCCGCGAATGCCCTCTCGGGTCTGTTCGTCACGTTCGAGACCGCTGTTCTCGTGTCGGGTTAACCCGAGTGTTGTCAAGAACAGGGATTCGAAAACGCCCTTAAAGTCTAAGAATTACCAGTAGAACCAGAGCGAGAGGTAGCAGCTTGACTGAGAAGTCACAGTAGGCTACCTCCAAGTAGTTGACGAAACCCTCATCAATCTTGCAGTCGTTGGTGGCTCTGATGAAAGAACACTGCTGTGATACATTTATCTTGTGGTAATCAATGCACTGCAAATAAAATACATGTAACAGTGATTTATAATGAGTATTTGCTTAATTCTGAACTTTTTTAATTTTATCATGATTTTTTTAAGCTGCAGTAACAATTTAAATTAACCGCTCGATGTTAATCAAAGATTTATGATGACAAAATACAATAAATGTTATTCTTCCTATATGTGATTTGAATTGAGTAAAACTGTTTTACAAAACATGTACGGAAAAAATGTTGCAACCTGACGCCACTTCCGCGATTGTGTACAAAGTCTATGGAGAGTCAAGAAAATTTTCAAAGTATTTCCTACCAAAATTGGAAATGTTTCTCAGTCCCAGATTCATGTCTTATCATCATTTTTGCAATAAATGACCCTCATTGAGATGATGAAGCAAAAAGTGGCGTCAGGTTGCAACATTTTTTCTAAATGTACTTTAATACCTTCGCCGAAAAAGATTACAAGGAAACAAATTATCATGTAAAAGTTTCATTTGTTGAAACATCTTTCACGAAAAAAGCCGATAATTAAAGGGTTCATGCAATGTATTTTTCTTAGGCACACATTTTGAGAAACTTTCTTCTCCTCTTAGTCTTAAACGTATGAAAACTATTTGACATCCCTTTTTGGTTAATTTTATTGAAAAGTGCACTCCTTTAAAACCTTTTAAAAAATGTCCATGCTTTTTTCAGACATCTGAGGGTGCTGTTGCTGTGATGTCATTTCAGGGAGAACATGTTCACTAAAATACCTAGTCCAAAAATTTTGGGACTCTCAGTCTCAATACCGTACAAAACTAAGGTATTGAAATTGGAAACATGTATACAAGAAAATAGACTGCACAAGAATCATATATGGCATACTTTTTTTAAGAAAATAATTTTCACAGAATACTCAGACAACATACAAAATCATGACAGTCTGACACTCACTGACACTGATCAAATGTAGCTTGAGTAACTCCAGCTGACATGCTCCATAGTGAATGAATATGGAGCATGTTAGCCCCATAAATGTGGCCTATTTACTGGACTGCCTCCGTAAACATAGGCCACACATCCACAGGTACAAAAATCGTGTCGACGGAGCCAAATTTTGATTTTCACATTTAAGCTTAGTTTGTAGGGTTTTTTTGCTTTAAAAGCATACTCACCCTCTTTACAGGCTAATCAGAAAGTGCTGCCTTTTTCAGATGTCTAATTTTTGTGAAATTTCATGTTGAAATTTTGATACGCAAACATGTAAAAATGAATCTGGAAATTTCACGAAAAATATACATCTGAAAAAGGCAGCACTTTCTGATTAGCCTATAAAGAGGGTGAGTATGCTTCTAAAGCAAAAAAAACCTACAAACTAAGCCTAAATGTGAAAATCAAAATTTGGCTCCGTCGACACGATTTTTGTACATGTGGATGTGTGGCCTATGTTTACGGAGGCAGTCCAGTAAATAGGCCACATTTATGGGGCTAGGAGCATGTCAGCTGGAGTTACTCAAGCTAGATCAAATGATGAACTAGTTTCAAGTTTGAGAGGATCATTACGGATACAATTCAAACAGTTGGTTAGTTACAAACCTCTGGTACTCCAAGATGAGTGTGTGGTTTGTTTTTGGCTGCTGAATATTCCTGGGACTCACTGACACCGAGACCCGAGCTAATCAACCGCGGGCCGTTCGCCTTCGCAGACCCGTTATCAACAACAAGGGAACAGCTGACTGGCAGGCAACACAAACAACACAGCACACCGGCACAAACCAACACCGCACCGACGGAAACCCCGGTGGAGACGGGTACCACAGGCATAGCGATCGCACTACTGGGCCAACATGTGGAGTGGTAGTGCGGTAGTAAAAGGCTTCGTTTCTACAAGAAATACGGATTTGATACTTGGAGATGGAGTTTGAAAACCGCGTGCTTCGTTGACTTTGTCTGAACTATTTGTCATCATTTCTGTCGATCACGAACTAGGCCTACCAATTTAGTGCGGCTTTATTTTTGTTTACTGAGCAGAAATGGTAGGATGACCGAGATACCGTTTACATAGGTTAAAGTGCAAGGGCGTCAGGGAACATGTCTGTTTGGTAAGAATTAGACTCGCCACCAGCTTTTCAATGTAAATGGTTTATGGCCTTGAACAGAGATCAGCAGTGGCCTTGAAGCTGCCGGATTGCGCATCAAGCACAGTTAAGTTCATTGGGACCTTCGATAAACGGCCATTGTATAAAAAGTAATGACAATGTGATAAACATCCTTGGCATACAAATGCACTCAAGCCAATGAATGGCAAACAAACATGGCTAGTGATAAATTTCAAATGCGAGACTCAACTTCATCAAATACTAGCTCCCAACAGTGTCCGGCCAAACTCAGTGCGCCCGGGCGCAAGCGAAGGTGCAATCATTCCTCCATGGTGTAATATTGTTCTGGGGCCGGTTCCTCGATCAGTCAAAGTTTCTAGTTCAACGAGACTTTCGCTTTGGTTATTATCACTGGACAGTGGACACTGTTTGTTTAATAACACAAACTTGATTTTGTGTAACTTTTCCCTGTTGGGGTGGGGCGGCTTTTGACAGTTGCGACGGACGCATGATGCCCGGATATTTTTAAAACTATTGCGCCAAAGACCGACGCTCTCGATTTAAAAAAAAAAAAGAAGAAAAAAAAAGCTGTTTTCGAATTGGAGAATTTTCAAGAACCCGAGGAAAGGTCTTCAAGTTCGACAATTTCTACTAAATTGCCCTTTTTTGAAGTTTGTACTTAAACTAGGATGCCGCACAAAGGGTCTAAAAATAACAAAAGGTTTAGGCCTAATTGAATGACGTATACCTGACCCTGATCATGGAACACAATAATAAAAGGTGTGAGTCATTCATTGGACCGCGAAAGTATACTTGGGTTCGTACAAGGCACCGCCGACTATTCCACTTTATACAACACCTGAATAAATCCCCGTCATCTTATTGGTGGATATGCCTATATGCATGGGCGTCGCCAGGATTTTTTTTTAGAGGGGGGCAAACATTTTTTTTGCCAAAAAATGCTTGTATTTCTCAACACATTCTCGATTTATCAGTTTTAGAGGGGGACAGGGACATTTTGCCCCCCCCCCCCAACTCATTAAATTTACACCACTTTGTCTTCGCGCCTCTTTTTCTTTTCTTTTCTTTTCTTTTCTTTTCTTTTCTTTTCTTTTTTTTTTCTTTTTTTTTTTTTTTTTTTTTTGCTTTTCCAGGGGGGGGGGGGGGGGGCAAGTGCCCCCCCTTGCCCCCCCCCCCCTCGCGACGCCCATGCCTATATGGAAGTATGTGTATTTTAATTGTTCCAATACCCATGCACGGCCTGATGGCTGCACTGCAAAATAGACTCTACGGGAAGTTGCACGGCCACCACGCTTTTGCCAGTTCCGGAGCAATCAAATGACGATGGGTTTTTTTTCCAAAACAAATAATGACTGTTTCACATTCCTGCCATGGAAAGAGGAGTATACAGATTTCACTCGGCTTAGTCGCCTCCTTAACATTCCATCTGTGACATTATTAAATCAGTTACCATTTTACGTTTATTATCAATTTGTATAATATAGGCCCGGGGATGCTGGGTTCACTGTTGAGGGATATAGGCTTTTCTTTCCTGGCCTACATGTTAAATCTCTATAATTCCGAAAAGGACCAGACGATTTCGAGTGATTTATGTCATATTTTACGTGACGTATATTTGTTTTAGATTGAGATACACTGTGAAACAGAATATGAACTTGAAAACATCATTTCATTGAAAGAATTTCACTCTTAAAGATTGATTTCCCAGAGGCGGGGGCATGCCCTCAGACCCCCCCCCCCCCCCGGGCGTGCCGAAGTCGGGACACCTTCACTTATCCCTGCTCCCCCGCCCCCTCCCTGCTCCCCCGCCTTCTCTCACCCCCCCCCCCCTCCCCCCCCCCCCCTTCAAATGTCGGCTGATGACTGCAAATGGTGCCCGACTAAACTTAGTGCAAATATATGGGAGTCCGGAGAGATCACATAAAGCTTATTCTCGACCATAATCCAATCTAAAAACACGTTAAAATTGTGCAGCAGCAGGGTTCCAGTCAAACCAGTGAGTTTGGCGGTTTTGAGACATCATCTTTTATTGAAAAAAAAACTGTTTCATTTTGCCGACGCGCATGGCTACGGCGACGCGCGCATACCAGAAACCGGAGACTTTTTTTTTTGGCCTTAATTGAATTATTTCTCGAAACAAATCGAATTATTGGCCGCCCGACAATAATTCGGCTCTGCAGGGCAGAGTGCGCAGAAATTAATTCCCTTTCCCCTAATTTTCAGAGTTTTTTTCGTTAAAACAAAACACACAAATTGAAAACACGTTGGAAAAAAAATTCAAAATACGTCGCGCTCCATTTCTCTGCGTGAACAAATCGTGCAAAAAATGGGTACTTTTAGCCTTGTTCATTTGCCAAGATTAACTTGGTCGCAATAATGTGGAAGGTAACTCCAGACTTGAAATAAGGCTAAACACTTTGCGCGCCGTTTGTTAAATTAAACGATGTGGACTTGAAATGAGACTAAACATTTTGCGCGGTGAACGCCCACCTTAAACTTTAATGCCAGGAGTCGACACGTCACAGAAACGGAGCACAAAATCTAAACTCAATCACTCGAGATTTGTTTTAATATCAAATAGACGAAAAAGACCGGTGATAAGTGCAAGAAAAGTGGAATTACATTGTTAATTGTGGATAAAGAAATTGCTTTGTAATGAGCTGTTTCAATTTTCCACTAAACTAATTATCATACGAATAAATTCAAATGATGTAAAATATTCACATGCGATATAATAAAACATGACAGCCATATAAAATTGTCACAATGCTCAAGCATAATTTGGTAATATGTTATCAGTAATAAAATATAATTATATGATTGTATAAAACTCTCATAGAAAAATAACAACAGCTAGTTTACAAACACCCTGAAAACAGTACATTTTAATTATATTTGTACATAATGTTTATGATTAATTAAACTGGCCAATGAATGAGACCTCCCATCCCTTTCCCAATAAAGGAAAATATTCACTGAAGTAGGTTCAAGTCAACTGCATAATTAATTAGGTCTTTAAATACAAAACCATCAGCTACAATTGTTTCTGTACATTAATGTTTGAACTAAAGAAGCTAGCCTGTAATTGTGGTTAGCGAAAATTTGTAATATCTTGGACTACGAAGTCCGAGAATTTGGGACTCTCAATACTGTGTATGAGAGTCCCAAAACTTAAGGTACTGAAAACATGCAACACAAAAAAAAAATAGACTGGCACATATGAAACAACTAGTCCAACAACCCTTCAGTACTGCATCCATCAACTGCGCCAAAAGAAACATCTGGTACCGTTCTCTATTTTTTCACATCTCTCCATAGTCTGCCACCAGACTACAGAAGAAGTTAGTCTTTTCAAACAGATGGAAATGTACTAGTCTAGTCTTATAGGCTTCAAATTGAAATCATTTGACTTCATTTTCAGGTGCAAAATAAAGAAGAAATAGTCCCCTTTAAAAATTGAATTGAGACTTTAAACTTGGTTTGTGAAATACTGAGGACCTTTAGTCGTCGCCTCATGAAAATTTGGGAGAATTTTGTCATTTACAGAGTGAGTAAAGTTGGCCTACTTTTGTTTTGGCATGTTTTTCTGCACTCCAGGAGCACTGGCACCAATAACACTTTCCCTTTTGAGATTCAGTATTATAATAGTAATTTCCTGGAACCAGTAAAAATATACATGTTTCCTGCCATAAAAATTGAACAAAAAATGTGTAACAATACCAATATGTGGCTCCCTAAACAACACCAATATCACTTTAAAAAAAACCTCATCTTTGCAGTGACCTCACAAAGCTATAGAAAACAATGTTTAAATCGTCCCTATTCATTAAAAACAACATATATATAACATACCATGATTTATAAAACATAAAAAAAAGAACTTTTTAAAATCTTGCTATTATTACAGAGATGCCAACTTAACAGACTACAAAATAGTAATGATTCTTCCTGCAAAGAGTAATAATAATGTAAATACATGTGGCAACAGTCAAGTTTAAGAGTAACCACAGTACTTTTCAGAGTAGCCACAATGTTGGCATATAGGACAGCTGGAATTTTCAAGAGTAGTAACATGCCTCAAAATCCTAATAATTACTCCAAAAGAGTAATGGTTGGCATCTCCGTTATTATTTTTCGTTTCCTCAACATAATATCTTGACAGGGCGAGTTCCTAATGAAAACACTTTTGGTCCATTCATGGGCAACGGGGCTAGTTTAGGCCTTTTGCGTAGCAGCCAGCATCGTTTTGCTGGGATGCATGTGCATGAGTTGACATGAGGTAATTTGTATGCAAAGTGGTGTACATCTACATGAAGTAAACAGTAAATTTACAGACTGGACACGCGGCCATTCTAGACCAATGAAATGAAATTATCCAATATATGATACAACACTAATTGATGATGATTCATAAGATGGAATTTTGCATTGGGGTGATGTAAATCAAATTAGGTTTTGCCCTTCACCGATGTTTAAACACGTACTGTACCTCCCGAAGGGCAAAACCTAATTTGTTTTGCATCACCTCGACGCAAAATTCCATCTTATGAATAATTAATTCGGAACCCACTGCTATGTACATCAGATTCCCACCAGCCAACCGATCCCGTTAGCTCGGTGGTCGAGTGGTAATTAGAAAGCAGGAGGTCGTGGGTTCGAGTCCCACTCGAGTCATTTTTTCCAACTTTCACTCGGGAGGTAACTGAGTATATAGTGTTTATACGTCGGTGAAGGGCAAAACCTAATTTGACGAATGGATGACTCTTCAGGCTGGATATCAGGTCAACATCTACACTTGGTCTCCTTTCAAGTTGTTCTTATACTTTTGGGATTCAGAAAATAGACTTGCACACTTTATGGCAGGATGCCAGTTTAGTATCTCCTGCACTGCCTACAAGTACATTTTGGATTCATGCACGAAACTTGAACACTCTACAGATTGATACTAGTACTCAGTCAGGTAAACATACTCATGGTCTCCTTTCAAGTCATTCCAGTCTATGTATGTTGTGAACTGCCTACAAGTACATTTGGGATTCATGAGACTTGCAAACACTGTAGGCTGGATACCAGTCTAGTTCTCAGTCAGGTCCATATACTCTAGGTCTCCTTTCAAGTCATTCCATTCTGTCATGTACTGCCATAGAGCTATATTAAAATACCAGCGCTGACTCACGTACAAAGTGATGCCTGCTGGGCACATCCATGTTTGTGCACAAACCTATGAAAAACTTGAAATTTTGTACGTTTTTTTGCATGCATTTGTATTCTATACATTTGTATTCTATACAGGTGCATTATCAAAGCTGATTCGCCCAAAACCGAAACGCACGATCAGCAAATGAGCGTTTCATTTTGCTCCACGCAAGCAGTGCAACGCGTGCGCTTATGCGCTGCAGATGCTTATTGCTGTGACTCTTATTGAACCGTCATGACATGCTTAAGTTGTTTGCGTATGTTCCAATTGAGCGTTGCATTTAGAGTACACTTTTAAAATTCAATCTATCTAATTTGATTGTGTTCTGCAAAGACGAAAAATGTCTGCACCCAGAGCGGCTTTAAGGCGTCTCCGCCTGCAAGACTGAGGAGTTAGCGCTCTAGTAATTCAATATAGCTCCATGTGTACTGCCTTCATATACATTAGGGATTCATGATCATGAGACTTGCACATCTACAGACTAGAAACAAATCTAATACTCAGTCAGGTCCATATACTCTTGGTCTTCATTCAAGTCTTTCAAGTCATTCCGGTCTATGTACATTGTACTGTTCTGCCTACGTGTACATCTGGTATTCATGATAATGAGACTTGCACACTCTACAGGCTGGATATCAGTCTAGTTCTCAGTCAGGTCCATATACTCTGGGTCTTCTTTTGGTCTGTTCTCGTTGACGTCGCGTGAGGGCTCCATGTACAGTTGGGACTCTGCTTCAGGCAGCTCTTCGTAGACGTTGTTCACGTAGGCGTATTCCTCCTCAGGTGTCCGTTGTGGCTGCTTGGGCTTCTTCTGGGACGGTAGTTGCTGCATGGGCATCTGGTACCCCGAGGGGGTCGTGCTACTGGGGCGAGGAGGGGGTTGCATGGCATTCGCACCGGGGGGAGGGGAAATCGTGTAATCATAGGGTGGGGGCAGGTTGTCCTTGACTGCGTACTTTGGTGGTCGGAGCTGGGAAGCGTACTGGGGGTTGGTGAGGGTGGCAGCTGGGCCGGTGCTGAGTCGTGGAGGAGGGCTATCGAAAATTAAACATCAACCAAAAAATAAAATAAAAAACATCTTAATGAATAGCGAGTCAAAATATTCAAGTTGTGCATAATTACCAACCATTCCTAACAGAAAAAAAGCTGATATCCATCTATAGATGTTGCCAATTCAACCATATTCCGGATGCAATTAGTAAAGTCTGTCATGGGTCAATATGGCCCATCAGGCCGGTATTTCTCTCTGGTTTCATGTGGCATGAGAATATTTCTACTCCCCCTGGATGGGATGCAAGTCCATCGCAGGTTACTCCCCAGCTAATGCCAATACCCATACACTCCTGGATGGAGAGAGGCAAGTGGGGGGTAAAGTAGTTTGTCCATGGACATAACATATGTCCAGCAGCTGGATTCGGACCATGGACCTCTTTAGCATGAGCCACAAACCCTCACCACTACATCACATCCCCCCCTCACCTTTAGGGTTAATTAAATGACTATTATTTTGATGGAATAGGTTTTACTCTTTTTCAAGCTTGTACTTCGACTTTAGATTTTTCTTAATAAATGTAAATAATGATATTTTTGTATTAATGAGACTTTATTAGAATGCATCAAGTAAACAATAAAGGAAATATGAATTGACTGCAAGACATTACAAATGTACGTGTATTTGCAGGGCGTGGCCATTGTACTGTGAATATAAACTACAGTAAAAAAAATTTGGATACAAAAGTTTCAAAAATTCGGTTCTATTCTCAATGATTAAGAAATTTATCTTTTCATTCCTAATCATAAGTGGTAATAGAGACAGAGCAAATTTTAATGAATGGTGTTTGTACCAACTTTAATATGTGGTTTCATTTTTTTATTCATCCTTCAAATAATGCGGAAAAGCTGGACTTATGTAATTTTACTAACCCGGTTTTATTCCTTGCAAGGCAACAGCAGATGGCTACCACGATGGCGATAATAATGAGGACTACGACTACTCCGCCCACCGCTGCACCGATGACTATGGCTACGAAAGAGGAAAACATGTGACTATAGGGGTAAATTTTGGCGAGATTCTGAGCACATTAATTTTGCTAAGTACCTAAACATTTTGTTTGAAAAACAAAGGCATGCTTTTAAGCAGACCCAGGAGAAAAAGAACGAGAACAGGAGGATCAAAATTTTCCAAAAAATTAAAAATGTTAATCAAAAAATTTAAAAATAGGAAAAAAGTAGGACTTTGGAGGACAAACTTTTCAGGATAAAAGTAGGATGTCTGCAGGCTTTCAGGAGTAGTCTTTATTGATACGTGCCCATAAGCCTCATTTGGCCTGTCTGTATATACTCACAACACTTGTGCTAAGCTCTTGGGAGTACAGTTGCAGTACTCCTGCGCCCAAACCCTTCATTGTGTGATTTACATCACAATGTGTAACACTAGCTGTTATGAAAAATATCCATTTTGTTTCGGTTTTGTGGGACAAAACAAATAGGAAAAGTAGACATTTCAAAAACAAGTAGGAGCAAGGTAAATTTGAAAAAATAGGGAAAAGTAGGAAAACTTGAAAGCCTGCAAAGGTTACTGGCCATAATGCCATGCGATGTGTTTTGTTTGCTACCGATTCTTAGCCCATCAGAAACATTTTGAATGCTTGATGCCCACGGTTCAGTCGCAGCGCGAGCAAATTGCAGGTAGACCTGAGGGCGGGCTAAGTCACTGGGCCCAGGGTTGCTTGAAATCAAGAATACATTGGTACCGTATCACACTTTGGGTTGCATGCCAGAACAAAAACAGTTTGCTTTGCTCGGACTTTTTTTCTTCAAAGCAAAACACAACCCAACAAAACAGTTTGCACGAGTTGCAAGATGAAATTCAATGCCCAATGCAGGGGTGTGGGTGACCACTGATAAAAATAGCTGAAAACAGCTGAAAAAAAGGGTGTAAAGAAGCTGAACTTTGGAAATCTCCTATACTTTTGTACACAGCAAGTGATGGGAAAAAAGCTGAAATCAGCTTTAAAGCTGAATTTCACACCCCTGCTAATGATTTCCTGTTGTAAAAACAGGTAAATGAAAACAACAATTCGCATTTTTTTTTATGTTATTAGGTAAAGGATGAACCCTACATGTATCCCTGCTAATACTGTTGTTCATTACGATCGATCAAGGGAAAAAAAATTATTTTGTTCCAGAAGTTTGTTTTGGTTGCATACAGCAGAATACCAAGAGGAAATTTGAAGGGGCTTTGGTTAATACGTTTAAAATTAATGCATACCTTGAAGGTATATTGGATAGCAACATAGTCAACTTCTAAACTGAGTGCGTCTCTAAACACAGGAGGACTATAACTTTCCTTCATGACCTTTGAACTCTTTCAAGATACAAAGAGATGGATCTTACCCTGAGACAGTGCCTCGGTTCCCCCACTCCTACTTTCGCAAGAGGGGCCGGTCCAGCCTTCAACACAACTACAGGTGTAGGCGTTGGCGTTGTTTGCAGCTGAGTTGCAAGCGCCGTTGTTTCCACAGGGTGAGCTATCGCACGGATCAACTGTCACTGCTAAAGGACAAAATATATAACAGAAAAACATGCAAACTAACTGGGAATCACAAAGTTGCAGTTTTAAAAGCCTAATGGTGGTCTAAATATACTAAGCCTGTGCTTGATAGGTATTAAACACTATATTTAAGACCGATTTGGACGCTGACAATGACCCAAGCCAAATTATCAGCGTCTAAACTCCAAACCGGTCTTAAACATAGTGTTTAAAACAGGCCAAGCTTCACATTCCATTCATAATAGCTTTGCACTAAAAAAAATCTCAACTTTTCAGTCCCCCAGTCAAAACAAGTAAAAAAAATATAAATTTCCAATAATTTGTTCAACAAGTTTACTTCATGTTTTTTAAACACCCCTCTAGCTACGTTATGGCATGTCCCTCTCCCGAGTAGTTGTAAACAACTCCTCATACGAGTGTGCATCGTGCCAATGCTTGTGCGCGCTTCGCCGAATAACAAAACAAACTACTAATTTGAATTTCCTACGGTGCGTCTTAAGAAGCACCGTTGGAAAGGCCTTCTTTCGTTGATTACTTCAAAATGACAGCTTGCCAGAAAGAATAATTTCACAGGGAGTTTAGTCCCCTTACTATCTTTCAACCAAGTATGTTTTTCAACAATAATTACGACAGTTACTTTTTGGATAGCTACAAATGATGGACTCTGGCTTAAAGAAAACTTAAATGCATCTTTGCTTTTCCCTATGCAAAGCCATTTTCCGTTGAAAGCCCAACCCTCCAAAAAGTTTGTTTATGCGTTTTGACTTGCACGTTATGATCTCAGTTGTCACTTGGCGTACGTGCTTGGGGAAAAAAGTTCTCATTCACGTATATGTAACTGATTGCAAACTGTCTGTCACTTTAGCGCAGTATTTGAAAAACATGACAGCATACTAGGCGTACGCATTTCCCAGGATGCCTGATCCTATTACTCACTTAGAATCGAGTAGGATATCTCATATATTATGTCACTTCGATTTTGAATGTTTTATTTGCATATTTTGTCCATTTAAATCCGTATAAAACTCATAAGTTGATGTCACATGATGTCGACCTATTGCTGACTGATCTATTCTGCAATGCATGAAAATCTCTTGAAATGTGGGCAGTCTCAACGAGTTTGGGCAAAATATCATGGGAAAAATGCATCGGTGTTTGGTCTGACGTATCCGGTTCGTTAGTGTGACTTCATCTCAATTCAACCATGCGTTTTTCACACGGTGTAGCATAGCACGAATGGAACCGGAAGTTAACGCAGCTCCAGCGTTTATCCAATGGGCGCTAGTAATCAGTAGGGCAGGCGCGGGCATGACTTTTTACTAATGAACCGGATAGGTTATCTTTAAAGCTATAGTCCATCATTTGCAGCCATCCGAAAAGTAACTGGCGTAATTATTGTTGAAAAACATACTTAGTTGAAAGACAGTAAGGGAACTAAACTCCCTGTGAAATTATTCTTTCTGGGAAGCTGTCATTTTGAAGTAATCAACGAAAGAAGGCATTTCCAACGGTGATTCTTAAGAAGCACCGTAGGAAAATTTTAATTAGTAGTTCGTTTTGTTATTCAGCGCAGCGCGCGCAACTATTGGAACAGCGCACACGCGCGCGCGGTTGTTATAATTCGTCGGATCAGTGCGCGACGTCACGTATAGCTGCAATTCAAAACATGATTCAGTAACTTTTGATTTGAAATTGAGATCTTAGAATGCTGGTTTTTCTCGGAATGTACAGCTGAAGCTTAGCTGAAACTTTATCAGGTTAGTTGCTTAGTATCCTTTATTAGATTTTGAACACTTTTGTTGCTTCAAACGAACAAATTGCACAAATTACAAATGATGGACTATAGCTTTAAGCATGTCACATATGTCTGGGTTGTCTTTTCAGAGGAATTCACAATTTCATTTGTTTTTACCTGTTTGACAATACTCCCCAGTGTACTGACTTGTACAAGCGCAGGACCCGCCGTTACCACTGGCAGATGCCACGCAGCTGCCCCCGTTTTGACAAGACTGGGCACACACGATAGCTGAAAAGAAAGATTTGTAAATAAATGACCTCAATTTTCTGTAATTACTTTACAAAGGGTGATTTGGATTACCGAAAAAAGGAAAAAAAACCTGAAACAATTTCTGATGTTTGAATTCCAAAAATGTTGGCGGTTGGACAACATCTAACACTAGGTGATGCTGTTAATGACGGAAAGATTTCTGTACTTAACAAATATACATAAGTCTCTCCCCCAAATCTGTCCAGGAAAGACTGACAAGCATGGATCATACTTGGCTTTCAATTTTTAACTTACATTGTAAAACTGGAATCAAAATCATTAACCCTAACAGAACTCGATCAACCCATCAATCCCCAACGACAAGTTTTGTTGGAATCTCAGGATGGGTTCAGTACCCCTATTAATGACAGTCTTTTACATTGGGTTGGCACACTGCCAAATTAAAGTCAGAAATATGTGTGGGCAGTTTCCCATATGGTGCTGGAAATTGCCAGGATGGGTATGGTTCCTAGTAAATCATGCTAGGGAGTTAGGGTTAATGAATTGACTGAAATACTGATGTCGATTTGTTTAAAACTCAAATTTCATCCAACAAACTTATTTTCTCCTTGTTGTCGTTGAGTTAATCACAAGTGTTTTTCCCTGTGTCACCTTTTTGGGATTATTTCTGAAGAGTCCATAACCTTTAAAAAAAACAACTGTAAATTGCATTTTGACCTTAAAATTTAAGCTTAAAAAAATACCTCTTTCGCAAAATTCTCCTGTAAACTGATCCAGACAAACGCAAAAGGAAGTAGACCCATCGTTGGATGCGACGCATGTGCCGCCATTTTGACAAGATATGGCGGAACAGGCTAGCACTAGAAAAATGGGAAGATAACAAAAGTTTTACCCTTCACTGACATATATTTTTATATACACGTACTGTATGCTTAGTTGCATGTTCGACCTTAACAGTTTTGAGCAATGCATTCGTTAAAGGGAATGTACATCATTGGCTTTTGCTGTAATTTTCAGAAATGAACTATTTGAGGGGTTAGTTTAAATCGATCAAATATTGTTACACTGACATGTTTGAAGTTTTGTGTTCGAAAATGCTGGAAAAACCAAGAAAAACACAAATGTTCAAGTAGTCTGGTTCCCGGCCTGACTCCACTAAAGAATGAAATGGATCAGTTTATAGATGCCGGTAAATTGTAAGGTAAGGGAACCAGTCTAGCTGGCTTGCATCCGCTCATGAACGTGTAACCAATAGTAACCAAAATTTGGACGGAAAAAAATGGTAAATTTGGAGCAGTACCGGTAGTTGGGGGAAAAAAATGTAGTTTATACAAATTTATACAAAATTACACTCTTCTTGAAAATGACTTCACACCGGGTGCCATAATTTTACAGGATGCTTTAGACTGTCACTTACCAACATCCTAGTACGGTATTTTGTAAAAATTTGGTAGTTTTGTTTTTTGATGTTTGCAAATGTTGTATATTCCCTTTAATGCTCATGATAACATATCACCAAAATCACACCTACCCGTGTCACAATATGTCCCTGTGTAACCGTGTCTACATATGCAATATGCAATGTCATCACCACGTGACGCAACACAGACGCCGCCGTTGGCACAGCCGGAGTCCCCACAAGTCACTTCTGTGGAATTACGGTTAAAGGAAACAACATTCAACGTTAAACATGTCTATCCCTCATGTTTAGTGAAAGATTACTGTGGTCATTTGCTAAACCTAGGCTTAGACTCCAAGTTTTGGTCAGTCACTTTAAAGCCTTTAATGTGTATGGTGTTCTGGCAAAATGAGACAGAACTGGGCACAGGCCAACTGGAGAAAAATGCAAAAAACCAAAGGTGGTGATTTTTTTTCTCGATTTTTGATTGATTGATATTTATTACTACACATATTTTGAAGAAATCTGGAATAAACATGCTGTTGAGGATAAGCATTATAGGCATCTTTCATACTCACTCCTGCAAAGCAGTCGAAACCTGGAAGGCCTTTTTCCCAGTATTTAACTTTTTTGACACATCGATTAATGCGAACTTTAGATAGCCATAACTTGTCAACGGAATGTCCATTTTCTCTTTCCTAAATATCACAAACTCAATTCAACTGCTGCCCAGTTGTGTCTCATTTTGCCCGAACATCCCACATATGCAGACCAAACAGAAATACTCAGAGAGGCAGTCTACCAAATGTTATTAAATCTTTAAAACTTTGTGCATTATTTCTAGCCAATCCGGTTCATTAGTGTGACGTACTCATCTCAATTCAACCATGCTTATTTCACACGGTGTAGCATATAGCACGAATGGAACCTGAAGTTAACGCACCTCGAGCGTTTATCCAATGGGCGCTGGTAATCAGTGGTTTGCGCGTGTGTATAACGTTTTTACTACCAAACTGGATGGAGATTGTGTACAAGCGATGTGAGCCACTGCTGAGGAAATGAACCTTTTTCTTGTGAATCTTAAACGTTGATATTGCTACATGTACACACCTTCTTCACAAAATATGCCACTGAATCCTAAGGGGCAGGAGCAGTAAGTGACGTCACCAAAGTAAGCGCAGCTCCCACCATTTAGGCACGGAGACATCGTACAGGGCATTTCTGGAAAAATGAATGAATTGGAACACAAACATTTCAGGAGGCATATTTTCTTTCCTGGGGGGAGGATGGGGTGAATTATTGAAGAAAGAATTTTGAGGCAACCATAATATTTTTGACATGTTTGTCAGTTTTGTTTTTAATTCTACAATTTTTTGTGGAATGAAATATTTCCTCTATCATTAGAAATAATGGGCCAAAATGATTTGGTCCATAAATTACATTTTAAAGGAAATTTGGCAAGAAATCATTCTTGACAATCTTTAGGCATTTGAAATTTTCTTTCAACTAGCAACACCGATTATATATTTATGCATAAGCCAAAAAAAAGAAGAAAAAGTTTCAGGGGAATCTAATCACAGTTTTCCAAACTCTCTGTTTTCAATGCAAACTGCTCCATATTTCTCCAATAGGTGTCATGCTGTTTAAGAGTACTTTAGAATCCTTTGCTTTTGTGTGTCTTTTTTTTTCGTCTGAAGCAACAAATTGCTCAAAATCTTGCTCAAAAAAAATATGCATAATTTTGGGGGGTCTCTCAACTGGTTGTTGTTGCTAAATGAACGAAAAAGTCCGCCCATGACCCATTTTGAAACCAGTACCTTTAATGTTTTTTTTATTCCAAACGATACTCTTTCAGACGGAATATTTTCACACGGTTTTTAATACCATTCCTGTCTCCACTTTTGAGCAAGGTTTTCTCATTAAATCGGTAGGTACATTACTGGGTAATTACTAATGCTCCTATGTGCCTTTATTAATCCTCCTGTAATTTAAACAGTCACAGACAGTTCCACTTCCCCTGCTATACTTTTAACACAGGCTAGTCACCAGCAGCCAGATCATATGTCAAGCAAGCACTGTGACTAGTCAAACTGGGTCAACAGACAAAGCAGGCAAGTTGTGGTCACAGCTGTTTTGTCACTCACCCAGAGTCAAAGCATAGCTATATCGAGTTACTTAAAGCTACAGTCCATCATTTGCAGCTATCCAAAAAGTAACTGACATAATTATTGTTCAAAAACATACTTGGTTGAAAGATAGTAAGGGGACTAAACTCTTTGTGAAATTACTCTTTCTGGCATGCTGTCATTTTGAGGAAATCAATGAAAGAAGGCCGATGCATCTAAAGACGCATCGTTCGAAATTTCCGTTAGTACAAAAAATGTTGACAAAGCGCGCGCGTAAGCGTTGACACGACACACACGCGCGCAGTTGCTATAATTCGTCGGTTCAGTGCGCGATATCGCATAGCTGCAATCGGCTCAGTGAGAACGTGTATCGGACGCTGAATTCAGGCCCAATTCAAAACATGATTCAGCAACTTTTGATTGGAAATCGAGATCCTAGAATGCTGAGCTGAAATTTCATCAGGTTAGTTGTTCAGCACCCTTGTTTAGATTTTGAGCACGTGTGTTGCTTCAAACGAACAAATGATGGACCTTTAAACACTTCCAGCCACTCAATCCTGCTTTATGTAGCCTGGGAATTATTAGCTGTTGAAAACAGTCACTTGTTTAATTTCGACTGATATCACTACTTGGCACTGAATGCATGTTTGCAAAGGTATTCAGCCACTTACGTGTTTCGCAGTACGTGCCAGTGTAACCAGCAAGACAAGTACAGCCACCATTAATGGAAGTATCACACTTCCCTCCATTAAGACATGGAATCAGTGTACAGGGTGAAACTGAATTAAAACAAATAACAATAATTCGGTCATAAACAAAATTGTGCAAAAATTCTTGAAAGTTGTATCATTACTGATCAATATTTATCTTGAACTTAACAGCTGCAAAATTATTGCACGTTGTCTTCATTTGAACTACTACGAACAAAATTGGTATTGTGTGTCATTTGTATTGAACTAATCATCCACACGTAGGGGTTTACATTTAGCAGGTTCAAATCGCGCTCCAGTAAATTTCTTTGTTCATTTTTTTTTAACGATTATCAGCACTTTTGCATAGCATCCCAAATATAGACAGAACTTTAATACCAGCAGTGTCAAATCCACTTTTGGGAATGCTGGAAACTTTTATTTGAGGTCCACCTAATTTCAGTCAACTTTCCAACATAAAACAGAACTAGAAATAAATTGGTAAACGTTTGCGTTGTTTGCTGTCAGTGGACTCCAACATCTTGCTTTCAACTTGAGGTATACAGGAAAAACAAGTACACGTCAACACCTGTATGGTGCCAACATGTGGGGCGTTCTGGCAACAATGAGACGGAGCTGGGCACAGGCCGAAGCCGTAAAAATGAAAAAAATGGAGAAAAAAAATTTTGACTTTTTTTTTTTATTTTTTTTTATTTTCAGATTTATTGATATTTGTAATCTTCGTAACGTATACTACATATATATTAAAGAAATTGAATAAAAATTGTGGAGTAAAAGTGTTTTTAAGGAAACAAACCATTTGGCATCTTTTATATTCAAGAATGCAAAACTAAAAATGTTAAAGGCCTTTTTTTCGCAGAATTTTGCCTTATTCTCAGAACCGTATTGTAAGGCGAATATCATTCTCTAATACACACAGACTCTCATTTTGATCACTTTCCAGTTGTCTCATTATGCCAGAATGCCTCACATGCCATTTACAACTAAAAAAAACACCAAAACAACCCTGAAAAAAAGGCAATTGAAGGACTTACATCCCTACATCCCTGTATGTTGTCTAAAATTTCCTATAATTTTTCTGTCAAGGTTTACCCCAATCCTGGCAAAAGACGCCCGTCCACTGGAACGGACAGGCGCATGCATACGCAGTGGACAGCCATGGCGTGGAGTAGCAACTCCCACCGTTCATACACTGGTGGTTAACACAGCCATCATTGGAAGAATCTGCATCTAATGAAAAGGATGAAAAAGGTGTTTGTTTTTTTTTAAGTAACGAATAGACTCTTTGAAATCTACAGGGCGAGTCAGAATGAACTGGACCCAAGTTCACCATTTTTTTTGTGGCAAATAGAGCATATTGAGAAAAAATAAATGAATGGTTATTGCAGCGTGTGTTCTTTGCTAGCTTTTCTTTAAAATGGTACAGTGGATCAAGTTTTGTATTCGTGAAACTGAAAGACAAAAATTGTTTTTCCCTAAAAAAAATTCATTCCACAATTTTTATTGTGTTTCTTTAAAAATGTGTAGTAGACATTTCAAAGATTACAAATATCAATCAATCCAAAAAAAAAAAAAAAAAATCATCCCCATTTGGTTTTTGCATTTTTCTCCACTATTAAAAAGCCAGTAACATATCTCATTTCGTCAGAACGCCTCACAATTTTACATTCAGTCATGGGTATTCAATCACGTCTCGGAGATCGTCAAAACTTTAGTTTGACTATTGAAAACCTCTTAACCAAAACCACTAACATTCTCCAACCCTCTCTGATCTTCAAAATTTACAACAATTTGGCAGGATTAAGATACAAAGTCAGCGTTACTTTAAATGGAGCTTGATAACCATTAAAAGTTAAAGTTAAACAAAAAGCTGCTTCCTGCACAGTAGTTCCAAGACTTCACTCATAAAGATCGTGCACAAGTGAAGTAAGAGCCAAAATATTCACCGGCATTTCTAGACAAAAAGGAAAAAGCTTGAGATTGATATCACCATCGATCTCCATTAGTAAGACTGGATTGGACACAGCGACCTCCATCTTGTGCATGCATGCGTAGTCATATCACTGATCTCTATATAAAGACTGGATAGCTAATAAAGAGCCGCACAATGAATGAATTTGACGCCATATTGGTGAGACCGGTGAGACCGGCTGGTGATCTACAAAGGACAAGTTGCCGTCTTATATAGGCAGCATGATTTCTTTTGTAACGTCGCGGCGCAGTTCACTTGACTTATATTTTGACCATCACCACTGACCAAGGTTTACTACAATTTTTCTAACGTCGTGGTTACTTTGCTGCAGATCACTTTTTCGGTGTTTTTGAAATAATAATCACTACGGAAATGTGTCCCTTTTAGAACATCATAATATGTGTACGTGACCAAAATGCGCGTCAACTGTTGATACAACGCGCGCGTATTTACGCGTAGAACGCTCGTATTATACGCGGCCATCTTCGTGAGACTGGGGGCGAATTGGTCAATATGCAAAGTCTACTGTGTGAATGTTGTATGCATATCCGCTATCCAGTCTTTATATGGTAGTCATCAGTGTCGGAGGCCGTGAGGGTTTGAAAGTTCAAAATGCGTTCGTTTCACACACAGACCATGCAGCACGCACGTCACGCATGCGCGGTCTTAAACCCACACTGTACTACCCAGCTGTTTGTGTCTGCGTTTTCCGAATCTTCAATGCACACAAGTGACGCGTGTCCAATCCAGTAAATGGAGACCAATGGATATCACCACTGATCTCTATATAAAGACTGGAAAGCTAATAAAGAGCCGCACAATGAATGAATTTGACGCCATATTGGTGAGACCAGCTGGTGATCTACAAAGGACAAGTTGCCGTTTTTATAGACAGCACGATTTCTTTTGTAACGTCGCGGTTCACTTGACTTATATTTTGACCACCACCACTGACCAAGGTTAACTACAATTTTTCTAACGTCGTGGTTACTAAAATGCCGCAAATACCACTTTTTCGGCGTTTTGAAATAATAATCACTATGGAAATGTGTCCCTTTTAGAACATCATAATATGTGTACGTTACCAAAATGCGCGTCAACTGTTGATACAACGCGCGCGTATTTACGCGTAGAACGTTCGTATTATACGCGGCCATCTTCGTGAGACTGGGGGCGAATTGGTCAATATGCAAAGTCTACTGTGTGAATGTTGTATGCATATCCGCTATCCAGTCTTTATATAGAGATCAGTGGATATCACCCATGAATAGTCTGGTCTTCGTACCTATTTCGCAGTACTGGCCAGAGTATTGGTCCGGGCATAGACAGTAGGTGAAGCCAGACACACTTTGACACGTTCCTCCGTTCTGGCAAACATTGCTCGGGCAGCTGTAATCTAACAAAAAACAAAAGTCAAAAATAAAAAAAATTATTCACCAAGACTTTCATGGTGTTTGTGGAGTGAACAGATAATGGCTAGATATTTTTAGCAAGCTTGGGTGATTAGAACTATGTCTTCCAACAATGTCATTCTAGTGTCAGACTCGAAGCACAATTGAACATTTGTACACAAAAACTAGACTAACATTTTCTGCGTGTTACATTTCTTGCTAAATCTCGTCAGTTGCCATCATTTCATACATTTATTTTCATGTTGATACCAAGTTACTAACACTTTTTTTTATTCAATAATAGGTTTTTGTCCTTCATCAACATATAAACACTGTACATGTGTACTCGAAGTGTTACCTCCCGAGTGAAAGTTGAAAAAAAATCACTCAGGTGGGACTCGAACCCACAACCCCCCGCTTTCTAGTGCAGACATCTTACCACTCGATCACCAAGCTTTTTCATCCATTTCCAAGTTTTTCTATACTACATGTATAATTCTTAAATAGTAAAAATTGTGTGTGTGTGTGGGGGGGGGGGGCAGAAACATGGATAACATACCTGCAAAAAACTCTACTTCACAATTTAAGTGCAATCCACCTGAAATTATAATACAAACCGCAAGAACTTTATCCTGAGCAAAAATGAGTTGAAAACAGTCCCTGTGATTTCTACTTTCTTACCCATCTCACAGTACGGGCCCGAGTATGGCATTGGGCAGAGACAATACATCATGTTAGTTGAGATGTCCCTGTAACATGTCCCTCCATTCTGGCATCTATCGATACTGCAACTATAGTCTGACAGAACAAAAATTAATACAAAACAGAAAGCAATCAATATTACGATCTTCATTACAAACAAGTGCAGGGCAACGGACTATTCAGAAAACAGTTGGTGGTGCTACTTACCCTGTATACTCATAAGAGCTAATGTTGTGCAAACCCGACTCAAAACCGATCCGACCCCGCACCGACTTCGGATCGGGTCGGTTTGTCCATCATTTCACTTGGGTTGGGTCAGTTTCGGTTTTGTGTTACAGCTTGCAATTTTTGGGTCGGGAAAAAACCTGAATTAAACCAAAATAAACCGAAACAGATCGAAAATTCAGAGGGTGCAATATTTATTGCAGAGTCACTGTGCCCGGTATGACAAAGACTTAATTGGGGTCTATTACACACAGTCTATAACATGTACGTATGAGTACCGTGCGGAATGATTCAGGTGCTGACATGAGAGAGATGACGATTTTCACGTAACGCAACTTAGTTCAGGTAAAAAATGCGGACACAGTTGCCCAAACCAGATGTTCGGTTTTTGTCGGGTTGGATCCGTTTTCCTTGATTTTTTGTCAGGTCAGGTCAGGTCGGGTCAGGTCAGGTCAGGTCGGGTCGGGTCAGGTCGGTTTTAGGGAGTTTAGATCGGTTTCGGTTCAGAATCGGTAGGCCTATATATCTATAATTTTTGGGTCATGCATGGCCTGGTCAAGCCGACCCGATGCACAACAATAAGAGCCACTGTGCATGACACGATGTGTGCAGGCGCGGTTCTAGAACCAATATTTGGGGGGGGCTAGCAGGGTGGATCCAGAATTTTTTTCAGGGAGGCGTGCTGAAATGTAGACTGGTTATTTTTTCCAGACACTTAGGCCTCCGAAAATCAAGAGGTGGGGGGGGGGGGGGGGGAGGCCTCATGCCATATTTTCAATGTGAACGCCAATAAAATCCTAAAATCATTGAAACTATATTAACTAATACACCCTTGTCACAACTTTTTTAGGGAGACCGTTCGCATGTACATCACAATCCTTCTTTTTGCTAATGCAATTTTTTTTTTACAGAATTTATTTTTTGGGGGGGCTAGACAAAATTTTGGGGGGCTAAAGCCCCCCCCCCCAGCCCCCCCGTAGAACCGCGCCTGGATGTGTGTACATATTGGTTTGTGTTGCAAATGAACAATTTTTTTACGAGTGTGCACGGACTAGTGGTGGGATTTAAATCCGAATTTTGTATCAATCGGTTTGCATTCCACTATTCGGTTTTTGCTTTTAGAAACCAGATACATGAAACGGAAACCAACCTTGAAAAAAAATTAAGGCTTCTATTTGTTTGTGACACAGGTTATTAAAAAACAACTGGAATATCATGTAAATTTGCTCCATGGTCTCTGATTGTAACTGCATTCACATGTTTTGCTAGTGGTCTTTTGGTATATGTATAGCCTGCCCATTCGACTTATCATCAGAGATTTGCCATCCATTTTCTCGATCCCACCACTCGCACCGACCCATAGCCTCTTTGCAAAGGAATGATAAACATGATAAACTAAAGGTCAGACGATTTCAGTGGTTATATATATAGAGTGCTTTATACAAATGTATCAAAATGCTTCACAACTATTACCCCCTCTCATCAGGCCATGAGGCCAATTTTCTGCCGCAGATAGAGATCAGTGGCATCTGGTCTGTACCCAATTGAAGTAAAGTATCTTGCCCAAGAACACAAGTACCTTGTGCCATCAGGGCTCGAACCCACATACCATGGTATGCATGAGTCGAACACCGTAACCACTGGACCACAGCGCTCTACTCTCCCAGTTTTTCAGCAGGCTTACCTGTGTCCTGACAGTAGTCCCCAGTCCAGCCAGGCACACACACACATGCATACCCAGCGTCTTCTCTTGCTGTTGTGTAGCAACGTCCACCGTTCATGCATTGGTGGTTAGCGCAAGCCCCACTGGACACAACTGTATCATTATAAACTGCAGGAAGATACAAATTACCATCATAAATTAGTACCATATATATCAAATATTGGAAGCCCTTTACGTGACAAAATTGCACAAAACTTGGTAAGATTGCTTTACTTGACTCATTTTCTTGCTTTTGAGAAGAAAAAAGATAATAAAAGAAATCATAGTGCTTAAGAGTGCTGAAGGAGTTACAATCCATTGATCACAAGTCCAACACAAGTCCATCATACCGGTATCTCAATCAGGTGCGTCAATCGCTTCTCAAAAGTGGGGGGGGGGGACATACCTTGATCAGAAGTAATGCGAGTGCCCGCTAATAAGGGGCCCGCTAAAGGGCCCTGAAAAAATTCTGATTCTAGATGCTCATGTGGTGTGATCTGAGGCAATTTCTGACCACTTTAACCAATATATTCTGAGCAAAAGATAATGATTTAAACATCATTTTCGAGGTTGAAGTCATTGAATAAGCTATTATATTCTTAGCTAAAGCCTGGGGTTCAGGGCCCGCTTAAGGGCCCCGAACAAATTTGGATTCTAGAATGTGGTGTGATCTGAGGCAATTTCTGACCACTTTAACCAATATTTTATTAGCAAAAGATACATTGTACTGTAGTACATAATAGGGCCCTGTAAATGAGGCACGAGTTCAAAAATCTGGGGGGGGGGGACGGACATTTGATATTGTGTCCCCCACCCTTCAAAAAGTGGGGGGGGGGGGACATGTCTCCCTGTCCCCCACCCCAGGATTGACGCCCATGATCTCAATCACTAGTCTATCACATGTTCATCAAAAGTCCACCAAATGTTCATCACAATTTGTCATCACAAGTCCATCACAAGTCCATCACAAGTCCATCACAAGTCCATCACAAGTCCATCACAAGTCAACCACAAGTCCATCATAACTCAATCACTTGTCTATCACACGTTCATCACAAGTCATGACAAGTCCATCACAAGTCATGACAAGTCCATCACAAGTCATCACAAGTCCATCACAACTTCCATCACAAGTCAATCACAAGTCCATCACAAGTCAACCACTAGTCCAACACAAGTCCATCACAAGTTCATCACAAGTCCATCGCAATTCCATCACAAGTCCATCACAAGTCCATCACAAGTCCATCACAAATCATCACAAGTCCATTCAAAAATCCATCACAAGTCATCACAAGTCCATCAGAAGTCATCACAGGTCATTACAAATCCATCACAATTCATCACAAGTCCATCACAGGTCCGTCACAAGTCATCACAACTCCATCACAAGTCCATCAAAAGTCCATCACAGGTCGAGAAAAGTCGGTCACAAGTCCATCTTAAGTCCATCACCAAGTCCATTCGATGTTCTCACAAGTCATCACAAGCTACATTTAAAGGAACTGTGACAAAGGCAGTCCTTTGTTAATGTTTATCTCCTGGTTACGCGGAAAATGATCTTTTTACCAGACTTATGAATTGAGTCACTTGTGAAAACTGACTTGTGATGTACAACACTGAACGAAGATGTCTTACCGGTTTCGCAGTACTCGCCCGTAAACTGATTTGGGCAGTCGCAATAGAAGTAACCAGACGAGGTCTCCGTACATGACCCGCCATTGCGGCATCCATTGGACATGCAACTACTGCTTACTGGAACAAACACAAATGGTGGAAGTGTTTTGGGTGCTTTAATTTCATTGGGCCTAAATGTTATCAAGTTTTTCAAAACAATTGTTGGCTCAAAGATGTAGCCATTCTTGCACACACGTATACTGCACTGAAGTCTATGGAATCCCCGGCATGCACAGCAAAGGGTCTATGATACATGTGAGCACGTCTTTGATTTCGTTGGTATGCCCCACTAAAATACTGTACGCGTGTGGCAAACTGTTCTCTCTTGAAATCTTGATGACTGAACACGCCCCTTGAATTTGCGGAATAAGGCTTACAACCACAAATCGGATCCTTTGGGAGACACCTTAGCGTCATAATTCATACCTCTGGGAGACATTTCAATGTCTCAGTAATGCCTCAGCTCCTATTTAGAGGCAAAAAGGCTAGATTGATTGCTCGTGGTCAAGTTAGTAAAATAACCAAATTTTGTGGGTGAAGGATAAGGTAAAATTTGGGTAAAAGTCATTAAAGTTAGAAGAAAAAAAATGCACAAGCCTTTGGGTAACTACTAGTATTTAGCAGTCATGAAATTGAGCCCCAGAGTATGGGTCCTATATAGTGCTTAGCTTACCACTGCTATCACAATGGTCACCAGTCCAAGGATGTGAACACACACAAACGTATGCTTCAGCTGACCAAGAAGTTGGGTAGCAAGACCCACCATTCTCACACGCTCCGGCTTCACAGACATCTTTGGAATCGATGGAAAGGAAAGAAATGATGCTTTTAGTGCTAACACAATGGATATGCGCAATTGGGTGATCGAGCCATGTACATGCTTACGCTCATTATATTGTTTGTGCAAACTTAACATGTGACACTGTAACTTATTTTGCAAGTCTATCTAGACCCACTAATTTGGGCGCTCCTTTTTTGACATTTGGGATTTTGGTCTGTCGTACTGGAGACCAAAATCCCAAATGTCAAAAAAGGAGCGCCCTATAGGTGGGTCTACATGTAGGCTAGTCATGCATTGCACAAACCGTTGCATAAATAGTCCTTCGGAAGATTTTTCGAGTTCCAACTTGGAGCACTTGTCCTCATGCATGTAATGGTTCTACCAATAGTGTCAAGCACAGAACTTGGTCGATCTGAAAACATGGCCTGTGATTGGTCGATTTTTAAAGAGGCGTGGCTCAATTGACCTATCGCGGTTTGCGAGTTAGCCACGCCCCTAAGACAACCCTATGGAATTTTTGCACGCTAAGTTTTGTTTGTCTCAGATGTTGCGCGTTCCGTGTCCAATTGTATATCATGTCTAATTGGACAATATTTCACAAGCTGCGTTGACGCGATTCTAAGGCGATTCTACTGCGATAGGTCAATTGATCCGTCTATTGCACAAGGTAGTGACAGTGTAGTGAGTACACATAATATTAATAAATACTATTAAATGTTAATAATACCAGTTGACAAGAGCCCAATATGGAGTGTCATGGCCTAGCGGTTAAGAACACCGGACTCATGTTCTGGTGTTTCAGAGGCAACAGTGGCGTGGGTTCGAGCCAGTGGCGTGGGTCCCGTGTGTTGTGTAATGCACGTTAAAGAACCCAGTACACTTATCGCTAAGAGAAGGGGTTCGCCCCGGTGTTTCTGGCTAGTGCGATTATCTTCAGCCATGAAGTCTGCACTGCAGGAAGGAAGGAAGGAATTTGCCTGAACTTTGCATGATCAGGATATTCCTTTAAAAAAATTCTTCCAGGAGTAGCTAGGGGCCTAGCTTAACTCCATGCAGCTCTAATGCTAATGCGATAAGCATTAGAGCTGGAGTTACTCTAGCCCGACTGCGTCTGGCCGTACAGTACTATCGCAAACTCGTACTACAGAGCTTGCGATAGTACTGTACGGCCAGACGCAGTCGGGCTAGAGTTACTCAAGCTGCTCCAGGAGAACAGACACATTCCGCGCCCCAAAACTGACCATGACAAAGGAACAACACTGTCATTGAATTTCGTGCCCAAATTCAGGTCACAACTTTTTTAGGCCCTACTTTAAAAATAAAATCAATGAATTTTGAACCGATGATCAGCCTAAATATTAATGTTTCAAACCATGATAAGACCAACAAAGACGAAATACTAACATGAATGTATTTTGATACTCTCCCTTCGTCCTAAAACACGAAATTGTACCATGCATAGAGCAAGCTAGTAACAAGAAGTACATAAACACGATAAATATCGCGCGGAAAATAACAAGAAAAAACAACGCCCTCTATCTTAATCCTGCCGGTTTAGCGCCAATGGCGCCTCTACTCCACAACGGTTTCGACGCACGTGTTTTTAGTCGATTTTTATACTGATAACGCGACTGCAATTCACAACAGATAAACAACGTTCTTGGACTCCATGTCTTCTAAATTGTCTAATTAAATGATATCCTACCGTACCGTGCTCGCAAAAGTCACCGTAGTATGAGTCTGGACACAGACAGAAGGTGTTGCCGCCGTAGACGTTACACGTCCCTCCGTTCAGACATGGATTAACATCGCAATGATCGCCTGAAAACACGGGATACATAGAGACAGAATGAAACACGACTGCTATACACTTAAAACCCGTCTTCAATTTGAAAAACAAAATCTACAAAATTCTAACAACCAACAAAACATCATGAAAATCCCGCGAACATTTTCACCATCAGACAGAAGGAAAGAAACTAGTCTGAACTGGCTAGTACTCAAGGATCAGACGAAGTTGGAAGAAAAAAATACACCTATGGAATGGACTTGATAAAAAATCATGTGCAGGCAGATGTATGTATTGGATTTTGCCCTCGTTGCCTGCAGAGTTCAACATTACGTCCAGGGCACTGGGGAGTGAATATCCGTACTCCCCCCCCCCCCCCCCAAAAAAAATAATACATATAATTGATCTTTACAAGGACTATATAAATAAAGTATAAAAATACCAATATGCTGTGCCAAATATCATTACTGAAACATACTCGAACGCACCCAGTCACGAATTTCTATACGCCCGAGGACAATGCTTTGTCCTTCGTCCAAGTGATATCATCCCATATGTAGATTAATCACATAACCGGATCGAGGACTGGGCCGTTTTCAAAACAAAACAAAAACAAACAAAAAACGCTCGAGGACTAAAACGATCTTCTGTTTTCCCTTTGTGTGTCTGTGCCTCGATCTATCTGAAAGCCATGCATTGTACACATTTCCCCACGTAACAATGCAGTGAGCGTGGCATGAGCTTTTAACGAATCGTGACACGGTTGTGGCAATCATTCACAAGGACACACTATAATCCAGGTAAAGTATTTGTTTGGTTTTCCCTTATGCAACAGACGTGGACGCCGACTTGATATAACCGTCCATATCAATTCATTATTTTGGTGCGCATGATCAACTTCTTTGCCTGTTTGAGGCCTGCCAATTGCCGACCAAGCTTGCTAATGACACTCATATACCGTTGATTATTATTCAGTTTCATTGAGAATTATTGCATGCTTCAGAATTACACATAAATACGTGCGCTTTCCCACTCAAGCGTACTTATTATGGCAGGGATACCAGGGTAGAACAGTTACACAAACACAACTGTTGATTTTACACAAGGGTTTTTGCTAAGGCCAAAAAAAAAGTCTCCGGTGCCCGACTAAACTTAGTGCAAATAATTATATGGGAGTCCAGAGAGGCCACATAAAGCTTATTCTCGATCATAACCCCATCTAAAAACACGTTAAAATTGTGCAGCAGCAGGATTCCAGTCAAACCAGTGAGTTTGGCGGTTTTGAGACATCATCTTTTATTGAAAAAAAAACTTTTTCATTTTGCCGACGCGCATGGCTACGGCGACGCGCGCGCATACCAAAAACCGGAGACTTTTTTTTTTTGGCCTAATGGAGCCTTTTTTTGCTTCGTCTGAATATATAGGGCCCACTGTTCATACGTAGAGCTAAAACCCAGCCCTATGTTACGGAAATAACTTTATGGGAAAGTCGTAAACATTATTTTTCTCATACGACCGATCTGAACTATGAACTATGCATTCCTTATTCCTTTAAAAGGGCTTTGTTTCGTTGAGTAAGTTTACATGAACAAAATTTGGACAATTACGACCTGGAATGTGCCCAATTGGGCTAAACGAAATTATATTAATTGGAAGAAGAATATAAACGTCCACACAACCAGCTTCTAAAAAACTAGACGTTTTTGTGTTATTTTTTTGCGAGAACGAATTTCGTGGGGTCAAAAAAAAATTTCCGAAAAAATCAAGCTGTTGAGTGCTAGTTGTGAATCCTGCCGCCCCGTGGTTCGCATTCAACAACATTTTGTGGTGCTGTGTGTATATATGACACACACAACGCGTACAGTTCATTGAATATGGCTTGAAATACTATGCTTATTCCACAAAAATATGTCTGCCGCGTTTTCGTCTTTTCTCGGGAACGGCAAGACATTAGGTTAGTTTCCTTTCAACCAGTATACAATCCAAAACATGAAATTCTCGGGAATTTCAGCTAGGCTGTAATTCCCCTTTAATATTAAAGTTTTACCGTCACAAAATGCCTCGTCGTAGCCGTCACTGCAGTCGTCCTGGCCGTCGCAGATCCAGTAGAGTGGTATGCAGGAGTCATCGTGAGGACACTCAACCACTTCCACGTAGTCTTGGTCGCAGAGATCTGTTTTAAAATGCAATATAGATTAAATTTTTCCGGTCGTTATTGTTGATTGTGACGCCAGTCCAACCCCCCCCCCCCACCCCCCGCCTGAAAAATTTGGACTATATCCATCCCATCTAATTAAATTTCTGCATCCATTGCAACTGATTGTGCTCGATGCAGAGTGGAAGTCCGCAGGTACAGCGGTTTATCAACAAATGAACTTTCATGATATTATACAGGGTGAGTCAAAAAGACAGTGACCTGAATGATGATTTCTGTTCTAACAAAATAATATGCTTTGATACACCAATGAAGTACATGCACGTTCGTCCACTCATCTGACGACAAATTACTGAAATTGATGCATGCTATCAGAAGTTACGCATGTTTTACTGAAATAACCAATTTTGATAGCTATCCATGGAATGCCTTTGGAAACTATTGAGCTGAGTGAGAATTATAGATTGCACACAGGCAGTCAAATACAAATGAAATTTTAATCATTTGAGTCAAGACTAAAACGTTATTTTTATACTGTCGGATTTTGTGTTTTGAATATAAGGAACATTACGTCACTCTCTTCATTTCTGAAACAGGTGGTGATTTTTGTCTGTTTTCCTTTGCAAGTTTTCGTCCATATTTCATTGTATGTAATGGGTGTTCATCAATTCGTAGTAATGATCAGTGGTGGATAGCTGAATTTTGTGATCTTTTTATTGAAATAGATAGACATTGGGAATAGAGTACGTAAGAAAAAGAACATGTACTTTCACAGTTACTAGGCAATAATACATGCACTTTTATCCCTGTGTTATTAATATGAAATGAGGCGAACCATACATTTGGTAAAGTGGTGTGTTTTTTCTAATTCGGTAACTTTCTTTTTGACTCACCCTGTGTGGGAGCCCTGTTGGGTCTATCTTTTTGTCTCCAACTTACCGTCATAAGGAGAACCAGAACCGTCCCCCGAACTCGGCCAATCAGTAGTGTCACCGCTGCCGTGACCCGATGCTTTACATCCACACATCCACACTAGGTATCCACACGTAACAAACACCAGCACAGTCCTTAAAAACATGCTGAATCGGTGGACGGTTAAGTTGCTTTTTTAGTGCTACAGCAACAAAAACGTACATGTACAGGTCAACTCCTCGTTAGTTGTCACAGATACTTCTAAACCACTTTGAATACAGCCCTACACTTAAATTTAGGTATAAAAATACCCGAATTTTGATGACGTCATTTTGTTCAGTGCCGAAATTTGTAGGACAGGTTGATTCCAACAGGTTCAACAAATATTTATCCACAAGTGATTTCTTTTCCACTCCACCACGGAACACACAGATGCTTGGCTCCTGAACGCGTCAGTCGTCAGTCGATGCAGAGCCTCATGGCCAACTGAATATCTATACATCTCTTTCAGCCCAACATCCTCGTCTGTTGTTGATGAATTCTGAGTAGCAAACGTCATCAACTATAATATACACACTTTCGATTCAAGATCAGTTTCTGGACGAATTCATCTACAGGGGTTAAACGCAGAAACCCCATGCCATAAGCCTACATGTAAATGGTCACGTAGTGCACGGTAGTTTAATGGCAAACAGCTAACACACTTCAATGGTTTTTGTTGACAAACCCACTCGTGCATATCGACCGGCTCTTCACAAAAGTTTTGGGCCTGCTCTGCAGGGACAGAAACTTTTGTGGAGCGCTGCCGATTACGTAACAGTTAAGCTGAGCCCGAATAAGGACACAACTTTTGTGACAAAATTTGTTTGCAGCGGTCGTGCAAGGAAATGAGGACGGCTTCAAGTGCCGAGACGTCTCGATTGTGCAAATATGCATGGTATTTATGGGCGTCACCAGGATTTTTCTTGGGGGGGGGGGACAAAGCACATCCCCCTAGAAAAATTCCTGCACATTGAAATCTCGATAACTCAAAACCTGTAAACTAAAAACCTGTAAACTCAATTCCCTTCTTAAACTTATTCCCGTCAATTGTTGTTGAATAGAAAAATTGGATAACTCAAAACTCCCTTGAGGTTTGACTTTTCGTGATTCCACTTTCTCTTCTGGCATATTCTCAATTTATCTTCTTCTTTTTTCGAAGGTGGGCGGGGCACATTTACATTTACCCATCCCACCCCCGTCGACACCCCTACAGACGCCAACCCTTTTTGTTAAATGTGTATTATACTAACAGCAAATAGGGCCCCACACATTTGGTTTTTTCTTTTTTCCCTTTTTATTTGCTTTTTCGGGGGGGGGCAAGACAAGTACCCCTTGTCTCATCGTGGCAACGCCCATGATGATATTCAGTGGAGAGAAGATGTGTGAGCAGCACCGTGATGCCTTCATCGGAAGTAAACCAGGTTTTTTTTTCAATTTCAGATTTGCCCGAAACTGCTGTTACATAGCTGAAAGCCATGAAAACTTTATTTCACAATTCGCTGTTTGAAAGTGAGTTCAGTAACCTTTCTTTAAATTTGTCAACAGCCATTGTTACAGAGATAGAATGGAAGTCGTCGTATACGGCACGTACTACGCGTACGTACGGCCTCTATGTGGTGGCATTCAAACGTTAGCATCAGAGTATATAATAGTTGTAAACAAACTTACAAAAACCAACAAGGATACGATTCAACAGAATATGACTATCATCAGGCGGCGAATTCAATAGAAACCAAGCAAACCAAGCCAGGCAGAACCGGGGCCAACAAAATATGCAACCTTGCCACGGTGCAGCACCTATTCTTCCATCCCAATCATTTTATTACCAACTGGCCTGCCGTACTTGCCATCCACACGCCATCCAACTCGCCTAAACCAACCACCCCGGTCACGCGCAAGCCAACATCATAAGCCAAACAGCCAGCCCACACCATACTGGAATTTGTATCCCTGTGGAGACATTTCTTTGTTCTCGTGTACTCAAGTTTTCGAGTTTAAAAGTATAGTTTCAAAATGCTCCTATTTTAACCAGTATTAATTTCCTTGGCTGAAATTCGGACTTAATATCCCTTACATAAACCGCGGATCCTAGACACCAGAATAAACGACTCGGCCCAACTCCTGGTTAGACGCGTGAAAACGGCCCGTACTGGTGGCAAATACCATGAATACTTTTCAACAAAGACCACTGCGCGCGGTGGCTTTCAGATTTGCAAGGCTCTGGGCCTCGAAGTCTGTCAAGCCAGCGAATTATATTTTTGAATATTCAGTTTTGGTGTTTATTACTGAATTCTGATAAGTGATAACTACATAACCATGGTAATGCCGAGCACAATATCTTTAGCTTTAAGATGAACAATGAAATGTCGCTTTTGTTTCATCGGTTCGGCATCGCATCTCTCTAAAACTTTTTAATAAAAGCCTCATTAAAAACGAAATTTGGGTAAACGGTGTTCTCCTCGAAATTTGACGTTTATTTCCCGGTCAAATACTTCATCTATGACGATAAAAACTGCACAATACAATCTGTTATATCCTGAAGTATTTATTTCTTAAATAATTTGGAACAATTATATCAAGTAGTTTTGCTTACAGTTTTATGAATATTTCCATTTTAGATGTCATGCAAAACCCACACAATCATGGGCGTCGCCAGGATTTTTTCTAGAGGGGGGCAAAAAATTTTTTTGCCAAAAAATGCTTGTATTTTTCAACACATTCTCGATTTATCAGTTTTAGAGGGGGGCAGGGACATTTTGCCCCCCCCCCCCCCAACTCATTAAATTTACACCACTTTGTCTTCGCGCCTCTTTTTCTTTTTTCTTTTTTTTTTTTTTTTCTTCCTTTTTTTTTTTTTTTTTTTTTTTTTGCTTTTCCAGGGGGGGCAAGTGCCCCCCCTTGCCCCCCCCTCGCGACGCCCATGAACACAATGGCACATCTGGACAATTCGCGATTACGCGCCAGCGGGTATTAATGCCCGTTATCACGCGTCTAACCAATTAAGGCAAGTCCGCTCAGTGCATTTTGTACTGGAGCTCAGAACAGTCGTTTATCCACCTTGGAAATTTCTAGTTTGTTTTAGTAAAATCAAAATATCTATTTCGTGAAAATCTTGTGGAGCCGAAGACGTATAGAAATTGCCCTGTGGAAACGTATACAATATTTTGTTCCCTATATATTATACACGTCTCCAGAGGGTACCGTGTATCAGATCATGCCCGTACTCCCGCCAATAACTTCAAGCGTACCCCCCCCCCCCCCTTGAGCCAAAGCTCGATATCTAAATCTAAATCCCCGAATAGACCCAACACTTATAAACAGCTTTTTTGGGCTATCCTTGGCTTTGTATATGCATGTAATAAATGCATTTTTTTATGTATCCCTGTTTGTTTGTTTGTTCATATTTTGCCAAAATAAATAAATAAATAAAGACAGACAGACAAGGACGTCACGCTTTGTGTACAGGATGGCTTTCCTATGGGCGCCAAGGTTGGGACGAGATCCAATCATCAATGTAAACAAAGCGTGACGTGGTACGTCTTAGGTGTATTGTTCACGTATAAAAAGTTGCGAAGTGCTGAGATTGATTAATTTGTTAAATTGATATTCTTCTGTTGCCTTCCTTAGTTTTCAGCGATCAGACGCCATACAATAAAGTAAGATTCATTCATTTACCTCTAAAAATTTTGCATTTTTAATCATCTTTAATTTCGAGACCTGTGCTCCTTCAAATACCTAATACAGCGTAATAACATGCTTGGCTGATAAAACCGTAAACAGTGTTTTAATCAATTATGGCGAAAGCCTACAATTCTGAATACAAGCGTCCTTTAATTTCATTATATGCTGTTAATAAGTATCAAGGACAATACAAAAACAGTTCCACTATTTCAAACTGTTCTGAGTATAAAAATATTTTCAAAACAATATTGAGAATTCTACTAATATAATTATGTTCTCATTCGTTAGGGAAAAAATATCAATTTACGAAATATAAATCTGTACATGCCAATAAAACAATTCACCGCAATAATCATAATAGGGCCTATCAGTCGCAATAAAATATACACTTGCATTTATAAGCATAATATAAAAATAATTGATTTTGTATAAAATAGTCAATTTCAGATATAATAAAAATATAGTGACTTTTTTCCCTCCAATTTTGTCGGTAAACCTGTTTTCACTGGATGATCACTAATTTTTCATTTCAGGCTGATGTATTTCCGGCTTTGTAATGCAAAATCTTGTAACAAAATTTTAGTTTTCGATTAATGATCCCTGTTTACTTTTTCCTGGTTTTGCAACACTGCTAACGTTGTTAGCATTGTGACTTAAAATGTGGTCCCTGGCTACATGACATTATACAGGCTTCTGGCTTCTGAGTAGCGCCCCTTCAACAAATACATTGACAAAATGGGGAACTGACGACACAGGACCTGATAGCTCAGTTGGCAGAGCACTGGAACGGCAATTCAGAGGTCCCAGGTTCAAACCCAACTCCAGTCATTTCTTGACTCAACATTATTTGTTATAATGCACCTGGTCAGTTTCCCTGTGGGGTTTATAAGATGTTTTGTATTCATGGTTAAAGGAGTAATTAAGAAAGCGGTACAAGTGTACAAAACTGGACCAGCAACCTCACAAACTTGTACCGACGAACCTGGCCTTATAAAAATACATAAAAATCCCTCATAAGCAAGCAAAATAAACACTAACGCAATAATTATATACAGATATCTAAATCCTTTAAACCATAATTCAACAATCAGCATATTGCTCTGTGCAAAAATCTGTGTAAAATACCATCTTCAAGTTAAGCTGCAAGTCTCTGAGTAAAAATCAACATGAGTAAATTCTTGTAAAAAACAAAACGGTACTAAAATCTTGCGTAAATACAAAAGTTGTAGCAAAACTAGGCTTCTAGCATTACCCACGCACATTTAAAAATCGCAATCATAAGTATTTTCCCTGCAACATGCAGATTTCCTGGCCTTTTCATTAAGATCTTGGTTATTTTACACATTTTGGGGTTCACTTTTTTTCTACCCTGTACCCATTACATATTTGACATACGATTCTGAAAATCTACGATACATTCCTCAAAGGCATATAGGATCATTTGCATTTATCCTAAAAGTAACCTACCAAATTATGATCAAAAAGCTTACTTGGATTAAAGACCGTACTGGTAGTCTGGTACAAAACAACCCGTGAAATGATTCCGTCTAGCTTGCTCTCATTTAGAAGGAATCAAGAAATGTATGTGATTTCCAACGATCAGTCAATTGACTGATTTTTGGAACAAAGAGTGTTATTGACAAAATCGTGTTTCCCAATCAAAAAGGTTGTGCTTGGCTTTTCACTCTTGTCTCGAAAAGCGTAATATCCACTGAGCTGAAACTTTAATAGGTTACGTTGTGAACGTTCTTCTTTGCATTTTGAGTGGTGTTATTATTGGAAATGAACAAAATGCATGAAAAGCAAGTGATCGTATGTGCCTTTAATGATGGAATGTTCCAACAGTGATTACATGTATATAAAGCAAGCTATCCATCAAACCAATAAAACAAGTTTGTATGAAAAAGAAAAAATCATTTAACAATGTTGACTTAAACAACTTTTTAAGGATTGTCCAGTTTGTCTTTAGTTTGTATTTTACACTGTAGTGTATTGACGAGTGTTTTCTCCAATTATCCCGCACACAGAATATAAATCTTGAAAGATTTTACCTTATTTATTTTGATGGGTGTATAATTCATACTGCCTAGTAACCCAATGGTCCCTGTTCCATGCAAAACTGAATTGTCTGTTACCTTGCTTTAAACCACATGGATTAATCAGTGAATAAACACAATGTAGTACAATGTAATACAATGTAATACAATGTAATACAATGTAATACAATGTAATACAATGTAGTACAGGTGCTAATGGATACATTTCCTGTATACACCACAATGGTCATTTGTTTTCTTCACAGAATGACCCCCTGTCTTACGGTGCATTTTGTTCGCGCAGGGTAAGGTAACCACCTTCATCTATATCAGCCGAGGTCGGACGACTGGTGTAGGAGGGTGGCCGATCAGGCTGGTACCCCGCGTTGGAGTAGCCTGTATCCTGTTCCTGAGGTGCCTTGGCACCATGCCCAGGCAGATCGTAGGGGTTCTCCAGTGAGACCGGCTGTTGCTTCTCCGGTTTGAGTCCATCGCCTCCAACAGCGCCCCCTGTTGGCAACCCAGTGACAGTGTTGTCGTTGGCGTTGTAATACGCCATACCGCCGCCAGCCTGGTTCTGGGAGCCTGGGATGGAGAAACGGGTGTTGTAGAGAGGGGTGGGGGCGGGGACCCCTGTGCCGGCTTGAGGATTATCGGCGGTGCGTGGTCTGGTAAAAAAAAATGATAAAAATAATTAACAAATTTATGCTATTGTCAATTCAATCCTTAGAGTCCTGAATTGCATTTTTTCATGTTGTGTGAATGAATACTCACAATTTTGTCAGATGTGCAGGAAAGTTGCAATTCATGTACTCCCCCCCCCCCCCTCCCTTTTTTAAAAATGTTTTGCTCCTCCACCCCTGGTGTTGAATTCACACAACAAATTTTAGTATTAAATAAATCACATGCACATACAACATGCAGAACTATACAGGCATACAGGGATATGGTTTCGGCAAAGAAGAGTCCCTCGTGTGCAAAGGTGTCCAACCCCCCCCCCCCCCCTTTCCTCTCTGCCCCCCCCCCCCCCCCCCCAACCAAAAAATGGCCAAATTATTTTAATCTGTGCCCTTACATTTTGTCAAGTTTTTGCAAGTGCTGTTCAAAGTCAGCTTAAAGGGAATATACAACATTTGCTTTTGCTGTAATTTTCAAAAATGGATGGATTTGGGGGTTATTTTTAAAGCAAATATTGTTACACTGATTTTTTTTAAGTTTTGTGTTCGTAGATGCTAGAAAAATCAAGAAAAACAATCATGGTTCCCGGAGCACACTTAAATTAAAATGGGGCAATTTGTAGACGTAGGGGAATTGTAAGGTCAGGGAACCAGTCTAGAAGGCTAGTACCCGTTCAAACATGTAGATGTGTAATCGATTGCAAACAAAATTCAGGTTAACTAGTACCAATTTTCTTCAAAATAACAGCACACCAGGTGCCATGATTTTACAGGATGCTTTAGACTGTCATTCACTAACAGTCCAGTAAGGTATTTCATAATAATTTGCTAGTTTTTTTTTTTTTGATATTTGCAAATGTTGTAGATGCCCTTTACGTTACCCATAGTGAAGTAATGCCCAAATTTTGAAATCCGATACACTGGTTCAGAGAAAAAGGGAAATATTAAATTAAAGCAGAGAGGAGAGTACCTTCGCTTGTGGACTGTCCGGTAGATGAGGGCGAGCAGGATGATGATGATCACTATGGCAACAAGGCCCATAGCTGCCCCGCCAACAATCAGTCCAACTGATGCGGGTTTGTCCCCTGTTTGTGCATCTGGAAAAAAAAGGGTTACAACAAAAATGTATTTTTTTACTGTCTCACATGCATGCGGAGTAATTTGGGAACAACTTACAGTGTTTTAAATTAAGAAAAGTTGGTGTTCTTTTTGTTTTTCTGTATGGATGCTCTTGACAGATAATGAGGTCATGAGTGCAGTCAATGGGGTCTCGGTCTTTTTTTTTTTTTTGGTCAATTTCGTTGAGGTAAAAATTCTCTTTTGTTTTATCCCTGTAATAATTTAACAAAACTTTGTGTTCTCCTCGAGCCTTGAATATCAATGGGTCTTCTTAGCTGGAAATGTAAGTAAATGTAAGTAAAGTAAATTGCAAACTTTGTTCAACGACATATCTTTGCAATTCACACTCACAGTTTAATGGAATGATAATCTCTATATACATTTCTCGTGAAATACATATGGCATTGAACATCGATATGAAAAGTGGTTTTTTTTATTTAAAGTACTTACTTGGATCAATCTTGTTATCTGGGGAAAAAAATAAAAAAGAAGTGGAATCATAAAATGACATTCTTTTACAAAGCTTTAAAAATATCTTACTGAGCCAAATTTAACACAAAAATCTTTACTGTGCGTCAAGTTTGCTTGAAAATAAAATCATTCTCCCACTTGCGCCTGTGGAACACGGAAAATGGAGTGCGTCTGTGCCCAAACACAAACATGTAACATTATTTCGTGTTCCACTCGTGCCCGTGCGTGGGATAACAAATAATAGTTTTGTCAGAATGATTTGTACCCTTAATCATCCACGAGAGACATTCATGTTGGAATTTCAGCTTGGCATTCCATGAGAAACAAATGATAAGAAATTCGTTGGAGATGGGTAAAAATGAAGTTTCCTTACGACCTTTTACATCCGGATTTTCGTATCTAGGGCTCCTTGTTTGATCAAGTTTGTTTTCATATTGCGTACTTGCGTGAGAACAAATATGATAACGATGCGAACAATTACCTACCTACATCCAATGGCTTCTAGATTTAGTCGGCCTTGCTATGCCGTTCTTATCAACGGTCATTTTAGATTTGTTTGTGAATGAGAATTAGTCCTTCAAGTTAATTTAAAAAAGGGTGTGTCCTAAAAGACATTTTAGTCTCTTATTACAGATTTTACCCAATGATAGCCACAAAATTATTTCATAAATTTTCATCTTTGTACGAGTGCTCCGAGTTCCACTTGTCCACATGTATTTTAGATTTTCGGAAGTGAGAGGTCAACTTTTGGCATGATAAATCCCTTTTACGTCATGCGATTTTTCAGTTTCCATAAATTGAGATCCTAGTAACATTTACAAAGGTGTTTTCCGAGGATGATTTTCTTAATAAATCCACGGGTCACAGTTTTTCAAACGTTATGGTTTACTTCATGAATGCCATAGTTCACTTTCTGCAACGTTTGAAAATATAATCATGACGGAAACTTGTCCGTTACAGAACATTATATTACGTGCATGTACGTGATCAAAATGCGCGTCAATTCTTGATACAGCCCGCACTTTATGCATGCATAGAACATTCATATATTGGTGGCCATTTCCGGAAGATCGTTGGCAAACTGGTCAAAAGGTGACTGCTCTATGTTCCGACACCCCTATGTTCCGACAAACTAGATTGTGTTACTCCCGGTTAGGGTTAGGGTTAGGAATAGGAATATGTGCAGTCGGAACATAGGGGTGTCGGAACATAGAGGTGTAACCGGACAAAATACAAATTCAACTGTGTGACTGGTGTATGGGCATCTGCTATCCAGTCTTAATATAGAGTGCAATAATTATATTGTCTGTGGACAAAATGCGGCGGCGGCCATTTTCTGCGGTGGCACCAGGCTCGCGTGAGTCGCGCTCAGGTACTACTCCGGGCTCCTTCGACCAATAGGAATACCAAAATGCGTGTGCGCCTCGTCATTCAAAACGCGTGCACCATGCGCGTGAGCGTGACACCACCGCAGTAAAAGCTTCTAATTCTGGTCGCCGGATTCCACTATGGAATGACCTCCATGACTGACCTTCCTTGTTGCAGAAGTCTCCGCTCCAGCCGTTATTACATACACAGACTGCTTTACCGTTGGTATTGGTTTTACATGCCCCGTGACTGCCGCACATATCATTCGCAGCACAGCCAATTGCTAAAAAAAAAATCAAAATCCAGTTGGTATGTAAAACAATGGTGATATTAATTGCATTTTTGGAATGTCCACGCAACCCCTGGGAAAGGCAAGTTTTAAAAGCTGGCAAATTTGTCTGCACCAAAATCCTTCAAGCCCCAGTACGGTCAGAGGTACACAGAATCATGTGCATGTTTATTTTCCGTTTGAAGCAACAAAGCTTCTCAAAACCTTAAGTAGGCTGTATAACAATTAACCCTCCTGCTATTTAAGCAGTCACAGACAGTCAAAATTCACTTCCACTTCCCCTGCTATACTTTTAACAAAGGTTAGTCACCAGCAGTCAGATCATATGTCAAGCAAGCACTGTGACGAGTCAAACTCAGTCAACAGACAAAGCAGGCAAGTTGTAGTCACAGCTGTTTTACCACTCACTCGGAATCAAAGCATAGCTGTATCAAGCTACTTAAACAGTCCCGGCCAGTCAATCCTGCTTTAACGTATAGGCTTGGAATTCTTAACTGTTGAAAACAGTCACTTGTTTGATTTTGGATTGGAGGGTTAACCTGTTCAACTTGAAGCTCAGTCGCCAGTGTATATTTTGAGCAATTTTTTTTTTTGCGTCTTGCAATTGGATTCCGTTGCTAGCACATGTAAAAAGAAAGTGCCTGCAGGCACACTTATTTCAATGATTGTTTTCTTCTGAACGATACCATTTCAGGTGGAAAACTTTTACAGGGTATTTGGTACCAGTCCTATCTTCACTTGACTGGGGGTTTGAACCTGCAACATTCAGCTTAACGTTCCGGTGCTCTACCAGCTATCCAGGCCAATGTTGGCGGTTCAAAATATGAGGGTTTGTGGCTTTATAGGCCTACAGGGCCCTTGAATAAAGACATTGACAATTTGGAAAAATGCCAACATAATCCACGATATAGTAAGGCACGATAAAATAGCACAGCGATATATTATAGGTCAAACATGTCAACACACACGTTTGTTTTACATACGCTTATGTGGACATTCCTTTGTTTTCGAGTAGTTAAGAAAACTCGGTACAAAAAATAACTTTACTTACACTGTGAAAACTCTTTCAACCCATTTTTTTTCCCTATGATTCCCTATAGTGTTTCTCTTCATTTTGCTACAAATAAACCTTACCCAAAAATGCCTGTTTTCCAGAGAGGGTGAAACGTTATGTGCACATCCACGGCTTAGTCCACATAACGTCAACACAACCTGCATTATGTGGACATCTTTTGTTCACAAGTCCACACAGTGAATGTAATGCCTACCCATGACTGACTACATACGTTGCAGATTACAGATCGTGATTTATCCGGCCTCAAAATGAACATAACATTCTCACAAAAAGATCACATTATACACCAAAGTACTCACAGGGACACATCTATAATACTACCCCAACTGATATAAATTTGGAGCACGGCCGGATCCATGCTCACTACAAAATATAGGGAGAATATATGCCCAAAATTTGTGGTGGTATTCCCTGTTCAAGTCCCACAGAAAAAAACAAGTCAACTTGTTACCATTCGTCTTTGCGCGGGGAGCACAAAAGTCATGATATGCAAATCGCTTGCAAAACTTTTGGATTACAACAGAGGGCGCACTTGGTCTCCCTATATTTACAGCATCATTAAACTTAGGCCAAAAAAAAAAGTCTCCGGTTTCTGGTATGGAGCTTGTCCAAAAAGTGGTGCGGCGACGCGGCTTTTTTTTTTTTTTACCTGACTTTTTTGCTTCAAATGTCGACTGATGACTGCAAATGGTGCCCGACTAAACTTAGTGCAAATATATGCGAGTCCAGAGAGGCCACATAAAGCTTATTCTCGACCATAACCCAATCTAAAAACACGTTAAAATTGTGCAGCAGCAGGATTCCAGTCATACCAGCGAGTTTTGCGGTTTTGAGACATCATCTTTCATTGAAAAAAAAACTGTTCAGTCATTTTGCCGACGCGCATGGCTACGGCGACACGCGCGCATACCAGAAACCGGAGACTTTTTTTTTTTGGCCTTATCCAAACAAGGAACAAATAAACTGCTGAAGAATCACCCCAAAAAGTACTTTGAGTGTACAAGATCAAGATAGACTACTCAAACTGTCTATTGTCATGTAACACACACCTGTTTCACATCGTGTTCCAGAGTAGCCTGCAGGGCATTCACACACAGCTCGGCCATACCCAATGTTATTGCATGTTCCACCATTCAAACAATTTTTGTTGGCACAGACCGAATCTAGCAGGAGACAGGAAATTACAAAGAACTAACTGGATCAATTGGATGACAAAAAATAAGACGGGAGGCGGGGGTTGGGGATAGGGGGAGACAGGTCTGAATACGCTTAAACAAATACAACTTTTTTTTCGCCGGACAAATTTTCCTTTTTTGTTTTATTTGAAAAACAAACAGACAATAAACATATTTCAATTTTCGGAACTACGAGGTGAGTCAGAATGAACTGGACCCAAGTTCACCATTTTTTGTGTGGCAAATAAAGTATATTGAGAAAGTGTTTCATATGAATGGTTATAAGCTTGTCTTCCACAGGAATTTTGAAATTTTCAAATTAGTGGCTGTGGTGAGCTATGCCATTTTAATTGAAGTGGCTCATTGTCGAGTCTGCGCACGGAATTGGTTTTGATTTTTTAAATGTGTCAATAAGTTCAAGTGAGTCAGTCACCATGACTAGGTTTTTATTTGTTATTACACTGCTTCACATCAGTATGCAATTTCAATAAATTTGTTTAACCATGGAAATAGGGTCAGAGTGTTTATAGCGTGTGTTCTTTGCTAGCACTTTTCTTCAAAATGGTACAATGAACATATTAAACTTTGTTCTCCCCAAAGTAATTCGTTAACCCCTCCCCCAGAAATTTGAACAGAAAATAAAAGACGACAAAATAAGTTTTAATATGATACGTGTCTAAGACGCCTTGGAGAGTGCGAGTATTTTTCCTGAATTTCGGAAGTGGGCGTGAAATTCCTCAATTTCCAACCAAGTAATAGGGCGCTTCATCAACTGGCCCCGAACAGGGAAGAAGGGGAGGGGCATTTGCAAGGGACTGGGCAGTCAATTAACTTACCAACTTCACATTTTCGACCGCTGAAATACGAAGCACATTGGCACTGGTATTGTCCAGATCCAATGTTCACGCAAGTCGCACCATTCAGACATGCACCATCAACGCACACAAGATCTGAGGAACGGCAAATCAGATTTTTGGGGAAGGCTTAAAATTTGTGAAGAAGTTTAATACTCTTTTCAATCGGCACTAAATTGGGGAAGGGGAGACCAGGAGACTGCAACATTGACGAATGCGTAAGACAAGGCGTGATGTACAAAACTTGGTATTTTTTTTTTCTCTTGAATTATGCAAAACTTGGTATTTAAAGGTAAAGTGTATCATTTGTCATTAGTGCATTTTTTTATCGTTAGAAGCAACAAAAGTGCTCAAAATCTAAAGACAGATGATTAACAAACTAACCTGATGAAGATTCAGCACTGTGAATGCTGCATATTCCAAGAAAATATTCTAGATCTCGATTTCAATTCTAGAGTTGGCGAGTCATGTTTTGAATTGCGCCCAAAATCAGGGTCCGGGACACGTTCTTATTCAGCCCATTGCAGCTACACGATGTGCAAGCACTGAACTAATGCGTGTGTCGCATTTGCGTTGTATCAATGCTTGCATGTGCTCCCATTCATGGCTTTGCGGAAATTTCCCAAAACGCAATAATGACCCCCCGGAAATTTGAACATAAAATAAAAGAAGGCAAAATAAGTTTTAATACGATACGTGTCTCAGACGCCTTGGAGAGTGTGAGTATTTTTCCTGAATTTCGGAAGTGGGCGTTTTTATCACTGGGGTCTACGGCAGTTTATTTACCGGCCTGCGACCGTAGATGTTCAATATGGTGGGCTTGCAGGTGACCACTGACGTATGACGTCACGTGAAATTCCTCAATTTCCAACCATGTAATAGGGCGCTTCATCAACTGGCCCCGAACAGGGAAGAAGGGGAGGGGCATTTGCGAGGTACTGGGCAGTCAATTAACTTACCAACTTCACATTTTCGACCGCTGAAATACTGCGCACACTGGCACTGGTATTGTCCAGATCCAATGTTCATGCAAGTCGCACCATTCAGACATGCACCATCAACGCACACAAGATCTGAGGAACGGCAAATCAGATTTTTGGGGAAGGCTTAAAATTTGTGAAGAAGTTTAATACTCTTTTCAATCGGCACTAAATTGGGGAAGGGGAGACCAGGAGACTGCAACATTGACGAATGTGTAAGACAAGGCGTGATGTACAAAACTTGGTATTTTTTTTTTCTCTTGAATTATGCAAAACTTGGTATTTAAAGGTAGAGTGTATAATTTGTCATTAGTGCATTTTTTATCGTTGGAAGCAGCAAAAGTGCTCAAAATCTAAAGACAGATGATTAACAAACTAACCTGATGAAGTTTCAGCCCTGTGAATGCTGCATATTCCAAGAAAACAATATTCTAGATCTCGATTTCAATTCTAGAAATTAATTGGCACGCATGTGCCACGTACTGCATGATGTGGCACAGAACGAAGCAGTGTTTTATCGGCGGTTTAAAATTACCCACGTGACAGGCTCTCGACCAATAAGAATGGGCAAACCGTCTCAGGTATTTAGGAATAACATTTAAACTAATTACATTTTTCACTTGGAAAAACACACAGCTGTTTCGGCTATTTCGTTCCGGTGCTCTACCAGCTATCCAGGCCAATGTTGGCGGTTCCAAATATGAGGGTTTGTGGCTATATAATCCATGATATAGTAAGGCACAAAAAAATAGCACAGCGATATATTATAGGTCACACATGTCAACACATGACTGTTCAAGTCCCACAGAAAAAAAACAACTGAACTTCTTACCATTCGTCTTTGCGCGGGAAGCACAAAGGTCATGATATGCAAATCACTCGCAAAACTTTTGGATTACAACAGAGGGCGCACTTGGTCTCCCTACATTTACAGCATCATTAAACTTATCCAAAAAAGGAACAAATAAACTGCTGAAGAATCTCCCCCAAAAAGTACTTTGAGTGTACAAGATCAAGATAGACTACTCAAACTGTCTATTGTCATGTAACACACACCTGTTTCACATCGTGTTCCAGAGTAGCCTGCAGGGCATTCACACACAGCTCGACCATAACCAATGTTATTGCATGTTCCACCATTCAAACAATTTTTGTTTTCACAGACGGAATCTAGCAGGAGACAGGAAATTACAAAGAATTGTGTGGATCAATTGGATGACAAAAAATAAGACGGGAGGCGGGGGTTGGGGATAGGGGGGAGACAGGTCTGAATACGCTTAAACAAATACAACTTTTTTTTCGCCTGACAAATTTTCCTTTTTTTGTTTTATTTGAAAAACAAACGAACAATAAACATATTCAAATTTTGGGAACTACGAAGCGAGTCAGAATGATCTGGACCCCAGTTCACCATTTTTTTGGTGGCAAATAGAGCATATTGAGAAAACTGAGTGTTTGATATGAATGGTTATTACCTTGTCTTCCACAGGAATTCTGAATTCTGAATTTTTCAAATTAATGGCTGTGGTGAGGAGTTATGCCATTTTCATTGAAGTGGCTCATAATCCAGTCTGCACACGGAATTGGTTTTGATTTTTTTAAATGTCAATGACTTCAAGTGAGTCAGTCACCATGATTAGGTTTTTATTTGTTATTACACTGCTTCACATCAGTACGCAATTTCAATAAATTTGTTTAACCATGGAAAAAGGGTCAGAGTGTTTTTAGCGTGTGTTCTTTGCTAGCACTTTTCTTCAAAATGGTACAATGAACATACATGAAACTTTGTTCTCCCCAAAGTCATTCGTTAACCCCCCAGAAATTTGAACAGAAAATAAAAGACAGCAAAATAAGTTTTAATATGATACGTGTCTCAGACGCCTTGGAGAGTGCGAGTATTTTTTTTTCTGAATTTCGAAAGTGGGCCTGAAATTCCTCAATTTCCAACCAAGTAATAGGGCGCTTCATCAACTGGCCCCGAAAAGGGAAAAAGGGGAGGGGCATTTGCGAGGGACTGGGCAGTCAATTAACTTACCAACTTCACATTGTCGACCGCTGAAATACGGCGCACATTGGCACTGGTATTGTCCAGATCCAATGTTCACACAAGTGGCACCATTCAGACATGCACCATCAACGCACACAAGATCTGAGGAACGGCAAATCAGATTTTTGGGGAAGGCTTAAAATTTGTGAAGAAGTTTAATACTCTTTTCAATCGGCACTAAATTGGGGAAGGGGAGACTGGGAGACTGCAACATTGACGAATGCGTAAGATAAGGCGTGATGTACAAAACTTGGTATTTTTTGTTCTCTTGAATTATGCAAAACTTGTCATTCGTGCATTTTTTTTCGTTGGAAGCAACAAAGGTGCTCAAAATCTAAAGACGGATGATTAACAAACTAACCTGATGAAGTTTCAGCCCTGGGAATGCTGCATATTCCGAGAAAACAATATTCTAGAATCTCGAGACCAATTCTAGAGTTGGCGAGTCATGTTTTGAATTGCGCCCAAAATCAGTGTCCGGGACACGTTCTTATTCAGCCCATTGCAGCTACGCGATGTGCAAGCACTGAACCAATGTGTGCGTCGCTTTTGCGTCGTATCAACGCTTGCATGTGCTCCACTCATGGCTTTGCGGAAATTTCCTAAAATGCGTCTTTAAACGCATCTTTGGAAATGACCTTCTTTCGTTGTTTTCTTCAAAATGACAGCATGCCAGAAAGAATAATTTCACAGGGAGCCTGGTTATCATTACTACCTTTAAACCAAGAAGGCTTTTCAACAACAATTTCATCAGTTAATATTTGGATAGCTGCAAATGATATACTCTATCTTTAAGTTACAGTCACATTGGTGGGGTTCCCCGTAGTTAATTTTTTTTGGCCATTTTCTTGGTACACCATAACCTGTTCTATTATTGTATCAACAAGTAGATGGATCAAAGATAAGTGCAATCACTTACCAGTAAGAAAAAAAAAATGGAGGAAACCTTTCCATTTCGCTGGTCCCAGGAAGGGTTCTCTTTGTACCTATTTCATGGTTCTCTTTGTACCTATCACCGGCTGATAACTGACTGTTACTTCTGAATCGGGCAGTGCTATCACATAGGATGACCCCATAAGGCCAATGAATGGGCTAAATCTGGCCCATCTTGTACACCAGAAGCATGAAAAGACTTCCAGTTCAAGTGGTTTGCTGTACAGAATAGCTGCTTCAATTCAATATTATGGCCTGCACCCTCTAATAAATGAGGATTCTCTAGTCTGTCGATGTGCCAAAACAGAATGACCACTAAATCTGTGATTTACTGAAGTCCTCAAGCGGTTTATTAGAGCTAATATATACCTGTCCCGCAGAATTGACCGGCGTAACCTTGTGGGCACATGCACGTTCCACGGGCTTGGCCGTGCCCTACGCAAGTTCCACCATTACGGCAATATACGAAGTCACAAATTATATCTGTCAAGATAACAAAGAAAAGGAAAAATCAGAACAAAAACAGCAAGTAGTTATATCTACTTGAGGAGAAGCAGGCAAATAGGAAACATTCAAAAAGAAAGAAAAAAGAAGTATGGACAAATATTTTATATATTTTTTTGAAAAACAAATATTGAAAATATTGGCAACTGTATCAGAACCAAGACAGTTTATCGTCGTTCAAAATTTTGAAAACTGAAAAAAAAAAAACATTTTAAATTATTTGGGAATGTGGACATTTTGAGCAGCTCTAACTTCTAAAGTCAGGCACCAGATCTCTGACAAACTTACTCTGCCCTGGCAATTTCTCTGCACAAAAAAAAACATGGCTAAAAAAACAAAACATGCTCTAAAACAGAAATGATGATTTTTAAGTTTGTACCTGTCTCGCAGCTGGTACCAGTAAAGCCTGTCATACAGTTACACTTTGCTTCATTCTGCACGTTGATATAACAGGTTCCGTTATTCAAACACGTCACACCCAGACAGTCGACGTCTGTTGGCAAAACAAACCCAAAAGGGTTTTTTATAAAACTCCTTAGTGTCTTTTACTAAGTACTGCATGGACTGAGTCCCCCAAAACCCATCACTGACCCTGCTTCACATAATGCTTTAGGACCAAATCCGCTGGAATCCACCACAAGACCACCACTACTATCGGGGGCTTTTGATGGACTTGGAACTCATGGCTTGCCAACCAAAACCCCCAAAATACGGGGGGGGGGGGGGGGGGGGATTTTGATGAAGTTGGGAAGGTTAGGGTGAAGTATGCAGTTGTTAAACATTTTAGTACACACTGGTCCTTCCTGCATGGTTACTGGAGTGTAGGATATCTGAACAGGGATGTTTTTCGAGTCCACCACAAGTCCAAATTTCATCTTTTGAATCATCAAAAGTCCATTCACAAGTCAATCTTAAGTCGAGTAAGTGGAGTCACAAGTAAATCACAAGTCCAGTCACAAGTAAATCACAAGTCCAGTCACAAGTAAATCACACATCCAGTCACAAGTAAATCACAAGTCCAGTCACAAATCCAGTCACAAGTAAATCACAAGTCCAGTCACAAGTAAATCACACGTCCAGTCACAAGTAAATCACAAGTCCAGTCACAAATCCAGTCACAAATCCAGTCACAAATCCAGTCACAAGTAAATCACAAGTCCAGTCACAAGTAAATCACACGTCCAGACGTAAGTTAATCACAAGTCTAGTCACAAGTCAATCACAAGTCCAGTCACAAGTAAATCACAAGTCCAGTCACAAGTAAATCATCAGTCCAGTCACAAGTAAATCACACGTCCATACACAAGTAAATCACACTTCCAGTCACAAGTAAATCACAAGTCTAGTCACAAGTAAACCACAAGTCCAGTCACAAGTAAACCACAAGACCAGTCACAAGTAAATCACAAGTCCAGTCACAAGTCCAGTCACAAGTATAAATCATGAGTCCAGTCTCAAGTACTGTCACAAGTAGAGCCCCAGTCACACACTTACGGTTTGGAGCTACGAATATCCATGGTTTACCAAGAATCAATGGATCATTGATGAACCATCGAAATTTGTGGAGAAATCAACTTTCTAAGAATGCACTTTAGTTTCAGGATGAATACATCACAGTTGGCAAGAATATGGATGGATTGGTGAAGAACATTGACAATAATAATAAGAAGAATGACATTAGCACCACAGTCGGCTGCGATTGGGCCATGGGTGACCCTGTTCTGCTATGAATAAAGTGTGGATATTCGTAGAACAACCTTAGCAGAACCCTAGCACATCCGAGCATATCAATAGGGCGTAGCGAATTCATAGAGATTTCTACCACAAATGAACTACAAATCTCCAAGAATATGTTCGAATAGCCACATATAACACTACAAATCAGTACGGTTGTCCTACAGATGTCCCATGGTTGCACTACGGATTGATTTTCATGACGATTCACCACAGAAGTTTTGAACAGTTTAAAACTTCCGTAGCCCCTCCACGAATACCCAAGGAAGATGGCGGATAACCACGGATGTACTACTATGGTACTCCCACGGTTTATCACGAATTTCAAACGGTGGAGATCCTTAGCTCCAAACCGTAAATGTGTGACTGGGGCTTAACAGTGGATGAACAGTAACAAAGGAATGCCTTTGCCAAAGCTTATTTGAATAGCTGCGATGGACTTGCAGGGACTTGTGATGGACTCAACTACATCACTGGATCTAAAGGTGTATGACACAACGAGGGATATCTTGGTTGTGTTATCTGAACATGTATGGAAATAACGATGGATATAGGTCCAATTTCCAGAGGGGGCACTCTGGGAACTTTTTTTATTTAGAGAGGAAAACAATGGGTTCCGTAATAGTTTCAAACAATACAAAGGTTTTTTTGTCTTCTTCAAATTTCCAGCAAGGATACACACTGACACTTTCCTAATTAACCCTTAAAACTCAGCCCTAATTTTGAGGTTTTTTTTTACTAAGTTGATTTCTGGGACTATTTCATTAGTATTCTTTATTATGACTGGGTAAGTTAAATACTAACTAAAAGCTTGTGAGCTAGGCAATAAACAATTTTGAAAAAAATATCAAAATATGACCCCCCCCCCCCCTCTAAATGGCAGTCATTTTAAAAACTAAAATTTTGGGTTGTTTTAATCCCTTTTTATGGAATTTTGGCAAAGCAATTATGCAAACAAACTGCTAGGAGACTTTTGAATGCATTACTACAAAATACAAACAGGAGTCAAAAGAGGGTGGCAAACACAAAATACAATACTCTGAAATGTTCGGTCGTCGGCGATCGATTTTACATAGGGCTGAGTTGAAAGGGTTAAGACCATTAAATATACTGGTAGCATGTTCTGAAGACATGTAACATAAGCCAGAATATCCTAAATTAAAGATCTGGGCCCAATTTGATAGAGCTGCTTAAGCACAAAATTTACTTAAGCACAAAAAAACATTGATCAGTAAAATCAGGTTACCGGCCAAAACTCCATGTGATGTACTTTGCTTGTGACTGTATTTAGTTGTTGTTTACTTAACATAACAATTGCATGGAGTTTTGGCCGGTAACCTGATTTTATTAAGCAAGACTTTTTTGGTGCTTAAGCAAATTTAAGCAGCTCTATGAAATTGGCCCATAGCGACTCCATGCTTAAACAGCAAACAAAACCTTGGGTGACCTCGCATGCCAGAATTGCTTTGCGAGTGTGGGCTTCATGCACAATTAAGCACCCCCTCAATGGTTACCAGGGGAGAGTTGGCACAGACCACCGGGATGGACACTCAAATGCATTGCTAACAGTGCCCATAACTCATGTAAAGAAGCTGTGGTTTGGCGCACACTTAGAACAAAATACCTATTGCGTACATCGCATCATATGCATGCCCACCAAGGCTTTTGAAAGTGGCCACGAAGCCCCATCTACTGATGGTGCAGCATACTCAGTAGAATTTCCTCTGAATTCTTCCAAACCATCTTCATGTGGTCGAGGGGCACACAACAGGGCCAAGGCCAAGTGTCTAACATATCTCATTCCCTCTCCCTCACTAATGAGGGTACTTCTATACTATATCCACAGTGAGATTTCAGGTATACTTACGTGTCTCACACGTTTGGCCACTAAAGGGGTGACGGCATTGGCACGTGAAGTCGGCCTCGAGGTACTGGCCAGGAATGCAGGTGCCACCATTTTGACAGGGACTTGAGGTGCAAGGGTGTTCTGCAATGAAAAAAAAAAGCCAATAAAGTACGCCACCAAAAAGATTGGCTTGCTTTTGTCAACCGTACACATGCTCGGCACCAAAGACTACAAAGTCTGGAATAGTCTGGGGGACTATATGGAATATTGTAACAGTACCTCGCCTGTATCTTGATGGGCCGAGAGCAAGTCACATGGCATTTGCTATTTTACTATCTTGCAGTGCAAACCCTAAAAGACTACACAACTTACGGCTGAAGAAGCATTATAGGCATAGCAACCAACAGAGCATGCAGCCGATTTGCATGTGTGCAAATGCAAATAAAATAAAATCCTATTGTTTTAATCCTATCCTTGGCCTTTGTCTTATGGGGTCCAAACTTATAAGTTATACTAGCAATTAGCTACCTTCATTGTATCAAGGTTCAAGACATACATAAACATGGACATACACTCCAGATATCGCTGTTGAACCAAATGCACACACAGGTTTACATTACATACATGTACCTTGTGTGGACTTTCCATTGCTTTCGTGTAGTTAAGAAAAACCAGTGAAAAACTCATTTTTCTCAAAATGTGAAAACTCTTTCAACCCAATTTTTTGTCTATGATCCCCTTTAGTGTTTCTCTTCATTCTGCCATGGATAAACCTAACCCAAGAATGCCTCTAAACCTGTTTTCCAGAAATGGGGAAACATTGTGTGGATGTGGTCAAGTCCACATGTCAAGTGCTACTTATTTTAACCATATATGCTCTTATTTTAACCATAGTTAATTTCCTAGGCTGAAATTCGGACTTAATATCCGTTTTCTAAAACTCTTCCATTTGCGACAGATCAACCCACCTTGGAAATTCCTAGTTTTTGAGTAAAATCCATACATCTAATTCATGAAAAACTTGTGGGGTACCAAACTGGTACCCCGCAAGTCGGTGGGCATTCCTTGTGAGGTACCTCCCATTGTTCCGGTACCCCATTGGGCAGTGTTTATACGTTCACACACACTGACGGACAAGGCGGAAACAGTATGTCCCTTCGGCTTCGCCGGCGTGGCATAAAAAAGAGATTTCACCCCAACAGAGGATATCTCCCTTTGATTCAGCAATAATATCTCGGTTCTTTTTTTATCCACCCTGTTGTGTCAACCATCTTCAAATGACCTCCCCTATGGCCTCCTCTGTCTCTTTTGCACGCGCTGTGCTGTTCCGTTGATATAATTAGTGCTGACATGACTATACTCACCATCTGCACATGTCGGGCCAACATAGCCAGAAGCACACTCGCAGGTGAAGTTTTCAAAGGATGCACTATAGCTAGGCAAACATAGACCACCATTCTGGCATGGGTAGGAGGCACAGGGACTTTCTGCAAATGCAGAGGCAGGGGGGAAATCATATTAAAGAGGTTTTAGAAAATTATGTCTTTGAATTTGCATAATGTAACATTGTTCATTGTTTCATTGTTCCTTTTTATCCTCTACTAAACTTGGACAGTTTTTTGTTTGTGAATATTTGACGTCGTTTGTGTAAACTGCCTGTTTCTCTGCCCACCCATTTTGGGTTTTATTTGCGCATTTCTGTAAAAGTACTTTCACATCAGTTTTGTTCCAGTTTGATCCTCTGTTTTACATGTTTTACACGTAGTTTTTCGTTTAGACATTCAATTTTCTTTTTAACTATCTTTACATATTTCTTTCTTTATGTGGTTATTTTTATGTAATTTTGATACATTTTCATGAAGCGTGTAATTGACAACCTACACTCTGTTGGCTGTTGAAATAAAACAAATCAATAAAAAAGAGACTTCCCTACTCTCACATCTTGGAGTTGTTGAACAAAGAAATTGACTGGAGTGGGTTTGAACCTGCGACCTCCGAATTACCATTCCAGTGCTCTACCAACTGAGCTATCCAGGCCTATGTTAGTGGCTCCCCATTTAGTTAATGTCTTTGTTCAAGAGGCGCTAGTCAGAAGCTATAAACCTGATATGCCATGTAGCTAGGGACAACGCCCAATGTCACTATGCAAGCAACATTGGAGATCTACGAGGCTCCTGCCTACCAGATAAATGTAGACTAGGCTATATTTGTTTGAAAAATATTTCACTCCTACCCTTTTCTCTTCTTAATTGTAAAATCTAGACAGGCAATAATAAAGCAAATGGCAAATAAAAACACACAAAAACACACCATTGTTGCAGTGTACTATAAGACTCACCAAATTCACACTGAAATCCTGTCCAGGCTACAGGGCATAAGCATATAGCAAAGCCTAAATCAATGCATGTCCCACCATTGTCGCAGGAATCGGCAGCGCAGTTATCATCTGTCCAGCGAAAATATAAGTCCAACAATACAACAATGAAATATCAAAACAAAAGAGTTCTGCTTTCATCCAAACATACTTCCCCCCCAAAAAAAAAAAAACAATATAGGCGTAGGCGGGATACCATCAGTCAGTGGAAAATAAAAAAACTATTTGCGCACCAGTTTGCATCATTTGCCATGTGGTACCATTCAGTACTCAAGATTCAACAACCATTGAGTTTCAAGCAGATGGATCTGGGAGCTAGATAAGCTAATGTGAACATTTCAAGGATGTCTGTGCCTGTCTATAAACTCTAAACGCCATCAATTGACCTTCACTTCTTTTTATGTGTTCAGGAAGATGGGTACAAGGTGAACCCAGGTGGACTCCCTTTCCTCCCTATGTTATGGAGGGAGTCCAGGGTCTGAAGTGCTCAAAACTGGGCAAAAAAATTATGACCGATATTTTCAATATTTTTACCTTGTAGGAGAAGCCAATTTTTACGTCTTAGTATTCTATGTGTCCTTATCTATTGATCCGGGGGTTCAGGAATTCCATATTCAATGCTGATCGACGTTAATCAGGAAAACAAACTCTTAAACAACGTTAAACTTGTACATTTTTGTACAAGCAACTTTGCTAGGCAGAAGTTTCTCACACGTACCGAGTCGTACATGGCATACGGCCGTGTAGTGTGAACGCACAGTGCGCACGCACGATTTGCTTAGTAACCGCCCTCAAACGCATGCGCACTAACTTGAAGGTGCGGTCGCCTATCCAATGACCAGGCGTGTTTTCGCAACAGTGACCAGAAACATGTTTCGGCTTTGGTTTTTGGTTGAGCGTTTTCGTGACTTTGGTTGGCTGAAGTGACGTCACTGTTCCAACCAAAACCGAACCAAGGAGGGCGCTAGCATGCGTGTGCGCTTTCGTACGTACGCATATACGACTTGGTGAGAAATTGATGAAAAGAGACTACAAAAAGTACCAGTTTAATGTTGCTTTAGAGTTTATTTTCCTGATTAACGTCGGTCAGCATCACCATCATCATCGTCATCATTATCAGCATCGGTCAGATAAGGACATATAGAAAATGTAGGCGTGAAATAAGCTTCTGTAACGAGGTAAAACGTAACAAAAATCTGATCAAAATTTTGGGTGGTATTACGTAGAGAATTCTCATCCTGGATGTCAGTCGTAATGCAATGAAGGCTTTCGTCCAACCTGGGCTAGGGGACAAGGGTATTCTAATTAGACAAGAATAACATGTGGACTCTGTGTAGGGGCAGTTTATAATAATAATAATAATAATAATAAACATAACTCTTTTCGCAGCAATAGGGTGACTTTCCCATAGACTTGTGCACAAACCTAAACTGTCACCTAACCCAAGTTCACCTTATGTTTTTTCCACGAAATTTAGTATTTATACTAATTGGACCATGAGGAATCGATCTATATGGTTAGCGACAGCAAAATTCCTTGCCCTAAGGGTCGTTTTCATAAAAGGGCGACAGTTATTTTGTCGCCCCAATAAGGTGTATCGCCCTATTGTGGACTGAGTTCGCAAAACCTTTCGCCCTATTACAGTAATAGTAGTAATAATAATAATAATGGAGTCTTATATAGCGCACATATCTACCAACAATTAGGTACTCAAGACGCTGGAAATTATGTCTATTATTAAAGAAAGGTAAATAAAGTTTATGAGAAATATGAGACCCATTATGTAGCACCTTATAAGGGTTAAAAAGGTGCTGCGGCGCATATTGCAGCCACTGAAACACCGGGGCAAACCCCTTCTCTTAGCGATAAGTGTTACTGGTTTCTTTAACGTGCATTACACAACACACGGGACCTACGGCTTAACATCCCATCCTAAGGACAAAGAAATAATGGTAAAGTGCCTTGCTCAAGAGCACAGGCACCATGTTCCCGTGGTCAGGATTCAAACCCATGTATCGCGACACACAAGTCTGGAAGCCTCAAAGTACACCCACCAGTCAAAACTGGTTTTTGTGCCCACCAATCAGCATCTTAATTTTTTATATATTTTTTTTGTAGTAGATACTTATTTCCATGCTATCAATTCCTAATAATACAAATTCGTAATAAATACAAATAAATAATATTTAAATTGAATAACATACAATTATAGTACAAGTATACGGACAAGAATATAAATATGTATATATGTTTAGTAATAATCCACTGATGCCACAGGGTGTGCTTGAAAAAAAAAACGGAACAGCTGCTTGAAAAAACTTTATTTTTTGTGAAAAAGCCACTCCGACACAAAGTCCCCATTGTCATCTTTTTCTTGAAGCCAACCCCATTTCCATTTATTTTTTGTTTTTGCTTCTATGGCCTTTAAGCTGTCAGTTCGTTCAATCACTTTGACTTTTTCCTTATACCTTATTCTGACTACCCAAAATTCCAACGTTGTATTCGACACGAAACATGTTGGTGCACATGACCTTTGCACTACGATGCGCGCGACAAAAACATGGTTGGTACCCGGCGTTTTTTGTATTCATATATCACTGCGTTCGGAAACCACCAATAACTAGAAATGATAGACTTGATTTTCAGGCTGAATGCAATGTGTGCTTAGCACAGAAAACGCCCGCACGCGATGGGCACGCACGAGGCACCTTTGTATGCGTGCAAGTACGTTGGCCGCCTGTATCGCATGCAGGCTCGGCAACAAAAGAGACTTGTTTTTAAGAATACTTCAACGAACAACGTACGTTGTGCCACACCGTGCATATGCGCAATCCTTACAACATATAGGCCTATGTACTAAACTCAAGAGGGCTAATGAGGTAAAAATCAACGCATTTCCAGTTTTTCTTCTCTTTAGTCAGGTTTATTTTAACGGCCGAAAAAAAAACAGAATTTTTCGTGATTTCAAAAAAAAAAAACGGAACCGGCAAAGTGGCATCTCTGAATAACAAACAGTATTTTATTTTGAGAGTGGAGGAGAATGCAGGCATTTCAAGAAGCCAGGGCTTGTAGAGAAACACCTTAAAAATTAGAGGAACAGATGAAAGAAGAACACATTAGTAATCAACACAAACATAACAGGCAACAAAGACCATACGGGACAAGAGACAGACAAAACGGACGACGTAATGTTCAGAAACCTTGAACCACTCTTCCGGGAACCACTCTTCCAAGAAGAATGTATCTTTGAACACAGTGGCAAAGTGTACCTGTACCATTATTTTGATCAACTTTCACTCAAATTCAGGATGGTTGGACTACTCTTGTGGACTACTTAGAACCAGAAAATAGGATTCCATTACCGGTTACCAATATAGCCACCTGCGTTATACAGCACAGCAGGGAACCATGACGACCAAGGAGTTTCATGATGACGTTTTGACCAGCGTTTGACAAGAGGCATTCGCACATGTGGAGGTGTTTACAAGTGACATCCAGAATCCAGCACCGGTCTAACTAATTGTACTCGCCCCAAATTTTCTCCGATGAGCCAGTATATGCAAGCGCACAGGCAAATAATCTGATGTTCTCTGGCCGTTTCTGTTATTAACCCATTTGCCACTGTACTGCCCAAAACCTCCCTAGGCGTTACTCAATCCTTGTACCGTCCAAAACTACTTGAGCACTCTATGGTTTTATTGATTTCATAAGCCAATAAATCACTGTGATACTATGCTGCACTTACCCAGTAAGATCTCGCAATGCAGACCAAAAGTTCCAGGGGGACATTGACAATAAGCGTAGTCATTCGAGTAGCTACTCTGGCAGTAGCCGCCATTTGTGCAGTTAAAGGTTAGACACGGGTCAGCAACCTCTGCAAGAAAATATCAAATATATAGGGGTCAAAAATCAAATTCAAACCTCTTAATTACGGTTTAAGTGTGCGACCTACTGAGCTCTCAAAGACACACACTCGCATCATACAGTATAAAATCTGCAGTATTAAGGTGAAAATGACAGTGGCATGGAGGTTTGTAGAAGTGAAGGTTTGTGGTGTGATCTGAAGCTGGTCAGTCAACGATGGTAGGACTTTTCCGTCAATTGTATGCGATCAACCTAATTAAGTTGGTTGCAGCGTCGGTTAACAACAGCCCTAGCTGCCCTTCATAACGCTCAGCAAGGACCCAGGACCAAGAAGTTTTGTGATGACATTTTAAATGTCACTTGTTAAAATTAGGGCACATGTGTAAAGTAGGTCACATATTAATCACCAGTCGTGTAGTGAGTACTGTGAGTCAGGTTGTAGGTACATACACTGTTCAAGTGTCTATAGGTTCAAACATGTATCCTCTTTTTCACAAACAATATTATACATGTATCACTTTAACAACTATAGTAAAGTAATATTTCTTGTATAATTCAAGGGTAAGTTTTGATGTTTTCAATTACAGTTGGTCAGATATTTTACGTTCTGGATGAAAGTTTCCTTAAATATTATAAAGTTTGTGCAAAAACAGTATATGGCTGTTTGTGATCACTTTCTTAAGTCCCAGTTGGTACGTCATGCCGCGTGCATATACTGGTATTGCGCGAAGTACACACATGTTATTTCATTTGCGTGATAGTCAGGCGCCATTGGCAAAGGTCTCTTCCAGTGGTCTCCCCTGACTCTCCCTTTGCGACCATTGAGGGGGAAGTTTAACACTTTTGGTTCAATGTACCTGTTTCACAGCGTTCGCCGGTCCATTGACTGAGACAACTGCATTCCGCCACACCATACCAACTGTAGCAATAACCTCCATTTTGGCAGTACACACTATCACATGGGTCGACAATCTCTGCAAATAAGTGGATACAAGCAACGTGTGGTTTAAACCGATAAGTGGCGCGGTCGGCGATAACGTCCCAAGCCAATCAGGCGAGGTCTATTATCTGTGACCTGGCCCTATCAACACGTTTTAAATAACATGTAAATAACTGCTCAATCACTGTCACCATTCATGAATACCTCTTCAGTCAAAGACTATAATTGTAAAATGTCGAAAATTGACAAGATCCAAATGATTTTGTTCTACCATTTACTCCGTGTTTGGGCCGTTTCTATTATGTGCGTGGCACATGTGTTGCGCTCAACATCTCCTTGCAGGGGCGGATCCAGGATTTTCCAAAAGGGGGGGCCCTGAAATATTTCAAACCTGTGCAGGAAATTTTGTTGTGACAAACCAACTCGCGAAGTCACGGCGTGGGGTTTGGGGCAAACTTAAGGGCCCCTAACATTTTGGACTTTAGAAGCTCTCTGGTGCATTTTAGGGCAAATCTGGGGACCTCTGCAGTAGATTTTTCCTCAAAATTCAGAGGAGATTTATAATATTTTTAAAAATAAATATTGAATAATTATTTCACAAACATTACAACTTCCTAAACTGGAAAAGTATATGGTGTCGGAAGAACCAACAATATCTTATTTCTATCACATTCCTATTGCACCACGAAAGTTATCGAGACTGTCCATCAAAACTTTTTGTAAAAATTTGCCTTACCTAATATGAAAATATATTAAAGATGGGTGTTCTTTAAAATAATGGAGAAGTTAAGTCATCCCCGCCTACATGCGCAAACAATGACATTATGACAATGTTAGTTACCGTCAGCCACCGGCCAGCACTGGCCGTATATTGCATCGCGCACACGGCACACTATCGGTGTGCATATAACAGCACTGTGAATTGTGTAGCGGATCCAGAAATGAACCCATTGTGCCGTGGCCGAAAGGTTTGCAGAAATATGCTATGGTGTATCACATACGAGAGAAACACTCTCGTTGTAAATATTTATTTCAATGGAAAATACATACACAGAAAAGAGAGATCACGTTCTGGGAATTAATTTGAAGAAATTCTCTTTCTCCATCCATGTTCGTTACGTACTTTCTATGATCCAAATTCAACGCAATGTATATGTAGCCCGTAGTCACTGGTTCCGGTCCTACATCATAGCTTTGATTCTGTCAGCATGCGGTGGGAACCAGTGAATGGTGATGGCACTGCACTGCACTGCTGCATGCCGATTCGTACAGCGGCATGGCTTCGATGTCGTGAATGTGCATTTTGATGACACATGCGTCAGAAATACAGGCTTTTTTCCGTCAAGATTTTGCATGTCCAGATGAAATTAATAATAGCGTGTGTAACTTTTTTTTTTCCTGAAGAAAAAAGGAGGGGGCGTGCACCCCCCACGCCCCCTTTAACACACATGTTATTTCATTTGCGTGATAGTCAGGCGCCATTGGCAATGCGTCCGAATTCCAGTGGTCTGCCCCAACTCTCCCTTTGCGACCATTGAGGGGGTAGTTTAACACTTTTGGTTCAATGTACCTGTTTCACAGCGTTCGCCGGTCCATTGACTGAGACAACTGCATTCCGCCACACCATAATAACTGTAGCAATAACCTCCATTTTGGCAGTACACACTGTCACATGGGTCGACAATCTCTGCAAATAAGTGGATACAATCAACGTGTGGTTTAAACCGATAAGTGGCGCGGCCGGCGATAACGGCCCAAGCCGATCAGGCGAGGGCTATTATCTGTGACCTGGCCCTATAAACACGTTTTAAATAACATGTAAATAACTGCTCAATCACTGTCACCATTCTTGAATACCTCTTCAGTCCATAGAGCTAGGACCCAGCTCTATGTTCAGTCAAAGACTATAATTGTAAAATGTCGAAAAATTGACAAGATCCAAATGATTTTGTTCTACCATTTACTCCGTGTTTGGGCCATTTCTATTATGTGCGTGGCACACGTGGTACGCTCAACATCTCCTTGCAGGGGCGGATCCAGGATTTTCCAAAAGGGGGGCGTGAAATATTTCAAACCTGTGCGGGAAGTTTTGTTGTGACAAACCAGGAGGCATATCCATAATATCTATATATATATTATATATATTAACACAGTATACTCAGTGTTGTCCCAAGTGATTGTGAGAAAACATTACAAAACAACTAGGGTGACCCCCCTCCACCCTGTACCCCTTGAGTACAGGGTGCACAGAGAAGGGGGCGGGGTTGCAAGCCAATGCATACATATGCAGAGCGATAATTTGCTTTTAATAAATTGTTATTTAATTCCTGGTTGAGTGATAAAACTTTTGCACTAGTAAGCAGGAGGTCGTGTGTTCAAGTGCCACCCAAATAGGTTGGAATACACTGACACAATATTACCACTGCATTTGATAATTGTTGACTGCTATGATGTGGGATATGCCATTTTTAACCCCCTCGGAGTGCACAGCACCCCTCGGTTTTAAAAACGTCATATCCCACATCATAGCAGTCAACAACTGTTTTGTTATATCGTGCTAATAACTCAAAAAGATGGCTGTTACTTACTGTGTGAGAAATAAATTAAATCACTGCGATGTAACCTTTGATAACTGAAGGTTTTGATGTCCTGCCGCACACGAGACTGAGCGTTTGACGCTGCAGTTCTCATTGCGCAAAGCTAGCACGCCGGCAGGATGCACACGCGTGCGCAACACACTCAATGAACAGAGTGCAATATCACCCTCAGTGTGTGACATGCATTTTTATTATCCAGACACGTGGCTGTCCTAGACCAATGGAATTACAGTATCCTAGCACACAATATAATATTACAATATATATCTTCCAAGTGATTAATATATAGCAGTTGCCATTATTTCAGGTGGCCGGTATGTCTGTTAGCAATGATTCCAGTAGCCAGTAGTTTATAACTTACCAGTTTCACAATGCTCTCCTGTGTAGTCATACCAACAGTCACAGTAGGCCCTGCCATTGTACTCGTAGCAATATCCACCATTATTGCATGCATAAGTATCACACAAGTCCGGTTGATAAGCTGCAGATTGGCCAAACCAAAAAACAAACAAACAAACAAACATCCCAACAAACAATTAAACAAAGAAAAGGTAATCAGTACAGAGTTTAAGATTGGCAAAAGTCAACAAAACTGTCCAAAGTTGTACTTTGTGCTTTTCAAGTGCAGGTTGTTTCAACCCAAAACAAAAACTGTGCAAGAAAATCTATTTTCATGCTTCACCTTGTGTGTCCTGCAGGGGATGTTTACAAAAATAACCTAACAACATTTGTTTTCATCAAAGTGTTTTGCCACAAAATTATGATGAACAAAACTCAGTGCCCAAAAGCTATTCATTGTGCTTGAAATTGAAAATAAAATCAAACAGAAATTGTTAAATTTCCAAATGTATTGTATCACTTTTTGCACACGGCCCACAGGGGTTTCCTCCAAAAAAACATGTACCAAGTGGTACAACCCACGGCAGTTCCACAAACAGTACAACTGCGAATTTCAGTTTGCCAGGCAATGGGGCGTGACCTAATATATGCAAATTAGACACATGCGCATCGGTGTCGCAAAGCTGTAGGTATTCCATAGACACTCGCTGGCAAAGCTGTGATACACGCGTGGCATGGAACAGTACGAAACGCGTCCACCAACCAACCCACCCACCAACCAACCCACCAACATAAGCAGCTCAAGCCAGCACGGCGTGTTTTCACACCGCCGTGGGAAACCCGAGTTCCCGGCATTTCAAAAGGTGTTTTATGTTCCGGTTTCTGGTGAAGCAGAAAAAAATAAATGGCCATAATCTTGTCTCGGGCAAGCATAAGTCATCAGGCATGCAACTGGGAATTTAGAAAAAAAAACGAGGACATCCCAATGCAAACCACACAAGACTTTGTACAGTGTTTTTCAATTCGCAATGACATTCGTGAGAAGTCAAAAACGAGGAAATTAGCAGATCCGAGGAAAACTTGCATGCGTGATTAATAAAGATCCAAGCTAGGAGTTCATCAACTTACCTGTTTCACATTGATATCCTGTCCAATTTCCAACACAATTACAGAAAGCGACTCCCCACATCGGGTAACATGATCCACCATTGTAGCATGTGAATGCATCACACGGTTCCCCGGCAACTGAAGGATGATGGAGGATTCATTTTTATATCAGATTTTTAATAACAAGTATTCGTACTGTATGTAACTCCAGGTTTATTGAGGGAATAAAAGTGTACTTGGCCAGTTTTAAACAAGTCCATTAAAGACCTGCTGGTGTAATGGATGCTGGTATTAATAATAATAATAACAGAGTCTTATATAACGCAAGCATCTACCGACAATTAGGTACTCAAGGCGCTGGAAACTATGTCTATTTTTTTAAAGACATGTAAACAAAGTTTGTGAGATAATAGCCCAAGCCGAAGGCGAGGGATATTATCGCGATTTTAAATACACCTCTAGTCTAGCTATGTTATGGTATGTGCCTCTCACGAGTAGTGGTAAACATAGGCGCGGGTGAGATGCGTACTGCGCAATGTGGCGCAGAACCCAGCTGTGCCGGTGTAGTGTGAATTTAGGACTATGAAATACTGACTCATTGGTAGCATTGCGCATGCCTAAGTGAGGTTTGTGAACGTTTAACCAATAAAAGGGTAAAATGGACCAGATTTCATAGGAGTCCAAATTTCATGTGACACTGGAAAAGTGTTAAAGACCAGCCAGCCAGTGTTTTATCAACCGTTTAAAACCAGCCATGTGACGGGCTCTCTACCAATAGGAATGGGTAAACTGTCTAAGGTATCTATAATATTTGTTTATAACTCCAGATTTTCATGAGGTAGTCTTCTTTATTTTCAATACAACAGTTTAATAGAAAAATGGAAATTATCCGGGAACAGATGTTCAGAGAGGTTTTGCAAGCGAACGGCTACGGTTAGCAGACAACGTTTCATTTTGTGTCGTCTTGTGACATCATACACAACTCGAAATCCGCTACGCATGCGCACGGCACGGATATATCACGTCAGTGTGAAATGCACAGTAACTTTTCGATTTTCACCCACTCTTCAGACAAATTATTTAATCACATATGATTTGATTGAAAGGGAATTTGCCGATCATATTTATATGCCACTTGTCTGTGTTTCAAAGCAGGATTAGCCACAGCTTTCATTGGCGGCTGCCATTTTGGATTCTGGCTTGGTTCCAATAAGTTAGTGTATGCATACGGGTACACGATAAGAAACAACAGAATGGTTAATAATAGTTATGAATTTAGCTAAAAACGTATGTGTACATATTCGTTGGGATGTGAAAACCCCTTTTAATTAATATCTAAAAGTTTGCTTATAAATTTAGTTTTATAATAACCTAAGATACATGTGCTTCTTTTTTTTTCCTTTTACAAAGTTAGAAATGGTAACACCAAGCAACTTTATAGATTATCGATTAATAAGTTATTTCCTGAAAAAGCGATAAAAAATAACAATGTGTTGATGATACAGATTTCATAAAGCTGCCATGATAATTGACGTCATTTTTTTTTTTACTTTTGACTATGATTCATCTAATGTTGTTAACATAATGCCAACATGAGAAATTTGTATCTGAGAAGACGCTCTTTGTTATTGATTGTTTGTGATGAGTTGTCATGACGACTTACTTGTTTGGCAGTCTGTTCCTGTCCAACCAGACGAACACAGACAAATATAGGAGTCACCACTAAAAGAGTAACAAGTCCCACCGTTCTGGCAAGGTTGGGTTTGACACGAGTCAGAATTATCTGTAATTCAACCAAGAAAAAAAACAGCAAAATTGAGATCGTAATTCTGACCAAAAAAAAAAGCCCACTCCGTATCTCAAATGAGTAAAAATGCACATCATATTTGACGATGGGAAAAACATTTGCTGTAAGATTTGCCGAAGTTAAATTCTGTTCAACAAGTTATTATTCCTGAACCCTTTGTTCAACAACTGAGTACAAACCTAAGTATGGCATCAAAAGTAACCCCTCCCCCTCCACTGGTGGGCTCCCCCCCCCCCACTCCACTCTTGGCAGGTCCCAAATTAGATATATGATCTGGGTAAACCCTAAAAACAAAATAAGTTATGAAGTCTACTGTCTCTGGAAATAATAGGATCGCGTGATCACTTCCGATCCCACATAAAACACTGCAGTTGGAATGGTATAAGCTGCTTAACTAGGGGATGTAACATTCCCCAAAAAGAAAATATAAAAAGGCTGCCCCCTTTCAATGAATAAGGTTTAGGCCCCCCCCCCCCCCCCCCAACGAATGAGGTTTAGCACCCCCCTCCCCCAACCCACCCACCCACCACTTTTCAAATTTCCAATGGCCGGTTGGATCGGCGGTGTTTTGGCCTCCCAACTTTCAAAACTGTTTGCCGCTGCTGCTTAAAAACACACTGAATGCAAAGGCTCTGGCAAACAATCCATTTTTTGGGGGGGGGGGTGTATATTGTTTTAAATTTGGTGACAGGGTCCATTTCTCTACCTTCATTCTCACAGAAGACACCGCTGTATCCATAAGTGCACTCACACACCACGTGGTCACCAGCTTCCACTCGACAGGACCCACCATTGTGGCACGGATTCGAGCTGCAAGGGGACATAGCTGCCGAAAGACAAGAAAGCAATCAAGTGTTAAAGGGAATACACAACATTTGCAAACATCAAAAAACAAAACTATCAAATTAGGGTGAAATACCTCACTGGACAGTTAGTGAATGACAGTCTAAAGCATCCTGTGAAATCATGGCACCTGGTGTGCTAACATTTTCAAGAAAAGTGGTATTTTTGTATCAATTTCCAATGCTGGTCGACCAACCAGCATTGGACAAAAAAAAGTTTTTTGTTTTTTTTAAAACTGCCCTCTGTTTACCATATTTAGTTAGTCCATATTTTGTTTGTAATCGCTTACACTCCTATGAATGGATACAAGCCAGCTAGACTGGTTCCCTGACTTTACAATTCCCCCGACGTCTATTTCTCTGTTTCATCTTAAGTGGGGTCGGGGAACCAGACTACAAGAAAATAATTGTTTTTCTTGGTGTTTCCAGCATCTACAAACACAAAACTTCAAACAAGTCAGTGTAATAATATTTGCTATAAAATGCTAATCCCCCAAATCCATCCATTTCTGAAAATTACAGCAAAAGCAAATGTTGTCCATTCCCTTTAAACAAGAGAGCAACACTTTCTGTGTGGAAAGTTGCAGCTGATTTCAGGAACAGAGCCCATTACACCATGCATAGGATTTACACAATAACTTAATGATCGATTTAATAAAAAATTGCGTAGCTGCAGTGTGCATCATTTTCAATCCATGTAACTCAAATATCTTGGACGAGGATATAGCAGTTTATACAACATTTGTTGGAGTATCATTTATGTTCAATCACGAAACAGTTGCTGAATAACCTCTGCCCGCAATGTTGACGTAAGTTGACGTAAGTTGTAACCAAAGTTAAGGTTATAATAACAGAGTTGTAGTCGAGTACCTTCCGAGTACCTTCTGAATACTTTGTTTATAATTGAGCTGTTTCTTGTGAACAACGCAAGAGAAACATTGACAGCAGACAGCAAAATGAAGTCAATGTTAAAAAAAAAATTTATTTGAGACTTTGGTTACATAAAACCCCTTTTTAATTAACCTATTGGGACAGAAGTACCCTAAAAGTACTCGAAAAGTACTCTGCGAGTACTTTCCTGAATAATTTTGTCTTAAAAGGTTAGTTCGTACAAGATTCTGATTGTCTAAAGTGTTTCATTTCTTTTGATGGGGATTTATGTTCAGTGTGCATTAAGATAGCAGACCAGTAAATAAACTTCCATAGACCCCAATGGTAAATGCTCCCACTTAAAAAATTCGGGAAAAATACTCACAACTCTCCAAGGTGTTTGAGACACACATCAAATTAAAGCTTATTTCATCATCTTTCATTTTTTTTCAATTTTTGGGGGGTAAACTGATCACTTTTAGGAGAAATTTCCATCTGAAGATGATCACCCCTGAATATAGTCCTGAAGCTCATCGCCATTTTGAAAAACGATGCCTACACTCCATTGCAAAATAGAGCGCTTTTAGGGTCCAAATTACATCAAAATTACACAGAACTGCAAGCTCCCAGTCCTGTGCACGGCTTCCACCCATATTTTTTACAAACCCTCAAGTTCATGGCCCACAGCATGCTCAAATACCGAAGATTTTGAGGGCATGCAAATCGTGATTTGGCCGGCGCAGGCAATTTCGGACCGATTTTATATTGGTCTGCACCCTTATGCAGCTTTCTCCATACCAAACCATCATAATCTCTGGTAGCTAAGCTGGTACTCGGAAAGTACTCGACTACAACTCTGGTAAATAACATGAAAGCTGGAGCTTACATATAGAGCAGTTAATCCCCGTGAAGCCAACGGGACAGCGGCAGAGGTAGGTGCCACCCGTGAGGCGTTGGCAGGTTCCACCATTCTCACACGGGCTGGTGACCCAGCTGTCGCACACATGTACGTCCAATTCTTGTAAGACACAAAAAACAAATTTACATTCAATCTTTTTGTAAACAAGTGCGAGTGCACAATAGGCTCTGGCCGTCTTGCATAAGCCCCCCCCCCCCCCCGGGTTTCCCATAAAATATTGTCCCATCACTGCAAGATTCCCAAGATGTTAATGCGAGAAAGTAAAAAAAAAACAATTATGAAGGGCGCTCTACAACTCAACCATCGCTACCAATCACCGAGGTCTTGGGCAAAGACTAACACAGAACTCATCCCCCGGATATGAATTGAGACGGCCCTAAGCTGATGAACCCCCTTTCAGATGGAACAATTTTGACACTATTCAAGTAACTCCATAACTTTCATGTGCTACCCCATCATTTTTTTGATTTTAAATTACCTTTTTTGATACCCCCTAATTTTAAATTTAAAAGCCTAAATTGGGAAGTTTTACTTACCGGTTTCGCAGTTATAACCTGTGAATCTTGGCGGACAAGAGCAGATAGCAATGCCCCATAGGGACTCGCAGGACCCATTGTTGAGGCATGGGTTGTTATCGCATGCAGCATCCGCTAAAATGAAAAACACCAACAAAAAAACACGGATTTTGTTTTATTCATTCTATGAATTTGGATCCATTTTTTCCCCGCCCTGTTACATCTGACATCTATGATTTTGTAATGCTGGATACACTCCTTATTACTGCAGTCATCCTCCAAGAGTGATTATGAATAGCAAACAACCTCAACAAAACAAAAATTGCTTGAAGTCATCATTAATAATACTTGAATGGTAAATTAAGTTCAGCGGAACGGAAGCATGAAAATGTCACACTTTGGACCCTGAATTTATTGAATGACTCACATGCATTCATACCCTAGTACCATTTGTCAATTGTGGAAACAGATACGTGTGTTTGGACATTCCTAATGTTGAAAACACCAGGTGTAGATCATGGGCTTTCTAGGATTTTTTTTTGGGGGGAGGGTATACAAGGTTCTGCGGCACATATAGCAGCCACTGCCAGAAACACCATGGCAAACCCCTTCTCTTACCGATAAGTGTTACTGGGTTCTTTAACGTGCATTACACAACACACGGGACCTACGGCAGGCGCGGATCCAGGATTTGTTCTTAGGACTAATGCGAGCGCGGAGCGCGGAGCGCGGAGCGCGAAGCCCTTACGGCGTGGGGTCCGGGGCCCGCTTAAGGGCCCCGGGAAATTTTGGATTCTAGATGCTCTGTGATGCAATCTGAGGCGATTCCTGGCCCCTTTCCCCCTGAATTATTTGTGCAAAAGTTGATAATCTTGTAAGGATTTTTTTTAAATATACTCTTGTTTTTACAAATTTTAAGCTACTGTGTACTTCAAAGTTGCAAACCATGTATTTTTGTCTTCATAATTTCTTGCATTGTATTTAAAAAAAAAAAGGAATTGTATTGACTTAGATTGTAAACTGTTGCAACGGGCAATGCACTGAGGCATTTGCTCCAAGGACTAATGCGAATGTGAAGCAGTGTCCTACGGCGTTGGGTTCGGGGCCCACTGAAGGGCCCCGGGAAATTTTTGATTCTATAGATGTTCTGTGGTGCAAACTGAGGCGATTCCTGGCCCCATTTCAGCAAAATGTTGTGAAGATTATTAGGATTTTTTTCATTATCGCTTCGGTTTGCGGTAACACCATGTGTTTTTTTTATTTTTTGTTCATTGGTTTGAAATTGTACTCTTGTATTTCTTAATACAAGCCTAGTTAAGTTTCTTCTGTTCTTCACTTGATAACCAAGTATTTTCGACTGCATAATCAATTTCTTGCATTTTATTTTTGTAAAGGAATTGGATAGGCTTAGATTGTAAACTGTTTTAAGGATGCGTCGGTACATCTGCCCCGAGGACTAATAATGCGGAGCGCAATGTCTTTCGGCGTGGGGTCCGGGGCCCGCTTAAGGGCCCCGGGAATTTTTTTTGATAATTGGATGCTCTGTGGTGCAATCTGAGGCGATATCTGGCCCCTCTTTCCCTGAGTTATTTGAGCAAAATGTTTTAAGTTAAATAAGGATTTTTTTCATTGGTTTAATATACATGTATACTCTTGCTTTAACAAGCCTTTTAAGTTTCTTCTGTTTTTCACTTGATAACCATTTTCGTTTGCATAATTGTTTTCGTGCATTTTTGAAACAGAATTGTATAGACTTACTTTGTAAACTTTTGCAAGGATACTTTCTAATGTTTTGTATCAAGTATAAATTTTCAGTTTATCAATAAGGTAAGATTTTCTACGGACATTTTTTACTGAAACGGACATGTTTTGGACTCCTTGGAAGCGCGTGGAAGAAATGCTGGCAAATTGTTATACGAAAACACACCCCTTGACCAATAGTCCAAAGAGCAGCGTTCAACCATGGATCTGATCCGTGGTTCAACGTGTATGTCGCGCTCATCGCGCTAAACACAGCACATTGGCTGTCACACGTGCGTGTTTTTCGTACCGGTACGTACGCTCATATGAATCGCATTTCATAACCCATATACCATGCAGGGTTACGTATGGATACGTACGGTGGGATCGCGGTTTACTTCAAAGCTTCTCGAGTTCCCTGTGTCATACGGCCAGTACACAATGTTTGCAGGCCGCTGATGTTTAATATCGGCGCCGGCATTTTTGTTAGAAGGTTGCCCTCCTCCTTCCCTCCATTTCTCTCACCTCCCCCCCTTTTTTATCCCCCCTGTTTTATTCATTTTTTTTTTTTGTGGACTCAATTTGACGGGGGGCACGTGCCCCCGCGGCCCACCCCTGGATCCGCGCCTGTACGGCCTTATGTCCCATCCGAAGGACGAAGCAATAATGGTAAAGTGCCTTGCTCAAGAGCACGCGCAATATATTTGCACAGTCAGGATTCAAACCCATGTACCACAGCACACGAGTTGAACACCTTAACCATTGGACTACAGCACCCCCAAAATATCCCTGTTCAATAATTCCTGAGTTCACTTACCCATTACTTTGTTGTTTTTTAAACTTTTTTTTGGATACGGCTTCTCAAGTTTAAGAATTTCAAGAATATTACCTATCGAACAATTTACTCCCAGCCAGCCCGAGCTGCAGATGCAGTATGGTGAACCATAGAAATCGTCGCACATCCCTCCGTTCAAGCACTGCAGCTCTGCACACGACGTGGGGAATACTGGCAATATGATAAAAACAAACGAACAATTTGCAATGAAATTCACATTCAGCATTCATAGGTTTTGAGATTAATGCATTGACTATTAAAGGGAATCAATATGTGTTTGGCCGGTTTTAAACAAGCATGTTTAAAACCGGCTAGGAGCCTGGTCATCGATAATGGCCTCGGTTTTAAACTTTTTAAAACCGGCCAAGCACATATCTATTTCCGGTCAAAAAGTCAAAACAATTCAAAAATGCACTTAATGATTTCCAATGCTTTTTATCAAACAATTTTACCTCAGGTTTTGCGAAACACCCCTCCTGCCACATTTATGGTATGTGCCTCACGCACGTATAAGTGCTAAAAAACTCCTTACTTGGAAATTAATTGGCACGCATGTGCCACGTACTGCGCGATGTTGCACAGAACGAAGCAGTGTTTTATCTGCGGTTTAAAATTAGCTAAGTGACGGGCTCTCAACCAATAAGAATGGGCAAACCGTCTCAGGTATTTAGGAATAACATTTAAACTAATTATATTTTTCACTTGGAAAAACACACAGCTGTTTCGGCTTTTTCGATCGTAGTATATATGTTTAAAGGTAGGGTATATCATCTGCATCTATCCAAAAAGTAACCGACCAAATTATTTTTGAACAGCATACTTGGGTTAAAGATAGTAATGGCACTTAACTCCTTGTGAAATAATTCTTTCCGGCAAGCTGTCATTTCGAAGAAAACAATAAAAGGAGGTCTTTCCAAAGATGTGTCTTAAGACGCGTCTTTGAAAATTTCCATTAGTAGATCGTTTTTATTCGGCGAAGCTATGAATGGGTGCAAGCAAGAGTGCTGACACAATGCACACGCGCACGTGGTTGCTATAATTCATCGGTTCAGTGAGTGACATCACGCAGCTGCAATCTGTTGAATGAGAACGTGTCCTGGATGCTGATTTCGGGCGCAATTCAAAACATGACTCGGCAACTTTTGAATTGAAATCGAGATCCTAGAATATTGTTTTCTCGGAATGTACAGCATTCACTGAGCTAAAACTTCATCAGGTTAGTTGTTAAGCGCCCTTCTTTAGATTTTGAACACTTTTGTTGCTTCAAAAATGGGGAAAAAGAATCACAAACGACAAAAGATATACTGGTATTCTTCCTTTTAAGAACTACTCTTACATATTGTCTGTAGATGCAATGAAAAAAATATTCAAAAAGTCCATATTCCAAAACACATGAGAAATTCACGTGATCTTGTTATCGTAATGTCACTTCACATTCCACATTTGATGCCCTTGACTTGTTGTCAGACGACAAAAAAATGTCAAAAACTTACGTGTTTCACACCTCTCACCACCATAGCCGACCGAACAGTAGCAGGAAATATAATCCTCACCGTAACTATAACATTCGCCACCATTGAGGCACGGGTTGGATAAGCAGGGGTCCATATATGCTGTCAAATGATTAGATAAAAACAAGCGTCAAGGAAAGAAGGAGTACCGTAATTTTCGGAATATAAGCCGTGGCTTATACATGTACGTTGATTTTGCCAATGAAAATGTGTACTGCTGCTTATACACAGGGCGGCTTATACGCCGAACCTTGAAGAATAAATATAAGATTCACATGTGTATTTAATGTACTGGTATAAGAAGACATCTGTTGCTGAAATGAATTATCAATCAAGAAAGTCATTGACAAACCGAAACCACGTCCCACGTAAAGGTTCTGAGCGGTACAAATTATGGTGAAAGCTAGCTAGCTGTCTCCGATCGACGCTTGCGACAAGCCGTACGTGATACGAGTGCTGCATGCATGCCATGCAGCATGCTTTCCCCCAGCGGACCACACCACTTGTGGTAATAAAGGGGTGTACTTCCTTGGGAACAATAATTACCTATATTTCTGCTGTTTCAAAAAAGAAAAAAGATGACTAATACTTTCTATGGTGTTCGAAACATTTCTGTATTTGATAATGAGGTGTTTAACATCACAATATAATTTTTTTCCTTGAAATGTATTCAAGAAACGATGTAAACTCAAAATAGGGACTCAATCACCCCTTACAAAATTAATGGATTCGTCCATAAATATGGCAGCATTGTTTAGACTATTTTTGACAAAAGTTACGATAGTAACTTGAACTTTTAACGTTACTACTCATTGGTAATCACAACAATTTGTTTTGAGGTAAAAACGGACTGTTTATTCTTAGGAGAAAACAAATCAGCATCTGTTGCCACAAAGCAAGATTTGTACGTAGCGCTCCAGTCAGGGGGCCAACAATTAAAAAAACGCACTTGTTTCTTGTACTCACCATTTTCGCAATGATCTCCATTCCATCCATTGTCGCACAAACAGAAGGCATATGTATGGAAACTTGTACAGACCCCATGCCCACTACAATTGAAGGTGTCACACGGATCAACTGTACCTGCAATGGATTCATGGCAAGACGATAGGCAATGAGTACCTGCTTTGAGGTGGTCCGTGGCATTTTACATTCAGGGTACAAGGAAAGGTGTAGCGGGAATGGAGGGATACAGCAAGGTTGAGGAGAGGCACTGAGCAGGGGTGGAGGGGTACAGCAGGGGTTAGGAGGGTTGAGGAGGGACACAGCAGGGTCAAGGAGGGGTACAGTAAGGTTGAAGGAGTAGTATATTAGGGGTGGAAGAGGGTACAGCGGGGGTGCAGCAGAAAGTGGAAGAGGTGTAGAGAAGATCAACCCAGTAGGGATGGAGAAGGGGTACAGTAGCATTAAAAGAAGGATACCGTGGGGTTGGAGGACGAGTACAATAGGGTTGGAGAAGGGGTACAGAAGGGTTGGAGGAAGGGTATACAGTAGGGTTCTGGAGGAAGGGTACAGTAAGGTATGATGAAGGGGTCAGTGGGTTTGACAATAGCGACACTCAGGGCACTGCTTACTTGCTGGGTCTGAGCAGTCAATGCCTTGCCAACCTGGCTGGCAGTCACAAATCGGATGATCGGACGGTGTTAGGGAACAAGTCCCGCCATTCAGACAAACGTAATTTGCACAAGGTGAGATCGCTGTCAGGAAAAATATAAAAGAATAAAAACTCAATGGATGAAAAAAACCACCAAAAAATGGGAAATAATTCATCCAATCGTAACATTAAGAGATTTTTGCACATTGACCCTCCTATGCAAAGAATCATTCTGCACCAAGTTGTCTTTTCAGTCGAAATCAATCAAGTGACTGTTTTCAACAGTTAAGACCCCCAGCCCACATAAAGCTGGATTGACTGGCTGTGACAGATGATACAGCCGTGCTTTGACTGTAAGTATAGGTTGGTAAAGACAGATGTGCCACCATTTTCCTGCTTTTGTCTGTTGCCTGAATTAGACTAGTCAGAGTGCTTGCATATAATATGATCTGACTGTTTGTGACTAGCCTGTGTAAAAGGCATGGCAGGGGAAGTGGATGGAATTTTGGACTGTCTGTGCTGTTTAAACAGTAGGAGGGTTAATAAAAGACTTACATGTAACACAGTAGTGCCCATACCAGCCGAAGGAGCACTGGCAGTAAAAATCGTCTCCATACGAAATACAGGAGGCGCCATTCTGGCACGGATTAGAGGAAGAATCGCAGACGTGGACACCAGAAACCGCTGTAAAAATCAAGCAGTGGGAACATATATGAAGAATTTATTTCTAAAATGCGCCATTTTGGTTACCTTTTACTATCCCGCCCTCTCCTGGTTGTCCATTTAAGTCAGTTTGGACAGCTGTTATATAGTTGAACACAATTTAAGACTACAACAAAGTCAAAAATAAGGGAATAAATGTGTGCTTAGGAGGAGTTAAACACTATGTTTAAGACCGGTTGGAGTCTGGATGCTGATAATTACCCGAGGCGAACCTTTACGGTAAAAGAAATCACAATATTTCGGTCCAAAAGTCAAAACATGTCAGAAATTAAAAATTCCCAACGATTTTGTTCAACAATTTTACTTCATGTTTTTCGAAACACCCCTCTAGCTACATAATGCAGTGTCCAGCTCGCGAGTAAGACGTAAACAACTCCTTTTATGGAGATCGGTGCGTGCGTCGTGTGTACTGCGCGATGTCGCGCAGGTGCAACTGTGGCAAGTGCGTTGTGACTATGAAATACTGACTCACTGGTAGTATTGCGCATGCCTATGTGAGGATTGTGAACGTTCAACCACTAAAAAGATAAAAGGCACTGGACTTCATAGGAGTCCAAATTTCATGTGACACTGCCGGAAAAAGACCAGCCAGCCATGTCTTTATCATCTTTATACACGTGACGGGCTCTCGACCAATGGGAATGGGTAAACTGCCTTGGGTATTTGTGAATGAAATTTCAAAAACAGCATAAAGAATCATAACTGCAAATATCTTTCACATTTTTTTTGAATTGGATATATCACATTTTGGAAAGAATCTTCGATATGAGGGCACAAAAATAAAACAATACAGTCTTTATTAAAAAAAAATCCAAATACTTGGAGGTAGTTAGGTATCCAAGTTTTGAGAGGAAGCATATATGGAAACAGACAAAAAATAACTAAGTTTTGAACTTTTTTTTTCTGTTCACAATTTGAACAGCAAACTTCAGAACTGAATAGTTTGGCACCATCAGTTGTCAGGAAAAACATGTAAAATGTTAAATATTTAAGAAAGTGTAATACGTAAAAAATTTCAAAGGAACGGATATTTGCTGAAAACATGTGCTAGTGTAAAATTCATGTTGAAGAACCATTAGGTAGGTTAACTTGTTCGTTTTAAGCCTAAGTTATGGGCCTGTCCCAAATATACCACATATTCAAATAATCCGATTATTCAAATAGCTTTTTGCCAGTTTGAATATTCAAAGAAAAAAACTTACGCACGTGCACACACGATGATGATGTTAATTTAATCGTATCGTAATTTAATCGTAATTGCAGCGCTTCATTGTCAGATGCCACTTTTTTGGTCGACGAGGGTTTGTTGCTCCCATCCTTTTCGATTAAAACCCTTGACACTTATAAGACACCTGCTGTAAAACACTCCAGCCGTCCGATCCATGATATTCATCGACACAAACAAATTTTGACCGGCGTGTTTTGCATCATTTTTTTTTACTGGTGTGGCTGGAAAGCAGTGGCAGCTGGCGCGTGTAAAACTTGAGCAGAGAGTTTCAAATAATCAAATATATTTGGTGAAACGCTGTTCCAAATAATCAAAAAGAAAATTGACAGCCCTACTTGAGTTCACTTGTCTTATCTTACCAAATTCGCAGTTGATTCCAACATAGCTCATATTGCAGCTGCAGTAGACGATGTTCATGTCGCTGTAGCATGTACCTCCATTCTGGCAAGGGTTCAGGATGCTACAGGGGTCCGTGAGGGTAACTGACGGAGGGGCAAAGATTTCCAAAAAGTGGGAAATTGTCTATTAACCTGTTAACCCTAAACTCCCTAGTGTCTCTTACTAAGTACCGGACCAAGTCTACCAATATCCAACACTGACCCTGCTTCACATAATGCTTCAGGACCAAATCCGCTGAAATCCACCACACCACCACCACTACTACAGGTGGATTTTGATGGACTTGGTACTCACAGCTTAATTGCCAACCAAAATTTAAACAACGATAATAGCATTTGGCTCGGGTTGCAATTCCTACTTTTTTGGACTCCATTCTGATGCGTACGTCAAAGTGTCATAAAATTTTGTTACCATTGACTCCAGATGACCCTGGCAACAGAATGGAACACTTCAATGAAATCAACTACTGAGCTGTAATAGTCACATTACATGATTATTTCCGAATTAAGAGTTGTTTTAAAAATTAACTTTTTGCTGAAAACAAAACAGCTTGCTCTGTGATGCACCAGCTGCTTTTTACAGGGCCTTGGCATCGGAAAAGTTCTCAAATTTATCAGAAATTAAAAATATTAATAGAAATATGAGACCCACTATGCAGCAACTTATATGAAGGGTATACAAGTTGCTGCGGCGCATATTGTAGCCACTGCCAGAAACACCGGGGCAAACCCCTTCTCTTAGCGATAAGTGTTACTGGGTTCTCTAACGTGCATTACACAATACACGGGACCTACGGCTTTACGTCCCATCCGAAGGACGAAGCAATAAAGGTAAAGTACCTTGCTCAGGAGCACAAGCACCATGTTCCCACGGTCAGGATTTGAACCCATGTACCACAGCACACGAGTCGAACACCGTAACCATTTGACCACTGCAACCATTTGACCACAGCACCTGTGGTCTAGTGGTAGAGCACAGTATTCATGATCGTGAGGTTGTGGGTTCCAGCCCCGCCGTGGCCATGCGTGTTGTGCCCTTGAGTAAGGCGCTTTTACCTCAATTACTCCTCTCAACCCAAGGGCGGATCCAGAACACAATTTTTGGGGGGGCCAAAAAAATTTTGGTCCCCCAAAAAAGTGGGTCTTAAATTTTTGGATTCTAGATGCTCTGTTGTGCAATCTGAGGAAATTTCTGACCACTTTAACCAATTTTTTTGAGGAAAAAGATGGTGGTGTACTCATTGCCTGCCTTTATTGCGATGTCACATTAAAAAAAAAAATTGGTTTCGTTTTTTTTTGGGGGGGGCCATGGCCCCCTTTGGCCCCCCCCCCCCCCCTGGATCCGCCCTTGTCTCAACCCAGGTGTTAAATGGGTACCGGCATTACTTAATGCTGGGAGCAGCAGCATATGAGTCTGGCCCAATCGCTAATGAAAGAGATGAATTCGTCCCTTTACCTTACTTTACGTCGAATGAGAGACTTGATCAAGTAGTTTTGACAACTTACCAGCTTCGCACGTTCTGCCCCACCAACCAGACGGACACAAGCAGATCGGCTCACCATGGTCAGCATTGCAAATCCCGCCGTTCTGGCACTGCACCATGTTGCATTGGTGGACACTTTCTGTGAAGGAGGAAAATCAAAATCAAGTCCATCGTAGCCCTAAGTGTTAAAGACACACTCATTCTCTTGGATTTTGTATTAGATCATCCAACAGTGCACCATTAAATTAGTTGTCAGAAAGCCAAGTTTGAGATAAGATGTCCTGATAATGTGACATTTTGTCAAACACAGCTTTGAAAATAAATGCAAATTCTAAAGATTTATAAGAAATGCATCAAGTACATTTCTAGGGAAAGATTGCATTCTCACTGGGAACAAAAAGGAAATCACAAAGGGAGACTGGCTAGGTGCATTTTAATTATTTTAAAGGGAAGATACAACATTTGCCAACATCAAAAAACGAAATGATCAAATTATAACAAAATATCTTACTGGGCTGTTAGTGAATGACAATCTAAAGCATCCCGTAAAATTGTGGTTCCTGGTGTGCTAACACTTTCAAGAAAACTTGTATTTTTCCAACGCTGGTCTGCCAACCATCGTTGGAGAAAACTGGCTTTTTTCAAAACTGCTCCTAATTGTTCATATTTAGTCATTCCGCATTTTCTTTGCAATTGATGACACATCTGTGTAGGGGTACAAGCCTGCTAGACTGACTCTTTCCTCATAATTTCCAAAATCTATAAATTACAACGTCTCATCTTAAGTAAAGTAAAAAAAAAACGGACTACAAGAATATGGTTGGTTTTCTTAGATTTTCCAGCATCTCCAAACCCAAAACGTGAAACAAGCTAGTTTAACAATATTTTCTAAAGCACACTAATCCTCCAAATCCATTTATTTCTGAAAATTGCAGCAAAAGCAAATATTGTATATTCGCTTTAAAGGAAATGTACAACATTTGCTTTTGCTGCAGTTTTCGGAAACAAATTAATTTGGAGGATTAGTGTGTTATAGGACATATTGTTAAACTGACTTGTTTCACGTTTTGGGCTTGTAGATGCTGGGGAAAAAAAATAAGAAAACCTATTATGTTCTTTTAGTCTGGTTTCCTGACCCCATTTTAGACGAAACCGAGCAATTAATATACTTTGGGGAATTGTAAGGTCAGAGAATCAGTCCGGCAGGCTTGTACCCCTTCACAGGTGTGTAATCAATTGCAAAGAAAAGTCAGAATAACTAAATATGAAAAATGAGTAACAGTTTTTGAAAAAAGCCAGTTTTCTCCAACACTGGTCAGCCGACCAGCGTTGGAAAGTTTTTCTTGAAAATGTCAGCACACCAGGAGCCATGATTTTACAGGATGCTATAACACTGTCATTCCTTAACAATCCAGTGAGGTATTTTGTGATAATTTGATTATTTCATTTTTTTGAAGTTTGCAAATGTTGTATCTTCCCTTTAAGGTTGAACAAAGAAATTGACTGGAGCAGATTTGAACCTGCGACCTCCTGATTGCCGTTCTGGTCAACATCTTTGCTCAAGGGGCGCTAGTCAGATGCCATAAACCACAACTCCAGTTGTGAAATTTGCTCTTCAATATGTTAGCACTCACCACAATTTGGGCCGTTGTAATCGTCCGTGCAGATACAGTACGCCCCCATGTGGTCATGGTAACATGTGCCGTCATTTTGACACTGAAGATATGTGCACTGAGTGTTGCTGGTGGTAGCTGCAAAGGAAAACGAAAGAGTGATCTAGCAAAAGGAAAGTATGTTGAATCCAGACGCTGCTTCTTTTTGGTTGTGTACAAGGAAAAAATCCACCGATGAAGAGCATGGGGTAGTCCAATGCATCTTTAAAGATGCATACACTGACAAATTTATATTCTACCAAAAACAAAATATGGGAGGGGGGTAGTTTTGTTTGAAATACGTTGGCCAAGTTATGTAAAGGTTACTTTAGAAATGTGGAATTGTGGATCTTTGCAGACCTCCAAATCAAAGTTCAGTCAACAGTTTGGGGCAAATTTGAGCAAGGACCAGTGGTGAACTAGTGGTTGGTTCGTGACGTAACTAGCGCAGGCACACTGAAGTTGAAGTGCAAACGTCTCTAGTCGAACTATTGCCATGTCAATGGCGGTCGCACATTACTATTCAACACTTATATTGTTTCTCTCTATTTACACAAATAAGGCAAAAAAACAAAAAAACACGGTCTCTGGTCAGACCAAAGTTCCGGAATTGATGCGGCGACGCGGCTTTTTTTTTTTTTTTTGGCTTTTTTTTTTTTTTTAAGCTTGGATTGTACAGACAAGGTGGGGTACTATTTTGCTTTTTTTGGTGTCCTCATGTACATTGGTGTCCTCCATAATTTGCCTTGGTGCCCTCGATCATTTGCCTTGGTGCAATTTCCCATTCCTTGGTGCTCTTTGGTAAAAAAAGAATTGAGGAGGTGCGGCAATAGAGGGCGCTGTTGGAGCTACCGCGGAACATTTTTGAAAAAAAAAAAAGATTGACGCGCATGATTAAAATCGACGCGCGTGCTGACCAGAGACCGACTTATTTTTTTGTTTGGCCTAATAGTGATTGTGTAGGCCTATAGCTTAAGACATCTTACATAATTGCCAATATTATTGTACAATGGTGACAAAAGTGACATAATCGCAAACTAACATGGAAAAACTGTGCAATGAAAATGAAATGTAGTGCTTGCAGTTTCGTTTTCCGCCATTTTTGTTGACAGTTGGTCCTATCGGCACTATGTTATGGAAATTCCTATTGATAACCAGCTATAAATGGTAGGCTGGTCCAGAATAGTTGACTAGAGCAGTCCAACCATCGTCGACTAGACAAAGTTCGGGCTGAGTAGTCGAACTATGGTTAACAATAGTTCCTGCGCAAACTTGCCCTTGGCAAGCAGCTTGTTATCAAACTTACCAGTTTGACAATAGCTGCCTGTGTATCCGGCCAAGCAACCACAGGTCCAAGCAGCAACGGGTCCCGGCAACACAGACAGATCACAATTGCCGCTGTTCATGCAGGGACTGCTGGCACAGACATCAAAGACTTCTGAAATACAAAAAGCAACATCAAGAAAAAAAATATTTGAATACAAGTGTATTCCAATGTGTAATACAAGTGTGTTCCATTATTCCAATGTTTCCCTGAAAAAGTCAAGACGCTGCCCTGTATCTACTTCACGTTCTCTTATAGGAAAAAGCCAATACTACCGAATGCAAAAAGAAGAAAAAAACGGTCAAGGCAAATTGAAGGTAGAATACATAAACCTCAGTGACACAAATATTTTTTCACCAAAAACGTTGATCAGCCATTGGAAATGATGAAGCAAATGGCATTTTGGATTGAGATCATTTTTATAGAAAATACTTAGAAAAACTTAAGTTTAAGTAACTAGGACTTTACAACTTGCAAGGGAGGTTTTGAGTTTTTGAGGGAAATTTGGGAGTACAATGACGATGACGACGACAAAACACGCAAAACCCCGCTGAATCGCACGGCACTAACCGTAAACCTCGTAAGAAACTCATAATTTCTACCACAAGAAATTGAAGAAACTGCTTAAAATTACAGAAAAAAAATTACATTAAATTAAAGTAAGTCTACTTTAGGTCGAAAAGGACATTTTTGAATAATAAAAAAAAATTTGACTCTAATTGATCGAAACTAAACAGGAGTCCTACACCACACGATCGCCCTATTAAAGTTAATTCCTCCATGGGAGGGGCCGTAGACTGTAGACTATAGATATGGCGGATAGTGAGTTAATACATATGGTTACACAATCATGACAATCGATATTTTTTTACTTCGAAGTGGCTATCGTTACGGCAGCCGTTGTTTAGCGCCCTCTACGATACTCTTTTGATACGCACGCAGGTATATAATTATTTGTTTCCCCACGTTTTAGCGAGCAGTGCGACAGCTCAATCGATAGAGGGTAAGATTTTGCACCGCGAGGATGCGGGTTCCCATCTCAGTTTTGTACTCGAATTTTTTTCCTTTTCTAACCTGAGGCTTTGGAGGATTTTTTTTAAAAGGGAAATAAAGTCCGAATTTCATAACGTTCAAATTCACTTTTTTCCTTCTAATTTTATATTTTCTTCTCATGTTTTTATAAAAGTTGCAGTACTACCGTAACGATAGAAAATGGGAAATGCGTTACGGCTGCCGTAACGATAGCCACTGCGTTTTTACTTACTACTACTACTACCATGACTATGACTGAGTACTACCAGACTACGCTCATCACAAACACTTGGCACTTACTGACTTAGAGAGTCAACTCCGGAATACAGAACAAAACACGGAGTTTGATTCTCTAAACGGTCATGAAATCTTGACAAATAATGCTGAAGTTGATGACGTGATGGTGATGCAGGATTCAAAGCTATCGCTTGATCATGGAACTTCCTCTATGGCTTGAAGCCTTGATCACATGGCGGTGTTTATCCTCTCGAGTCTGATCTCTTTAAGTCTGATCCCCTGATACGATTCATCACTGTACACTTATTAGGGACGTTCAGGAACACGCAAGTGGCGCGAACTTGCCAAGTCAGGTTTTTCAAACCTCGGCTTCAATTTCAGATTGGCTTCATCTCTAGCTCAACCATACTGAGAAGCCGATAAAAAGTAAAATCAAATATGCATAAACCTTGGCGTCATATTAAATTGTATGCTGTTAGTGGCATAGAACATAGCCCTACATTGAGTCTCTAAGGGCCCCAAAGTCAGAGTCTTTACGTCTTCAGTAGCCATAGTCGGGACGAAACCGAAGTTTTGAATAATAGCCAATAAAATCAAAAAGGGGTTACATGGGCTAATGGGGGCGCTGTATAATTTCTAATACATTCTCAGAGGGTTTTTTTAAGTGACGTACGTCTTTCTTATTTCATAATGCTACAATAACATTACTGCGTCCGAAAATGAACCTCTGCTCGACGGGAACTCCTTCACTCCTTCGGTTATGCGCCTATCATTATTGTTTCCTCCACCCCTCTCCCCGGGCTGCCCCACCCAAGATGTACGGGCATTGTCACTATTCAAGTGACCAAATCCCCACCCTGGGCAAAATTTAAGTGACACTCTCTGACATACAATGTCATGTGTGGGACATACAGTGCTATAGTGCGCCGATGCCAAAATTCCTACCCTGGGGCTTGAAAAACGTGGCCAAACCCAGGCCCGACATTATGGGGGTATATTGATAGGCGCCTGCAGGTCTCTAACTTTACTTGATATGTGACACTTTGTCTGGGGAGATTTATTCTAGACAAATTTTATTTCTTCAAACAGATTTTGAAGATAACGTCAATTAATTATTTCTATTTCGTACGGACCTTTTTTTAAACTTCATGAACTTGTAGCGAAGTAAGATTTGAGGCTTTGCATGGTGGAGAAACTAAATAATGAAAGGTTTGCGGAAACACCATGTGCGAATAATTTCTCAACTAAGAGAAGGTGAGTTTATACCTCAGTTCTCAACTGAGTTTATACCTCTGGTTCTTTTCAGAACCATTCTCTTAGTTGAGAAATTATTCGCACATGGTGTTTCCGCAAACCTTTCATTATTTAGAACTTGTAGCGACTGGACATCTCCGCAGGGCGCAGTCAAATTGTAAAATTACATGTATAAACAAGTACACTCTAACTCCAGTCCATTTGATTACCGAAAACGGATGATTACATTCAGATCTGAACCGGTGGGGTTATATTCTGAATTCCGACAACCGAGCGGCGAAGGTGCCGAAGAGCCTTGAGTAGAGACTATATACACAGTACGTGTAATACGAGCCGAGTATACACTTAGTGCGTTCCATTTGCGCGCAAAAGCCCAGAATCCCCGCTAGTCTGGTTTCCCAATCAGAATGATCCCCATGAAATTTCTATCAGATCGTGTGTCATATAAAAATAGAACATGGCGTAATGGGGTACGGGTCAGGTTAGCTGGCCTCGCCCGCCTTTATATTCAAGGACGTCAAGGCACAATGCATGACTGGATTTCAACTACGCAGACGCAGGAAATGAATGTTGCTCAGCAGTTTCGGTTTGATGAACTCAAAATTCTCAGAACTGATAAAAAAGACATAACAGGTATTTTGTTGTTACAAGTACAATGAATCCGTCCCGAACATTCACCGAGTGGCGCAACGAAAACGAGTTTGGAAAACTACCGACATTTTCAGAAAAGGACAGGATCCTGCAATGCATGCCCGCATGGGTCACGTGAACAGTGCACAGTGGCGGTCTACCTGACCTTTATAAGTTTCGTCAGAACACAAGTCAGAACTGTAAAATAGTCTACATAGGGCGGTGCTAACAATGGGTGCAAGTTGTAAATCATGTGTCCTGTGACGTCATACCTACGGGAAACGGACGAGCAACAAACATTCAAGCATCTTTTGCACGTTATTTTGCTCACATTAAGCAGTTTATGCCACCATTTTTACACCAATCACATTTCAAGAGATGTTCATGCAGTGCATGCAGAAGAGAACGTCCAATTCGTAAACAAAATGCAACATGCATCTATAGGGTAGGGGCGGTGCGAAAACGAAAAACCAAAGATCCACACAATAATACTTACGGCAACGCATGCCGACATAGGAAGACGGGCAGACGCAGACCGCTATCCCATGCACGCCGTAACATGTCCCTCCATTCTCACAGTAGCCTGGCACACACACCGAAGACGCTGATGGTGGTACCGATGCTGGGGGAAAAGGCGCTAGTGGGATAAGGAAGATAAACCAAGTTAGACAAAACATCCCATAGTACAGGCTTTGTGTTTATAAGTCGAGCCCTCTTAAAAACAACATTGCAAAACAGATGAAGGGTGGTTTCTAAAATATGTATTTCCCGTGCTATTTTTTGAGTTCCCCCTCAAAAAAAATACTTTTTTTCAACTTTCTAGCAATACAAACGTTATTCACGTTTGAATGAGACATTGGACAAAAACTGACGTTTAGTTATTTAATTATTTCTTTACAACATTCGAATGGCTACCAGAATAACCTAGCCTGTTTGGTACATAATGATCGGGATACTGTGCGTCATATGAAAAAAGGGTTCCTATTATAGTGCGTATAAAATGTACACGGAAAACAATACTTTTGGAATAAAAAAATTAAAAAAACAGCAAAAATGTAAATGGTTCGTTCCAAAGATGGGTTTCAACAATGTATTGGGTCATTTCATTTTGTTTTGACAATTATTAAATTCATCAATTTATCATATTTAAGATGGACAGCTTGAAAAACTGGACCGGCCAACAGCCCCTTTCAACAGCCTGGCCCGATGACGATGCGTGTCGGTGAATTGAGTAATCGTGATGGTGATGCGAGAGCAATGGGGATAGGATCGTCATGACCGATACTGATGGTGATGATAAGGATGATAAATGTTCAATCGTAATGACGGATACTTACAGTGTCCCGGCGACCGACTAGGAGTCACGAAAGGCTGACCGCTGACCGTGCCAGACTGCAGTGCGACTAGCGCGCCCAGCACCGCCAATATTCCCACGCCACGCAGTTTCCCATCCGCTGAAAACATCATGGTCCGTAAACCACTCCCGTTCCCGAACTCGTGCTAAAACAACTTCGCACTAAAATCACCGTTAAGTCTCCCTGTACTTTCCCCTGTCCTCAAATAGTTAAGCGAATTCAAACGTCTGCAAATGAGTAGTTCTGACGATCAGTTTCAGTCTCAAACACGGAGCCAACAGTCACGGAGTACTTCACGATCGACTTTCTCCCGTTCACCGCACCCAAACGGTATGACCATCAAAAAGTAGAACCGTTTGCACACGACCTCGAAAGTGCGACAAACCAACAAAATCTATACGTAGTTCGATGACGTGATTAGGTACCGGGTACAAGTTTGCACTTATTATGCATTCTCTATTAATAAAATACTAGTGAGGCCATACAATTATATGAATGCTTTCCTTTACGGCTGGGTGCACCGATTCAGCGGTACATAGTTACTAGACGTACGTAATTGGCTGTAGCTCTGTCGGTGAATTTCGTGTACCACCTGTGGAACTTTCACCTGAGGCAACGCATCACGTGATAGTGTGCGTGCGGTCCAGCAGTTGGTAGTGACCTGGAGTAGAATTCCATAGGCTTTACAATTGAACCTTTGTATGGGTCTGCGGCTCAACTTATAATAAATTATGTAAAGAAAGAACGCTCATACAAGAGCACCGGTCTATCAGTTCAAGAAGATAAAATTACAGGAATTCGTGTCCGTACTCCAAGTTTCGATCCGTCAAGGTTTTGCTGGGGAGTTATTTCTCAAGTGTCCCCCCAAAAAACTGACGCTCATGTTGAACAAAGTTGACCAGTTTCAAGTAGCTTGTCGAACAGATGTTCATTTCATCTTTGTTTTTTGTTTTTGGTTTTTTTTTACCAAATTCAGCCCAAACACGAGAACAGAAATGCCGATCCTCAGAGAGATCATACAAGGACTTTATACTATACAAAACTCCGGCTATTCTTCCATTGTTGTGAAGGAATGTAAACCTTGGGGCGGGTACAGGACTGCGCACAGCACTAATTCTCAATTCAAAATTGATAAATCCATAGAGCAAGGTTCCTTGCGCTATGATAAATCCGAGCATGAAACGAGTCCTTGGGTTTATAAAATGTTGCTGAGCATACACTGCAAACAATTCCTTAGCAAAACAGTTCACCGGACCAAAATGCCAACATTATATAGTGTGAATGAGCTAACTTTATAGTGTTGGTTGGTTTACAACCGTTTCATGCTTAGCAGCTAAAAAAGTTAAGCAAAAATGCCTGCTTATCAATTCCATGAAATTGGACCAAGAACAAATTGGGTCCATGTATCAATGACGATTTTTTTTTTACCAGTTCAGAATAACTCAGGCCTATTTTTACACTGGGGGGTTACATTTTTCAATGTTAATTTTCAACCTCGTCCCGTTTGAATATGCACATTTAAATTGATTACTGTTCGACAATGTTCCCGTCCAATATGCTGACAACTTTGAAATGCCCTAGAAAACATGAACTTGACTGCTATGCAAGAAATGTATTCGCTACTGCAGACATAGCCATTGGATTCTGCTTTGTCATGCAATTAATTCCGATGGTAGACTCCATTCTAAAAAAAAAAAAAAAATCGATGATACCACTGAAGCATGAAGCTGACTGGTGTCAACAACTAACACATGTCAATGACATGTACGTCAAGGCGCTCTCTAGTGTTGACTTTAGCTTGCAGAATTACTCAAGTCTGTGTAAGGTGTCACATCATTGTCCATGTCTGTCTGGACGGATTTGTCATTATTAGTGTCGAAACCGAGGGTGACATAAAAAAAGTCCAGCATTTATTACATTGGCTTAGCTCTGGCAGCCTCGGTTAGCACTGGCAGCCTCGTCAGTATTTCCATACAGATTATTTTGTTTAGCCATTTTGAATTCCGTGCATGGGATGGACCTTTTTATCAGTCTTTAACCATAGTCTTTCCGATGTGCTCTTTTCTCCCATGTCATGCCGCCATCTCCCCCGATGTTATTCCACACATGGGCGTCGCCAGCATTTTTTCTAGAGGGGGGCAAAACATATTTTTCCCAAACAATTCCTGTATTTCTCAACGTATTATCGATTTCTCAGTTTAAGATGGGGGCAAGGACATTTGGCCCCCCCCCCCCAACTCATTAAATTTACACCACTATGACTTCGCGCCTCTCTTTCTTTTCTTTTTTTTCTCTTTTTTTTCTTCTTCTTCTTCTTTTTTTTGCTTTTCGGGGGGGGGGCAAGTGCCCCCCCCCTCGCAACGCCCATGATTCCACATCCTTTTCAGTGCCTTCTGATCGGAACAATTTTTTTTATTTTCATTAAAAAATTAAAAAGTTCTTTGATGTCTCTATTTGAACTGGTTCCCCCCCCCCCCCCAAAAGGTGAAAATTATTCTTTACCCGACTGACACTAGGAATCTGGGAGTGTATGAGGGCTAGATGTTACACTGGAGTGTCGCCCAATTTCATCCGTGCTGAAAGGTAAGGCCAAAAAAAAAAAGTCTCCGGTTTCTGGTATGCGCGCGCGCCGCCGTAGCCACGCGCGTCGGCAGAATGAAAAAGTGTTTTTTTCAATGAAAGATGATGTCTCAAAACCGCCAAACTCACTGGTTTGACTGGAATTCTGCTGCTGCGCAATTTCAACATGTTTTTAGATGGGGTTATGATCGAGAATATACTTTATGTGGCCTCTCTGGACTCCCATATATTTGCACTAAGTTTAGTCGGGCACCATTTGCAGTTATCAGCCGACATTTGAAGCAAAAAAGTCGGGTAAAAAAAAAAAAAAAAGCCGCGTCGCCGCACCACTTTTTGGACAAGCTCCATACCAGAAACCGGAGACTTATTTTTTTTTGGCCTAAAGGCGGACAGGCTTATTTTACCGGACACACCACCTCCGTAAAATCTAAGTGGGGGTGGGGTGTGGGGTGTGGGGTGTGTGGGGTTAGGGGGGGGGGGGCGAGGGGTGGACACCATCTTTCTATGGGGATGCTGTTCAAGACCGATATCATGGTAAGTGTCAGACAATAGCTAGCGCTATTCGGTTTTCAAGGGACGTTAAAATCAACAGCCACTCGCGAAAAACAGGGCTTTCGTCAAAAACGTGGGGAAAAGGGCACTTTTTTTATGTTCAACCCGCTAATCAAGATAACACATGCGGTTGACACATTGCCAGTGGGAGGGGGCGGATTTTTTTTATACCTCCCTCCCCTAGCTACGCCGCTAACCCGCACGCACAAACAACATTAAAAAAATTGTTTCAGGGGAAGATTGTATTTTTCGAGAAGTTATTAAAATATATATATATATCTATAAACCCTTTTCTATAATGTATCTGTTGCACACATTCTTACGTATCTTTACCCGCAGCTACATTTGTTATCATTTCGCTCTATGATCCGTATAAATGCATTCGTATTTTACATGACAATAGTCCACGCAATTAAACTGCATATTAATGTGCTTTATTAAGGTATCAAAATACAAAATACTCCGTCACATTTAAAGTTCAAATCACCCACTGCGAATAGCCAATATAATGAATTTATTATGTGCTCTTAAAAAAAGCAGACCAGCCACTTCCAGATAACAATTTACAAATCTTCAATTGATAAGTAAATATAGTACCACGAACCAGCGATCGATGTACAATCTGCAAAAAAAGAGGCCGCACTAATACAATGTATTGTTTTTATCCTGGCCATTTTTTTGTTTGAATTTGAAATGATAATCTGTGTAATATATTTATAATACAGTATAAAACATTTCAACATTAAAACAACATTTAACAAAATTTCAACGATATTATTTATAATACTGTACAAACGTTACTATAAGATTCCATATAGCCTCTGATAATCCAAATTCCAAAAGGATACTTTTTCAAACGATGTGCCACAATATATGTCAAACTAAATACACCATTGGTTGAAATCAAAAGAGAAACTTAAATATTCGAAAACCCGATATGGGCGTCGATCGTTGGGGACCCCCCCCCCCCCGCCCGCCCCCATTTTTAAAAAGTGGGTGGGATATTATATCGTTGTCCCCCCCCCCACTTTTTCGTCCCCGAATGAAAACTGTAGCCTTCATTTGATTCTATAGATCAGAGTAGCTGATTCAATAACTCCAAACTCAAAAAATGATGTCTCAATGATGATCTTTTGCTAAAACAAATTGTGAAGTGGTCAGATATTGCCTCTGATCGCACCACAGAGCATCTACAATCCAAAATTAAACTTCTTTGCATTGTTTCTGTTTAAACGATTTCTCCCCGGTTAAGGATTGAACATAATAAGATATTACACCTATACAGGATGACTAAACAAAGAAAATGACCTAGATTAATGACTTATTTTTCTCAAAAAGCAATCAAATTGGATACACTAATAAAGTATGTCTTAACAGAGCATGTTCTTCCACTCATCTGAAGAAAAAAAAAGAATGACCGAAATTAATCCATGCTATCCGAAGTTATGCATGTTTTTACTAACAGAAGATGCCATTGGAAGCTATTGAACTGGTGGAGAATTACAGATTACCCACAAGCATTCAAATACGAATGAGATTTTAATCATTTGAGTCAAGACTGAAACATGTTTTTGTTTTAGTGTCTGATTTTGTGTTTTGAATGTAAGGAACAAGACAACTCTTTTTTCCTGAAATATTGATGGCAATTTTTTTGTCTATTTTCCTTTGCAAGTTTTCATCCATTCATGGAAGTGGGAAAACGTCCATGTTTCATTGTATTTAATAGTGTTCATCAGTTTGTACAACGGTAAATGATCAGTAGTGGACAGAGCTCTGCATTTTGTGATCTTCTTATTCAAAAGACATAACTTGGGAATAGAGTAGGCAAATAACGTGAAATTTTCACAGCTACTAGTCAGTAACATGTACTTTATCCATATGCTTTGTTTATGAAATGGAGCGAGCCACATTTTTTACTTTTTTTGTTTCTAATTCGGTCACTTTATTTTGCCTCCCCCTTTAGTGAAATTGAAGGAAGACTTTTATAAAGATGTGCTATTTACAACCTTTTTGCACATGCAGCATAGGCCTACATAAATCATTTTATATATACAGCTTATAACTGATGGTTTTATTTCAGAAATTAAACAAACCAACACTTCGAAAAATTGTGCTCCCCTATCAGCAAAAAAATAATCGACGCCAACGCTCACGAAAGATCGCCTGGAGATTCAGAAGAAAGAGCTCCTACTTCTTTGACGAATGATGCGAGCCGACGGATTTCACCGATGGGGCTGGCCCGGCCTCGGACCTCGGGCTGCTTGGTGGGTGAGCGTACTCGGATATGGACTGATAGGTGTGCTCGGACCTCGCCTTGGACGGGGCACGGGACGGGGTGTAGGCCGGTGGGGGACCCACGACAGCCGGCATGGTCGACTTCGGGCTCGCTGCGTACGCTGACGGATTCCTCGGAGATGGTTCGTAGGCCGCGTTGTCAATCGCGTACTCGTACTCATGGCCCCGCTCGACTCCCGGCATGGGCATGAGAGGCGGAGCGCGCGGTGGAGATGATGCCATCCGCACCTTATAAGATGGTGGGCCCGGTGCGTAAGCGTAGTCGTAGGTCCCCGCACCGGGGTTCCGCACTAAGTTGGACGGCCGGGAATGGTGGTCTCGGATCGGGGTGGGAGTGTACCGACGCGGAATTCTGGTCTGCTGATACCGGTCCGAACCGTGCACGTCTTTGGCCCACGGTTCAGCCACGCCATGGACAGAGCCGTGGAAATCAGCATGAACTCCGGGATCGTAGATGACCGAGGGTATCGGAGCTGGTGCAGGCGGAGGAGGCCTGGACCGACGCATTTTGCTGCAGAAACAAAGGAGGAGAATATACGATCAATCGCTTTTTTTCATGTAGACAAATTACGATTGAATTTTTTAAAAATTGACAAGATAGTACTGTAAATCTTTGAAAGAGGGGTTTTTATTGGCAACGCACCACTTTTCAAAACTGCAGGACATTTCAAATCACAATCGTAAATCGTTACTCTGACGAAAGAGTACCGGATTTAGAGTGCTAGATAAGTCTTAAGGTACTAGATGAGTACTAAATTAATCTTGAAGTACTAGATGAGTCTTAAGGTACTAGATGAGTCTTGAAGTGCTAGATGAGTCTTAAAGTGCTAGATGAGTCTTAAAGTGCTAGATGAGTCTTAAAATACTGGATGAGTCTTAAAGTACTAGATGAGTCTAAAGGTTCTAAATGAGTCTTAAAGTACTAGATGAATCCTAAGTACTCGATGAGTTCTTACCCGGCTTTCGCAATATTCAGGATGAAAACAGCGCCGAAAATCACGAAGAAGAGAACCAGACTACCCACTGATGCACCCACGATTCCGCCTGTGTAGTGGTGGAGTCAAAGGATAAAATATAGAGTGCCACCTTTACTTTAAAAAATGACTTGAGTCATCAAACATTTCCCAAACTAAAGCACGGGTATAATATGCTGTTCGTGTTGCATTCTATAGATTGGAGGAGAAAATCTATACATCCAGTCACTCTGCATGCCTTTTTACCAATTTAGGGGGTCAAACTAGATCAGGTCAACTTTACTCTTTAGCCAGCGAATTTTCTCCAAAAATTCCATTGGGCAAAGAAAAAGTCCTCCGTATTTCACCAACCAAGTTTGCAGACTCAATTCAATTTCTTCAATATTTTGCACATGAGAGGCAAGCCAAGTGATTTCAAAATGAGGCTAAAGACTAGACGTATATACATGTCCAACCATGGGGTGCAACTATTTGAAAAGACTGACCTCTTCATTCAGTGTCACTAGTCTGGTGGCTGACCATGGAGAAATGTGTAGTAATTATAGAGACTACTTCCCGGTTCATACCACATGTTTGTTTCGGCACAGTTGATTGATTTAGTACTAAAGCAGTGTTGGACTGGTTGTTTTAGGTGCCAGTCTATGTTCTTGTATTGCATGTTTTCAATACCTTAAGTTTTGGGACTCTCATAGGCCTTCACAGTATTGAGAGTCCCAAATTTTCGGATTAACTGGAACACCTGACATGACTACTGTGTACTATAGTGAACAGACCGTATGCGTTATAAGGCGAAATTAGAGGGCAATAGGTTTGTATTGCCCTCTGAGATACCTGCAACGCATCGGATTTCGTTAGTTGGGGTGTTGGTTGGTTTGTTTGTTTGTTTGTTGGTTGGTTGGTTGGTTGGTTGGTTGGTTGGTTGGTTGGTTGGTTGGTTGGTTGGTTGGTTGGTTGGTTGGTTGGTTGGTGGTTGGTTGGTTGGTTGGTTGGTTGGTTGGTTGGTTGGTTGGTTGGTTGGTTGGTTGGTTGGTTGGTTGGTTGGTTGGTTGGTTGGTTGGTTGGTTGGTTGGTTGGTTGGTTGGTTGGTTGGTTGGTTGGTGTGTCGGTTAACAAGATAACTTAAAAAGTTATGGACAGATTGTAGGTCTGGTCCTTGGTACAAGTACAAATCGATTAGATTTTGGAAGTGATCTGGATCTGGGTCTGGATTCAGGATTTTGTTTTAAAGGATTCTCCACCATTAATGCAAGTATTTCTTTTGGGTGTACTGACCATATGGCGGGGAGATTATTGTTTAGCCTTGGCGAAGGTTTGCGCGCTCTGAGTGCTTTCTAGTTGGATAAGTAGCCTGTTCTGGCTTCAAGAATAACCCAGTCATCTTATGGGAATGCGATTGTTGCTATAGAAACAGACTTACCAATTGGAAGGCCGGACGATTGGGCCTCGTTGTCTGCAGGTGGAGGATCTGAAACAGCAAGAAAAAAGTTTATCATAACTCTTGGAAGTTTCATATAGTTAACTACATCATCATTACTCCAAACCATTTCTTTCCCTTCAAACTCCAGTCGTCTTCTTACTAGAAAGCTAAAATGATAACTTTAAAAATTGTTGAAAGCGAGGTTTCCGGAACAGATGATAAATACAAAACCTACTTTGGTAAGGATCGCGGCAGTAGACTCCCATCCAGCCGCTGTCGCACCTGCAGCTATATCCACCGTGATCATTAGGCACACACCGCCCGTGATCGCCACAAAGGTTCCGCCTGGTGTCACAAATAGTCACCGCCCGTGTGGTGGTGGTTGAGACCGCGCCTGTTGTACAAGTGTCAAACGATTATTTCGACCGAGCGGCACCATTTTGTTTTGTTTCAATGCCTGCATGCAGTGGAATATCAATATTGAGCTACTTGGCCATACATAGCAGGTGTTTAGTTGTTCTTTTGGTGGCGTTGTTCTTCGTTGATTTGTACCCAACACCATATCGTAAAACATAGAGCATTGGGCGTGCGAATAGCATAAATGCCATAATCGGTGTTCCAAACTTTGTTAATGTAATCCATTCATTACAAGTCAATCACAAGTCTTTGACTGTTAACAAGTGACCGTTGACAAAGGCATTTCTTTGTCGGTATTCACATCCAGTTACTTAATCATCTCATATACAGGGTGAGTGAAAAAAATGTCAGGACCATTGTTTTAGCGCAATTCTGCATGTAGCACCTTCAGAATCTAGGATATGAAAGCCCAATTCATAAGCTTTCTTTTAGTACAAGAATCATTCATATCACATGTAACTTTCAAGTTACGGAATTTTAAACACAACCACCGTTTTAAAGTTCTGTGCACGGATCACAATAAGGTAGGCCTATTAAGTGTTCTTTCAGCAAAACGAAAACAAATCACAGAGGGATCAGGATGTGTGTGAATTGTTTTCGTTTTGCTGAAAGAACGCACACCTTTTTTTGTGATCCGTGGACAGAACTTTAAAACGGTGGTTGTGTTTAGAATTCCGTAACTTGAAAAGTACATGAGTGATTTGAATGATTCTTGTACTACAAGAACGCTGTAATATGAATTGGGCTTTCATATCCTATATGTTGAAAGTGCTACAACAATAGTCCCGACATTTGGGTTTTATTTTTTTTGACTCACCCTGTACAGATCGATAGCATTCAGCTGTCATATTGAGGTGTGTTTTATGTTAATTCCTTAACAATGAATGCACAAGTGTACTGCACCCGCAGTGCAAGCGATCCATTGTATCAGTTGGACGTGTGATTGACTTTCGGTTGACTCTAAATAATTAGAGATGGACATCAGGATGCCATTTTAACCCATAAACAGCCTACCTGGAGAACGGTCCTGGCAAAATTCGCCCTGCCAGCCTGGGTCGCACCGACAGGAGAAACCACCAAAGTCTGCATCAGGAACGCAGCGGCCGTTAAAACTGCATGGATTGGGATGGGCATCACATGGTGCAGGGAAATCTACAGAGAAATATGGAGAAAGGGAGAGAGCAACCTGAATCTGTGATAGTTTCAATTGGGCATGCAGTATTGGCCTCGCCAAACTGATTTTCTTAATGGAAAACTTCTATGCGTGCCAAAGAGGTACATGCAATCATATATATGATGATCTTCATGCACAAATTTGACTGGTGGAAAAGCCAAAATTGTCAAGGCACAATCTTGTGTTTCCCATTTCAACGAGAAACTATTTCCGGGGCGACAACCGTCTTAAAAAGGGTGCTTTTTAGGCAAGGGAGCTGGTGATTATTTCCCAGCGCAAACACATTGAACAATCCTTGTGAACCAGCGAAATGTACTCAATCAACATTAGCTTTTATCGCACTCGATGCAAGGGATGACAGTGCTCTTTGTGCATCCTATCTGCCGTACTACTGTTACCTTGGCACTTTGTAATTTGCCATCTCATGAAAAATGACTTCAAACATTTCGTATTTGTTTGGGCAGGGAGTTTGCTATTCGAGTGCATCAGAATTATAAAATCATAGATGTCAGATGTAACAGATACGGGGGGGGGATTAGTCGACCCCAAATTTATAGAATGCCAGTTTATTTCTTGTTCTTGCTTTACCACGGCAAATTCAAGATAAAAATGGTGAGAGAACAGTTCAGGATTCATATGATACCTGGGGGGTGTGGGACTACACCAATAGGATCTTGGCATAAATCGCCCTCCCAGCCAGTACTGCACACACAGACGAAACCAAGCTCAGAGACGGTATCAGGAGTACATCGCCCGTTGTGGCCGCATGGATCCCATGCGGTGCCGCAAATATCAGGCGTATCTGAGGAAACGGCAAATAAATTCGTAGACATATGTTATCATAGGAAAAAATATTTAGGTCATGAAAAAAAATTCCAGCTGGCCAAAATTTCAATTATGCAAGAAGTTTGTTATGGGATGACTGCTAGGCTTGTCGGCTGACCGTAATGCGCATGCATTATGTGAACGGACAAGTTCTGAACTCCCCTTTGAACGAAATCTTCAATGGCCATAAAATAAAAAGAAAATATTGAGGATTGAGGGGTTTTTTAATTGAAAAGTAAGACTTAATGAAACACGATAAAGAAAAGAAAATTCGTAGGATTGAACTACGACATTTCTTATGTTGCATAGAGATGCCACGGGGAACGCTGAAAAGTTTTGAAAAAAATGTCATTAAGTAATTCAATACCGTCAATGAATTTTACTGGACCAATACCAAGTGCACACAAGAAGAACACCAGCCTTACCACTGAGCCACGAAGTCACGTCGTTCTTTCCTGAAATCAAAACCTGATAAAGTTATCTTAAGTTATCTTTAAAAAATTACCTGGAGATGACGAGAAGGGATCGGAGCAGTGTTCACCGATCCACCCCGGGGCACAGCGGCAGGCCGGCTCGCGTCCCTCGGTGATGTAGCAGGATCCAGCATTCTCGCAGAAATGGTCGCATAGAGATGCCACGGGGAACGCTGAAAAGATTTGGGGAAAAAATGCCATTAAGTAATTCAATACCGTCAATGAATTTACTGGACCAATACCAAGTGCACACAAGACAGTGGCCTATCGACAAAATGGATACTACACTCTAAAACCCTTAGCTCAGACTGACGCGGAGTCTGATTCCAAATTTGATCAGTCCTTTTCCTGTAAAAAAGGACACTTTTCTGGTCAGAATGACCCAACAATGTCATTTTGACCCCACAATGGATCATTTTTGACCCAGAGAGGGACTGAGCAAATTTAGATTCATATTCACATTCCGGGTCAATCTGACTCAGGACCTTTTTTGTTTTAGAGCGTAAGCAATATATCAATTACAAATCAGCTTATAACTGTTAACAGCTAACAGCAAACAAGTGCAAGATACAACATGCAATCCATGCAAAGGCAATACATTCATTTTGTTCTCTTTTTTAATGCTTGTTTTACCGAAGCATAACTGATCCATGCCTTTCGTTGCAAGCGCTTCTAGTTTATGATTTCATTTCTACTGAGGTAACCCATTATATATTTCGTTTAGGGCTGTTAATGTAACATCTGCAGAAGCCGAATGTATTATCTGGTCATGTTCCTGCTGCTGTTTATCGCTTATAATAGATGCGGTTGTCGAGGCTGCTGGCTATATTTTATTCCTGCTTAAACCATTGCTGCCATGCGGCTGTGGTTACTACTGCTGAGCTGATTGACGATAGGCCTACAAGTTTCTTAAGCCACTTTTGTCTATTGTGCAGTTTGCTGCTGCTTCAAGTGACACTGTTGCTGTTTCTGCTGCACCTGAGGCTTGCGATGGCAGGAACAGAGATTTGGATAGAGTTAGACTCACGTTCCGTGCAGTTATCTCCAGCCCATTCATCAGTGCAGTAGCAGTAACCTCTTCCATTTGAATCGTCTACACAAGTCCCTCCGTTGGCGCAGGGTGCAGTTACTGCATTACATGTGTGGTCATCGATAGCCTCTACATAAAGCCAAAGGTATATCATCACATTAGCTTCAATAACCCACCAGGATTAGACCCGTGTCAACTAACAAGTAAATATAACGAGTCCTTTAATACAGTCTACCCTTGAAGTCAACATTATAAGTTGTGTCTCATTAATTTGTATAAAAATAACTGACATCTAGTTCTTTTATTAATTTTTCATTTGTAAAGGTTTGCATCTAGGCATCTAGGCTATGCTTTGGAGTCTTACCACAAAGATATCCGTAGTATCGTGTCCGACAAAGACAGAAAAAGAACCCGGCGTGGTGATAGCACGTCCCGCCATGTTCACAATCGATATCTGCACAGCTGGTTGTCCCAGACGCTATGTTAAAAAGATAAACATCAGAGGTCAGCATTTGAGAACAAATATGTGAAATTACCTCACCCGTAGACTTATTCCAGTCAAATTGTACATTAAGTGCAGACAGTGACATTTTGCCCGACGCGGGCAAGAAATTGAGCAACGACGTTTTGTAATGAAAAGAATAATTAACTGAGTAACTTTGGCAAAGAGCATTGAGAATGTACACATCTATTTACAGCAACTTAGTGCGCGGTATTTTATAATATCATCTGTGGGTTTTGTCACTGTACTGTTGATTTTGTGCTTATACTAAAGCCGTATCTTTACCGTAATATACAAACAGTTGTGACTGGTATAAAGGTGCATATTTTGGCTGTGTATATATAGGGCCTGCATGTATCTCGAAATTCCGATAAAGCCCTGCCATACTTGCCCTAAAACATATGGGGAAAGGCATTACCTTCACTTTTGTTGTAGATGAGATCCCTGATTGGGTTTTCTTTAAGCCTCGGAACAGGTCATAGAGAGAAAAAACCCTAAGTTATCCCGAGTTTGTCCCGAGTTTAAGTTGAGTTTATGTAACTTACCCGTTTGGCAGTTTTGGCCGGTCCATCCTTCCCTGCACACGCAGTAATAACCATTAGTAGTATAGTCATAGTCGCAAATACCCCCATTCTGGCAAGGATCGCTGTGACAGTGGTTGTCATTTTCTGTTGTCAAGAGGCAATTTCAATCGAGTAATGAATATCTGGTGAAACCAATTAGCGGCATCATACCAAACCGTATCGAGCCACTAGGCCGACAACCCATCCCAAACCGAACACAAATAAACCAAACCGAACAGAACCTTTAAACTGAATCCGCTGAACATGCAGCTCAGTTACATTGTACCTATAGGCTAATCAAACTCCACACCGGTTCAATAATCGGCTTTTTCAACTACCCAACGCGTTTGTTACATCGCACATCGCATTGGTGTCGTATGCGAGAAGGAATTATCTGTCGGTCATAAGTCAGTTCGCTCACCACAGTGTATTCCTGCGTGTGTTTCTGGACATGCGCAGAAGGTGATGTCGAAGACTTGAAACAAGCAAGTCCCGCCGTTCTGGCACACTTCAGGGTTGGCACATTCTGAGGGTAAAAAAAAACACAGGACAATAAAGCAAAATGTACCTCCGTATGTCAGACAAAGAGCACACGCGCAAGCATTGTCTTGAAAATGAAAATGCAGAATTACTAACGTAAATCAGCCGTCGTCTGGCGCCAGACAGCACGCGCACCATGGCGCGCGTACTGTTGCTGGTAACCGCAAACCACCGTTAGATGATTGGTTTATATTGCTTGATTTATATTACGTGAATAAATGAATAAGTGATTAGTTCCACGAGATAGTAAAGGCCCTCGCGGCTTCGCCGCTCATGCTAGTCTTTTTACGTGCCAGCATCCGGGGTGTGTTACGTGTCCGGATGATAGGCGCGTGGGACTTGACTAAAGGCTAATAACGAAGACAAGAAAGAAGACCTCAATGGTGAAAAAAAAGGCCAGTTAAGAAATGGAGGCAACATACTCGAATTCGGTCATGCCCACCGCCCTTTCCAAGGGCCCCGCACTGAAAAATTGCCTGGGTTAAATTCAACCAAAATGTTGTGGTCATACAAGACAAAATTTAATTTTAGTGTGGTATGACCACAGGTTTTGGTTGAATATAACATAAATTGTAACCCAAACAGTATTAGGTAAAGGACAACCCAATTGTGGGTAGTTGCAGTTTTCACCCTTGCTAGAATAAAATTAACCAAGGCATTTTTTTTCAGAGTGGTAACTCCCAAAATCTTGTTGAAACCTGGACCTGCATAGCTAGCACTGCGGGCAGCTCACTTGCCTTGATGCGCACAAGTCTTGACCCCAGTTCACAGCCTGAACAAAATTCCTCCATACAATGACAGCTCTACGAAGACAGCCCTGCTGGGCGATCTTGGTTGGCAGGAGAGGAAAGTAGAGAGTAAACACCACACCAACGTGACTCTCCTTATAATAGGATATTTTATCGAAACGATCTTACGCACACACGTGCGAAGGTTCAAGTTAATCCTTATACCACAGGGTAGGCCTATGTTGTATTTCGGAATTTCACCCGAAAGATTGATATGTATTATTTTCCAATTGCTGTTTTCCTGTTAATGTAAAAGTTAATCACGATTGAATTATACATCGAAACAAAACAATTTCACTCATTTTTAGTTGTTGAATCATTACTTTACAAAACTGACATTATCTGCGGCCCGACAATAATCCGGTTATTGCAAGGCGGGTGCATTTCGCGTTACAGGAACAAAGCGAAAGCCCTCTTTTAGAGGGTTGCAGACGCCCAAAATTGCAACGAAAATATTGGGTTAACGTTAAAATTACAAGATATATACAAATTGAAAATTCCTGAGGAGGAAAAGATTTTTTTTCGACGGGTTATGCACAGCTTTACTAAACTAAAACTAAAATCCACATCTCTAAAATTTTGCAGAACCTCACTTTAGCACAAGAAAACTCACACAAACACACGGTAAAACTAACCCGGAAATCACAAACATGCCTTTGTAACTTTGAAACTGAAAAACTACTATTATCTCATTCTAGTTCACTCGTATCCTGAGGATAGCCGGTCCCTCTTTTCAGTACTTGATCTGTTGATCTACTTAGTTTCTAATGTACCCTCCATGGGTGTCGCGAGGGGGGGGGCAAGGGGGCGCTGGCCCCCTCGCAAAAAAAAGGAACGAAAAAAAAAGAGAAAAAAGAAAAGAAAAAGATGCGCGAAGTCATAGTGGTGTAGATTTAATGGGTTGGGGGTGGAACAATTTCCCTGCCCCCCTCTAAAACTGATAAATCGAGAATATGTTGAGAAATTATTGGGGAAAAATATGTTTTGCCTCCCTCTATCTAGAAAAATCCTGGCGACGCCCATGGTACCCTCCGAATACAATTTTAACTCAATAAGAATTAACGTCATCGAACGATCACAATTATAGTTTAAGGAATATACACACACAAACTATTCACCTAAACTGGAAAAACCCCAACTTTTACATAAGGTGAATATTTCATTCACTTCCGCATTGTACCATTATCACCGAGGCAAGCAAAAATCCCCGTTGAAGGCCGAGTAAACAAATTAATCAGTTTCTCGTCCCGATCCCCAGCATGCTTTCTTTTTTCCAGCCCACCTCTTCCCCTCCCCCTCTTTCTTTAATCACATATTGAAATATATTTGGGGTTTTGTTTTTTTCATGTGTTTCCAACACAATTGTGGCTATGTATGCGAGTTAATATCTGATAGAAAGGGTGACGGCTCCTTTGCACATAAAAGTTTCAGCAAGAGAGTCCATAAGATGGAAGAATCCATCTTGGAAAATCCGCCATCTTGAAAGAAGGATCGCCTCGTCCCTTTTTTAAAAGCCTGGACGAGAACCTGGTTCTTTTTAAATTGGCCTAATGAAATGACCATTGCTTTTGAACCGTGTCAATTCATCATTCAAGATGTGCACATTTAAAAGAAACAATTATACAATAAGTCAGGTGCCACTTTCCTTTTGCACGTGACCGTCAAAATACGCGGTCTGAATTGAAATGCCCGCACTGGCCGCAGAACACCAGTATCAGTGTTGTAATCGAGTCACCAACGTCGAGTCCGAGTCCGAGTCCCGAGTCACAAGCCTCGAGTCCGAGTCCGAGTCTCGAGCCACAAGCCTCGAGTCCGAGTCCGCGTCTGGAGTCACAAACCTCGAGTCCGAGTCTCGAGTCACAAGCCTTGAGTCCGAGTCCGAGTCTCGAGTCACAAGCCTCGAGTCCGAGTCCGAGTCACGAGTCACTTGTTCTTAGTTGTTCATCAAACTAATCTTTTTTTAAAATTATTTTTCAATCATCCATTCCGTCTTTTAAGTATATCCCAGTGAATATAGTTTACCTTGTGTGTGTACATGTTGTTAAGACCCAAAATGTGTTTTCCTCTTAATTCCCATCCCTAAAAAAACTTCCTCCATCCCTTCCCTCCTTGTTTTATCATCCAAACATTATTCCTCAATGATCCTTTCCCGTCCCTACCCCTTTCCCTGACGTCCCACTTTGTTCCACTTATTCGATTGTTTTGTAGTCTGTGACACTGTGTATATCCTAATCTGAATTCTATTTTTTTTATTTTGCATTATTATTTATTGAAATTTCAAATACAAGTTTTGAATTTTAAAATATTTTTTTTAGATTTTTTTCTCTTGTAAAGTTCTTTTAAGATTAAATTTTAATCACTTTTTAATGTTTTTTTTTTCATGTACTGCCATTTTAATTCAGCATTAGGGCTGCGAGAGTTGTTTTAATAAAGGTAAACAGACACTCTTTGGTACCGGACACTTTTTGGCATGACACCGGGCCCTGGAGTTCGTCGTGCAGGCGCTAAACGTGCGTGCGCGGCCCCTGAGTACGATTTTCCGCGGCGCCGTGTTTTGTCTATGGAGTACAAAAGAATGCTACTTTCGTCGCACAAAATACGTGACGTTATGTTTTTTTCTTTTGATGAAAATACGTGACTCGAGTCACGAGTCACCAAGCTCGAGTCCGAGTCTTCATGATCGAGTCCGAGTCCGGGTCCGAGTCATTTTCCAATGTGACTCGAGCCGAGTCCGAGTCACGAAAAATGTGACTCGAGTCTGACTCGATTCCGAGTCCTTGACTCGAGTCCTACAACACTGACCAGTATTTCCCAAATGGTAAGAACACATGAAAACATGAAAGGTGTTTGAAATACATCAATGTATTACACATTCAAAAGGGATACCCGTTCATGTATACTGTTCTGTCTTGATAAACCCCAAAAAACAATATTCTTTTGGAAATATTCTGGATATACACGTGGAAAAGTGTGGTCACCAGTGGGGCTTTAAAACGCGACAAAATTTTTATAATATAAGGTTATTCCAAGGAAAATCGAGTGCCAGTTTGTGTATATATTGTCGATAAATAATGGCACCGATGTTGAACACAGTGAGATTGTATTTGGAGCACAGCTAATCTCGAACACACAGTTGTCGATGAAAAGGTTCCTTGTGCACTGAAAAAATCTGGAGTTAAAATAAAGCGGGCTAATTTCCACAATTAACCATCTGCCACCATCTGCACACATAGTGTCAAATTAATAACCATAGGTTTATTTCGGTATATAGTCAGTCCAATATAGGCCTACTCACCATAACTGTAGTCATCGCCATGTCCGTGATCGTGAGGAGAAGCTGTGCTGATGTCGACTGCCAGACCGGCCAGCAACGCCAACGTCCCCGCTGCAAAAGTCCCAAGCAACATCATCAACTTCGGGCCCGAGCCAACACCAGCAAAAAAGTTGGCAAAAGATGCGTCCTCGCAAAGAAGAAAACCTTGACACAAAATCCCGTACCCCTGTTAAAAAAATAAGTACTGTCAGACCTGATGCTTGCTTCAAAATGATTTCCTTAATATAATACATGTATTTCGGTCCAAAACAGGGTGGGATTTTTATTGGTCCTGTTTACGTCAGTGAGTTGTTAGGTGATGATGAGAAAAGCCCAATATCAATTGTCGGATATCAGTATAATTCGTTCACATTTCTACACTCATAGCGCACGTGTACTTCATGAGATTCAACTATTGTTGAATGGCATTACCGGAGGTTTTGTAGTACAAATGTTTACTCCATAATGATCAGAGAGGCACCATGAAGCGATTAGTTGACAGCTGGAGATTAATTTAGGTGCAAGAGTTTTGCCCATCATCGAATTGATGAAGAGGTGGGTCGGCAAAGGAATCGATTTCCAGTCAATCACAAGTCGCCAAATATTAATTGGAATTATAAGCAGATATTCAAATGAATTGCTTTATTGGTTAATCTCTTATTACCTCTCAGTTGATTCACGAATGACTCGACAAACCTGATATGGGAGTACTTATAGTGAAATCGCTTGATATCGATATATCGACTTAAAAAACAAAATCACAGTCACATCAATAGAAGTTCATGGTTAACCTGTCCCGAAGCTAAAGCAACAGACGTCTTTTGTTTGGTAAAAAAAAGTGCTCGCAATAATTCTTTTGACTGCATTGAAATGCCTTCAACCGTTTACGGTGCCGAGGACGCCCAGTTTATCACCAACACATACCGGTACCGTACCAGGGCAACCCAGTACCAAGCTCCGCGTGTATTGTTCGAACTTGACGGCACAAAAGCAGTGCACGGCCCAAAGACTCCATTCAACTTTTTCCTTCTACTTTTTTTCCTTCTACCTTTACCAGAAACAATTTGCATCACAGTGGCATTCATTTTTTGGCAGATATCGCCCCATCAAGTGGAAAAAGAAATAAATCAAATCTTTTTTGTGTAGTTTCTAAATTGGGACGATCACGTCATGGAAAGTGCCGCTCAGTATACGCGCGTGCGTAGGCCTACGTGCAAAGAAACACAATACACTGCTAGCATTGCATGCTGTGGTTTTGGCGCCAGTTGCTATGAGACATCGTTACTGAATAGACTTTCCTAAGTAAAAACAAAAAATCGATGAAAACGACATGTTTCTACGTCGCACAGAAATGTCTTTTAACGGTGGAAATTTTCTTAGCCTTTTTTTTTATCAAAGATCACAGATATCTGTACATTGTTGATTGTTTTCTTTAAAAGAATCAGTTCATATATTGGCAAGGAAGTCTTGTTTTTCCTCGACAAACATTTCCCATAGTTCGTCATGTGTGACATTGCAAGTTCAGCACAATTTGTTAACAGTTTAGCTGCATACAATGAGGCGTTCTGGCAAAATGAGACGGGAATGGGCATGGGCCACAGTGGCGAAAAATGCAACAAACAAGATGGGGGAAATTTCTTTCCAGTTTTTCAGATTTACTGATATTTGGAGTCTTTAATATCTCTACTATATATATTTTAATAAAAGTTGTTTTGAGGGGGAAAATTGGCATCTTTCATTCTTACTAATACAAAACTCGGAACTTTAAATGCCATTTTCTCAGTATTTTACATTTTTTGACATTAAATTAAACACCCATAACATTTGACAGTTAATACAATCATAGCTTCAACGAAAAGTCCGATTGAAATGCAACAAACAGTATTGTACGGAGACTTGTATATATTTCCTCATACCTACAAACCCTCATTTCGACCTCTCAGTGCCTATTTCTGTATTAATATGGCCCGCAGAACGCCTCAATTGTCAGCAACAGGCAACAGCCGAAGTGTATATGATACAACAGCGACCATACTAATTACAGTCACAAAACCTTGGCAAAATCGAGACAACTGCAAGAACACCATTGTGGAAAATAAAACACTGGGAGGTCACTAAACATTTATTTTAATTGGGGACCAAACCACTTAGAGAAAGTACAAACAACATTAAAAAAAATCTCCCTGGAATTTATAGGAACTGTCTTTGGGCTACGACATTTTTGTTTGCAATAATATTTTGCCATGTCATAGTAAAATTGTGACTATATGTCATGTAACAGTCGTATAGGACAATTTTGCAGCACCTCATTTGGAGTTCACCGCATGGCTGTTGACGGGAAGAAAAAAATAATAATACACTATGGGTGTTTCAATTTCCAGTGAATTATACAAAACCTTACCTGTGATCCCACCCAAAGGTAGATGAATGGCCGCTGTTTGTATGAAGAGAGAACGGTTGAGTGAATTGCACGGCCTTATATGGCGATGAGTATAATACGTCGATAGACTTCCACGATTGCTGACGTGGAATAACTACGCAAGGCATGGCGTAGTTATTCCAGCATTGCAAAGCTTGGTTGAATAACCTCATAGATTACCAGAATGCATGACTGAGAATTTGTGTAGATGACTCTGCACATATTCTGCAAACAATTTAGGCTAATTTGTTTTCTGTTCAAACAAACAAACAAACACCCCAACAAACAAACAAACAAACAAACACCCCAACACCCCAACAGACAAAACACAAACAAACAAACAAACAAACAAACACCCCAACACCCCAACAACCCCAACAAACACCCCAACACCCCAACAAACAAACAAACAAACAAACAAACAAACACTTTTTCACTTTTCAATTGAACCTTTATTTCAAAAGAAGTCAGAAAAACACATTCATTTCAAAACAAAAACAAGGTTCAAGTGGCTTAAACTATATATACACAGAATAAACATTTAAAAGATTAAGGACATGATGGTTCAAAAGAGAGATAACAATAAATTAATATTAAAGAATTTGCTGGCAAGTCAAGAGAACATCAAAATTAAAGAAAACAAAAACACGGTGTTTGAGAGCCTTCGCCATCCCCGACTTGAAATAGTGGTGACATCATGTTTCCTGAGACGATAAACGATAGCAACAATGGGGAGAGAAGTATAGAGAAATATTGACTACAAATATCATTGGATCCGTTTAAACAACATAGTGCAAGAAAAGCAATCCAATAAGCCAAACAACTTGGTCATTAAGAAATGTAGACAGTGTAGACAGAGTGTTAGAATGACCCCATTTTTGTTTGAAGAGCGAGAGGTTGTGCGAACATAGAGAGTAGTGGAAGTCTACGAGACTTTTGTTCTTTATAAGTTTATATACGATGCTTCCACACCAGGAGAGGATCAGGAAACGAATGTCGGGAGTGTAGAAAGATAAAATATGTAATTTGGAGATGTGTCACTACCGACCAAACATTTTGGGGAAATCAGCCGTGAAATTGATCAAAATATTTTGAGACACGATTGGTGGCGCTATTCTCCGAGCTCGACTTCGCTGACATATCGAGATAAAGTCGACTACGCGGTAACCTGCTCACGATCTTCATATGTTTCTCGGAAAGTTGCACAAAGTGTGTTAAAATGAATAAATTAATTAATTAATACTCTACAATAGAGAAAGGATAATGGACTATAGGTGAGATATATGCTGGTATTGATTATTTTTATTCGATTTTGAGTGGCCTTTCGGTTTTTATGTCTGAGGTTTGAGGTTGTGCTGTCCCGTCTCTTATTCTCGTCCTGATTTCCCTTTTGTTCTCTGGTAAACTGCACTCCCTTAATTGACTTGAACATTAATGGAACCCCATCTTGGTTTACAGTTTCTTTAGTGCACATTTTCAACATTTAAAGTGATCCGTGCTGAGTGTTTTCATTTTTAACTGACTTCCTTTCAACGAATCGGTGCTAAAACAAAGAATAATCGTCCACGGCAACGCTTCCCACATTTTTGCATCTTTTAACTATTAAAGTGCTTTAACACTGAAGCTACTTCTTGAGATGATGTCATTGAGCTTTACTCATGATTATGGAAAAACGTATTGGCATAAAAAAAATGAAAAGTCCCGACAAAACAAAATATCGTTTAGCTGTCATTACAAAGATTGGAAATACATTTTAAAACATTTTAAACAACATAATCACTGGTGCATTTTAATGCATTAACACTTTCAAAGAAAAAAGGACATGTTGAGAGGAAGGGCACTTTAATTGTAATGATGAACCCTCCGTTGCTGTACTGCAATGAATACTGCAAGTCAAACGTTGTATAAAAGTGTCTTTATCATTCCAGAATCCTTTGCTATACTTCAAAAGAGTCTGAGATTAATCAATTTTAAGTGCTACAGAACATACACAGATAATATAATGAATATTAACATGACAGAGGAAATGGGTGTTTCTCTTTGGTTATAATAAAGATGCGTTTGCAATTGCATTCTATAAAGTCTCAAGAGTTTGAATTGTGCTGGTCCCAGAGAGGCCATTTAAGCGGTCTCTTTAATTATACCTGACGGACGGACCGACCAACCAACCGACTGACCAACAGACTGACAGAACGACCGACCAACCTACTAACCCACCGACTCACCGACCGACCGACTGACTGATTCTGCCAGGGAAAGGTTTTGTAATGATAGCGCTTACTTTGTAATGATGGAGTTATTGTATACTGCAACTAATATTGCAAATCAAACCTTGTGTATTTCTGTCTTTTTTATTCCGTAATACTTGTGCTAGGATACTTCAGATGATTCTCAGATACCTCAAAATTTTAACGAGTGCTGTTAAAAACTGACGATTATGCAATCTAACGGACACTAGGATATGGTGCCTTAATATGGGACCGGCTTAAATAGGCTTACATGGGCTTAATAGTCTATAGTTTTAAATGCAGCTACTCGCAACTTTCAAATGAAAGTGGAACTCACTTTTGGATAAACTGTGACACGGATACTAGCATTTGAAGCTGTGCCATCTAAATCTCACAAAAGTCCTTAATCGATATGTACTGTACTTTGCAAACTCCCATCCTCACTGCTGTGTTCGATCTTTCTTTTCTTATTTTGCGTCCATCCTTGTTTACCGCAGTCGTCGATTAGAGCGCAATCGATACTGAAGAAACTCCACACAAAAGAACAAGGTATCGATTTATGAACAGCGCAACTCCCTCAACATTTTCAAGGTTAGGGCAGTAGTTTAAACAGCCAAAAAAAAACTGCATTGGTGTTTTAAGATTCTCACATCTGCGCCTCGTTTTCTCAGTAATCTAAACTTTACCCAGTTAAAGCCTGAATTGGAGTTAAAGCCTGAATTGCCCAAGGTATAAAATATGGCACGGTGGTGTGCTATATCGTTTGTGGTCTTTGGCGTGTGTTTCGTGGGGTTGATTCGACCGAGCATCCAGTCATCCTGTACATCAGACTGGTCCTACATGACCAGTGATGCGGCCGACCGCGGCCATCGACTGGCCGGCCACCTGGTTCGCAACATCACCGGTGTGCGTTCCCGGGCCGAGTGCCTGAGCTTTTGCCTGCGACAGGGCACCAGCTGCCTGTCCATGAACTTCGCCGAGGCGCTGGGTATCTGTCAGGTGAACGGAGCGACTAGGTCCAGCGATCCGAGCGACCTGGTGGAAGACAAGGATTTCGATTATTACGACCCACCCTCCAGCGGTCACTGGCAGGTATAATCACTTTTAACAGAAGCCATGAAATTGCACTTCCACACAACTTTTTTTTCCGAAAAGATCTGTATGGTATGAAAGTGATGCGACATTTTTCTAAGATAAAAAAAAACAGAAATTGAAACAAGTTGTCAATGTCCATGGTAGTTCGTGACACCCGAGTTCGCTGCTACTGTGAGTTCACCTTTTTAGGCAGTCATTTTCCAATTACTTGATTTTTTGGGCAAACTGTTGAGCCTATAAATTAAGAACTGGCTGTCAACAGAAAAGCGCAGAAATAAGACAATGGACCGCACTAAAAATTATTGATTGTTATGCTGGAAATATTCACAAGACTGAAGCCTTTACCTGTGCTGACATCATTGCTGTGCTATGTATTGAATGTCGTGGAGCACCTGCACAAATGAAATGACAAGGTGCATATCAAAGATGCATTGAAAAAGTTGTATTAAAGATATTAAAGAATTTAATGAACTACACTCGGAAAACCCTGGGTCAGACTGACTCGGAATGTGAATCCACATTTGCTCAGTCCTTTTCTGGGTCAAAAATGACACTTTTCTGATGCAAAAAGAGACACTTTAAGTTTTTAAGAGTTGTATATGTCTCATTGACTGGGAGTGTAGATCAATATAATATGACATAATTCCTCTTCGAAAAATAATTTAAAGCAAGGGTAACTACTGATTGATTTGATAATATTCTGATTTTCCAGGATAGTGCAACCTTCACTTGTTCCGATACCGACGTGTGCTTCAACTCGGGATCCTGCACCGAGTTCTGCCATCCGCCCTGGTTCCGATGCGACTGCGCTGACGGGTTCGCTGGAGAGCAGTGCACCCTCTGTAGGTCAAAAAAATAAATGTTTCATCGTTGTTGTTGTTGTTGTTGTTGTAGTTGTTGTTGTAGTTGCTGTTGTTGCTGTTGTTGCTGTTGTTGCTGTTGCTGCTGCTGCTGCTGCTGCTGCTGCTGCTGTTCTTGCTGTTGTTTCTATGTTGCTGTTGTTGTTGCTGTTGCTGTTGTTGTTGCTGCTGTTGTTGCTGCTGTTGTTGTTGTTGCTGTTGTTGCTGCTGTTGGTGGTGGTGCTGTTGTTGCTATGTTGTTGTTGCTGTTGTTGCTATGTTGGTATGTTGCTGTTGTTGCTGCTGTTGCTATTGTTGCTGCTGTTGTTGTTGATGTTTACTACATTTTTTAAAATCGTTATTTCGTTATTAGCCATAGTAAAATCTACTTTTGACAATAGCCTAGTTGCCCCAAAGTATCTGAGTTTGACAGAACACGTAACAAATATCACTTATTCTTAAATGTCTTTCGGCAGCCACATCGTACGATGGGGTGGCTTCGTCCTGCTCCGCCTACTATTCAGCCGGCCATACCACCAGTGGTGTGCTCCAGGTCAAACCGGACAGCGGCGCTGCCTTCGATGTCTACTGTGACATGACCACGGACGGCGGAGGCTGGGCCGTGTTTCAGCGCCGTTGGGACGGCTCAGTGGTACGTCTCTCACATGGCTGTGCGATCCCTAAATGTAGCCCGCGGTACCTAAATGTAGCCGGAGATCTAAATAGTCTATTTAGCCTGTGACGTACCTCAATGAAACCCGGACCTACGCGTAACCCCAACCCTGAACCTAAAGGTAGTCAGAACTCTAAATGTAGTTCCAGCCCAACCCTAAATGTGGCCCCAAGCAAGTGATCCAACTAATAGCCCAAACCCGTACCCCCAATTGTGTAACTAAATTCATGTATAGCCCAATCTTTCAATGTAACCCCTGTACCTAGCATAGCCAACGCAGAGTTAAAAACCCAGCGCGAGTCCTAAATGTAGCCCAAACAATGAGTATTTAACTCGACCCTATAACCCCAATGCTGTACCCAAATTGCAGTCCGAGCCTGATTAAAAGTTCCAATTCTGTACGTATATGTAGCCTGAGACCTAAATATAACCCAACCTTTTACCTGAATTAAGCCCAAGCCCGAAAAACATTCCAAACCCCGTACCTATATGTATAGCCGGGACTTAAATGTATAGCCTCAATCCTGAACTTAAGCAGAGCCCCAACCCTGCACCTTGAAACAGAACTAGCCCTAAAGTTAACCCGAACTCTGTGCTCTGAGCCCCTGTCTCTTGAAAGAACAGAACACCCGTAGAGAAAAGGGACTGTATTTCACCATTTTGGTACATTTCAGAAATGATTTTGTTAAATTTTCAATACAAAGACCTCCATTTTCAAGTCGATCAACAAGCAATTTAAACAAACTTTGACAGGCATTCCTTTGTCGTATTGACTTTCATGTGATGATCTGAACTTGCACACATACTGCAGAGGGGCATATTCAGTTAACAAAGCTAGGCTGCCAGTCCTCTAGATATTTTGCTACATCAAAGAATTAAGAGTTGCTTGTGTTCATTCGTCGGTACCTCTCCGTACATGTTGCATTCACCTACTGATGCAGTATAAATTAGGAAACATTTCACTGGCTCCTGCGCAATTCCGTTTGTCGATCGCAATCAATAAAATGTTGACTGTACTAGTACAGTTTGCCTCTGAAAGGGAGATGTTTGCACACTTAAATGTATAGCCTCAATCCTGAACTTAAGCAGAGCCCCAACCCTGCACCTTGAAACAGAACTAGCCCTAAAGTTAACCCGAACTCTGTGCTCTGAGCCCCTGTCTCTTGAAAGAACAGAACACCCGTAGAGAAAAGGGACTGTATTTCACCATTTTGGTACATTTCAGAAATGATTTTGTTAAATTTTCAATACAAAGACCTCCATTTTCAAGTCGATCAACAAGCAATTTAAACAAACTTTGACAGGCATTCCTTTGTCGTATTGACTTTCATGTGATGATCTGAACTTGCACACATACTGCAGAGGGGCATATTCAGTTAACAAAGCTAGGCTGCCAGTCCTCTAGATATTTTGCTACATCAAAGAATTAAGAGTTGCTTGTGTTCATTCGTCGGTACCTCTCCGTACATGTTGCATTCACCTACTGATGCAGTATAAATTAGGAAACATTTCACTGGCTCCTGCGCAATTCCGTTTGTCGATCGCAATCAATAAAATGTTGACTGTACTAGTACAGTTTGCCTCTGAAAGGGAGATGTTTGCACAAATGCTTATGCCCGGCGTACACGGGATGAAAGTGATTCTATGAACAATACAACTATTCGATGAAACGAAGAGGCTGTCTGTATGTGCTGGTCCAAGAGGGCCATCCTGCAGTCCTCTTTGTACTTGATTTAGTGACTGTCACTCACGAATTAAAAGGTAAAGGTAAAGGGGCCGAACCTGTAAAGGGGACGAAGTCTGTTACCTTCCCAGCATTTAATAATGCCGGTACCAATTTAACACCTGGGTTGAGAGGAGTTATTTAGGTAAAGGACACAACACGCATGGCCACGGCGGGGCTCGAACCCACAACCTCACGATCATGAATACTGTAGACTTTCTCAAGACTCACCTAGGTCCAGAATCTTAATAGAACTCCTCGATCCTTTGTGTAGCTCCATGCTCGACCCCTCAGACAAAATTAACCTGGGACCACTTTACTAGACTGGCCTAGTCTTATGTTTGTAATAACCTGACAAAGCAAGTTTGATAAACCAAATCTTAATAAAAGCTTTCCTCTTATTAGGATTTCTACCGCTCGTGGAGCGACTACGTCAATGGGTTTGGCTCCCTCAGCGGCGAGTTTTGGTTAGGATTGGAGAAGTTGTATCGTCTGGCCTACACCACCCGAACCCTGCGCGTGGACCTGGTGGATTGGGGCAACGGGGCCTACTATGCACAGTACGCCTTCTACATCCACGCTTCCAATGACAGGTATTCTTAAAGGGGTCATGGCATGAATCTTACTTAGAAATATTGTTCGTGCAATTTTCTACTCCTCTGAAAGGTATGAAAAGTTTTCGACATCCCTTTGGGGTTAATCTTTTAGAAAAGTGCCCTTCTTTAAACATTTAAAATAATTGTCAATGCTTTTTCTGAAAAATGATGACGCTGTTGCTGTGATGTCATTTCAGGAAGACAGTGTTCAGTTTGGGGGTTTCTGTTCAAATGGTTAAACCAAAATGTGCTCATTAAAACATTTGTGAGAAAACTTTGTTCTTTGGCCTACTGTACGTCATGTACTGAGACAGCAACAAATCACCAAAGCAAAGACAATTTACGAAAGCAAAGTATCCACAATTCCGGCACATTTTGTTTCGGAGATAGCTGTAACATTGAGGTTTCTGCCTGAAAGGACGTCACATTTTTTTCTCATGAATATGCACATTTTCATTAGCATAAAGACCAAAAAGGCACCAAAATGTCCTTTAACATGGAAAACAGAAAATTTAAAATTAGGTTTAATGGGTCACAAGGGTGTTTTTACAAAGACATGCATTTTCAAACAAATTACATTAGCCTACATGGGTTCTTATAACATGCGCACGATAGGATTCTATGTGGTGCATACGTCGTCACGACAGAGTGTTTGCAAGAAACGCCAAATCATAAACTAGCAAAGTGTGGACTTGGCCCAGGACTGGATTTAGTATTGAGTCCCCCAAAGTGCAGCCAGTCCCAATCCCTGGCAAGCGTAGTAAAGCCGTAGTAAAGGGCGCGGCCATCACGAGATTAATCAATTCCAGTATTGGGAACTTTGGCCCTCCGACCGTGCAAGTTCTGAAAATTCCTCACGCGCTGGGTATTCAAACTCGGATTGTACATTGTGTAAATTGTCTTGCATGTCCATATTTACTTCTCTCCTCTTTTCAAAAGCCTGTCTCTTGAAATCTACACCTATTCTTTGTTGCTGAGTTAATTCAAATGAACTGTGACCAAAAAACCCAGTACTTTTCAATTGTTCGTCCACTGTTTACTTCGGACAGGACTTGGAAAGGACTTTTGATTTACTTGTGACATCAGACGTGTGATGAACTTGAATAGGACAATGGAATAGGTGTACATGTTCAGTATTATCTACTTTTCCAATAGATATCGTGGTTTCTTCTGGAGCTACAGTGGCAATGCAGGCGATTCCCTGTCTTATCACAACAACAACGTCTTTTCTACTTACGACTACGACGGGGACAACTCGGGCAGCAACTGCGCCTCCACTTACCACGGCGCCTGGTGGTTTAACAGCTGCCACCATTCCAATCTTAACGGGAAGTACTTCAACGGAGGTTACAACTCTGAGAATGCTGTAGGGGCTGTCTGGTATTATCTACACGGGCACGGCTACGCGATGATGCAGACCTACATGAAAGTGCGATAAACGAAACGGACACTCGATGTACTGCAACTTACATGTGTTTGCTTCTCAAAACATTGAGCGTTCTGCATGCAACGGTTTCGTTTGGAACGTTCTTTGAACGTTCTTTGGGGATAATGCATGGCTTGCAACCTAATTTTCTCTACGTGTTCTTAAACGTTTGGGCCGAACAAGCGTTCACAAAAGGCGTTCCATATCGGAACACATTTATTATGATGGAATCTTTATTTTGTTGAGAGTATGAAAAATAGCCAAAACGTAAATACGTTGTTATGCCGAACCTTTTCATTGATTGAAGGTTGTGAAATCATGATACTGTAGTTGACCTCGTAGGCCTACATGTATATACAAATAGGGCCAGATTCAGCGTCCCTGAGCGCTGGGAACCATCGAAAATAAAAGCCTTAAAAGTAAGATTTTCCTCTTTCCAAGATTGTTTACCTCATCGTTACTTATCCCTTCAAGTCTTGGTTTAAATTTCACATTGTAAAAATTCACTATGTACAGATTTAGTATAATACCACATTTTTGCACAATAAAAAGATAGAAGCTATATGATTCTTGTAAAGTTTAAAAAAATAAATACTCGTATTAAAAGGGAAGAACTGAATTAAGGCTGTGTCTTGACGTGATTGGTATGACTATTTTGCTTGCAGCCATCATTGAAGTGTTTTATTACACAGCAATATGCATGGGTAGACCTCGCAATTGTTACTAGATTGAAACAAACACGCCTCCAAGGTGGCTGCTGAATGTACAAAGTTCTATACGGTGATTTGGGCCACTTTCGCTTCCAACTCCGACCTTTGGCCTCCAAACCACGCCCCGTTGCCATTATAACAGTCAAAAGGTGTCCTTGACTGGAATGATTTTTTCACAAGCGCGCTTTGTTCTTCACGCCTATTTTCCGAAGTGTTACAATTGAGTGATTGACATAAGTATTTATATAAAGCTTGCCTACAATTAGGCACGCGATGAGCCGGCGGTCAACCTGAGGGTTAGGCATTAATGTATTAAAATTCTAGCGGCCTCAATCGCTGCAGAATGCATTGTATTTTAGGTGATGGCGAGCATATTAGGCTGGGTTCGATTCCCCTCGCCATAAAAACGCTAAAACTACTACTACGGGATCAGCCGGAGGCTTTAGTCCACATCCATTCGCCGCTGAACAGAGTGAGTAAACAAAAGTATATTTGGATAAGGTTTTATCTCCCAAAAGCGGGAAAGGATTTCTCTTCAGCCAACATTTGGTCTGGGTACTGACCACAGACAGTAAAAGTTTCACTGATATTCAGCCAGCATGAAAAGGATACAGACCTTTTTGACTACCCCGAAACACTACCAACACAATGTTCAGAATAGGCCTTTAGCTATCAACAGTATGCCAACAATTGGGCTCGGGACAATGAACGAAATAAATGGAATTAGACGCCAATTAAATGGAATTACATTTACCGAAATTCAAACTGAATTATAGATAAGGTTCGCATTTTTAATCTCCTGCTGATCGACATTTCTAAGACTAGCCAATTTGAATATCCCAAAATGTAACCTTCCAAAAATACCACACATATGTGGTTATTTCAATTGTAGATTAGTATTGTAGCTTTAAGTAAGTTTTTCAGGCTCTAAAGGTTTGTTGCTAAGGAGGATGAGGTTGCTAGGCAACAAACATGCACCTACATTAGCGTGATCAAATGTTCGAATATGCTGTCCATAGTACGCAGACATCTCCTCTAAATGCCCGTCTATTGATATGAACTCATTAAAAAGGAAATAAAACGTAAACATACCCGTATTCTTCTCAGTGCTGCGCATCGTTGAGTACGACATTCAACAGCCGCCGGATCAGTAATACGTTTAGCGTACACTGTCCATTAGACAGACCCGACGGCTGTTGCATGTCCTAATCACTGCTTATGTGACGTCACTTATCTGCTCCTGGTATCCAGGTCCACCACCAGGGAACCATAAGACTATTCATTTCGAATTCCCCAAGGTGTAACCTTTCCAGAAAATTCCCACCAAACAACTTGGTCATTTCCAAAAAATAAATGACCCCTAGCTCTTGGACTATTGCCTCAATGGTGAGGGGTTGTTGTTGCTTCCACCAGAGGAGTTCCGGCGGCTAGAGAGAAGGATGCAGTTTTTCGGCGTTCAAAGAGAAGGGTTAGATCAGACTGTGAGGCCGAATTGCAGAGTTCTTCTCCATTGGCTGTGGTGTAGTTGTAGCCCCAGTCTTGGTGTTGGCAGTTGAAGTCACAAATGTACAATGCAGGGACTGGTGGGCGGTTTGTAGACGTTTATGATGTGGAGGCCTTGGACCTTAATAACGTGTAACTAGAGGTCAATCTCCGGACGTGATGTTGCAACAATTGTGCAGTCTGATGTGGAGGACCTGATTTAGGATATTTTGGATGATCCAGGAAAGGTCGCAGCAGAAATGCCTAAAGGTAAATCCTTTGACCTCAATATCGTCCTTCAAAACGTGCACCAGTTTCCATTACCAATGGCGGATGGTCATTATCATCCGGAGAATCAAAGCAAAAATACCTCTGAACCAGACTCTGAACTACGAATAGCGTTTGAAATAATTACGTCAAATAGGGTTTTTAAAAAAATATGCTTCACACGAACAGTGCCAATTTAATTTATGTTGTAAAATAATTTTCGCTGAAACTTGCGTAGAATTAAAAAAAAGAAAAAAGATAAGGCATTACGTTTATTTTTATATTCCTAATTCCATGTGCCATTTAATAGAAAAAAAACAGTCAAACAAAAAAGTACCTCATATCATATATTAGTGAACTAAATTAATTGAAAGTTGAGATTAGAAAACACCAGTCTTTATGTTTCTCGCTGTCTTGAAACAATAATGCCAACACAAAACAGGTTTAAATTTAATGACGAAACCTTGCCTTATACCATTTGGGAGCCATCTCCAAGAACAGTGACTAACAATTTCCAACGCATCCCTCCCCTCCGGCAGCACAATCAATGCGATGTCTGGCGAGCAAGAAAAAGACACCTGCCTCGAAAATCACACCTCCGGTCCGCCCGCAAGGGGAGGACTGCACTGTTGTCAATTCAATGGACGAATCAATTCCAATCATGGCCACGATGGTTATATTTTGTCTGTATCTGGCCGTTGACGGCAAGCTTAACAGTTGTAAAGGACTTGGTGTTGTCGAGACCCAACCTTGTATTAGTGAGTTTCAGTGCCAGAATCTTATCTATAAGAGAGGCTCCAATTTTAGTGTCAAATTATCGATTCGTGTTAGTCTGCTTAACTGTAGCAAAAATAATGACAACTCGGATTGAATGTCATTATCTAAACCACTGCGAGGGCCTTCAAAATCAAAACTATACATGTAGCCATGGCAACTACCACCGTGATTATGCCGATTTCTGCATTTGTTTTAATTACCTGAAAGAGCCAGGGCTGAATCAACCCAATATTTTTTCCCAGATATTCCCACGACGCATTCTTTTTGTACCAATTGATATTTTCTGCCGACGTCTTACGCTTATTTTGACACCAATCTTCTTCAATTCGGATCATTGTTCTCGCAAAATGTCAGTTTTTGAAGCGTGCTGCCGGAAAATTTGAAGTTGGTTAATGAACATACTGTGACCACGACAGTACTTTGAAGTATGAATGACAATAACCACATGTATTTCGCTTGATTGGGCTGACATTTCGAAACGCAATTTTTGAAATGCAAATGCACATTTATGAAATGCATATAACATATCAATAAAAAAGTCTGTCATTAAACGGTGCAGATACGAGGGCTAAATCTGCACCGTTCTTGACTTTGTAAAAACAGCTTTTCAATGGTAAAGGAGATTTTACGTTTTATACAATACTCGGTGTATGCAATTGAGCCAAGCTGTACAGTATTTAAAAAGAAAATATAATAAAGCCTCATAAATCATCAGAAAGCTTCGTAAATCATTATAAATCCGTACGTCCGCTCACATCAGTGACACCCGTCAGTGTCGCCTCGCAGACGGCCGTGAATGGCGAAGTGTGAAAGGGCAATTTTTCTCGTACTCCAGCTTTTCCCGTACGCAATCTGAGCAATAGACGTCTTTATTGTATGGAGTACACTTCTATTGGTCGTTGTTTGGGAGCATCTTTGCATAGTAATGATAGTAGCTGTTAAAATTAAAATGGAGCTTTTATGCAAAAGCATAATTAGTTGACAACACGCCATGACGTCACAAGGTGACCCTTGATGTTTTTTCATTGAACAACTGTAGTTATTCTCAAGAGGAGTTAAGACTTAATGCATCAAAAAAATGTAATGTAACTGAAATGTAATCTGCCGACTCGTATCGCATGTTGACAATGCCTACAAAATAAAATTAATGCCCGTTGGATGTGTGTTCCACCCCTTTCAGCACACCGTCCGTAGCGACCGTGTATAGAACGCCAAATTGGCCTTCAAAATGTTTCATTCTATTTGCAGTTGCAGTTCTCCAAATTTATCGTTTGGATAATTTTTTCTATTTAAGGGAAAACAAGACTCTGAACACCTAAGTGCCTTCCACACAGTGCGATAAACATTCATGTCAGAGTGCAGGATGTGCTTGGTTAAAAACGAGGTATGCTGCAGAAAAAAAATCGAGCAGGATACCACTGTTCAGACCGATAATCGGTATGTGAACAGTTGCTTTCAACAAGAGCTAGCACATTGCTTTTGCCGTTGAATGGAGCCTCCGTGTGTGTTGCGTTGCGATGCGATGCGATGCCAGGGCGTGTCGGCCTTAGCCTACACCCACCCGGGCTACCCAGATCCGACGTATCCACTCGTCTCTGTCTATCATGACCGTCCTAAGATCTTCCACGTAGTCTAGTCTTGTGTCGGACGCGGTGACCCGCCAGTCCCATTCTTCTCTCACGGACTTTGGCAGACACCATTGGCAGGCCGGCGTACACAGGTCGACGTTCGCACGTGATCCTGCCAGGACACGTAGAGGGCCCGCAGCATGCGGGTGTACACCCTGTCCAGCGTTGTACAGTGGTACAGTGTTTGCTCTGATTAATCTATATTTAATAACTTACTTATTAACTTGTTAATTAAATGATAAATGTGTTCTAATTATTGTGATTGATCCACGAACAAATGATTCTCCTAGAAACGCCCAAACTTGAGAGTTGACATAAGTCGAGTGATTCGAGAGAAAGTAAACTTGTTTTGCCTGTTCCCCTCTTTTTTCGCCTTCAGATTATCAGTCTGGTGCAAACTATTAAATGATAATTCCACAGTTAATCACAATTTGTAGTTCAACTGGGTTTTTTTGGAGGGTAGTCTACTTGAAGTTGTTCACTTACTCGTCACGGTCATGGTTGATCCCGTGTATTATTCGTGTTGCCGAGGTGCGGTCAAGTGTTGGTAGAGATGTCATGATAGTAGTTGTGTGAGGATCATGTTGACAAGACCGTCACGTTGTACAGCTAGGTATAAAGTTCAACACACGCACACCTTTTATTTGAGCAAGGACGGCAGTGATGTTTCGTGCTGTTCGGTGGATTGAATGAACATTGAACTTGACAATGATGAGGTAAGTTGTGTTTTATGAATTGTTATGTTACATGCTTAGTTATTAGGCGAAACACTTTGATGTCCTCACCATAGAAGGAACTGTAGAATCTGGGGAAAACTCCTGATCAGCACTATCGTATGTCTCCCTTTTATTCCAAGCCCAACTATAACCATGCCAATGGCGATTCCCAAACAATAATTTATCCCATTGCGTATAGATTTTAAGCCAACGTACCTAAATGTGCACTCTACTTTTCCCAAATGGTGTTATAGCTGCAAGATATTGCTTGTGCGGGACACTTTTTCACGGAAATTTCACCAAATTTATTATATTTCAGATGATAGGCAAGAATGTCAATATGTACATTGTATCGTGAACATCGACCTCTTTAGTCAGCTAATGTCCAGTCCCCCCCCCCCCCCCATGTTTTGGAACTCCCAAAGCTGCTGCTGCTGGTCCCCGTGCCCCGAAATGTTGACTAGAAATTACCGATGCTGCAAGTAACTCACATTTGGGACTTGAAATCCAATTTTAAGTCCAGTTTACCTTCTCACTTATTAAACATCGGTGACCTTCGAAGGCTACAAAGTGACAGAAATCCCCCTCGCAAAAACGAGGCACATCGATTTTGTTTTTCGCACCCTGCGAAAGCCTAGAAGGTGTGAAGCCGGGAAACTCCGATTATTAATCTCATTCAATTGTGTGTAGGCGTTCTGACATGCTATTAATCGTAGCCATTGTTGGCAGGGAGTGCTCATTCCAAGCTGTGATATCTAATCATGGGACATTAGTAATGTTCTAGTATGAGTTGTCATCAGCACCTGCTGCTCATGTATCGACACGATGAACCAATCACAATGCGTGCCACAGGTAATCTTAACAGTGTAATAGCGATTTTTAAAGGAAACACAAATATTCGTATAAAAGCGGTTGGTCTAAAACAGGCGATTAATAACGCTATATGCCCCAAATATAGGGTCGGCCCAACTATAGTCCGGGGACAGTCCTATTTATTAAAAGGTTGGAGTTCCAAGCCATAATTATAGTCGGGGCATTTCCAACTATAGTTGGGGCCATTTCTGTAGTTGGGGTCATCTATTTAGTGCGGACCAATTCTTTAGTTGGGGTCATCTCTTTAGTTGGGTCGTCACAAAAATACCTAGGCTCCTTCTGACTTAAAAAGCGTTTTTCTTGACTCGCACTTTTTTTCATCTAGATTTGACTGAAGATTTGTGTGGATTGTATGTGGACTGACAAGTACAATTATACCAAAAGAATGTTAATGTGACCGAATTATGTTGTTAAACTTAAGATTACTTTAACAACCTTTTAATTCTTTTCTCCGGTTTAGTTTGAAGGGTTTCATTTTATCCAAATCAGATTCTCGGTCAGTCTGTGCATCTATTATAGTGTTACTCATTTCCAAAAATAATTCGTTTTAATTATACATGAGCGAATCGTGAAAGTCACAGAAAACATGCTCAGTGATTTCATAACAATTGTGACTATAAAATCATACAACAGCCTTCAAAATTCCTCTTCTTATTTTATTATTCTAATTCTTCTTAACAGTGTTTATTCTTTGGTAAAATATGTTAAATGACAACTATGATACAGCACCATCACCTTTAGCAGTGCATCTTCTCAAAATATGTTTTTCAGATAAATTCTTTTCGCTTTCACTTTTCGGTTTTTGGTCAGAATTGTAAGACTAACAAAAATAGTTTAAAAAAATATCGCTGTTCATAATTGACATCGTTCAAAACATCACGCAACATACCTCCCAGCGCTTTTGTAAACTTTAATTACGATCGCCATCCGCATGCTATCCCCTCGAATAAAAATCTAGTCAAACCAGTAACGATTTTTCCCGGGAAGGACTCGCAGAAAACATCTGTTTGTATTGTTGTTTCAAAATGTTCTATCCTCTCTCTCTCTCTTTCTCTCTGCTTCAGGAAGGAAGAAAGTTATGTGCAGCGACTGTGATTCTCTTTCATACTAAATTCTTTGACCGGATTTTGTTATGAAAGAAGTAGTGAAAGACATATGCAGTGTGAGCATGTGCAGAGGCAGACAATGACAAAAAAAAATGTCCGTTCATTTTCCATAGGCGAGGATTAGAGATTCCAGACTGGACTGGGTAGACTACAATCGAAAGCTTCATTGATGAACGGAAATGGAAGCAGGTGGTGATTCCTCGCCCCAGAATGATGACGAGATTCCATCGGCCTGTGTGACGTAGATGGAGCTCACTCCTCGTAGCTTATCACGTCGGACAAATTGTTATCACCAACAACAGACTGTTAATGTTATTAGAATTTTTCATATCGCGCGTTTAGAGGCCGCAATGCTCTGAGACTGGCTTAAGTAACCACAGCGAGAACAACCTTCACTAGTATTGTGCCGATGATGTACGATGGAATGAGACGCACGAGCTGACACGATACTTTCATGGCTTGAAATAATTAAATTCTGGTGCCCTGCCGCAGATGAATGTGAAATATTTGCCACTTGAGTCCATGATTTAGGCTGTACGATTGTAGCTTTTGCCTGATTTGTAGTTTCAACTCGAGTGGTTGGATTTGTGTTCAAACGGCAAGATGGTTTCAGGAAGGATAAACTCGGCCTGCTCGCGGTTTTGGACCTCGACCAAGTCCCTGATCCAGGACTGCATGCCGCGTAGAGTCCTGGACGACATGGAGCCCATCATCCCTGAGGAAGAGCGACAGGCCGCGGCTGCACGGCTCAAATCTCGCCTGCGCCTGGCTCGCCTGAGCGGTGCAGTCTGCGGCATCGAGTTCTGCTACGCGGCCGAGACGGCCTTCGTAAGCCCCGTGCTGCTACGCATCGGCATCCCGACGCGCTTCATGACACTGATCTGGTGTCTGAGTCCAATCCTGGGCCTGTTCCTGATGCCACTGTTGGGCTCTGCTAGTGACCGCTGTAAGTCCCGTCTCGGACGGCGCCGGCCGTTCATCATTCTACTGTCCATTGGGGTTGTGTTAGGACTCATTCTTGTTCCGTACGGCTGGCCGGCGGGACAGGTGTGTGGAATCTCCGCCTATCGCACAATGGATACGAGGGGTGTGGATACTTTACCACGGTGGGAAAATGCGACAACTACTTGGCCGACTTCCACGGAAACTGACATACCTCTTCGTGATGCTATAATACAGGCACTGGAAGAATTACTTTCATCCAAGCCAGTGTATAATGATTCATCTGAGAGTAGGGACATTGAAGATGTGACCGATGAGGGGTACTTTAGCCCTATACCTACACAGCCTTCATCAGATGTAACTGCTGTCTACCGGAGCACTCCGGATCTACCGTCGCCGATCAGGGCCTGCGGTATGGCATTTACAATTCTCGGTGTCATGATGTTGGATTTCAACTGCGATGCTGCCCAGTCGCCAGCCCGGGCTTATCTTATCGATGTGACCGATCCAGCAGACCACGCTAAGGGCCTGGCTACCTTCAGCTTCATGGCCGGTCTGGGAGGGGCCATCGGCTACGCTATCGGCGGCATACCATGGGGACCAGCCACCGACGACGACCCAGTCAGTCTTCAGGTTCGTGTCGTCTTCGGGATTGTTCTCTTCATCTTCGTGGTGGCCGTGATTCTGACCGTCACAGCCGAGAAAGAGAGGACTCTATACGAGCTCTATCCTCAGGAGAAAAGACGCCAAGTCATGGAGAAGAGACGCAGTCTGGAGGGAGGCTACGAGAAGATGCAGGATGGCAGACATCCCAGGGCATTGACTGAAAAGATGGAGATGGGAACCTTGAAGCAGAAGATGAAGAGCTACGGATCCAATGTTCCCAATCCGGAAATAATCACCACGTTTGTCGACAACAAGGATGTCGATGCCAACCTTGACCCAAACCAGGACCTTAGCCTCGCAAACGGTTCAATCCAAACGGGCAAATACAAGGTCCTCGTTGAGACAGGAGCTGAGGAAAAGAAACATCCTACCGAGGACGGAGATGATGCGGAATCAGACCAGAGCTCTACGGCTGATGACTGGGACGAGGAACCGCCGACCATCACCATGTCCACCTACCTCCTGTCTATCGTCTTCATGCCCTGGTCGCTCCGCATCCTCTGCCTCACCCATCTTCTTGGCTGGATGTCTCTGCTCTGCTACTCATTGTACTTCACAGACTTTGTGGGCCAGGCCGTGTACGGGGGCGACCCCACGGCCCCGCCGGGCTCCGTGGCCAGCCTCAGGTACGCCGACGGAGTGCGGATTGGATCCTTCGCCATGGCCATGTACTCCCTGACTTGCTCCGTGTGCTCGTACAACGTAGACAGGCTCATCAATAAAATAGGTAAGAATTGAATTCATACATCATCTCCTCTAAGCCGCCCTTGACATTAAAAATCAGTCAGGACATTTGTCCATTTTGTGGTATGTAGGAAGATTGAAATAGGCCAATGTCACTGGACACGAATGTTGCAGGTATATACATATTGTGCCAATAACATTCATGCACAGTGGTGTCTTTTGGGCATGTGATATTTTTGTTTTACATAAACTAAATGGAAAGTACACTTTGGAGTGTTACCTTCATGTTTTATTCCTGATTAGAATTGCTGTTTAATAAAAAAAAACTGTCAACTAAAAACGTACTTCAATTATCAGTGAACTAAATTAATTTTAAGTCGAGATTCATATGGAAACAGCAGCCTTTTTTTTTTCTTTTTTCTTTTTTTTGGGGGGTTGGGGGTTGGGGGGGGTGGAAAGAGTTCCATACCTGGACATCACTTGACATCCTGTGCACAAACTCTATGAAACTGGTCTGACAAAATTCTAAGTGTTTTCTCAGTAAATGCCTCAATATTTCCTCTTCTGAATTTGACTTTTTAGGACATGTTATCGCTTTCTGATGGCTGATAGGTCACTGCAGGGATAATGAGTGATGTCTATGTATGGAATTCTTCCCTTTGGGGGGCGGGCTGTCGTAAAATAATAATGCCAACAAAAGTGGTTTGAATTTAATGAGACAACCTTGCTTTACACTGTCAATTCGGGGAGTCCTCTTCAAGATTCGTAATTAACAATCTCCAACGCATCCCTCCCCTCCGGCAACACAATCAATGCGATGTCTGGCCAGCAAGAAAAAGACACCTGCCTCGAAAATCACACCTCCGGTCCGCGCGCAAGGGGAGGACTGCACTGTTGTCAATTCAATGGACGAATCAATTCCAATCATGGCCACGATGCAAGATTTACGCTTGTAAAGTACTCAGAGTTGTAATAACGAGACACAACCTTTTTTTAGTGAGTTTCAGTGCCAGAATCTCCTAATTAAAGAGAAACTCCAATTTCAATGCCAGTTGTTCATGTTAATAACAGAGTGGGCATGAATTGTATACAAAAGTATTGACAGCTTAAACTGATTTCAACACCGCGGCAAAGGCCTTCAAAAGTCAAAACTGTTAATGTAGCTTACATCAACTGCCACCGTGATTATGCCGATTTATGTGCTTTATTAACCTGACAGAACCAGAGTAGAATCAACCCAATACAATTTCCCGATATCACCAAAGAGCATTATTTTTATCGTACCAATTAATGTTTGCGTCCGACGTCGTGATTAAATGTTGACACCAATCTAACACAACGTGGAACGATTCTTTCTCGCAAAATGTCATTTTTTTAAGTGGGCAGCCGAAAATTTTCAGTTGTTTAATGAACGTATTTTATTTCACCACGACAGTGCTGTGAAGTATAAACTACGATATATATTTCGCTTGCTTGGGCTGACATTTTTTTAATGCATATTAAATATCAATAAGGTGTACACGGTACAGATTATTCTGAGGGCTGGATCTGTCCCGTGCTTGACATTGTTAAAAAAAAAATAAAAAAAAGTTTTCTATGGTAAAGGGGATCTTACAATTAAAACAATACGCGGTTTATGCAACTGAGCCAAGCTGTACGGGATAATAAATAAATAAAGCCTCGTAAATTATCAGAAAGCTTCTTAAATCATTATAAATCCGTACGTCCGCTAACATTAATTTAGTGACACCCGTCAGTATCGCCTCGCAGACGGCCTGGAATGGCGACGTGTGAAGGGCAATTTATCTCGTACTCAAGCTTTTCGAGTACGGAATCAGAGGGATAGACGCCCGGTATTATTATTTGGGGTAGACTTTTATTGGTCGCTGTTTCGGAACATCTGGGCTTAGTAAACACTTAGTAGTTGTTAAAATAAAAATGGAGCTTTATGCAATAAGAAACTACGCAATGACGTCACAAGATGACCCTCCATGCGACTATCCGAGTTTAGTTTTCATTTAACAAACGTGGTTTTTCTCAGACGAAATTCAGACTTAAATGCATTAAGAAAAAAATGGAAAATGCTGACTCCTACCGCCAGTTGGCAATGCCCCAAAAGGTTCCCAGGCTCGAAGATTAACTCGAGCAGCTCATTTTCTATTTCTTGTCCACTTTTGGTTGACCTTTATTGGTGGCACGAGCTAGCAATACAATGCGCATCCTCGAGGCCTCGTGGAATGTACGTTCCTCCCCTTTGAGCATTCACCCCATCGTGACGCGTGGATATAGTTGTTTGGACAGCAGTGCTGTGCATCTCACTGCTGTCCAAAGAGCAGTGCATCTCACTGCTCAAAATTAGCCCAATTTGGCAAAAAGATGGTTTTGACCTTTAATCTGCTATGAAATCAATATGTGCTAATTCATTTGCGGAGGTGCAAATAAAATAATGAATGGAAAACTGTTAGTACGGCAGATGTAAAATGTGCCTTGAGGGAGCAGGCAATGGCAGCCATGTTCACAAGTTTGAAATTGCTTGTTATTCTACCTATATTTTTTGCAAAGGACAAATCTGCGATGGCCCTATGGCCAAATATCTTTCTTAAGATATCTGACTGTGTGCCAAATGCCATGCTTGTATCATCAAGGGACAATTTCCCATATCCCTTATCTGCCCAACCATGGTAAACCATGGTTTACATGAACCTGTCAGTGTGATTGCATCTGAAAGAAGAAATGGCACACCCAGGATTTGGCTAGGGGGGGGGGGGCTCACAAAAAAATGGGTTTTTAATGGGGGGCGGACTATTTTGACGTTGGTGGCGCCACTTACGCCCCTATTACACTACTCGAAAATAGGCCACATACATATCATCAAGGTCAAATCGTGGGACAAAAAAAATACCCCCAAAAAAACTGGGTGCGCCACTGAGAAGAATGCATTCTTTCACATGCAGCCCCACTGATAGGATTCAAGTTAATAATTTGAGCCTACTAATCCAGTTTTTGTTTCATAACCACTTTTGATACACCCTGTGTACTTCCCTGCAGGTGCCAGACCGGTCTACATTGGTAACCATCTCATCTATTCCATCAGTATGGTCATCCTGGCCAACGTCAGGACTGTATGGGCCGCTTTCCTCTTCTCCGCCTGTGCCGGCATCCAGTACTCCACGCTCTTCACCTTGCCGTTCGTCATACTTGCTCACTACCACTCAAGCAAAGTGGTGAGTGTAGACCTTTCTCTTGTTTGTAAATTTTTGTATGGGCTGCCGCAAGCGCATAAATTGAAGCCGTGGTTGGCAACATATTTTTCCAAAAAAAATTCCTCATAACGCCCTCAATACATAGTAATAAGGCATGTTTAGGAATTATGTTGTACAATGGTGTATTTCCAACAATCAAATAATATTTTGGTTATCTATAATAACTCTTCTTCATTTTTGCAATGTTGGACTTTTCATAGTTTTGCAACCCGAGGTTGGCAAAATGTGCAGTTTGCCAACCAAGCGTAGAAAGGTCTATATTGACGGAGATGTTAAGCACTGGACTTTACTAAGCAGAGAAAATAGTTGCTATTTCATCAAACTCTTCGTAACTTACGATGCATCGCAGCGATGCGACGCGTCCTGCGATCCATTTCACAAAACACGTCGAAAGTGCGACGCGTCGTAGGTGTATTTATAGCACAACTCGGTGACTGTTTTATGTATTTAGTCAGCGTACAGTAAATAGTCGTGTGCGACTGGAATCACGACTAGCACCCAAACAGCTCGACTTTTTGGAGTCAAAATTGTGACCCCCGAAATTCGTTCTCGCGCGCCATCGCAAGAATAAAGCAAAAAGCCTAGTTTTAAAGGATGTTTGTGTGGATTAGTATATCCTACTTTTAAATGCTCTTTCCAATTAACATCATTTTAGAACTCATTTTGTAGCCAAATTGGGTACATTCCCAGGACATAATATCCCTTTAATTTATTTCTCGCCTAGGGTGATATGCTTCTCTCGGGTGTTAAAAACGGCATATCCCACACCACAGCAGTCAACAATTATTGTTAACTTATGTCATATTGGTAACTAAAACTTTATGCTTAGAAAGTTTGTGCTCCAACTATGACCATTTCCAGATACGCCTAGAGTTGTAGTTAGCCTAGGTTCACGAGAAACTTTATGCCTGATTTACATCCTGAACTTTTTTGGCGATACCATCGGTTCGATTATTGAACACTGTCACACAAACCACTCCTCTCAATTCTCTCATTTTTTTGTCCGCAGTTCGAATCCCCCTCCAGCCGTTGTGAGTCTGGTACCTCAGGTGGCAAAGCTAGCAAACACACGGTCAGGGGTCTTGGTACCGACATCGCCCTGGTCCAAGGCATGGTGTTCGTGGCCCAGCTCATGCTGTCGTCCTGCATGGGGAGTATCGTGCAGGCGTTTGATAGCACAGTAGCCGTGGTGGTGGCGGCGGCCATTTTGAGTTTCCTGGGGGCAATATTTGCATCTCAAGTCACTTATGCCGGTCTATAGTATTGTATATAGCACTGATAATATAAGATTTACAATTCATTGTTCTTTGAAGGTGTTAGATAATACTGCTTAACCGACATTAGGGTGGATACCAACCTCGTCCCCATAAGGCTTAATTTATTTTCAACCTCGTTTCCAATAGTAAGCCCTGGATAGGAAACTTTCTTCCTGTATCCTGACTCGATACTTTGTGGTGTTATTTCCAACGAGCATTACGTGTTTTCACGTTCATTCTAATTATTACTTCCACACCTTCCCCAAAAAAATTCTTTCCTTTCCAATTTGCACATATTAATATGAAATTCAATACTGCATATTGGCTGGAAAATGTTGCAACAAGTTAGGCAGAAACTTTGAAAAAAAAGTGTTTACTCACGTCGCGACGAATTTATGCTGTTGTTACCCCCAGAAACCACATACACAAGCGCTAACGTAAAGCACAGGCAGGCATCAGACTATTCCTGAATTGCATACGTTTCCAAAAATTGTGGACATGCAAATGATCCAATACTAGGGTGAGAGAGAGAGCAGGTGGTGGTGGGCGCGTACTGCTCGATATCCTGGGGACGAGGTTTGGTGGAAACAATTTCACATGGCATCTTGCAGCCCCGTAGAAATGTCACTGTGATTTCATTTGTCAGCAAGATGACACATGTAGTTTTAAAAACATCACCTTGACAAAAATGAAAGCTTCCTCCTTGATTTGATTTGTTTTCTTGAAGGTGTCAGTTGGGCCGAAATGTTTCAATTTACTTTGTAAAAAAAATAAAAAGAGTAAAATGTTCTTCACTGTTTTGGCAAACAAAACCGCCAGAGGGTGTTTCATAACATTATTAACATATTGCTTCACATCAAGTGGTGTTTTGATGACAATTATGGTTTTTATTAACGGAACTTTTATTTCACTTTTCAAATTATAAACAAGGTTTTATTCACACCTATAAGGTGCAGCTTTTATTTTATCGTTAAACCAATTTCCTTTTTAAATTCGTTTCTTTAAGATAAAAGTATCTTACACAGGGTAAAGGAGTTTAACAGATTTACTGTGTATTTAATATTAGAATCACAAAAAAAAAACTGTTTACGAACGTTAAATAATAAGTAACGTTGTGTATTATAAAAACAATCGTGGTTATTGCTTTAATTTAAGGATTATACTTAACAAGTAGGTGTTTATTAACAATCCCCTTAAAACTCTCTGGCATGACAGTGTTTTTTCCTGTATCTCAGTTTAGATAAATGTGAAACAATACCAAACAAATGTGGGCTTAGATATTGAACCTGTGCAAAATGTTTTCTGTTTGGCAGGGTTTATATAAAGGTAATATGCAACATTTGCTTTTGCTGTAATTTTCAGAAATTGATCGATTTGGGGGTTAGTATTTTATAGCAAATATTGTTACACTGACCTGTTTGAAGTTTTGTGTTCATAGATGCTGGGAAAACCAAGAAAAAAATGATGTTCTAGTAGTCTGGTACTCTGACTCTACTTTACAAAATGGAGCAATTTATAGACGTCGGGGTGTGTCACGTCAGATTGCAAACAAAATGTAGACTAAATAAATTTGGTAAATTGGGGGCAATATTTGAAAAAAGTCAGTTTTTTTTCCAACGATGGTCGTCGAAAATGACAGCACACCAGGTGCCATGATTTCACAGGATGCTTGAGACTGTTATTTACTTACAGTCAAGTAAGATATTTCATACATTGTTTGTAGTTTGTTATGTTTGCAAACGTTGCATACCACCTTCCAGTTTAATTCACCTCTCTCTTCTGTTCGTTAATAAATAACAAGCGTAGCTTTTTAACTTACAGTGGGCGTCACTTCGGGAAAATACAGTCAGAAAGAGGAAAACAATTGTTTCTTTGTTATGAGTTCGAGGCTAACAATGTAACAGTTATTTCTCAAAATGTAATACTGGCTTTACCGTCGTCATAAGAAAAGTGGATATCTATTGTATCCGGAATGGTGGCTGATATCGTGCCAGTAGATTCTGTTGATAGCAGGTATACAGGGTGAGTCAGAATGACCTGGACCCAAATAGTTTTATAAAAAAAATAGTATAAAGCAATTATTAAAACAAGTGCAAATGAGATATGTTATAGGCTGGTATTTTGGACATATTTGGCGAAAGTTTTATTTATATCCATTGTACCATTTTGAATGAAAGCGCTAGCAAAGAACACACGCTAAAAACATTCTGACCACGGTTCCATGGTTCAACAAATTTATTGAAAATCGCGTACCGATGTGAAGCAGTGTAATAAATACAAACCTAGTCATGGTGATTGACTCACTTGAAATTAAGTTGCCACATTTAAAAAAAAGAAAAAAAAAGGCAAAACCAATTCCGTGTGCAGACAAAATTCCTGTGGAAGACAAGGTAATAACCATTCATATGAAGCACTCAGTTTTTCTCTCAATATACTCTATTTGCCACCAAAACAATGGTGAACCTGGGTCCAGATCATTCTGACTAACCCTGTATTATGTAGGATAAATGTAACAGAGATACAATTAAATTGTTCTTTCGTACAAAGTGTAGTGGCAATATAGTTTGTAGCTGGTCAGTATATTGTAGTATAGAGGGGAAAGCGTAACCAAATAATATTATAATTAAATTGACGTCATTCAGTGTGTGTGAAATAAAAAATATATATATCTATATATTTGTGTGCAAATACGTAAAGTTTCGTTCTGTTAATTATCATGAAAAAGAAATAGGTTGAAGGGTTTGTAATTATTTTTGAGATGGATATTTTATTGGTGAAAACCAAATTGGTTTGGATGATTTAATTTATTGAAGTAGAGGGGTTGTATATAAAATCCCAGGGTTAGCATCCTCTTCTTTATAAAGATGTACTATCCGTGCTATATTCGGATTTCACGACCCGAATTTTTTTATTTTATTGTTATTTATCTAGCAGTCTAACAAGTTGCTCATTTTTAAATGGGACATCGAACGCACAAATTAATTCGAATGATATGCGGCCCGACAATATATCAGTTCTTGTACAGGGTCTACTGGTTACCGCCTTTATCAGAATCGATCATGTGTAAGGACAGGTAGCCAGTCTACTAGTTGGTGGACCTTTTGTGCGCAAAAGCAACACAAAGTAATGGTCCGTTTCAGAAAAATTTGTTTTTTTCTATTTTGGGCAATAGAAAAAAAGCTTTTTTTCCTTCAAATAAAACACACAAGTTGAAAGGATGTCGGGAAAGAAAAATAAAATGTCTGTAAGATTAGGGACGATACATCTTTCACTGCTCGCGTAATCATCGACGATGGTTTTATAGGTGTGCGTGGTGCGCTGATTATTATTCGTGAGGTCCAAGACCATATTCACGCAGGCGTTCAAAATATGACGCATTCTGCATGCCAATACCCCATGGGAAAGTATTAAAGGTAGCACTTAAAATGAAAAACAAGAATAAAAGTTTGCATAAGCTTTCGTAGCTACAAGTACAAGGTTTATATACAGTCAAGACAAAGGTGGTTCTGGTTCTGGTTCTGGTTCTGGTTCTCATTTGGTTCTGGTTTGGTTCTGGTTCTGGTTCTGGTTCTGGTGGAATACTGCATAATCTCATCAGCAGGGATATAATATGCAGGTACGAGGTGACTGAGCAGTATATTTACATAAAGTGGGCTGCTGATGACGTCATCAATGTTTAGAGTTTGAACGTTTTGACTTGAAGATTCCATAGAGAAAGGAACAGCTTTATGAAGATTCCGATGCTTGGCACTCACGTATTTCCGGTGGTAATTTATTCCATTCCTTTAAAAGTCCTTGGTGGTGACGAGTCAGTGGTGAATCCAGTTAACCACTGACTTATGCAAAACTCAGCAAACATTTGTTCTTTTTCCTGGCTGACTAACACGGCTGCCCACGGCTTACTTTCTGTCAAAACCAGAAATTCCCAAACGGAACTCGAGTTGGAGATCTGATCAAAGACATGCGGGCTAAATTTCCTACTTCCAGTGTTATGCAAATTCCATTAATAATGTAAGATTTTCAGATCATAATTGTACCCCTAAAAGTGATTTTTTTTATTTGTGACGATTTGTAAAGGTATTATTTGGTAATGAATACCTCAAAACTTTTATTATCGGGTCATCTCTCTATTTTCACTTAAGTGACATTACGAACATTAAAACTGGTTTATTTTGCTAAGGAAGGTTTTTTTTTTTAAAGAAAGATCAGTATTTAAACGTTTTCGAACGGTGTCCCACAACTGTCTGCTTTTGACACAACGCCTGACATATTTCGCTTCACCAGAATGAAATCCTGCAGAAAAGGCCTTGTGGGCCTACCCATAATAATCCGATTGAATGGATTGAACGATATCAAGGATGTTATCCAACAGAAAACATATAAGCCTGTTTGTTTCCTAATACTTTATTGTTGCACTCATAATGTGGTTCAAGGCAATCGGTGTAGCGATTCTTTGGTGGCAGTTTACCGAGGCTCGCTAGCAATCTCCGAAAACTCGATGTGGTCTGCAGCTTCGCCTGCAGGTTTTTAGCTTCACGATTTCATAATCAATTCCACATGACTGAGGCCCGTCTCTTTGCTACAACAACATCAAATCTCATAATATGAGAGACAGTTTTTTGGTTTCCTGACTAACAGGTTTGAAAATGCTAGCGGAGCCTTAGGCCTATATGAAGTCCAAGACTGAGACTGACGAAGCCCGAACGAGACCGGCATTTCAAAAACAGCCCTACATAAGAGAGAGTGTATTAAACAATATGGTTCCTTCACAATAGATCGTGGTTTACAATGGTCACTTGGTGATGGGACGAAACGTGTCCTTAGCCTGTGTACCGCATGTAGAGACATTATCCAGTTTGCATTAGCATTCCAAAGGCTTTATCCTACCCTACCAAGGCCTACTTTGAAATGTTCTTTTGTGAGTTACGTCATCTTCAATGCATGAATGAGCATGAATGCATAAAAACGGTGTCGTTCTCTTTGCGTATAAACACCACCCTGTTCCGGGTTGCGCTGGTTCTACAGGCGTTTATGAATAAGGTCGCGTAATGCGTAATCTAAGATTTGGAGTTGGTTATGAAATGTTACAGTCACAAATGAATCGGATTTTTCTTTGAGGAGCTTTTGGACTTTTACCAACTTTGCTTCCTGGATAGTATAGTAACAGGAGTTCTTTTGGAAAAAAGGAGTATAATCAACACTGTTTTTGGAGGGACTATAGCTAACTGCAGGGATGATGATGGGACTCCGGAGACCCAATGTGAGCGGGGTTTTCGTGGTGGTCTTCGCCGCGATGTGCTGTCTTTTATTCCGTTGCAGTAACGCCCAAGGTATGATGTGGTTTACTTATCAACTTGTGAGTCACGATCCATCATTATATGTGGAATTCGGGCGTGCCATATAATTATGTCTGCCTCCTTCGAGGGATGGCGGAAACATCCAAAATATTTATCAGCATGTTTTTTTTCCTGTGATTATCATAAATGTGGCGTCAGGGTGCGTAGTCCCTATTTTATACTTTGATAACTTTAACAGGGCAACTTAGAATGGGGTCTAAGAGGCAACCTCATCCGTGTAGTTCAGAGGGATATAATTGCATGTCGCAAACAGTAATGTTAAAAAAGACCCTTCGGGGTAACAAAAATAGAAAAACTTTAATGTACCTGGCTCCAAAGTAACGAAGTATTACAGACTAAATCCTCGTCGTGAGATTTTCAGTTTTGGGGAGACTTTGGGAGGTTTTGAATAAAAAAGTGTAGTTAAACTAGGTTTTGGAATATTTGGGATTTTAAATAATAAAATATGTTTTCCTTTTTTGAGAGGAGGGAGGGCGGGGGTGGTTGGGAGACCCGACTAAATTTGGCTTTAGCACCAGAGTCAGTCCATCCTGTTCACTTTCAGCTTATTTTTAGACGATATACTTTTCTGACCTAGTTCTAAAACAGGATTCCCTAAAACAGTTGTGTCATATTAACAAAAATTTATGAATAAGAATTGACAGTTGTTTACAGATGTTTCGACTCCATGCCTTTTAAGGTTGGGTAACGAAGTAAAGATTGATGCGCATAAAAGCCTGCGCGTTTTGATCGCAGATAGCAAAATGTAGTGCTCTGATTGTTTAAGTTACTTAACATACATGTATTTAAAAGGCCTTGGTCAAGGATATTCGCATAATGTTGTACATTTACGGAGAAAATTTAAAACTCATTTTGTTAACATCTGACACTGCAACCAATTTTGGCCTTGGCTGGTACGTTTACGTATTTCCAGCAATGACAAAATCCATGGAAATTTGATGTCACCAACTTCAATGCCTAGTCAATGCTTAACCCAGATTCAGCATGTCCAGGTGAAAGTGGCCCAAGTAAAATGATTGATTGTATTTCTGGATCTAGGGATGGGAGAAAAAGGAGTGGATTGAGAAATAGTCAGGCTTGAATGTAATATATGTTTTCATTGAAGAAGAAAAAACATTACAGTTTTAATTTACATGAATTTGTTTTCTGAATGTTGCACTTTTTTGGTGCACTGTGTATAATCGATGCTAATAGAAGTCGATAACCAGTCTACCCCGCGAGAACTGATTGTTTAAGGGACGCAAATAATTCGAAAATTTGTGAAGTAATTATTCCATAATTAAACAGGGACCTATTTCCCTCTCTTTTAGGAAAAGAATTCCATACATGTAGCCGGACATCACTTGACACCCTGTGCACAAACCCTATTAGACTGGTCTGAAAATTCGAAGTGTTCTCTTAAATGCTTCAATATTTTCCCTGCTAAGTATGATTTTTTAGGACACGTTATCGCTTTCTGATGGCTGATAGGTCATTGCAGGGGAAATTTTGTGATATCCACGCGTGGAATTCTGTCCCTTTTGAAATATGTCATTCAAAAGTAAATAACTTTGGTACTGAGTGAAAAAAATAGCGATTGAATTTTTTTGAAATGTTCGGGTAAAACTCAACATTATTAGTACGGGTAGTACATCTTTAAGATGTATTGTGCACCATGTCCGAACGTTCTCTTACAAGCATGGGCGTCGCCAGGGGGGAAAAAGAGGGGAAAATAGGAAAAAGAGATGCGAAGCCATATTGCTGTTAATTTGACTGGGGGGGGGGTTAGGGCAAATGCTCCCCTGCTCACGTTCGGAAAAATGATAAATTGAGAATATAATGAAAAAGTTAAGGAATTTTTTGGGAAAAAATTGCTTCGCCCCCCCCCCCCGGAAAAAAATCTTGGCGACGCCCATGCTTACAAGATATTCCTATATCTCTGAAGTATGTCCAACGTATAAGGAAAGATTGTGTCGTATTTACTTCCTCCTTAAATTGCATAACCGATCTTCCTTGATATAAGTAGAAAATATCATTTTCTTCGTGACTGAGCAAAGCTTCTTAATTGCTCGTCGATTTATCACTAGACATGTCGGATTATGGTGCATCTGTGTACGTGCGTGGTTGCAGAATGACGCAATGATTAATCGCATTTGTTTTCTGTGTGAGATTGTTTTTAACAGTTGAGATGTTAAAAATGGTGCGGGCGTAAAAAGAGTAATCCAAAAATTGTGGTTAGTATCAAAGTAACAACTTAGACACTGCCAATGTGGTTCCTTCTTAAAGGGTGACCGAACACCATTTGTTTCAAAACAAAGACTAAACAGCCCTTCCTCGAGTTTCCTGATTGAGGGTCTAATATATATTATCATCAAGCTTTCCAGAAAAAAAATCACCGAAATGTCTCGGGGTTAGTTTGTATAAAAAAAAACCTCAAAATGTCATTAGGATGGCATTTATTTGTCTCCTGTTGATAGGTCACTATTGGAGAAACAGCCCTAATTACTTCAAACTCTCTATGTATAGTGGACTCTACAAAAAAAAGCAAAATTTCTCAGTTAGTTCAAATTAGGTTTACATGTAAATTAGATATTCAGAGAACCTTCCTAACTGTGAGCGCTCATCTTGTCAATCAACATTAGTCGAACTCGATAATTAAGCAAGCTAAGGTTAACTTGGCACGGTATACGGAAAGAAACTGAAGCATGTACTTATAACACATAGACCACGCCTTGTGCCATCAATCAAGAATGGAAGAGGGACAGTGTCCTCTATCGACCAGTGAGTCATTGCTTTGGAATTATTTAACTTTAATAACCACTCTCGACTGGAATGTGCCGTGATGAGATCGTAAAAGCGTTTCCCATGAATTATAATGGTTGGAAGATCACGTAAATTTAACACAACCTTGAAGGATTTTCGGATTGTAGTATTTTTCCCATCGAATTGGCCTACTAGTCTTGTTTCCTGTCACACGTTTCTATTTGGAGACATCAGTCCAAACACACTCTAAAGTGCTGTAATGTCGTGGAACGCCCAGCGTAAATTGTCTTTCAGTGTTTGCAATCTAATACAACGCGAGTCTGATGTTTGCAGCTGTAACCGTAATTCGATACATGAATCGTTATTCTGTGCTAGAAATACAAATGCCAAGGTAAAAAAAAAATAGCTGCCCTGTCAAACTGGGTTTGTTTCCAGCATTTTGTGCGTGAACGCAATTTCAAACTATTTGCGGTTGGCGGCCTCCTCGGGAAAGTGCTTGGAGACCAGCAGCGTCAACTTTGTTTTACAGTCATTTGTAGAATCATTCCTTTTGTCTTGTATAGAAGAATGTGGAAATATGGGCGGAGCTTGCCTCAACAACGCAGAATGCAGACAACTGAACGGGAACCAGTTCTATTGTAGCTGCTCGGGGGCGTGGACTGGGGAATTCTGTGGCGAAGGTAAGCCAACCAAGGATGAGTGGGCGTGGTTTCATATTATGTGTGACAAGTTTAATTGAACTTAAAGATGAACGCGTTGTAAATGGAAGAAAAATGTCGATCAATTTCCTCGCGATGCCGTCTCAAATCTCCTTATTATGAGTGCAGACCAGCAAATAAATTGCCACTGCCCAGAATAAATAATTGTCTTTACTTCCAAAAATCGAGAAAAAATACTATAGAACAACTCTCCAGGATGTTCCAAACGCACATGGAATGAGAGCTCGGTTGTCGGAAGTAAAAACTAAAAAGTCGGCTCCAATTCAGAACTCAGACTCTTCATTGTTTACAATTCCTCATAAAGAAAACACTTTGCCTGTTATACTGGCCTGCCTCCTTAGGGTTTAACGTGGCCCTCTTCGTTCGCACGCTGACTTAGGTCTCAGAAAGGGTCTATTTAATTCATAATCCTTATCCACTTGTCTTTAATGATTTCAGTGAATTATTGCTACGGCAGCCCGTGCAATAACATGGGAATCTGTTACAATCTGGAGACGACATACCGATGCTCTTGCGCGGAAGGATTCACCGGACTGGACTGTGGTGTGCCGCTGCAAAGTAAGAATTCTCCACACTGTTTCACATTCCCAGTGATAGGCCATAAGAGGGAGTACTTTGGGCATGAAACCCTCCCATCGAACAAAGTACTAACTAGTCGACCTTGCTTTACAGATACACGTGATAGATCATAAGCGCTTCACTAGTTCGGTCACAGGACAATTGAAAACTCCAGTCACTTTTCATAGGGGATTAACAATAACAAAGCTCATTTTAATTGCCTGAGAGTTGGTTTTTGACTAGATGATTTGTGATGGACTTGTCATTATGTGATTCATCACCAGAACCTTTGCTGCAACACTGTAGCTTTGTGGATGATGTGTACAAAACACTCTAAATTGCAGACACTGAACAAGGTGACTCCCAAAAATGCAACCCTAAAACATTTGCCATTGTAAAAGTAGTCATCTTTCATTCTGCACACAAAACATTACCACATTGAGGGATTTCACTGTACCTATTTGTGCATGTCCTTATCCTTACAAACAACATGGCACATAATATGAGTACAAATGGATTGATGGAAATACCTTTTATTTTCCACCTGAACAGGCATCTCATTTCCCCCCCCCCCTATTTTAAACCCTTTCAGCTCACAAATATGTCAAAATACTAAAGAAATTGCACAAATGAAGTGTAATTGCAGACAAGCTAAGCTTACAGTGAAATGTTTCACTGTTTGAAGTACTTGTGTACAGAATGAACAACGTCTACTTTACATAATTGGCATTTTCTCACCAACCAAAAGTGCTTATTTTATGATTTGTTCAGTATTTGAAGGGGAAAAAAGCTCTCAGCTTGAATCTGATACCCAAAACATAAAAATCCACCGATCTTTTTTTTTAAGGCAAATGTTTTAGGGTTGCATTTTTGGGGTAACCCTAGCTGTATGAGCTCCGTGCGCTAACAAAGAGGGCGCCCTTTTACCTAGCAACGACGTCCCATGGGCGGGACATTTAACTGCAGGTTGACGCGCACCGTTCCTTGTGTGTGACGCACGTACACCAGGGGATTTGTACTATGTACATGCAGTGGTACGGTCGCGCGTTGCGGCCAAATTGCAGTCAGGCAAGATGGCGTCGGTCGGTCACCCCCAACTGTACTTTGTTTGCCGGTGAGGGGGTACTTGTGAACGGAGCGGATAAGGTTGATCGTAAAATTATTACGTTCGTGTACTTTAATAAACTTCCACAAGCGGAGAAACTGATGAACAAAATGACCAAGATTCACAGAAATTGCACTGATTTTATTTGTACAATGCAATATCCTGTTTCTATAACAGATGATGTTTGCGCTCCCAACCCCTGCCAGAACGGCGGCAATTGCCTGACGCAAGCAAACGACCCAACCCAGTCGATCTGTCTCTGCTCCGACGCCTATTCTGGCGCTCAGTGCGAGAGGGGTGAGTAGTTCACAGAGACCTTATTGGGCCTGTGTTTTGGCTTAAGTTTGTATGTTGCCGTGCATTACACATTATTACCTCCGCCCCTCAGATTATGTTTTTATCGGCGTTGGTTTGTTTGTTTGCTGGTTTGTCTGAACAGGATAACTCAAAAAGTTATGGACGGATGTTCAAGAAAACATTTTAAGGGGTGGTCCTTGGTGCAAGGACAAATCGATTAGATTTTGGAAGTGATCCGGATCTGGGTGTGGATCCAGGAATTCTTTTTAAGGGTTCTACACCATTTTGTATTTGCGAATGTGCTATGTGTAGAGACCATGTAATTGGGACACAATGTGTGGGTACAAACGCAGCGTGCAGCCTATGAGCAAAAAACACACACACCATTGAAACCAACAGGTCAATGGACTCGACCATTTGATACTATGGGGGAGTGGGGAATGTGCAATAAACTATGGAAGTCCGGTGGATATGCAAGTATTTCCATTGGGTGTGCTGACAATATGGCGGGGAATTGTTCGGACTTGGCGGAGGTTTGCGCTCTCTGAGTGCTTTTTCGTTTCCTACGTGTGAAAGTTATGTATATGCATGTCTCAACTATGTTTATGCAAATGTTGATCAGTCAATAAAGGCTAAAGGTTGCTGTTCCCAGAGGGACCAGCCTAGTGTCATCTTTGTACCTGACTATTAACTGACTGTAACTTGTGACGTAAAGTTTGACTTGGATGACTAATTGGATGGCTAAGAATGACTGCATGCTTGGCTTGAAAAGCTAGACCTCTTAAACCAAATTGAACAGGGACTAGCCTTAGGCTTGCGTAGTCTTGTTTTAGTGTAACTTTCGACCAATCAAATTGCAGTATTAGGAGAATCGTCAGCGTTTGACTTTAAATGGGAGGAAAGAGTACGCCACAAACTTTTAAGACATCGTATTTAACCGCTTTACTTTTCAGACAATCCGTGTTTCCCTCAGCCTTGTCAAAATGGCGGCGTTTGCAGCGAGTCCGGAACTACTTTCTCATGCGCATGCCCAGTTGGCTACTCAGGAACTCAATGCCAAACAGGTATGAAAGACTTTTTCATGAAAGACTTTTTTAAGAAAAGAATTTACATGCCAAAAAAGCCATTGTTTGGGCTTCAAATGATTCAATTTGGGCTTCAAATGATTCAATTAAGTATTGAGAAATACTAATCGCACAACAATGCAGGTTTGGATAATAAACCCCCGAGATGGGGAAAAGAACAAGAGAGTAGTTAGATATTTCACCCGAGCGTGCACCATGTACGAGGACGAGTAACTCAAAGTACACTTGACAGTTTGCATATAGTTGCTAAACACATACTTCGCTGAGCGCAGAATGTTTGCAAAGTAAACGAAAGGTACTGGCTCAAATCAGCTTCAAGGTTGATTCGCATGCAAACATTACTTCTCTATAGTGGGGACTTTTTGACCAGCATAAAGCTCAACAGAATTGATACCAGGTATTTTAACAATTAACACGGAGTCACAGTCCCTTGTAGAAACGTAAACATCCCTATCATTTCATTTTCAAGGAACTTTTTTGGTAATTTGTCTCTCCTTCTTTCTTCATCTCTGACCAACATTAGTGTTCATTGACCCCTGCACGTCTAGTCCCTGCTTGAATAGTGGAGTCTGCCAATCTGCCGTCACCGACTACTTCTGCGCATGTGATAACCTCCACACTGGCAAGAACTGCCAAATAAGTAAGACTTTTTTTTTGGTGTCACGTGAAAGTTGGACTCTAAAACGTGACATGTCACTGTCCAAATTCTGTTCATCAAAGCATGCGCAGTACAACCAATCAGTCCGTATTTCATCCAGTCCAAATTTCTTAGTATATACTGACTTTTGGTCGGTGACGTGACAGGTCCAGCCTGCCTGTATCGTGCCAAAATACCGCACCTTCAGAGGCCCTAGGCTCTTTGCCTTAAATTGTATTTTTTTAAAGAGCTTACATCATCGGAGAGCAAGGGCAGATCGGGGGGGGGGGGCAACGGGGCCATCCCCCCATAAAAAAAACCAACCCGATTTTTTTTAGTGACGTCGCTATAAAGGCAGTCACTGCGTACACCACCATTTTTTACTTCAAAACAATTGGTCAAAGTGGTCAGAAATTAATACCTCAGAGAGCATTTAGGATCCCGAACCCCAATTGTGTTTGAGCACGATGAGCTCAATTTCTTTAGAAACATACACGTAGGCCTACATCCCTATTTGTGAATTGTTTTTGTTTTGCTGAAAGAACACTTACCTTTTTTGTGCTCCTAGGACAGAACTTTAAAACAGTGTTTGTGTTCAAAATTCTGTAACTTGAAAAGTGCATAAATGATTTGAATGATTCTTGCAATACGAGAAAGCTTACTAATTGGGCTTTCTAGATTTTGAAAGTGCTACATCCAGAACTGCTTTGATACAACAATGGCCATGCCATTTGGGTTTCCTTTTTTTACTCGCCATGTACATCAGAAGTTGTAATGGACAATTTTTTAATCGTTTTGTTATACATGTACATGTATATACCAAAGTACACACTAGAAAAGAAACATTCTATTAAAAACCTTGTAAAATCTTTTAATTTATTGTAATTTTTTTATTCTTTAAGAAGAGTTTTTGGAGAAATATTCATCACAACTTCATCTCTATCGTTCCTTTTTTTCTATTCCCACGTCAATCAGAGTTGAAACCATGCGACGCCGATCCGTGCCAGAACGGAGGGGCGTGCTTCAACCGCGTGGACGATAACGGTTACTTCTGCGTCTGTCCTGCCAACTACACTGGGGTCAACTGCGAAGCAGGTGAGTTGGGTGGGCGTGGATTGTAATATCATCAAAGCAGTGACCAATGATAAGCCAGTTCTGATCCAACCACGCGTGCGCACGTTGGTTTTACCGATTTTGCTTTGGGGTAAACAGTCCGCCGTATGCTTGCAAAATAACAAAAAAACATTGTTAAAGTCCTCACAAGTCCAGTAATCACTGGTCCTTCAGACAAAGGCATTCCTCTGTCATTATTCAAACCCTCTCACTTTTGTTCATATGACCTCATAGTAACAGAAACAAAGAGCAACATAAGAGAAAATTATACATCATAATATCAGTATTTAGAAAGGAAAACAGTTTGGAGATATATATTTCAATACAAACAAAGGAAGGCAATAAAGAAGGCAAGAAAAGGTAGACTGTGTGACCTTGCCTGTGATTAAACTAGTGATTAATACAATGATTATTCAACTCTGCCACCAAATTTGAAGAAAGGTTTTTGTTCGGTTGTAAGTTACAACATTCCTATATCTTGCGACCACAGCTGACTGTAGAAGAATTGCATTGCACAGATTTGGTTACCATTGTTCCATAGGTTTTGTTTACTTTCACCAGTTCGCAAGCGCACTTCAGACACCAACTTGGCCGACCATGCTTGATTAATTGGGCGATGTGTAATTAAAACTAATACCATGTACATGTACATGTATGTCCTCAATAGTCTCGTGAATAGTCCTATATGATAAGGATTTGACTTCTTGCTTTTCGAAGTTAGCTCCGCTGACTTTCACTGGGATTTTATTCCTACTTTATTTTAATAAACACCCCTTCATTTCCTTAGATTTGAAACCTTGCGACGCCCTCCCATGTCTGAACAGTGGAGTCTGCTACAACATCGCCAACGACGCCGACTACGCATGCGTGTGCGCTTTTGGATTCGTGGGTACCAACTGCGAGAGAGGTAAACGAGGGGAGACATTTACCATTGCACAATTGGCCCACTAATCACAGGAATATATGAATACATAGCTGAATTATATGTATAAACGCTGGAACAACGCGTTTGCCATTTGAAGGGGCCTCTGTATTAGTGAATAGTGATAGCGTGCTCCTATTAGTCAATGGGTTATTTTTTAGCAAATACTTTCTGTACTTAGCTCAAGTCTACGCTTTATGTCTTTGGTGGTGTCTCCAAACCATACATACATAACCTACAATCCACATTGAACCCCCCCCCCCCCAAAAAAAAAAAAATAATAATAAATAAATAAATAAATAAATAAAAATAAAAAGTTTTTATTATTTCCAGTGTGTTTTTGGTATAAATTTTGCTTGGTACGGGAATGGAAAGATGACAAGCCATAATGCAGTAAATTACTTTTCTACAATTAAACTGGTACCTCACAATAGGCAGCTCGCGCGTGTGACTTTTGTTTAATTAGAGGCGACATCTTCTGAGTATAGTACCTAGGTTTCAAAACCGATCATGAAATTCTCAAGGAAGGGTCATTGAATACAGCAACTTTTAAGGGGGTTGTAGTAGAAGGAGGGTTTGTCGTCTGAAACCACAATCTCTGAACCATCAACCAGCTATGCAATGCAATACATATCTATGTTTTTAGTCGTCCTGGGTATTTCTAATGATTCTCTTATAAATTACTATCTCGACTTTTTTTCTCTTTTCAGACGACCCTTGTGTTCCTATGCCGTGCCGTAACGGTGGCGTGTGCACAGATACCGGGGTGACGTACAGGTGTTCGTGCTTTGGTGGTTACACCGGCTCCCGATGTGACATCCCACCCCGTAAGTTTAAAAATTTGATGGTTGGGCATTTCCCTTCCCATCATCATAAGATAACAACGTGTTTTTATTTCATCGTATTTTATATGTCATCGTGGCTTAATATCAGCCATATTCCAACCACTCCGGTACCAATTTTTTTTTATTTGCCTTGACGTTATGTTCCGCTTGTAATAATTCCAATAAACCTTAATTGGTATTTGGGACCTCCTAATCTAAGGCCGTGTTCGAATTGGGTGATATATGCCGGAGGCTTATTTGCCATATAGATCCTATATAGCCATCTTGAATCGAAGGTCGTGGTTTGAGAAATATTTCGACAGATATATCTTTTGCATAATGTCAAACGAATTGCAAAAATAAATCTCATTTTCTTGAATCAGCGAGAGCTCATTTGTCGGTGAGCTTCTGCGAAGAAGAGTCAAACCCATGTCACAGTGGCTCTACGTGTTTCACCACGACCAACCGGACGACAATATGCGTGTGTGCCGAGGGATACTCGGGGGTGTTTTGTGAATTCGAGCCAGGTCAGAAACTGAGTCCGATACGATGGCACCAAAAAACGCACTACGAGACGAAACACACCACCAAGAATTGTACCGCACGCACGACAAATGATTCAATAGAAATGATTTAATATGTAGTTGATAGATAACCTAACGCACGTGGTTTCGAATGCATGCATCTCGAATTTAGCATTGCACCATAATTCTTCAATTTTTACATGGGTTTGGTCAAAGCAAATACAACCAGTCCTATGCTGTCAGTTACAACCAAATGAACTTGGATATCGTCAGTGACCAACAAATTGAAAAGTGCGTTATATGGTTTATTATGCATCAGAGCCACCTGGTTTTCTTTGATGCAAATGCAGTTTTGGAGGTTATGCACTGGATGTATTAGAGGTTTTGGTTGTGCAAATATTTCAAATCTACCCCGACGTTGCATGATACAGTGCACTGTTGTGTCTGTAGTCTTCTTTCGACACGACTCTTTTCTTCAGCACTAACCTGCACAATATCAAATCTAATGATTTATGGCTTCATCATCTGCAAGAAATTTAATTGCAATTCACAGAAACACAAAGGTAAGTTTGGCAACACGGTTTGGTGTTCCAAGTTAAAGGAATATGGGGACATACACTTCGTGAAAGAAGCTGAGGTAACGTTGGAAATTGTTTGGTTTCTTTCAGCTAATCCTTGTGACGTGGGTCTTAACCCATGCCTGAATGGCGGTCTGTGCTCATCCAGTGACGGAATGACGGCAATTTGCGCATGCGTCAATGGCTTCACAGGAACACGCTGTGAAACAGGTAACAAAAGTTCACTCTGGAAGTTTGATAACTTAAGTTTAAACGTCTTCAACAATCCATAATAGTTACTAAAAAGACGCCAATGTGAATTATTAACTCGTATGTTCTCAGCATGTTGATTTTGATGATTTTTTTTTTAAATGTTCTGAAAGGTAAGGACAATAAACTATAAATATGTTGAACCAAAGTACGTGTACAGAAAAGTACCGTGTACAGGAAAACCCAATCAAGCTAATATTTCAATATGTAGATACCTGCTCAACTTGGAACCTTGTGTTTATAATACATAACTTAATTTCAGTATGCGAGGATACCTTAAGTGTCTGGAGTGATTTTTTTTTTTTACTGAGAATTTGTTTTTACATTATGACATACTTTTGCAGTTCCCCCGTGTCATGTCAGCATCAACCCGTGTAGGAACGGAGCTACATGTATGGAACAGAATTCAATGGCACTCTGCATCTGCGCATCAGGCTTCGTCGGTGAATACTGCGACCGAGGTAGACTCACGAATTGATAGTTTCGGTTTAATGTACACAATACTTTGGAGTCCATTCGAAGACTTCTATGATGTTCAGTATAACAAACAGGTATTTTGAGGGAGTCACCCACTCAACGGATGGGGTTTATGGGATACTTGTATTTGTTCTCCCTTTATCCCTCTTCTTTAAAATTGCCCTTATGGGGTACCGTTAGACAAAGGCCGACTTGTTGGGTACCATTGTTCCCTTTGTGTGATTACCCCCATAAGGTAGTTCCCATAAAAACACACAGTCGTACTTTACCATTCGTCAGAGGGCAAGTCAAGGTGTTTCTGTTGTTCCTGGAATAAACACTCTCCCATAAGCACACAACGTACGTGTGAGGACCGTTCTCAACAATGTGTCTCCGTTCGAGGACAACAATTAATCTGTTGTTCTCTCTTTGTCTTGCTGTCCTCAGACTGTAGAACACACACTTATTTTAAAACACAATCCACCACGGACCTGTTATTGTTCTTCTACTGGTTATCCCTTGTTTGGGGGAAGTTTTGTACACGATTGGACCTACACGATTGGACAGTGGACCTTAAAAAGTCGTAGACCCTATTGTCCTCTATTGTTCAAGGTCCACTATTGAATGCAGATACACTCATGACAACCCACCTATCTCATAGCTACTGTACGGATACGATATGTACGACACGATATGTCTTGTCTGATTTCTTGAGAGCTAATCGAATTGTTTAAACCTTTATTTTCAAACTTTTTTCCAATTCTTTTCAGATGACCCGTGTGTCCCTCAACCTTGCATGAATGGTGGTGGGTGCACATATAGCGGAGTGACATACAGCTGCGCATGTGTTGGTGGCTATACCGGCTCCACATGTGAAATTCCACCACGTGAGTGTGCATATTTTTTATTGAGCAGTTACCCCTGCCCTCCCGGTTTTCATACTACACTGTGTGAGATCCACCTCAATGAGTTCGGTAAACTTGCCAATAACCCTTACCCTCTTATTCTTAATGCCAACCCATTGCGAAAGAAGTGTGTTCCCACAAAACACCCAACCTCAAGTTTTAAATGAGCCGTTTTCCCAAGGCCGATCTTTGACAGGTTTTCAAAGGCATTCGTCACTAAAAAATTGTTACTTTTTGTGAGCATCTCAGTGAAATTATTTTTGGGGGAGGGGGCTTGATTACATTTCTTTTAGTCCTGTTTACTCTCCCTCACATCCCACCTGTGGTTATGCTCCCGTTGTTGAGTCAGTTTAATATCTCGGACATACTTCGAATGTAAGACTTCGTACATTTAAAGAAAACACAAAATGGATAACTTATTGATCTCCAGTATCGAGTACCAAGGTGTCACTCGTTACAACGGTATATTGCAAATTTCACATAGTTAGGTTACACGTAGGTTACAGTTGCATATGTATACTGATATTGGTTATTACAATTTAGCCATTGTTTGAGAAAGGACAACTTCGTTATAGGTTGTAGATATAGTAGTATTTAAAAAAACCAGAAGATTTCGTTTTGGTTAATTGGCAACAGCGTCTATGGCGGTGGGTTTATGTGACGAGGAGTCGAACCCGTGTGGTAATGGCTCCACGTGTTTCACCACGACCAACCGGACGACCATTTGCGTGTGTGCCGAGGGATACTCGGGGGTGTTTTGTGAAATCGAGCCAGGTCAGAAACTGAGTCCGATACGGTGGCACCAAAAAAACGCACTACGACGAGAAACACACCACCAAGAATTGTACCACACGCACGACAAATGATTCAATAGAAATGATTCAATATGTAGTTGATAGATGCATGTATCTCGAATTTAGCATTGCACCATAATTCTTCAATTTTTACATGGGTTTGGTCAAAGCAACTACAACCAGTCCTATGCTGTCAGTTACAACCAAATGAACTTGGATATCGTCAGTGACCAACAAATTATGGTTTATTATGCATCAGAGCCACCTGGTTTTCTTTGATGCAAATGCAGTTTTGGAGGTTATGCACTGGATGTATTAGGGGTTTGGGTTGTGCAAATATTTCAAATCTACCCCGACGTTGCATGATACAGTGCACTGTTGTGTCTGTAGTCTTCTTTCGACACGACTCTTTTCGAGCCAGGTCAGAAACTGAGTCCGACACGGTGGCACCAAAACGCACTTCGAGAGAAAAATACGACTAGAAATGTAGTGCACGCATGACAAATACTTGAACACACGTTTAATTTGATAGCTTAACTCACTAAACACGATCTGCCAATATTCCAAACAGCAACGAACTACAGGGTGAGTAAAAAATCCCAAATGGCAGGACCAATTTTTGAATGAAGTTTTGCCCGTAGCACTTTCAAAATCTAGGATAAGAAAGCCCAATCAATGAGCTTTCTTTTAGTACAGAAATCATTTAAAACATTTATGTACTTTTCAAGTTACGGTATTTTGGACACAAACACCGTTTTATAGTTCATTCCACATATCACAAAAAAGGTACGTGTTCTTTCAGCAAAACGAAAGCAATTCTCATTGAGATGCATGTGAATTGTTCTCGTTTTGCTGAAAGAACACTTACCTTTTTGTGGTCCGTGGAATGTACTTTAAAACGGTGTTTGTGTTCAAAAACTGGAAAAATATGAGTTATCTGAATTATTCTTGTACTAAAAATAAGTTTAATGATTGGGCATTCATATCCTAGATTTAAAAAAGTGCTAGGCCTACAGGCAAAACTTCATTCAAAAGTTGATCCTGCCATTTTGGGATGCGTTTTTTTTAATCGCCCTGTAGTCTTTTTACCCAATGGGTTACGTATTTGAAAAAAAAAGGGATTGTGAACAACAATAAAAAAAAAACCACTCAGAAATCCTTTGAACAGAATAAAACATCTGTTTGATATATCATTATGATTGATTACTGGGTAAGGGAAATCTGTTGCACTGGTTTATGGTGACAAACACACTAACAACACGCAAGCATGGAAATTGCCTGTCGGCCCGTTGAAATGGCAAGATATTGGCAACCACCGTCACATGTTGATTGTTCTTCAGTTAGTTTTCAAAAAGTACGGCTTGCTTTCATTGTCTGTTTATTGATTAGAAATGTGTTTTTAGAGGTGGCACACCTTTTGTTAATACCAGGTTGTTTCCAGTTCAAATCCACCAAGCTTGCACGGTACATAATATAGTACATTCATAACCCGTAAATACTGTTCACAACTTGGCAATTCCAATCAAATATGAATACTTCAAGGCATAGGGGGCCGTTTGCTGTTCATGCATTTTGCTCGTTTCTAATAAGAACAACACTGAGCATTCAAAGAAGAATGTCCTTAACCTAAACTGTTGAAATTTCAGCTCAGTGGATATCACACATCTCGAGTAAACAGTGAAAACCATGCACAACCTTTTGATCACAAAACTCGGTCAAGCACTCTTTATTTCCGAAAATCAGTTAATTGACTGGTTGTTTGAAATCACCTACATTTTCTTGATTTAATGACAGCAAGCCAGACGAAATAATTTCACACGGATTTTCGTACCGGTACGATCTTTAATCCAAGTGCACGTTTTGATAATCGTTCGGTTAGTTTTGGGATGAATGCAAAGGACGGGGTCAACATCGCAGTGTTGGCTTTACACATAATTAGCGAGGAGAGTAAACGTAGAAAATGTTGGATTTTTGTTTTCTTTTAGCTAATCCTTGTGACGTGGGTCTGAACCCGTGCCAGAATGGCGGCCTGTGCTCATCCAGTGACGGCATGACGGCAATTTGCGCATGCGTCAACGGCTACACAGGAACACGCTGTGAATTAGGTAACAAACTTTGAAAAGGACCTTGATTTCATGAGTTGAATTTAAATGTCCAAGTAACTTCACTATACTAGTGACGTGACTATGAATCTTAAACAGACTTTTTAATAAGCACAGAATATACTCTTTGACTAATTTCATTCTTAAAGTTTAAGCAAACCGTTCTTTTCTGCACTAGGCCTACATATTTCATGAAATATGAATGGACTAAATCCAGTGAAATGTGGACCAAAATTAATAACATGCTTATAAATGTTTGGATCTCCGGGCGGTTTTGTCACTGCAAAAACATTTCATGACGAAATCGAGGTTACAAATACAGTAATCTACATGTATGTACATATATTCAGATAGGAACATCACTTATCACACCGAACATTACATTCATACATATAAGTTGATACATAATTACATGTATATCCGACTTCAGCTCCATTTCCTTTCATCTTTATTTTTAGTTCCTCCGTGTCACGCCAATATCGACCCATGTTTGAATGGAGCTACGTGTGTCGAGCAGAACTCAGCAGCAGTCTGCATCTGCGCAGAAAACTTCATCGGAGATTACTGCGAGCAAGGTTCGTTTCAGAAGCGTTATGCCATTTTTGTTATAATGAAGCCATCGTTAGTCAGCATAAGTTGGTTGTTATACATCATAAGTTAATCACAAATATGCAGTCCGCCGTCAAGTGACAAAAACGTCAAATTAGCTGTGACAGAATTAAGCAAACCTCAACTTGGTTATTGCTAATTCCTAGTTGGGCCTATGCTTATAACCTAACGTGGTTTGACTCTCGATTGACTTGGGGTTGAAATGTAATTGATTAAATTGCAACTCTGAGAGCAGTTTCCTACAAATTCTACATTTTGCTTTAGATTCAGACATAATTTATCAACTGAACGTTTTATATGGTTAATGTTGTGTTTTGATACCACAGTGGGCCCTTGCCACTTTAGCGTCAATCCATGTCTGAACGGAGCCACGTGCCTCGAGATGAACTCAGCAGCCGTGTGCCAATGCGCGGAGGGATTTGTTGGTGATCGGTGTCAGACAGGTACATTTAAATTTAACTAAAACTCCATTCTGTGTATATCTTAAAAGCGACTACAACTGAGAAAAATATTCGCTTGACTGTTATGTAACGTGAAGATAATTTAAAATAAACTACTTTTATAATAAATGTAGGCCTATCATTGTTCAAATTTGAAAAAAAAGTTTAGATCTGAAGCTGTGGCAACGGACATTTATTTTCGGAAAAAGACCGTGTCGTCATAGCTTTATTTACATATTGAATATTCATAGTGACACAGTTTCGTTGCCACCCTTGCGACAGTTCCTGGAAGGGCTACAATGTCTTTCCTCCTGCCATACGTCATAGAAATTAAAATCCCAAACAGGGATGTAGTCCAGTCCATCACAAGTCCCTGCAAGTCCATCACAAGTCCTCCAGTCCCAATAAGCGAGTTCGGTATTTCAAAATAGTCACAACAAGATTCGACGATTTTTGGGGGGGATAACCGCGGCAGATAAATGCACACAAGGCTATGGGGGACGTGGTAACCAAATCTGCATTCTGCACAATTTTTCGTGCAATCGAAAAGAGATGGAACTTTCGTTTGCACAAAAGTTTTGACACAAGACACCTAAAACCACTTCGCTGTCCAAAGGTTTTTTGCAAAAATGTTATACTTCAGAACACGACGATCTCTTCAATTTTGCTGGTACCACGCTATGCTTTTGCAGGCATACGATGAAATGTTTTTCCCGAAAGAAAAATCGGCGAATCTTGATGTGCACATGCGCAGTTGGAATACCGAACTGGCTTATTCAAATCACAAGCTACTCAAATAAGGTTTGACAAAGGCATTCCTACGGTTATTGTTCATCCGCTGTGACTTGTGACTGGGCCGTGAGGTGGACTTTTTATTTAGATATTGGCAAATTGCTATAATAAACCATCCTAAGTGAAAATTTGATTGCTTGAATACTTTTTATGCGTAATAATAGGTTTACAAAAATCATTAAAAGTGTAATTTTTTGCTTTCTTGTTCAACGTTGGAGTTGGTCCTTTCTTTCTTGTTGATTCATTGACATGACATATCACATTTTCCAAAACCAAAGCATTATAATGATTCAGTTGTTTCCTCTTTAATGACCCTCTATACATCAGACTATCCCTGTAAGGATGGGATCGACCCGTGTCAGAACGGCGGCCTGTGTGTCAGCGTGAACGACACTCTGGCACGCTGCGAATGCTTCAACCGTTATAGCGGTGTGTTCTGTCAAATTGAACCGCCAGGTCAGATGGAATCAAAGTTTGCTGGTGCATGTTGCAATATGTCTTGGTGCTGGCACAAAATAGTTTGGTTGCAAAGGAATAATGATGAATAACAGCACTTATCTGCTACTGCATTGCCCATTTTTAAAGGTCTAGCTGCCAACTGGCCTGTATTCTAGGTGTTTTAGAAGTGGTGTTAAAATTGACTAACTTCTGTAGCAACTGAGCACGTAGTGCCAAATACGCACGCATGTCACGTAATTTTATTGGTTTTGTAGTTTGGGTTATAGTGGTGTAGCACCGCTTGTGAAGCTTTAGCGCTTTGGCAAAACTTTGTGAGTGCTGTTTCACTCTACGAAGAGGATTTTGAGGTTTTTCCCCTTGCCTAGCTTTTGATTTTTCTCTGCATGCGTTCTATTCTGTCTGTGCTTTTTTTGCAATTGCTGATTTTAAACTTTTCATGGTGGAAAAGTGCCATAAGTGATAGGTTTGGAGGTGCAGCGTGCCAGAAAAGAAGTCTTCTGTGAAAAAAAAATGTGTCGTTCTGAAAGAACCGCACTTCACCGCGTTCTTTCAGATACACACTTCGTCACAGAAGAGATATGCTTGGCCACAAACCTATCACTTATTGCTGAAATGCAGCAATTTTCTGACTACAGGCTCGTATGTAGTGGTTTTTGGATTCTGGCAACACTTACTGTACAGGCAAATTTTACTGCAAATTAACTGGGAAATTATGTCAAACTGTCTCTAGCATCTGTGCTTGCATGTTAATTAAGAAGAAATCTGAATTGGTGTATTAGTTCGTTTTGTGGCAAAACTCACATTGATAGTTGAGCAAACACATAGTTTAGCAAGTTAAATTAATAACTACACACATTAATCAAACAAAGAGTCAATCAATGCACTTTTAATGCAGTTCAAAAGAAAAAAATACGCATAGGCCTAAACTGCTCTGAATTTCCATAAGCTTTTTCAGTTGGTTTTCGTCAAGGTGTTGGCTGTTGCTAATTCTGTATGAGAGACATTTTGCACAAAATATTGTCTCTCATTGTCTCAACCTTGTTTTACTACATGTGTATTTTGAATGCATTCCTTTCATCTAGTTCATCCGTGTGATGACTCCATCAACCCGTGTCAACATGGCGGCGATTGCGTTGCCATGAATGACGTCACAGCTATCTGTGTGTGCATCAATGGCTACTCAGGGCAGTACTGCCAAATAGACCCGCCAGGTGAGGAAATAAAGGAAACAAAAGCCACACTGACATCAACAAGCAATACAGATTGTGGCCTGGTTGGAAGCCGAAATCGAACATTTAAACTTGGTCCAATGTCATTTCCAGGTTTTGGTGCCGATTGACGTTTTTCGGGATTTTTTCTTAAAAACAAAATCCATGATGATGACTAAAATGTGGGAAGGGCTTCAACGAATCTACGTTTGTGTGTACTTGCATCGAATATCAGCCCATTCCTATTTGAATTGCTCATTTTCCAAATAATTTCAGTCTCAGCATGCGCCTAACAGATGAATGAGAAGATAACAAGTTGAGTATTTTTTTGTAATGTATATCCCAGCTCCTGCCCAATTGCCTGACATTCAGATCGAGAATTAACTGTTATCGTGAAGTGTTAAAAACAGGATGCTAACTGGTCTTGATTTTGTATTGGTTCCCATTGCTATGAATTTTAATCCCCTTCTTTCAAACATCTTTTGGATAAACATTGGAATCGTGAAATGCTCGAATATGTAGAATTATAGTAGGCCTATATCGTCCATCGTAGGTCAGTTACAAGTCGCATAAGTCCAGTCACTGAATCAAAAGCCAAACCAATATACAAATCGTAAATCAATCACAAGTCAAATCAAAGGTAAGGTAAAAAATAACAGACGATGGTCAATGACAGAGCAATGCCTTTGGTACAGTTCATTTGAACATCTACATTGTAGTCACTTGACTTGACGAATCGCTCATATTAAAATTGCAAGCGAGGTAACATCTTCATTTTTTGAACTTGCAAATAGAAATAAAGGAAATGAAATAAATTCAATTATAAATGAATACCAGTCTGCTCTGATGAACAATATAAACATTTGTGATTAAGCATATGCTAACGTTTTAATGAACATTAAAAACAATTTAAACCGAATAAATAATGAAAGGTTTGCGGAAACACCATGTGCGAGTAATATCTCAACTAAGAGAGTGGTTCTGAAAAGAACCAGAGGTATAAACTCGACGTTCCGGTCAGTATGCTCTGACCGTCTTCAGGAGAGTATCTCCTCCATGCAAATGGAGGAGATACTTTAAAAGCGAGGCTTGAAACACAAAATCGTCTGGCACCATCCCATTCAACAGTTTACAATTTATCAAAAACATCCAGGGAACACGATAAAAAAAAATGGCAATCTCGTGGAATAAGGTATATTGATGACTTGTGATTGACTTGTGATGACTCAACACAAACAATCCACTTTTTCCAACAGTTCCTCCTTGTCACGAGAGCGTCAATCCGTGTCAGAACAGTGGTATCTGCGTAGAAACGGACACCACCACGGCAATGTGCATCTGTACGAGCGGATATCAGGGCGAACACTGCGAAATAGGTGGGTTCATTGATACTTACTCATTCAAATGTTCACCCAATTTGAAAAACAACTAAAATAAAACAAGAAGTCCAAATACAAAATACTGTCAACAAGGAGGATGAGAAGGAATTTATACATAACCATTTATTCAAAAGCAATAGTACGCTTAAAACGTAAGATTTGTGTACCAAACATGTTTTGATAAAAGAAAATCACATGGAGTATTTCTGCACCAGGTCACATCAAGTAAAGAGAAATGTTTAAGGTATTATTTAGTGACAACTTTGCCTACCTGAGTAATGTAATGTTATGAAGAATCAGTGACATGTTTTGTTCTATACATCTAGTTTGCTGGGGGTCTCAATTTCCTATATTTCAAACTTAATTTCCGGAGTGGAAAAAAATGACTTCTTTATCCATTCCCCTACCCAACAGTTCCTCCATGCCATGCAACTATCAACCCGTGTCTAAATGGTGCGACCTGCTTAGAGATGGATACAACCACAGCGATGTGCGTCTGTGAAGGGGACTTTATAGGCCAATACTGCGACATAGGTGGGTTCATTTATACTTACTCATTCAAATGTTCACCCAATTTGAAAAAATAATAAGATAAAACAAGAAGTCCAAATACAAAATACTGTCAACAAGGAAGATGAGAAGGAATTTATACATAACCATTTATTCGAAAGCAATAGTACGCTTAAAACGTAAGATTAGTGTACCAAAAATGTTTTGATAAAAGAAAATCACATGGAGTATTTCTGCACCGGGTCACATCAAGTAAGAGAAATGTTTAAGGTATTATCTAGTGACAAGTTTGCCTACCTGAGTAATGTAATGTTATGAAAAAATCAGTGACATGTTTTGTTCTATGCATCTAGTTTGCTGGGGGTCTCAATTTCCTATATTTCAAACTAAATTCCCGGAGTGGAAAAATGACTTCTTCATCCATTCCCCCCCCCCCCCCCCCACACACAGTTTCTCCATGCCATGCAACTATCGACCCGTGCCTAAATGGTGCAACCTGCTTAATAGAGATGGATACAACCTCAGTGATGTGCGTCTGCGCAGAGGACTTCATAGGCGAATACTGCGACCAAGGTACAAAATAACGAGAATCGAGAATCGTTCGAAAGATAAGGGATGAAAAGAGAAAACTGCAACCCACCAAAAGCAAAATCAGCCCAGTCTAGCCAGCCCTGCAGGGCCTAGCCCAGCTCAATCCGAAAGAGCCAAACGCCACCCAATTCAACCCAACCCAACAGAGCCATAGGCCTACCCAGCCAAGCTCAGCCCAGCTGGACCCTAGCCCAGCCCACAGAACCATAGCCTTACCGACCCATAAAATGTGTCAGCATTTCTAAAAGGACTTGGACTAGACTCGGAGTATAAGTCTGATTTTCTTTCAAACGCTTGGATACCAGCAAAGCTCCTTGATCAAATACGTAGTTAGAATCCTAAGAATAGCCACCTTTGTTTCTTACGGATACCTGTCAGACTCAGAGAAAACAAGATTATAAGTCTAAAGTTTTTCTATGTAATGTAAAATCATAGCCATCATCTACAGTGGCTATACTGAAGCTTACCCTCAAATCGTTAGACTTTTGCACACACTGTATATTGTTATCACAACTGCACTTTGTTATCCTTTTTGGCTCCATTTGGTACAAGTGGACACAGCTATTTTTAGTGCTTATCCGTAAAAAAAAAAAACAGAAACACGTTTACTTATTGCCATGTTCACCACACTCTGATGAAGCAATTTCCTCGAATTTCACGAAGTCGAATACATTTTATGAACCATTTTTATTTTGACAGTACCCCCGTGTCATGAATCTGTCAACCCATGTCAGAATGGAGCCACGTGTATGGATACGGGAGGAGGGCTCCCCCTGGTGGCCTGTCTGTGTCCGCTAGGTCACTCCGGAGAACACTGTGAGATTCTACCAGGTGAGCATGGCGCCTTCTTGCATTTACCTTTCTCTTGATGCTTTCCTTATTTTCATTTTCTAATTCCTTCTACATGTATTTGCCTCCATGTCTCCTACTTCCTCTACCACTCAGTTAGCTTGTCTAAGAGCCCTAGCTGTCCCGAATCATCCAATTTCAATAAGATTTTGCATACCCCCTAGGGAGTTAGGGTTAAGTTAGTTTTATCAGCTTTTTGTAAGTTGTCTGTACTGTCCCTACTTACCTTTGGGCTTGTACGGTAGGCCTAGATATCGTGATATTTTCCCCCCTGATTGCTGCCCCGCGAGCCTCTTTGCCAATAGTCTCTATCATCCCCTCCGAGGCCTCCATGAGTAAAACAAAAATTATGCAGGTGACATGAGAGAAATTGGTGCCGGATTAAAAATCATTAAAAATTTAATATCTCAATTACACAATTTCATTCATATGGATTCAAGCATTCGCTTTTTCTTTAATGCTTTTACTTCCAAGTATTATGCTTTTGTTGTTTGCTTATTAAAACTTCCATGCATTAAGTTTTTTATATACGACCCATTGTATCGATATACATGTAAACATAAAGGCCAATGACCTTTTCTGGAAATGAATTTTCTCTATTTTACATAAGGCTTGGCCTTTAACCTTTTTCTTTGTTGCAGACGACCCCTGCGATCCCAATCCATGTTTGAACGGTGGACGTTGCCAGGGCGACCTGATTACCGGCATTCACATATGCACGTGCTCAGCAAACTTCTACGGAATCAACTGTGACATCCGTAAGACAGCAAAATGATTATTTCACACAAATGAGGCCTGTTTTAAGTGCCCTGAACAATGCCGTGCTAAATCGTGGCACTGTCGTCATGGTCGTAGCATGAAATTTCGTAAACCGTTCGGCTCAGTCAATTTAGATCAGCGAGGCACCGTTCTTTGGTTCAAGTGTTGTGCGGAACTCAATGTAAACTTGCAATCAATAACAATTTCACGGATAGTCCAACACCATTGTGAAGTGACTGCCATCCAAGTTTGTTCTGTCATCACTTTGACAGGAAAGTTTTACTCTCTTCCAATCGGCAGGCAAAATAGTCCCCAGGCTCCCCTAGTCAAAATAAAGTAAAATCTGACAGCAATATTAAAAAAAACCTGCATTTACTTCAAGTTATGCTCCTTCTCGATGTTCTAAAGTTTAGGCAGCTCTAGAGTGACAGTCGGAGCTTACTAAACCCGAAATGTCAAGTGAACATCTGTGTTTTACAGTCAGGGATGAAGTCGAGTTCATCACAAGTCCTCCAGTCCCAATTCAGCTCACAAGCTATTCAAATTAGCTTTGACAAAAGGCATTCCTTTGTGATTGTTCATCCACTGTTACTTGTGACTGGACTTGTGTGAATGGACTTGTGATTTACTTGTTACTAGACTTGCGATACATTTGTGGCTGGACTTGTGATGGACATGTGATGGACATGTGATGTACTTGTGTTGGACTTATGATGGACATGTGATGGACACGACTACATCCCTGTGTTTTCTCTTTTCGAGAAAGTCACTTCGCCTGTAGAATTATTTGACAATACCAAGCAGTTTGCTTTTGCTCTCCTGATAAACTGAGATCATAAATAAGAATGTCATGCCTTTATGTTTCCTTGTTATTTCTGATATCTCCCCACAGCTGTCCCAAACAATTGTGAGAGCAATCCCTGTATCAACAATGGCAGTTGTTATTCGGGCAAAGAAATGGACGGCTACGTGTGCACGTGCCCAGATGGATACACCGGTCTCGACTGTGAGCTGGGTGAGTAATGAGGCTCACAGCTCTTTGAGAACGAGCAGTTGACGAGAGAAATTTGTTTGATTAGATGTCGCAAAATGTCTTTATAGATGTTCCATTAGATAGTTTGTCACTTGGTTTGTACTTATTCGCATTAAATTTTACTGTTTTTCTCCACACAAACGGGAGATTCCACTGTACGCCTAATTGATAATGTCCATGAATGAGAAATTACAGTATTTCCAGAAACAGAAGATATGTAGATTCTCTTTAAACGCACAGTAATTCAGCTGTGTTCTAACGGGGGAAATTCAATAATTATTCTTGTTCGAAAAATAAATACAACCCTTTCCATCCCTAGGGTGCTGATTCAATCCAGGAATATTACAAGAGGTACCCTATACATAAGTGAATTGTATTTTAAAACGGTGGACAGAAGTTTTCGTTCTTCCACATAATTCATGTTGTCATCAGTATATGATAAAATGCTTTTAAACTCAAGCAAGTATATGTAAAGTATTCATTAGCCTTAGTTTTATAAACATGTACACATACAGACTAGCAATTTGGCACGCTTCAAATTCTTGGACACAACTAACTGGCTCACCCCTATCATTGTTCCAGCCTTACGTAGCCGGATTCCATGACTATATTTGGTAATCAAGGTATATGTCAGTGAGATATTTGCATATGCAAATAAATAGAGCCGTTTTCAACCAATGAGAAAGTATGTTTGTTCATGTTGCTGTGTGAAGAACGTGGTGGCCTGATTTCGGCTGTGCTCTCAATTTAGTCACAGTTATTGAGAAATTGTCCTCACAGTCACAATCAGTGAGACAGCAAGAGTGAATTTTATTTTGTGCACATTTCATAACATCACTTAAGTAAAAAAAGAAAGAAAAAAAAAGAATTAATACGGATTACCAATGGACTATTTCTTAATTTCAGAGACATGTGTAAGGATACCATGTCAAAATGAAGGTGTCTGTGTGACAGCTGACGACCACGACTTCTGCCAATGTGCAGATGGCTGGACGGGAACGCAGTGTCAAACCAGTGAGTATGCACAGGTGCAACAAACCTGGTTAGAGCCTAACACTCCTGGATCCGTCAAAATCCACCAAATAGTTTTGGAGTATTTTGCAGGATTTAGGAAGGTAAAGAGGTCTGATGCCTGAACGGTGAATGAAATGTCCCTCAACGTATTGAGTCATAGAATGTGCCGTCCTGCCTCATTGGAAGATAATAAATGTATATGTTATGTGTCCCCAACAAGTTGTTTCTCGTACCACTGTCATTTGTCTGTGAAGAAGGTCTTGTTATGACCGGAATATTGGTCCTCGTTTTGTATTTGACTACAACTTGGTTGATTTTCAAAACGTTTGAATAACGAAAAAAGATTTCAACATAGTGTCAGAAGAGTTTGTCTGATAATTTTTCGGTTAAATAATTTATCAAAGAGTAACAAACTTTGTATGGGAGCCTATTAAAAGCTTCAATTGTAAGTCTTGTCCGTCTGTGGATTTGTACTTTAAGTAAGAGGACCTTACAAGAGAATGTTTCAAATTTCTTCTTGAAATGAGTTACGGAACTTTATTTCATATTCAGGCTTGATGGGGCCAACTAAGTTGTGCTTAAACGGCAAGAGTCAATATCAGATTTAACCGCTACTGTACATGACACCTCTTTGGTCAAACTGACACTACTTCATGTCAAACTGACACTTTTTTGAGTCAAGTGACTCGAAACAGTGTCATTTTGACCCGGAAAAGTGTCAGGATGAAATCTGACACGAAACTTTTAAGAGTATACTTTAGCATAACAACATGTGTAATCGGAACTCTAGAAAATGATGAACTCCTTCGGTTTTGAAACAACAGGGAAGGTGAGCTGTCAAGTCGATTCCTGTCAAAACGACGGGACCTGCCTAGTGTTGGACAACGTGCTCGTGTGTCGGTGCAAAGGAACCTATTACGGGTCTCGCTGTGAAATAAGTGAGTATTTCATTCGGTCTTGGTATTGAAATTATATTGGTACTAACTTCTTTCAGGCCATGAAACGAAGGCTTGATCAAAAGTGGACAAAGCAATGTATTTCAAAAGAATAAGGACACGACGGAGAAAAAGAGAAGAGAATGAAGAAATGTTCAGTGTTAGAGGTGGGAGGAAATCCCTGAAGGATATTCTAAGAAACACACATTGGAATTAAGTAAAATCAAATGTCGGGGCTTTATGGAAATCGGTTTTGTCCTCAATGCTTCAATTTCTGAGAGTCTATACTTTGGAGAATGTTCAATTTAATTCATTCACATTTATTTTACATTTCATAAAATACACGTAAATATAGATTAACACGGTGTATAACAAGTGGATATTATGAAGTTACTTGAAACAAAAGGTAAAGTTGGAGGCATGTCCCGGTAAGCGGTTGCTTGAGCTGGGGATGCCATACGAGACAAAACCGTCTGCGCACGGACAGCAACAGACAAAACATTCGGACAAGCAAAACACTAAATCACGAGAAAAAAAAAACTTAAAATTATTTTGAGCCTAAATAGTGTACTAAATACAATAATATTACATCTATAATGAAAAAAAAAGCTCCATAAGGTAATACAGATAAATCTTGTACAATAAGCAGTTGTACAGGTACATTTTATTTTAGTTTTAAATATGTTAAGTGTAGTGGAGATTCTAACATCGATGGGAAGTTTGTTCGAGACCAACCAAATTACTGGGACTGTCTCCAAGGATATGGGTCTGAGCCTGAAAACAAATTTCTCTTTTTTTTTCTCCTGTAAAATGACTGTGTTATTAATCTAGTAGATCCAACACTAAAATGAGAATGTTCAGTAAAAGGGTATCAATACACAATTCAAATTTGTCATCCTCACTATCAAGCAAAAAAAACCGTTCCGATCTCTGTCAAAAGCGAGTAGATCAAAGAACATTTGTTATTACCCATTATTATGTTGAAATTACCCCAAAACTTGCTTGTAATGAGTTTTCCTTGTTTTTTCTTCTTCAGGTACCAGGCAATCGTTTTCTAGTGCATCATCGATATACAACAGGAGCGCATGCGCAATGACGCTTATCGGTCTGCTTACCCTCGTCACAGTAAGGCTAAGTCTGTAGCGTTGTCTTCCCTCAAGGCTAACATTAAGTGTTTTTTTTCCTTTGAAGTATGTTCGAGTCTTTCAACTCATCTCATTCCCGCGTCCTGTCTCGGCTGAAGAGCACCCTCAAGTGTTGCATCAGGAAAGTAAAGTTTGGTTCTCAAAGCGGGTCCAGAAATATTTGTACACGCAGAGGCGTCGCCTGACCAATTTTAACAGGGGGAGGGGGTGTGACAACAATAATTTGCCGGCATCAAATCGACATTCACATGCCTCGTCAGACTAGCCACTGCAAGAAGATGGAAGTTTTTATTAGGCATCAGAAATGGTGATTTGAAAAGGTACATGGGATAAACCATGGTTGGACTAGCATCGAGTGCGCGGTTGTAATCGGTGGACATATATAGACTGCGTTACGGGGACCAGCCTATTGCAATGCTCGGCAGAGAACAAGGACAACATGGTAGAATTTTGTCATGACTTTTCATGACAAATACATTGTAGTTCTACAACAACCGTTCTCAAAGAAATAGCCAGCAATAATCGTTGGGAGATAACTAGCAGTCATTATATAGAGTGCCCCAAAAAGTGCACCATTCAGAAAACAAATAGTTAAAACTATTTAATATTTTGTCTTCAATGAAATTATATATTACATTAAAGCCTGACTATTTCTCAATCCACTTCTTTTTACCTCATATCACTTGGATCACTCGATTCAGAAATACAATCAGTTAAGTGAAATGGTGTAATTTGTCCTTGGGCCACTCTCGATTGGACATGCTGAATATCGGTCAAGCATTGAATAGGCAATGAAGTTGGTGACTTCACAGGTGAGAGTGTATGGTCCAAGTAAAATTTACACCCTTCACTAAATTGATTGTATTTCTGGATCGAGGGACCCAAATGGAATGGGGTAAAGGAGTGGATTGTGAAATAGTCAGGCTTTAATTTAATATAAAATTTCATCGAAAAAAAACATTAAACGGGATTAATTATTTGTTTTTTTAGTGTTACACTTTGTTTGCACACTCTGTACAGTGCTGAATTAAAATGTGTCATTTTCAAGAATAAAATGCATAAATTGAAATAATGTGTTCAAGGTGTGACTTGGGAACTCGGAAGATCACAAACGGCAGGATTTGATTCCAAATACCAACTAAGTTGAGATCTACTATTGAATGTTGTAAATAATCAATTCTAGATGAGAAATGGGCACGTTGGGAGGAATAATTATAAGAACCTTATTTTTTTGTGCAGTATAGTTTCATGAAAGCCCATTGTGAGTTTTTAAAAAAAATTAGTATTCAAGGCAGAATACTTTTGTTTAAATATATATATACTTCAGTTCTTGTGTAGTTCATTTTGTCACGGTTAATTTTTTTTCACAAATCGTTTACAGGTTTACAAAATACGTCGTCACTTTTGCTTACAATTTTAATTGGGAATGTGGCTTTTGTTGATGTTAATGCATTGTTCATGTATCAGTGGGTATTTAGTTTTCAATATTATGTTTCAATAGGCCTGAGACCTAATGACGTCACGCGTTGTTTACATGTGCGCTTTCCTTTGTGGTAGACCGTCCCTACTTCGACTGGCGTCCCGACTTCGCTTCCATAGGAAAGCGCACATACAAAACCATCACGTCATTAGGTATCAGGCCTATTAATTTTTTAAGGACGAATTCCGTCTACAGGTTACTTCTTGTAGTGTGTATATATAAATTGTTTTTACTGTAAATGTTTAAAGTTTTAAACAGTAATCGAGACTTCCTATTCGTTTATTCAGTTTAAAAGAGGAAATCTTACACTTTTCGTTACAATCTGTACAAATATAAAGTAAGAAAAGACAGCTATCGAGATATTTGTACTAGATATTCTCGGTCAATTTTTATTCAAACTGATGAAAGAAGAGAGGGTAATCCACGAACGGGAAGTACACCTATACTACAGTCATACATATATACATAATTCTTTTATTGAAGTTAGGCTTCGTAAAGCCTTATTTCAATTTTTACACGCTATTGTACATTTTGTTTTCCTTTTTATCAGAAAATAAAATCAGAAAATAAAGAGACTATATTTAGTATGTAAGTACACCTTTCAGTTTACGATTTCTTTTTCAGTCGCCTTTTCAAATATGTTCGTTTCCGTTTCAAAGCCGCTTTGTTAGCTTCCCCTTAACCCCTCGCTTCACTGAGCCTCGTAGACGTTTGACTGCAACATGTGACATTATGTTGCAGGGTTATACTACCATTATGATTGTGGAGTCAGGGGAATTCTTGTGCGGCCCTGCGATGCTAAACTTTAAAGTAATATATAGCATTTTATTTTGCTGTAATCTGGGGCTAGTAGGCCTACCAAAGTATAACAAATATAAAACACAGTTTTGTGTTCATAGAGGCTAAGCTGGATAAACCATCCTTTCTCAAAGGATGAACCAAGGAAAAGATGCTGTTCTTGCAGTCTGGTTCCCTGACCCTACTTCAGACGAAACGGAGCGATTTATAGCCGTATCGGACTTGTCAGGCCAGTGACTGCAGATTAGCTGGCTTAAACCCGTTCACAAATGTGGAGTTACTAAATTTTGGGCAGTATTCGAGAAAAACAAATCAGCTATTTTAATTAATACAAACATTCCACTTTTCTTGAAAATGACGGCACGTACACCAGATGCATGCCACAGTTTCACAGGATGCTTAAGACTATTATTCATTTACAGTCAAGGAAGGAAATTCATGATAATTTGGTGGTATTTTTGGGCGTTTGCAATATATGGCCTATAAAGTAGGACCAAAATCATTGTCACGTTTCCGAATCCGTGCCCAAACAGAACGGATGGTGAAAATTCCCCTTTTGAGAGTTTTCTTCAAATGGTGACTGGTTGACCTTAGAAAGAATATTAGAAATTGAAGACCACAGAATTAAGACAAACATTGACTATTTACATAAACGATAAGTTAAAGAAATAGCCAATTCCGTATACATGCTACACTCTGGGTAAATAGCACGTAAAGCCCCTGTCACACATCCAAGACCAAAGACCAACCCCGTCAAGCCGCGAGGAGCGTCACTTCGTGACAGACATGAGCGCTATACAAGAAGCCATTATTATTAGTAGTAGTGCAGACGGAGAACAGACTCTGATCCGTTTTGGGGGGTTTTTTGGCCGACCATCACGATATTTTTAAACTGTTGAAACTAATCGTGGCTCCACTGCCGACCATGCACGACCTGTAGGATGCCGAAACGACGCTCAAGAAGTCGTTCCGATAAAGTTCAGATGTCGTTATGAGTTTCACGATGTCTTCGAGTCTTGCGTCTCGGTACTGTCTTATCATGATCGGGAGGCTACATCGTGACAGTGTGACAGGCGCCTTAACTACTCCCTATGGAGTGTGAATACAAAGGTTTACTTTGACAACTGCACCTACGGTGCGTTTAGCTCAGGCGCAAAACGCTAACACATTATTAAGAATTCGTTGCATATCCCAAACCATGTGCTGGGTTCTTTCTATAAGTTTGGTGACAGCGCCCTCTACAGTCTCCATGCGAATCCCATAAAACAGCCATTAAGAACGAATGCAACATTTTGTCGCCCTGACTGTTAAGCAGCACATTTTACTTTCAAAATTAACATCTTAGCGCTATAGTACAGAAATTCGGATATAAATAGAAACTGTGATCCGTCTAAGTTTAATTATGGTAAACAATTAAACTATTAAATGGATAAGATTTGTATTCATAATTTCCAATTTTTAAGTCGCTTTAATGTCTGAAATGCAGTCCACGCAATCGCCTCTATCACTCTAGAACTGGTTTTCGAGGACCTCGTTGTCACTAAATACATGCTCGTAAAGGTTATCCGTAGTCTTGTCTTCGAGAAGCATGGCCTTGCCATCGATCCTAATCAGCGAATCGTCCGAGGAGTCGTGCATCTTGTTCCCGGCGTGCCTGGCTAGCCCAGCGCCAACGGCGCGAGAGACGCTGGAGACGGCCGTCTCCTTGGTGCTGTACACGCCTGTGCACCTGACGCGGTCGCAGAACTTCGCCCGCCACATGTCGCGGATTCTCTCGGTGAAGGCGAAAGACAAGAAAAGGAGCGGCCCCTGTGAGGAGATCAACACGGTGAAGAAGTAGGAGAAGCCTTCAACACTGAAATACCCCAGCAGGGCGATCAGAAACCAGGTCATGCCAGTCGCAACGAAAATCTGTAGGACAAAAAAGATAACATTGCGGTATTTGAAAACAGAATTTGCTTCATGATCGCCTCGCGGCCGCGCAAAGAGTATTATCTCTGACAGCATTCACGAAAACACATCGGAACGCGCGCACAGCTCCAGACACCGCTCGTCAGACAAAGTCACAGAAAATCAGAATCACAACTGACAGACGATTGAAAAGCAGTCGAGGAAAAATCAAATAGCATTTACAAACAATCACCAACAAAATGGACAGCCGCAGTATTGAATTTGAAAACGGTCGTTGCATGAGAGTTGGCAACGTTTGACCGATGGGGTGTAAGTTCACTATACGTACGTTTGTCTTTAATTTAGTAGCCATTGACTTCTAGGGGTATTTGCAAAGTACGTGTCTGTAGGGGACTCTATATTTTTAGTCATAATACATATATATATAGGAGCATTATGTGCCGAGTAAAAACACCTACAATGATTTTCAAAATAACATTTACAAACTCGAAAACAGAGTTTGCGTTATACTGAAAAGTAGCAGTAGCTTCATAATGGAGTAGTGGCGGCAGATGCATGGAGAAACAACGTACCTTGATGCAGAGAATGGCCTCAGATTGCAGGCGTTCGAGTTTTCTCTTCTCCTTCTGAACCATGCTGGTAGATTTTCTTGTCCGCCTGATGCCAACCACAGTCTGTACGAAGAAAACCGCATTGGAGCACATGAGGACAGAAATGGGCACAGACACAAGGTACAACATACCATCCATATAAGGGGTGCAGATGGAAGAGTCGATGCCGTATATGATCACCCTTTTCCCATCAACTACAAGGAGGTGATGAAGAATGCAGCTGGTAGCAGAAATCAAGGCGGGAGCACCCCAGCCGTACAGGGAGTACCAAAGGAAAGCCCGACCGAAGCGCTCGCTCCTCATCCGAAGCCTGAAGCCGAAAGTCCGAGCCAGGTGAAGAGACACCACGTTGCTCCAGAAGAAGGTCGCCAGCAGCAGGTAGTGAATCGTGACTGCAAAAGCCAGGCAGGTGTCGTTGTTGGCGGTTGTGAATTTACCAAGGGGTGACCCGGGTCCGAGTAGAAATACCATCTGGGTCAGGAACAGGGCCGCGATGAAGCAGAACAAGTTCTTGCCGGGCAGAGTGCAGAGCTCGGGGAAAACGCAGAAACTGAGAAGAGTTAAGAGCAGGAAAACCTGCGAGACTATAAGGCCGACCACGGAGAAAATGCCGGAAAAGGATTCGCGACAGTTGGGGCATTCATCAGGCTGACGACACACTACGACTTCTTCGTCGCTGATCTTGATAACTTCTTCACTCGACAGATTGCCTCCGGACGAGAGTTCCACCGTCGTGTTGTCCAGCCAACTGAAATCGCTAGAGTTGAGAACCACCAGGGAACAGTTCAACTTCATTTCGCAGAGATGCACAAACTCCTCAACGTCACCTGGCGATGTGAAAACAACCTCTTTAAAGGTTCTCTCGGATGGACATGTCACCGACCCGTTATCTACTCTGATGTTGACAAATGAAGTGCCGTTGATTTCAAATTTCTTGAAGTCGGAGCCAAACGAATAGCGAACTGGTGTCTGTCCTAGACGAGCACATTTGTCAATTAAGAACTTACGTTCGCCGAAATTCATCAGCGTCAGTTTTTGAAATGTGACGTAGGAATCTGACTGCCACTGAGCGATGAGGTGTCTCCAAGTAGAAAGGAAGCGGGTTGCTGTTTCAGCAAAGGTAAACTGTGATTCAACAATGACAAGGAACTTACAATATGGTGACTGACGAAGATCTGGGCAATCAATGGGGCGCAGTGGGGTAAGGGTAACGTTTGCTGTAGCATTCATCAAGCTTTCGATCAAACGCGATTGCACTAGATCAACTTCTCTAGTTTTAGTCTGAAACTCAAGGTCCAACAAACATACTGGCGGGTCTCCCAGATCGGATAATAAACAGGGATCGGTGATTGCTGCCACGCATTCACCGTGGGCGCCAAGTCGCTGACCGGAAGGACAAAAGAATCTGCGGCATGACCTCAGAGCAACGTCAAAGTAGGTACCTTGGTTGCAGACCAATTCCTGAGGCTGGTCACCCAGGGAGAAACGCAAGTCCCGATGGGAGGAGAAATCAAAGAGCGCACTGATTGGAAGAAACTGACCACCGAAGGGGGCTTCTGCATCGACATACATTACTCCCAAGATGAAACAACGACACTGATGTTGGCAGTGCTGACCTCTGCAGCACTGGCCCGATTTCAGTTGGTACACTCCGCACACCGCAGGCCAAGCACCCAGACTGCAAAAACATCCATATTTGAATGAGACCATTCGCGGTTGGGGAGCGTTCCACATGAACGGGTTTGGAGGAGAGACACGGCCAACACTGCAACTGCCGATAGAGCTGTCTGTGAGACCAGTGACCGCAACATCGGCCGGGCAGTTTAACTTCACCTGCCAGAACTGCAAGTCCGCCTCAGAGAAGCCATTGCATTGGGCGCAGTAAGCGTTACGGTAGTGCAACCCGTCCGGGGCCGTCACTGGAACCACCCCTTTAACATCATCCAATGTCTCAAAGGACCCCGACCCCATTCCTCCACACAGACCGACCATTTCTTGCTTGGCACTGTTGTTCCCGCAGCTCCCAACCAAGACATAATCAAAATCGTATCCACCAGCCACGCGCACCAGGAGCCTGTTTGCGCGTCGCGCCAGAATGACAGGAACCCACAGGGCTTCCAACTTACAGGCGTACTCCCGTGCTGCACTATCCGAGTAATCTTGAATCGCCTGCCAGACCGAGCACTCTCCACTATATAAACCATTATCAGTCGCAAAGCTCCAGATCGTTGTTGTCGGACTCGTCCCCTGTCCATCTGAGCAGTTCTGAAATGCCTGCCAAAGCCCACCATCCCCAGGTTGGACCAATCGCGATTCTAGATCAGTGCAGTACAACTCGAAGTCCAGACAGCAGTCCGTGTATACCAAGCAGTGCTCATCGCAGTAGCAGGGGGCGCTGCCGTTGCGTTCGTAGAGCGTTCCTGTTTTGTTGCACCGACCACAACACGATGCCTCTTGTGTGATGGCTATGACAATTTCACCCAAAGTCACGTCGACTGCGCCTGCGTACAAAAAGGAGAAAGGTAAACACAGGGGAACAGTTTCATCGGGTTATTAAAGCCCGCTTCCAATAAAATGTCCAAGGTTTAACGAACTTGCGTTTGTTGTCACTTGAATATCTATCTTTGCTTTAGTCCAAACAAAATGCAAACATAAAACATTTGCCAATAAAAAAGGGATCGGTCGATGTTTATATTTTGGATTAAAAATTATCAGATTAAAGCTGAAAGATTTTTCTTTCAAATACTGACAAAAAAATCATGGAAATAACACTTTATTCCATCCGCGTGACTAATGTCCAATGGAAATGTTTGCTGGAATTAAAAATTGTAGGTTTTAAAAAAAACAAATTGAACTACCAAACATCCGATTTGCACAGACTTACACGTGGACTACAGTGGTTTTGGCGACGAAGCATAATAAGGCTATTCTTGCGATTTTTATGTATGGTTGAAGAGCTATACTTCACTACATTATAAAAAAAACCAGTTCAACTAAAGTTAAGTTAGTTCCTGTCAAAAGTTGACTTTCCTTCTTTTCCTTCTTTTTGCACCACCCTTTATACCCTGTATGCTTATCATCGCACCTGAAAAAAATTCCAAGTTAATCGAAACTCGCGTTTCGAATTTATTAGCACTTATTTGGTATATGTTATCCCAGACTCCTATCCAATGAAATGTACCATTATTTCAATGAAAGCCATTTTGTTCATTTCATGGTCACTGTGTCATTAAAAATTCCCTTCATTAATTTTTAAAAAGATCTTTCATAAAGACCCATGCAGTAACTGTATCGGTCAATTGAGTGTATTTATTTTCTGTACATCATATAAACCGATTTATGCAATCTATAATAAAATACAATGCTACGAAGGATGTGATATACACATTGAAAGGAATGCCTTGCACAATTCGGAACTGGGTTTAGATCGCGTATACTAATAGCAATTGACCTATCGCCGCGCCGGTTGCGAGTTAGCCACGCCCCTTAGACAACCCTATGGAATTTTCTTCGTTAAGTTTTGCTTGGCACCTAAATTGTGTGCGTTCCGCGTCCATTTGTATATCATGACTGTAACTGAACAATATTAAGCTGCGTTCATGACATTCTACCGCGATATTTACATGAAGCCCTCCTGTAGTGACCCAATTTTCCTTTCAAACGGAAAAAAAACAAGGCCAATTTTGGGGAGCGTCAGTTCCATTATACCCATTTGTTTTAATTCGGCAAACAAAATAACGGCATGCAGGCATCTTCCTCGATCGGCAACTATTTTCGTAAAGCCAAGCCATTACTTAAATCTACGTAACAGGCCGTACCAGGAGGTAGAACGGTTAATTAAAATTTGATTAGTCAGTGCGTGCAACCACTTCGCTGTTTGTATCGAAACTGTGCTAATGGGCTTCCTGTTGGCTGCGTCCATTAATACATGGGGTCGTTTTTCTTGATGTTTATTTAATCCACTCGTCAATTTGAGAAAAAAAGCGTTGCCTGCTCCGTCCGAATATCGTTAAGAATCCAGTAATTAACCTAGTATAATTAGGCCTATGGAGCTATAACATGTGTAGCCAGCCTCGTACCCAACAAAATACATATATCCTACAGGGTGATTAAAAAAAGCGAAATATATTTATTAGAAAAAAAAAATGATATGTAGCACAAAACGTAATAATGACTGGAAGTAGAATTTCAAAAGCTACTTTGAGATGAAAAATACTAAAATTGCTCAATCCGTTCAAAGTATACCACAGTTTAAACGCAATGACCTTAAAACCTGTTTTGTCAACCAAAAAAGCAGTTTTTTTGTGTATTCTGACCGTTTTGGAACAACAAAGAAAATGACACAGAATAATTGTTTCAAAAAACTGTCAACAACAGTACCGTAGTACACAATATCTTTGTTAGCAATACGACTTATAAAATCCACTTTTTTTTAAAGACGGGCCTTTAAAAGGACTTTGGTGAATATTTTTAACTTTTAAACTGATGTTTTATCGCTGGTGATGTTTGAAGACAACTGTGACAACTTTTCTTGGACTTTTTGGACGAAAGAGATTTAAGGTCATTGTGTTGAAATGGTGATATTCTTTGAACAGATTGAGCAATTTCAGTAATTTTTACATCTAAAAGTAGCTTATGAAATTGGCTGTCCTGTCGTTATGATGCTTGGTTGCTACTTTGTTCTTTTAAATGGGAAATATACATTTTGGTGTTTGGGTTCCGCGTTTTTTTACTCACCCTGTACATAAAAATTGACTGTGAGATAACCAAAAAATACACAATTTCAAGAATAATAAACCAATTACAAAGAAACTCAGGGCGAAATGTTAAAAAAAGGAAGTTTTTTTATATTTACATAATTCAAAAGTAACACATTTTCAACTCACCTGGATTCTTAGGAGCTAACCCTTCATCAGTCTGCGCATGTTCACCAGTCCTGTTGCTCTCGATTTCGGGCTCTATTTTAAAAGACAAATTAACAACGTTTTGAAGGAAAGAATTGAGGGCATTCTTTTTAAGAGAAAGTTCCTTTTATGTTGAACATTATTCAATATTATCGTACATAAGTAACATACGCTAAACTTACCTAACGGCCTTTCTGTAGCCAAAGCTTCATCAAACCACGCCGGTGACATGAACAACACGACACACAGAACTCGAAGAGAACCCAGTGTGTTCGCCATGGTGCTTCGCGACGAATTGGTAACTCGCCCGTCAATGTTGAAGCTTTATATGCACACCAAGCGTATTTACGTCACGTATTATGTCCCATCATGGTATAATTAAAAACAATCAGGCATCCGTTGTTTTTTTTTCAATTGTCAATGCTGTGACATGTAAGCATAATTCATCAGTTAGGGTGTGTCTTCACTGGCATTGTCAATTTGGTAATTATTTCATCAAAGCTGAAACCAAAACTGACATCTGTCATTCCCGTTGATGGACTAAAAGGTTTTTGGTTTTATTTGCACACAAGGTCGTTATAATTTGGGCAGGAATGATTGATTGAACAAACACTATTTTGATTTGTCTATAGTTCCCGTGGGTCCCTGTGGACAAATCTTGGCACATGACCACCGTATACACTAAGATGAGGAGGCCACCTTCAATGGAGAAATCACTGTGCACGATTGTGACGACCTGCAGTCGTCCCTTGTTTATGAAATCATTGTTTATAAATAGTCTTGGCATTAAGCACCGTGGAGAGCTCCTACCGCGCATGTATTTTTGTGCGAGTCACGCCCATTTTCCACAGGTGGAAAATGAGTGCGCCCTCTCGTGACTCGACCGTGCAGTGACCACGCTCCACGAAACTGGCAGCCAATCAGGGATAGAACAATCCAATCACAATTAAAGGGGCGGGGTTTAGGACAACTAATTGTTAGCATCTTTGATTGTAGGTGAGATATGAAGTAAGTGTTGATTAAATAAACGAAGAGAACTGGTTTGGAACTAAAACGATATAGACGTCCGTGTCTCTCTCTTGCTGTTGAATTCAAATCCATGTAGTGTAAGTGATAATGGCTAGGCTGCATTATTAAAAAGAGAGATTGGAATCAGCACCGTCGCCACGCTACCCAATGACAGACCAGTGCTGATTCCAAGGGGATATGACTACAAATACCTGTAAATGATTAACCGCTCGGAGGACAGCAAAGGTCCGTTACAATATTGTAGAATGCAATAGTCAGTGGCTTACGGTACCCATATGCATTTTTAGGTACATTCTTTGAAACTCACAGGATCACTTGTGGATACCTTAAGGAGTTCAAAACCACTTGATGCTATTTTTCTTACCCTTTTTGGGGCGAGGCCATGACTTTAAAAAATAGGGGGTGCTTCGTGTGCAAAAAAAAATGATTCAGATATTTACACTTTTCTTTTTAGCCCCACCCCCGAAGAGGCAATATTCGGGATTGTTTTTCTCGTAATGTAGCTCTTTGGTGAGCTGTCCAATATTGCTAAAAAGAAACGTGAAATTATCTGATCAATTTTTATTTTTTTTGCGCACGATGCACTCACTTTGTAAAGTCCTGGCCCCGCCCGTAAAAGGGTCAGAAAAAAATGCGGCGTCAAGTGGTTTTGAACTTCTTGAGCTATCTGTCAGTGATCCTCAGAGTTTCAAAGAGTGTACCCGAAATTGCGTATGGGAGGTCATTTTTATGCGTAAGGCCACTGACTACAACTGCATCCTGACAGATTACTTGATAAACAGTATAGCTAGCACAATACTTTCGACATTGAAGGGGGCCTTTGCAATGTTAGTACTATCTTACACGGATATACAGAGTGTGCCAAAAAAGTGCAACATTCAGAAAACAAATAATGAAAACTGTTTTATTTGTTTTTTTTCAATGAATTTTTTTAAGGTAAAGGGGGCGAACCTGTACCTGTGCTAACAGGAACGGAGTGCCCGTCTCTCTTTCGTTAGCGATTGGGCCAGACTCATTCGCTGCTGTGGGGGAATCGCCACACCTCCTCTACAGCGAGTCTGTTACCTTCCCAGCATTAAATAATGCCGGTACCCACTTAACACCTGGGTTGAGAGGAGCAATTGAGGTAAAACGCCTTACCGAAGGGCACAACACGCATGGCAATGGCGGGGCTTGAACCCACCACAATGAATCATGTGCTCCACCGCTAGACCACACGTGCAGACCACACGTGAAGTCATTCGTAATTTATAACAATTGAATGAGTCCTTGCGTGAGAACATCAACGGGAAGACAGTGGCCCGGTTTTTTTCAGTGTCTAGTGGCCCTCTTTTTGTTAGGTTGATCGAAGATGCCGATAATAAACAATAAAGAGTGTGATGGCCTGAGTATTTACGAAAACATCAGATCCTTCAAATTGACCAATTTCAAAAAGGAGTCTGTAGGGCCTCAGGCTCCCTTTTCTTGCTTGAAGCACGAGAATCTTGGCAGGGGCGGTGGAACGCTTTTCAAACTGGGGGAACACCAAAAAGGGGCACTTCCTCAGAAAAAGGAACACCTTCCGTCGGTGTGAAAGTGGAGGAAAAGAATATGGCCCGTTCATTTCGCTATAAACCTATATGGCAAGGAACAGATTATGAATACGTTGTCCATCTTGCTCTTTGTGTTTCTTTTACCTAGGTATGTAGAGAGACCATTTTTTTTATCGCGAGAGGGGCACTGTTGCTTATGATGGCCAATTCAGTGACCATTTTATTCGCGTGAAGAGCACTATTATAATATATTCGCGTGAAGAGCTCATCTTGAGAGGGGGCACAATTTTAATGTTGCGAGCGGGACACTTCAAATTCGAGGGGCAGTTTTCCATCTCGAAAAGTTATCGCGAGAGGTGCACTATTGCTTTCGATGGCCAATTTCCCATCTCAAGAGGCCGAGAGGGATATTTGTGCTTTCGATGGGTAGTTTTCCATCTCGAGAAAGTGCGCAATACTGTTAGTGCGAGAGGGGTACTTGTGGTTTTTGAGGGGCGGTTTTGCATAACAAGAGAGGAGACAATTTAATTTATAGCACGAGCATATGCTTTCATACGTTGGCGTGTGAGGGGCAGTTTTGTTTTCATATAAAGGGGGGCACATTTCTAACCGCGAGAGGCCTGGGCACTTCGGCCTGGGAAAATCTGGGGGGGGGGAGAGCAATGATGACCCCGTAATGACCTTTGATCCCAGTTTGGTCACGTGACAATTGAGGCTGGGCTACTCCACTACTGATACTTGTGACAAAGTTTGGTTGAAATCGGTCAATAAGTATGTATAGGAGCAATAGAAAGCTCTTTATTAAATCCTAGCAAGAAATCGCCGACTTATAACAGTTAAAAACAACCTAGCTGCTTTGCCAAAATAAATTCTTTGGCATCGTCACTGTGTAGGTGGCTATAAGATATTTCGTTAGAATTCATTAAGGCAGGCAAGTTTGCCCAGCGGTATGGGGGCGTGGGGATGCACCCCCCCCCCCCCATAAAAGTCTCTCCCTCCCCTAGTGGAAATTTGGCATCCGGAGAAAATCACAGCCGTATGAGTTTCCATAATTAGCTGGAAGAACATAAAGTCCCATTTCCGCAATTGTGTGTAGATTTTTCACCAAAATCCTTTTTTTTTTCGCTAGTGGCTGTTTATTTTAACGTCCGTGGAAAGCAAATAGCGCAAATAGCGGTAGTTATTGTCTAACATTAACCATGATAGGTTTTGAACAGCGCCCCCATGGGAAGATGGTGTCCAGCAACCCCCCCCCCCCCCCCCCCCCCGGCCCCACGGAGGTCGGGTGTCCGTTAAAAAAACATGTCTACCTTTCAGCACAGATGAAACGTTTGGTCGCCCCTCCATTGTAACCTCAAGCCCCCCCCCCCCCCCCCCACAAGCCCCCCCCCCCCCCACCCGGATGAGAACCCTGGCTACGCCGATGGGTTTACCAGTACGTGCATGGAGCCTCAATTTCAAGCAAGCCTAGATGTCATCATCATCAGGCTCTCACGTACGTTTCATGAAGGGGGGGGGGGTGTTGAGTGCTCCAATGTACGAGGAAAGAAACGTGCACCATAACATCTTTTCACCAAAGCGTTTTGTTGCTCTGGCCTATTATGTTCAGTGGGTGAGGTCATGCTTTATTTAACAATTAACATAAACCCTTGCGTGAGATCGTTAATGGAAGAAAAAGGCCCCTTTTTTGTTGAGGTTGACACTCAAACATTCCGATAATAAACAAGAGTTTGCTATACTTTCTCGAATTGGACGAATTTAGCCTCGGGCCTCAGCGTTCACTTTTGTGGCAAGCATTAGAAAAGTTCTCCTTTGTTGAATACATATAACGGCTTTAAGCACGGGAACCTCAGTTCGATGCTCAGTATCAAACATTCGTTTATAGTTGGTTGTCAGCACAGCACCGTCGCGTGTCGAGCTCCTCAGGAGATTACATGACAGCTTAGAAGCACGTTTTTATTTTCTGGAATTAGATTTGAGCATATTAATCGGTGTGAAATAAACTGTTTTCAAAAGATGGAAAAGGTGAAGTCCAATCTCACTGTTGATTAAGGTCGATTATTGAATGTGTGCAATTTTGATTTATAGCTTGCATGTATATTCCTTCCTCCATTGTGTGTCTGTCAGTTCATCGTGCCAGTCGCATATGCTGGCACCCATGGGATTTTTTTTGCGGATAGCCTCTAAACCGGAAATGTGCAGGTGCGCTGCATCGTGGGGCAGTTACTAGACAATAATTAGCCCCCCCCCCCCCAAAAAAAGGTGGTGCTGCCCTCACATGAAAAACATCAGGAGGGTCGGTCGGGGATTTTTTTTGGTGGGGTATACATGCACTCAACCAAAAAGAGAAATCCCCCCCCCAATACTTTTTTGTCTCACTCAAAAACTACTGGGCACATCTTGCTCAAACTACGACTGATTAGAACAGAAATTCCTTAGCAATCCAGCCATACTCGTTGTTTGGACCAAAACAGTGATGATGTGTACAAAATTACGCAATTTATGACGAATGGTACCGGAAAAAGTTGCACGTATACAAAAGTGCAACTGTTTTCGGTATCATTTGTCATAAATTGCATTCATTCGTACGCATCAGCACTGTTATGGGCCAGATAGAGAGTATGGCTGGATTGCTAAGGAATTTCTTTACTGAGTAGTTGTTATTGAGCGAGAGGTGCTCAGTAGTTTTTGAGTTAGACAAAAAGGATTGGAAGGGGGGACTTTCTTTTTGTGGTTGAGCAAAATAGGCCGACCCCTTCTTCTATTCCATTCAGTTATCTGTTCCCTTTTACAAACGTACACAAAATGTTAAGGCTACATGTGCTCAAATTTGTATCCTTGTGGAGACACGCACACAATAGGGAACAAAACATTGTAAAGGTCTCCACAGGGCAATTTCTATAGATGAATAGGTCTCCACAAGGTTTTCATGAAATAGATATATGGATTTTACTCAAAAACAAGGAATTTCCAAGGTGGGTTGATCTGTCACTATTAAGAGCCGCACACGGATTTTGGCGAGTGAAAAAAAAAAATCCCCATCAAAAAACCAATTGAGTGTCCCTCCTGAATTGACGCCGCCTCCCCCAAGTCCCCTACCCCAAGTAATACACACCCCGAGTGCTGTAGATGATTGACCCGTTTTTCAGTCCACCGTCCCACCCAATCCCTCCTCCTGAATTCCCAGCGCGAACTGACACCACTTCTGACTCGGGACAAAAGATTAATCTCCCTTTCTTGTAGCTGAACTCAATTCCATTGAGAAACTGCATGGCCCGTGAGACAAATGGCTTTAAGATGAAGGAGCCTCACTCGGGATTACAATTACGCTTCTGCATAATGGGTCTCGTACGGCCGCTGGGTCCTTTCTTATTATTGTTCAAAGCCTTACACTGACCAGAATAAAAAGGGATGCTCACTGATCGCTGAACAAAATTCAGCCAGAGAGTTTACTGAAAAGTGAAGCTCTGGAAAGAAGCCAGGTTCTACTCGGCAACAGTACCGCCTTCACTGCCGGGCGCGGGCCGCACCGCACGCACAGTATTTCGAATGCCGATGCCAGTTTTACTGCCAACACGCCAGTATTGACAGGGCCTGAGGCGTAGTGTTGATAGATCTCAGAAGATATTTTGATCTGATAATCAGAAATCCGTCTGGAGAGGATTGACCTAAACCTGATAAATGGACATGACGAATCCCCTTGTGGTTGTGCTGCTGGGTTTACTGATGTACGGGTGTCACGCACAAGGTAGTGTTATTTTTTAAAGATAAGCACAGGGTTCCATTTCCGCAAGGAGGCAAATGTTGTGGCGTCTGAATACAAAATTAGTTATAAACTCAGAACGCTATTTACTTGGGTGACAGTTTTGGTATGTTTTTCGGTGCCCGTCATTCTTAAATTGTATAGGTGGGCGCGGACATCCGGGACTTTTTTTTACATTGGTACCCCCCCCCCCCCTGCAGGACGCTGGGACAGGCTGATGAATTTACCCTCCGATCGGATAAATTTTGCTTGACCTGTGACCTGTGACCTGCAAGTCATCACGACCCAAGGTTTTAAACGGCCGTTAAGACTGAGTCACAACTCTCTTTTTTTTTCCTATTCATAAATGATTTTTTCGTTGGAAAGCGTGATAGGCCTAATGTAGGAAAATCTGTAAAACTTATCTGTTTTGTAAATTTTGAATTCCCGTCACTTGCCCATCCTCCATTTCGAATACACGAAGGGTCAAATTGCAAAGGCCCTATTATATGCGACGCTCAAAATTTGTCCAAATGGTCCGCAATGAAAAAGAAATCACATCTGGTATGTAATGTGTGGATTTCTATGAGAAAGTTTTCGGATAGCATTTGCGCGCATTGGGTAACTGCGGTCTTAAACAGCTGCAGCCAGATTGTTTTATACATAGGTCATAAATTACCCAGAATGCCACCCCCACTTCCTTAACAAGATTCTGTGAAGCTCATCATCGTGTCCCATGCAGCGCCCTGTCTGCAGGGCGGGGATACGAGCGAAGATCGTACCTATATGCTTTGGAAACTCAATAGTTCTTGAGTCTAGAGTGCTGATTGGTATATTACACATGGCAACCGATGAAAACTGACGATCTACAGGAGGACGCAACTTGCGCGTCATGCACTTTCGGCTAGCAAGGTGAAAACATTGCGAGGTGAACGCACTTTCATCGTGAAAGCTATACGCTCAAGCCTTGTTTTGACATCGCATGGACCCGAGGTCACGCGAATTTGCGTCCGCCTAGTTGAGCGCCGCCAACATCTAGGAATGTTTTACATTGGCTTATGAAACTCAATGGTTCTTGACTCTTGATTGCTGAATGGTGTACAAATGCATTTGTTATACCTCAGTAATAGATGATGCTGTTTTATTGGTCGAGAACCGAACACGTGATGTGCCACAAACACGCGGTACGTGTCAGGCACACCCCGTGGTACATGAGTGATGTACCCCACGGCGGACATTATACCTTGATCGTCCCCACCGTTGAAAGTGTTGTTTCTATAGCCATGTGTTATAGAAATATCCCGGGTAACTTAGAGAATATGCTGAAACATTTCTCATGAAAGAGCTTCTTATATACAAAAGCCTGGCACGTAATAATTTGTTTTCATCATGACCATTAATTTATGATGCCTATATAGAGTAGGAACAGAAAAGGTGTCCCTAAACGAAACACAACAATGTTCTAGTGACAAAGTAATGAATAGAATACAGGCCAATTGGGGCGGGTATTTTTCCGTCCACACAGAGTTCGCCCTACCTATCCTAGTGCTGTTAAAAAAATGTGCATTTGGAATGCCACGCCAAAGACATTGAGGCATGGGCTTCGCTAGACCGTGGCATTTGGAATGGAGGGGGTTCCATCGCCGGTGAAATTTGCCGACAGACCGTCACGCAAATTGAGGGTATAATTGATCATTTCTGCCCAAAAAGATCCCTTTAACTGCATTTCTAATTTCCTCTACAAATATTATGAATGGTTATTTATTTTGATTGCTTTGAATGGATTTAATTTTTTAGTGGGATAAGTTTAACCAAAAGTAAATCGTCAAAATTGTGCCCTATCATATTGAACAGTTTTGGGCATTTGCTCGTCGCAAAACTGCGTGTAACGCTCAGTACGTACTTGTGCACATACCTTACTGTTCAGGGTCCTTATTCACAAAGCACCCGTAAATGTTTGCGTTGCGGGGACCCGTAAGTGGATGTTAAGGGCACGTAAGACTTGCGTTAAGTGGTATTCACGAAGCACCCTTAGAGTTCCCTTAGTGGACCCGCATGCTGCGGGCACCCGCAACTAATTGGTTGAACATTAAAAAAACATGCCAAGACATTTTATCCCATTTTAGAGTTCTTGCTAGTTGTAAAAATTACAGGCAGATTCAGATTAACTTGTCTTTGTTTTCTTAGCAAACAATCAACACCAATCAAGCATGTCTTTAAGAGCATGTTCTTCCACTCATTTAATGAAAATAATGAATCACTAAAATTTACCAATGCTTTTAGAAGTTATGCACGTGTTACAAACGTAGCCCATTTTTATAGCTGTCCTTGAATGTCATTGGAAGCTATTGGGTTAATAGTGAGAATCATATTACAGACAAACTTTAAAATGCCAACAAGACTTTAAAGGAAACATGCAGTGGAAATTCAGCCCATCTTGTTCTCTTACACATTATTATGTGTCGCAACAATACATACAAGATCGTAATACTTGTTTTCGTTGGAAGTGACAAGAGAGTGGTAGTTTTTCAATTGTTAGCAAATCCTTTCATCAAAACAATCGCATGTAATGGGCGCTATTTTGCTTTTGTCGCACAAGGAACTCCTTGTCAAAAGTGCATATGAACAGTACAAACATAACTCCTTCAAAGTTACCCACAAAAAAGCTTCGAAAAAAACTAGTGGCGACTGCTAGTGTCCAAACAAGCTGTTTAACATGATAAACAAGTAAAAAGTGGAACTTACTGCAAGAAAATAGAAACAAGCGTGATATATATTTGTACTCAAAGCTGTAGAGACACTTCTGTTCTGCTTTGAATGACATCACGCTTTGGGTCATGAATATGGAAAGTTTCAATAGCATAAAAATTGAAATGTTGAAATTTCTCCCTTTTACTACTACAAAAGAAGATTGAAAGTCATAGTAACATGGCAAGAAAGCTGTTTTAAATCTATTTAAGTCATACAAATCCTTTTGCAGGTTCCCTTTAATAATTGAACTCAAGACAGAAACCACTGTCAGAATGTGTGCTTTCAATATATAATAAACAAGTTAGCTCTATTTTTTTTTAAAATATTGATGGTGAAGTTTGTATCCTTTCCCATGCTCTTGTTCATTCAGTGGCGGTGGGAAAGTCCACGTTTCATTGTACTCAATGGGTGTTCAGTTTGCATCACGTGATGAGTGGTAAACAAGTTTGTGATCGTTTTATTGAAATAGGCATAACTTCGGATTAGACTGTGCAATTTAGGTGAAATGTTCACACTTAAAATCCCATAAGATGTACTTCGTCCCATGAAAAAACAAAGGGCGGCAGTCGCTTCCCAAAAGTGGAGGACATACCTATTACGGCCCCGAAATTTTTTTGGATTCTAGATGCTTAATCTGTGGTGCGATCCGAGGCAATTTCTGTTCACTCAAACCACTTTTGTGAGCAAAAGATCATCTTTTAAACATCATTTTTTTAGTTTGGAGTCATTGAATCAGCTACTATAGAATCATTATGTAGGCTACAATTTTTATTCGGGGATAGAAAAAGTGGGGGGGGGGGGGGGCAAACGATATGATATCCGCCACTTAAAAAAAAAAAAGTGGGGGGAGGACTTGTCCCCCACCGATTGACGCCCATGAAAATGGAACGCGCCAAATATTTTGAACACATTTTTCAAATTCGGTCACTTTCTTTTTAACTCATCCTATAGTTGGTTCAACCGGTCACGGAAGATGAACCGGCACGTCAAATCAGTTCGTAGATCCAAAATACATGCCAAGAGGGCCGCCATTGTGACAATCGAGATGATCCACGCAAGTTGTGGTGTGCTTGCGGGACGTCTGGAGGTCCCGCAAATTTACGGGTGGTTTACGGGCACACGCAGATTTAAGGGGGCTTCGTGAATAACCCGCAAGTGCTTAAGTGAGGGTTGCGGGGAAGTTGCGCGCCCGCAAGCATTTACGGGTGCTTTGTGAATAAGGACCCTGGCCCGTCCCCTGCTCCCAGACTGGGGGGGGGGGGGGTATGCGAGCACGGACCGTGAAGCCCTGAAGGCGTGGGGTCCGGTGCCCGCTTTAGGGCCCGGCTGAAAAGTTTCATTCTAGATGCTTTGTGGTGCAACTTGAAATCTGAGGCATTTCCTGGCCCCTTTCCCCTGACTTTTGAATAAAATGTGCTCGTGTTTACGGAGATGGGGTGGGTCATCAAAGTTGATATATTACATCACAAACATCACATCGAAACTGTAGCTTGACTGTATTTCGAGATTTGCCCTCTTTATAGCTAATTCGGATCCATGATTTTGAGTCGTTACTGATTCGGAGAATCAGCTCACGATTCGTAACTGCCTGCGACTGCAAGCACGTGCTTGTGTTTTGCACAGCTGTAGCTGTCAACCGCCGTCTATGAAGATTTTAGCTTCGCAGGGTTTTGTTCAACGGTGTCCACTTTTTCTTCCCACTTTCTTTCCCCTTCCTACTGCATATTCTTCAGTCTGACAGCACCATGATTTTGCCGACAAAACTGAGTAATGGGGGGGGGGGGGGTGACACCCCCACACCCTCTGTATTGGTGTTACTTGTGAAGATTGTGCCAAAGGCTTCCGGTCTTCCAGAAAAGTCCCGTTTTAAAAAGTAGGGTCACGTGCATCAGCTCCGCCCACTTCTAAAATCACAATAGCGCCACCAAGTGTTTAGATATGGGGATAGGCCTGCGCCACGTACGTGCGCGTACGGTGCGGAATCTTTGATGATATTAATGAATATGAAATTGAAAGCATTTATCAATAAACGTGACGTGCAGACCCGCGGGGAATTTCAAATCATGTGGTGGGGGTGCATGAGCCAGCGAAGTTTCATGCGAAAAATGGAGCCAATACAAACGGTAATGAGAGGTAGGCCTATGACATGATCGGCATTTTTGCCCATGGCATGGGTGCTGCAGCTGGCATGATGATCGTCATACTTGATTGATAGCACCGATTTTTTTTGATCGCATAAAATTAAACATTGCATGCTCACATAATAATTATAATTGGTTACGTCACGAAAAGGGCTCTTCTTTCTACTCTTATTTATCTCAGGCTGTACCATTTCTCTATGCTGTACCGTGGCCTGATTTGTGACTTGTCAACTGGTATATATATACGTTCTACAATGCATGTTGACTGGTGAAGTGAAGAGAGTCAATTTTAAATTGTTTGTTTGTTTGTTTGTTTGGATTTTTCCCAATTCAATTTGCTTTATTAATATTAATCCAGAAACGTAGTGTTAATGCTAGAAAGGATTACCCAGTAAAGGGCTAAATCCAGCCCATTACGTAAACCAAATGCAAGAAAAGATTTCCAGTGAATGGCCATAGGCCTAATTCTTAATCAATTGAGCCCGGGACTGTACTAGGCAGGCCTTGGTTGTCTGTTCACATATTAACGGGATAACGTTATGGACAGATTTCCATGATTTTTTTTAGTGGTGGTCCTTGGTACAAACTTACAAATCGGTTATATCTTGGAGGTGATCCTGATCTGGGTCTATATGCATGATTTTTTTTAAGGACTCTTCACCATTGATTTATGCGAGTATTTCTTTTGGGCGTATTCCGACAATAGGGCCTATGCCAGGGAATTGTTTAGCCTTGGCGGCCGGAGGTTTGTGCTTTCAGAGTACTTTCGAGTTGTAAATGTAATCCTTGAAATGTACCTTAATTTGTCTTCCATTTAACATTATTTTTAATCTTCATATTGCCATTTTAAGGTTGTTTTGGTGACTTTTTGGTTCTTATGCTAAAGGAAATGTTTATATTCATGAGCAAAACTGTGATGTCATGCAAGGCAGAAACTTCTTCAGCATAAAAAAATCACCAGAATTGTAGGGGTTTGCTGTGGTTATTTTTCTGCTTTCCAATGTTCCTTTGTTGCTTCAGTACATGACAGTAAGACAATGAAAAAACTGTGCACAAATGTTTTCAATCAGCAGAACAATTGTTTTGAAGAGAAAAACCCTAATCTGAAGAGGTGTTCCTAAAGTGACATCAAAGCAATAGCGCCCTCACTTGTCAAGAAAAGCATGGAACATTTTAAATATGTTTAAAAAAGTGCACTTCACAAAAATAATTTACCATAAAGGGACGTCTCCTCGTTTTTATTAGTACATTCCAGAGGAATGGATATTTGCTACAAATATGCAGTGTTGTAGTACTCGTACTCGGTACTCGTACTCGAGTACTACTCGAGTACTTTTTTTGGAGTACTCGTACTCGAATGTCAAAGCACTCGTACTCAAAATGACCGTACTCGTACTCGGGCAGCAAAGTACTCGTACTTGAACAGCAGTACTCAGGAAAAATGGTATATAATAGCTTCACTTACAATGGCATTATTTTATCGATACTTTCAATTTGAAATGGTTGATTGGATTGTGGATAAATCGAGATTTCCTGATTTCCCTCTGTGCCGGCCGGACAAACACAATAACTGTGCTATAGCCGTGAGTGGGTCTGCATATCGGTCTGACTGGGCCTGGGCCAATTACGCACAATGAACCATTTGCCGTATGGCCGTATTCGGAAATGCAAGTACTCGTACTCGTACTCAGAAGTACAAGTACTCGTACTCGGAAGCACAGGTACTCGTACTCGGGAGTACAAGTACTCGTACTCGTACTCGGCAGCCTAAGAACTCGGCAGTATTCGGTACTCGGAAAAAAGTACTCGTACTCGACTCGACTGCAAATATGCTCCAGTGTAAAATTCATTTCATGAACCCTTTACATGTAATTAGCTTTAACAGAGAGTTTTCTGACGTCCAATTTTTCAGACCATCCCTGTGATGATGGCAGCAATCCCTGCATGAATGGAGGCTTTTGTTTCTCACTCGACGGCGTCGCGCCAATGTGTGGATGCGTTGGGGACTACGTCGGAAATGATTGCAGTTATGGTAAATATTACACAAATATTGAGTGGCTCAGAGTGAAATGGGAGGAATATTTACCGCAAGGTAAAATCTGGACTTTTCTTTCGCCTCGTGAAATGGAAAAGTCCAGATTTTACCGAGCGATACTATTCCTCCCATTTCACAATTTAAAGCCACTCAATATTTGTTTTATAATTGAACTGACATAGATCCTTGTTATTTGATATTAGAATTTTTATTTCAACATAAAATTGGTGAGAAATGCATTTCTCTCTTCCAAACCATGGAGCTATAAAACCACCCCTTCACGAAAATGTTTGAAGCCAACTCTGTAGGGCTGGCTCTTTGGAACAATACGCGCTACGTGCAACGCTGAATGCGCACACCAGCATGCATTTGCACACAAATACTGCGTCATGGAAGAATGATAATAACTGTTGAATAGTATTTTCCATTCCCCATGGGCGAATGGGACTTTTTGAGCCCTTGCGTGAGAATGGGAGCAATAACGAATGTCACCTGATCTGAGTTCCACCAATCAAATGACAAGGATCTGTATGTCATGTATATAACATTCAATGTGTGGTAAAGTTGACCAGAACTTCCCCAAGCTTCACAATAAGAAATACAGCAAGAACATGATGTCGGGTGGTTTTGCCAAGGTTTTTTATTTAAATTCACCACTCCATATTCCACACATTTAAAAAATAGATTTTTAAGTACTTTTTTTTTTCCTGATATTTTTAGAGAGAAAAAAGAAACATTTGTTTCGCAGTTTTGCAATATGACAAAACATCTTTCAGTTTCATGATCTTTTGGCACATTGCTCTGCTGTTTTTAAGATTTTATAGGAACTTTTGGCAGGTCCCAGAGGGACACCTATCTGACTGACTGACTCCCCCCCCCCCCCCCGACCGACTCCCCTACTGACTGACTGACTGACTCATGTCTGTCACTTGGGAATTAACCAGCTTGCGTCGGAGGACGTGATAACATGCACTGGCTGTTTTCATACACAGGCACCGCTGACAAGTTAAGCTGTCAAGATTGCCTCGACTCACCTCCAGGTGATGTCTAAACACGCATATCCCTCGTGCCTTTTGTACACACACAAAGTCCGTGAAGTTTGTGGAAGCAGACTGTGTGTGGATCTTGATGGCCGTTGTGCACGGCCTAATTTCTACAATGTACGCTGCAGTGCACACTCCGGAGTATGTGAGGTTTCTACAAGAAATATATCGTACAAATACTGTTGAAATGTCTCTTGCGAATCAGTATTTGTGGCGTTTGGCTGTATATCAGAAGTTGGCTGAAAACTGTGCATTTTGAGAAAATTGAAATTTTTGGCAAAGATAACCCCAGCGCGAAGTGGTTAAGCCTCACTTATGGCCAAAAAAATTGTTACTACCTAGAACGCTTAGACCAAATTTGTTGGGGCCCAGCTTTATTAGGTTTGCCTAGTCTTTTTAATTTTTTTTAATGTATTTTTTCTCTTCATTTTTGATAGTTAACCCCTGTTCAGACAGAATCAACCCTTGCTTAAACGGTGCCCTGTGTTCGCCTTCCATGGTCGACCTCGTTGCAGTGTGCACTTGCACGGCAGACTTCATTGGAATTCACTGTGAAACAGGTAGGCATTATGCGGTTATTTTGGAGATGGTTTGGGCCCAAGAGTAAGTCCAGTCTTTCCCAGGCCAAAACGAGTCATCAGGCTGGTGTCAAATAGTGTCTCTAGTTTTCTTAGCATGAAACAATTTGGGAGAGTTTTTCCATTCCTCCTGGATGGGATGGCAGTCCATTGCAGGTTACTCCTCAGCTGGTACACTCCTGGTTGTAGAGAAGAAAGTAGGGGTGAAGGGTCTTGCCCAAGGACACAACATGCAGCTAGATTTGAACTCATGACTCTCTGATCGTGAGTCCTAAACCCTTACCCACAAGGCCATACCTGCTTTTAGCCTTAATTGGGTCCACGTGTAGGACTTGGATAATGAGTGCATTTGATGCTAAGATCATCTTAAATTGGATATCTGCCTCATCAAGATCCTCCAAAGCAAGCTAAAGGAATTTGAAGGTGTTAATTGTAGGCTTTGGGAAGTCAAAACCTATTCATGGCACTTGAAGCACCGTGAAAGTTAAAGTACAAAGAATACGCACATTGGATGGTTTGAAGAGATCCAGTGACAGTTTATTATTTCATAAAGACCTTGATTATCTATCAGCCTTAGAACAATCATTGGTAGTGTTTGGTGAAGCCTTTAGACAATTACAACGTGTTTTTTTTTTTAAGTTAATGAGTTCATATCGTTGCTTACTTTTGTACAACTTTATCAAAGCTTCTTGCAAGAAAAATGAATGAGTTTTCTGTTGGAGTACTAGCTGTTTCTGTCAAAATTGAAGTCATTTTCTCTTTCTTTTTGCATTTTTTCAGAAAACCCTTGTAAAGCAGGAGCCAATCCATGCTTGAATGGAGCGACGTGTTCCGTGTCGAACACAGAAGCAGTCTGCGAGTGTGCTGATGGTTTTGTTGGTGCTTTCTGTGAGAATGGTAAGACATTTTACCAACCCTCACACTCCTATATGGATCCATTGAAATCTATCGGGAAGTTTGGAAGCTGTTGCAGGATTTAGAAAAGGAAAAGTCAGTCACCATTACTTTACATGGGACTTTGTGCCCTTGAAACTTACACAAAAATGTCCGGTAGGGTTCTGTACTCTCGGATATTTTTGGACTCAGATACGTTGAAAGTGTTGCAAAAGGAGTTTGATAAATGGGTCCTTAGACTATAAATGTAGGGTGCTGTACATCCCTGTTGGCTCAGCACTTTGTAATTTGCCATTCAAGTATTATCCTGCAAAAAATAATAAAATGGATACATTTTTTTTGGGTGCATTTTCAGATAGACCTCCCGATAAATGTATATAGTGCAGAAGTCTGTTATAGAGTTGCCCTGAAATTGTATGTTTTATTGCATCACTCTTACATTGTACTTAAAAAAGCTTTTGAAAAATTACTTAAAAATTAACAAATTATTTACAATTATGCTTCGATTCTTTGTCTTGTATTCAGTTGCCCAGTGCCCAGACAGCAACAACACTTGTGCAAATGGTGCAACTTGTATCCTGGTGGATTCAACAGCCGTATGCCTATGCCCTAGAGGCTTCGTGGGGGACAACTGCCAAAGAGGTCTGTAAAGGGTTAACCCATTTGGACATGTACATTAATTGTGTTTGTTGTGATGGATCTATAAAAAACATATGCTCTGGTGGTTTCAGGCACTACATTGAGTAATAGGCAGGCTGGTACTTTGGGGCAGTACAGTGACTTAATTAACCTTAACTTTCCCAACTCCATCAAAATCCATTCCCCCAATTTGGGAATTTTTGGTAGGCAAGCCATGAGTACCAGGTCCATCAAAATCCACCCATAGTGGTGGTGCAGGTCTTGTGGTGGATTTCAGCGGATTTTGGTCCTATTAAGCAGGGTCAGTGATGGATTTTGGCGGATTAATAAAAGACAAAAAGGAGTTAGGGCTTAAGGGTCAAAGGAGCTCAATCTGGGCTCTGGGCATAAGACTTTTGCCCTTTTTGAAAATGCAAATCATTGGGCGTATGGCAGTTCGCTGCTAAAATGTATGCCACCCTGCTAAAAATTAGCAGTGAAAGAGTGCCATCTATAATGGTCTGAAACAAGTGCCCATTTATAAAATAACATCTTAGAACTTGTGATCATAATATTTTCCTGATATTTCCCCGCACCAGCTATTTTTCCGTTGAGAATGCTGACTGGGTACAGACAAACCTTCCCTGGCAATGTAGGAAATAAAGCCATATTTTTGCTTAAAATTATGTTACAAACATGGTTAGAATTAAAGGGAATAAACAACATTTGTAAACATCGAAAAATAAAACTACCACGTTTTTATGAAATACTATACTAGGTTGTTGGTAAGTGACAGTCTAAAGCATCCTGTAAAATTATGGCACCTGGTGTGAAGTCGTTTTCAAGAAAATTGTATTTTTGTGTACATTTCCAACCGTTGGAAAAACCATTTTTCAACTATTGCTCCAAATTTACCATTTTCTTCAGTCCCAATTTTGTGTGCTATTGGTAACATGTTCATGAACGGGTGCAGGCCAGCTAGACTGGTTCCCTTACCTTTCCGGCATCTATAAATTGATCCGTTTTATCTTTAGTGGAGTCATGGAACCAGACTACTTGAGCATTTTTGTTTCTCTTGGTTTTACCATCATTTTCGAACACAAAACTTCAAACATGTCAGTGTAACAATATTTGATCTATCATACTAACCCCTCAAATAGTTCATTTCTGAAAATTACAGCAAAATCCAATGATGTACATTCCCTTTAATGCCCGAGTTTCTCCACTTTTCTTCCTAAAAGCTTAGCAAGGTTATTCAAATACAAAACAACATGGCCAGACAATCTGGAAACATGAAAAAAAATCTCAAATGTTTCCTGTACTTGTTTACTTTAATAAGCATTTTTTCCTGAAAAAAAATTGTGATGGGAAAAGGTTTTGTAAAGTTCTCAAGTCATGCTTTTTGTCACGTTTTATCTGTTAAACAACTCAAACCTTTCCTCTAGTTAACAGGCGCGGGACCCAGGCGCGGGATTTTTTTCACAAGCCTTGATGCCAGACAGGTTCAGGCCGTCATTTGGGGGTAGCACACCCTGGTATTTCCGGCCTCACTCGTTGTAAGTGGGTCGCTGACAGATATTTCTGGCCTTGTTCGTTGCGTGTTTATCAGTCATCCGTTCCGAATACCGCAAAACTTTTGCGCGTATACACATCATCCGATGGAAACTGGTTAAAAGCAAGCTTTTTCAAAATTTGTGACGGAATATAAAACCTTGTAAAATTCACAAGTAGTTGTGCATGTTTTCATGATTTATTTCATTTGTTATTTGGACCACAGCTCATCCCTGTGCTGAGGTAATGAATCCCTGCTTGAATGACGGCAATTGTTACTCCACCGACGACGTGACAGTGCTGTGTTCCTGCGTGATGGGTTTCACTGGAGCGCACTGTGAATTGGGTAATTTAAGATTTAAGAGTAAAGAAATTGCTGTCTATGCCAATTCTAAATGATCTTGCTTCCAAAACTCAAGATCAGCTAGTCGTCACCACTATCAAAGGTCCTCAGGATACACATCATGGTGAAGCTTGACGTACCATCTTTAACTTCTTGTTCAAGTTTTTGAGGATGACAATTTTTTTTTTTATTATACTTCTCTCCCAAGATAATCAATTTTAAAATGTAGTTCTGAAGGCCCATCGTCATTATGAAAAATGATCCCTCAACGACTGCACCCATTTGCAAATTCTAACGTTCATGTCCAATTTCATCCCAAATTTCTCTGAAATATAAGTTTAAAAAAAAAAAACTCAGAGCTGGGAGCCTATAGACCATGATCACGTTGCGACCATTTGGATTAGTTTCCAATTCAAAACAATGTAACCAAAGCGAGGCTGGAAGGAAAAATCCTTTTTGCACAAAAAAAACATTATCAATCAGTACTGTTATTGGATACAGGGAACTTGACTGAAATGGTGGCTATGCAAACCTTACAAATTGACAGCGTACACATCATGATTTGGTTGATGTAGGCAATTTGGGTCATATTTTATACTGGCCTGCAACCCATTAGAAGTATACGCAGACCAAAGGAGGACAGGGATTCATGGCATAATCCGGAACGGTCCGTTTCTGCTCAAACATGATCACCCTTAATGTTGTCAGGAGCTTGATCTTCATTTTAAAACAAAAAGGCCCTGTCCACTCATTTGCACAATAAAGCAATAACTGCCACTTTGTAACAGGTTATAGATGTATTTTTTTTCAATTCAAACTTAGCCCCACTTTGTCATGCCAGCATCAACCCATGCATGAATGGAGCAACATGCTTGGAAGAGGATTCAGCAGCAATCTGCATCTGTGCTGAAGGCTTCATTGGAGATTACTGCGAAAGAGGTATGTCCATGGACGTTCTTTACATTCTGTTCTCTTCTGTTCATGTACAATTTTGAAATAGCCTCAAAATCAAATTCTGATAAACCAAAAAGCAATTCCCAATCCTTATTTCTGTTTCGTCAATAACTTCACTTCAGTCTCTTACAGTTCCTATTCATCTTTTTTACCAAAGTATAAAAACCTGATGAATTCCTGAGAATTTATTTTGGGTGAACATTAGGCCTAAGTGCACCGATTGATTTTCAAGTCAGTGTATGCTTACGTGTATACTTGCAGTTGAACCGAGAAGACAGCACACCATGTGACATTAAGTATCAGTTGTAAATTTTTGGAGAAATACATAAATGTGACACTTTTCATTCATCGAATGTTTTGTCAATCGAGGCCAAAAGAAGATATGGCTGTTTACGTTAATCAGACCTACCTGGGTTTTTGTAGGTCAATTAACTTGTTAAATTGAAAATAAACTACATTTTGAAAATGAAAAATTCTCCCATGTGCAATTTTGTGTGTTATTGGTTCATTGAACAATTAAACAGGTTAATTAAACAGATTACTGTTGAAGGTACCTAAAGTAAGCAACATAAGTACAAGGAACTTTAGACAAACATAAATTATTTTCCTACCTACCTACCTACCTGGATAATTTTTTGGCCGTTACTATTAACCCTTTTTTATTTGTGGTGTAAAGGCCGGTTCGTACTTGCGAATTTGACGTCACAAAGCATTCGATGCAAAATTCACTTGAGTTGAAATGCAATCAACTTTTGCAAATTCGCAGCGCGAAAACTGGCCCTGACGTCTCAAATTTGCATTCACTTCGTGCCGAGCATGAACGTTACCTGGGGCCAATTTCATAGAGCTGCTTAAGCACAAAATTTGCTTAAGCACAAAAACGTCTTCCTTAATAAAATCAGGTTCCGGCCAAAACTCCAAAACTCTAAGTAAACAACAGCTAAATACCAGTCACAAGCAATGTACATCACATGGAGTTTTGGCCGGTAACCTAATTTTACTAAGCAATGTTTTTTCGTGCTTAAGCAAATTTTCTGCTAAAGCAGCTCTATGAAATTGGGCCCAGCCTATAACTGTGAATTATTTTGTATATTTATGTAAGGATAACTCCAAGTCTATCAACACAGTGGCCCATTAGTTGACATTTCTCAAGTCTAAACAAATTCATGCATTCTTCCTTTTTTTTCAGTTCATCCATGTGCACTGGGATTCATAGCGTGCATGAATGGTGGGTCATGTTTTGTCGCTGACGACGGTTTGGAGGCTCGATGTACGTGTGTGAATGGCTATACGGGAACACTCTGCCAAGAAGGTGAAATCTCGGCTTCTCAATTCCACACATTCTGAGTCTCAATTTGCTCTGTGACTTTAGGGCGTGAGCCTAAACCAGGAGTTTTGAAATGAATTTTCTTTAAAAACAGTTTTTACATAACAGGACTTTTTTTTCAATTTTGCATGATGAGCCCAATATTTCTGAAGGCAAACTTCTCATTTTGGAACAATATGATTCTTCCATTTTTACAGGCAGTTTTCCATTTGAATACTGTAAAGTATCCCAAATTTTGAAACAATTCAAAAGTTGCCCCATATGAGGGAAATATGGTGCTTGGGGCCTCAAGCAGACTACTTTACCATGATTTCCATCTCTGCATGTAGGAGATAACCAATAGAGTGCTGTTTTCAGAACAAACTAAAAGACACTTACAATGAATTCCTAAAATTGGATGAACAAAAATTACTGCAAGAAAGATTTTCAGGCGGCGTACATCCTTGTCAGGCTATTTTGATTCCAGTCATGAAACACATTTTGGGGTTTGTTTTGCTTAAAGTACCACCTTGCCATGACACCATCAACCCCTGTACCAACGGAGCCATGTGCGTAGAGGAGGAGTCAGCAGCAGTCTGCATCTGTGCGGAAGGCTTCATCGGACATAACTGCAATACAGGTCTGTGTGTTTGCAGAATCCATATGGAATGATTGTTTTCACTGTTAACCACTTTGGGCAAATGTCCATTCCCTTGAACTGTAATAACAATTATATTTTTAAGAAAATTTTTCACACATTATCCATGCTGTTTCATGACAACTTAAAGCACTGTTTTCTATTATGTCGCTTCTGGCACACCCCCCTTAAATATTTGCACTATAACATGAAACCACATTATCTTCAAGCAAACTTGAATCCTCGATCCTGATTGGTCGATCCATGGCAACAAGCCGTGCTACATATAACCATACCGCACGGCCACGGTCCATAATGCACTCCGCGTATTGCGCTATTCTAAGCCTACGTGACGCGACTATAGTGCTGCACAATTCACTGGGAATTCAAAAGTTGCGCGTAGGTTACACAGCATGCGTGTTCCAACTTTACTGTGCGTCGAGTTTGCTTGAAGATAAATTCGTTATCGCGCTCGCGCTCGTGGAACACGGAAAATGTAGTGCGTCTGTGTCCCACATACCACTCGGCCTTCGGCCTCGTGGCGTCTGTGTCCCACATACCACTCGGCCTTCGGCCTCGTGGTATGTGGGACACAGACGCACTACATAATTCCGTGTTCCACTCGCACTCGCAAGATAACTAATAATGTAGCTCACTGGAAAGATTTGTACATAATGTTTGCATATTGACTGCCTTTATGTACTAAATGAAAAATCAACCACAACAGTTGGACAAAACAGTAGTTTTGATGTTACACAGATGCTTCTGACTAAGGTGACCCAGCCATTTGGTCAAGAAATGTGATTGTAAAAAAATGTAAATTTGCATTATCGTAAAACCACCCAACATCCCTGAAACACCCTTACAAATGGAAATACGAAGCCTGTAAATCAATTGTATTAGCCCTTTTAGACGATTAAACGACTTAAAAAATTCCCTTCCACAGTCCAGAACCAATACAGCATGTGCAAACCAAATATGCCAAATGCCGACAATTTTAGCAACTTTACTTATTGGATTTTTTTCCCCAGTCCACCCCTGTGAGTTGGAGGAGAACCAGTGTTTGAATGGCGGAAATTGCTTTTCCACCAACAATGTCACAGCAAAGTGTGTGTGCATGGACGGATTTACTGGCCTGCGTTGTGAAATTGGTAACTATTCTAAGTTATTTTTCCTTTCATAGTTTTAAAATAGACTTTTTTTAAATTAAATTTCTTTAAAAATGTAATCATTAAACTAAGACTTTTTAAGAACTGAGATATATATATATCATTAAAGGGTACTGAGCTCAGTTACGGAAATATAGCTCCCCAACTTACTTCAAGTGGTTAAACCGATTCTTGAGAAAATGGCATTTAGTAATCTTGCAGTTGTGTTACAGTGAATGCACAGTCAACTCTTAAAAACAGGGATGAAATAGGTTGGAAAGATGCTTGACAGGACAAAACAATTTGAGAAAGGTAGCTAAGGAATTGCAGATTATGGTTCACCTGAAAACAAATATTGACCACCCCTTCAAATTTTGGCTTTTCTCCACTGTATTGCATAACGGCAATTTCTGACTTAAAGCTCATTTTGTGGTGACAGGTCATATTTGATTGTTGTTTATGATTATTTCCAGCAGCATTTCTTGGTTTTGGGTTGGGGGGGGGGGGTTGAACTGTAGCAGTTAGTATTACAACATGCTGGATACACCACTGATCGTTTTATTTTCTTAATAATCTATTTTTTAAACCAGCACCCCCATGCCATGACACCGTCAACCCATGTCTAAACGGAGCGATGTGCTTGGAAGAAGATTTGGCAGCCGTCTGCATCTGTGCGGAAGGCTTCGTAGGAGATAACTGCGAAAGAGGTATGTACTTTTAATACCAGCTTAAACAAAGTGTGGCCTTGTGGTTAGGGTTTGCGACTCATGATCAGAGGATCAAACGATCAGAAGGATCAGATCTTCGAATTCTGCTGCTGGCTACATGTTGTTTCCTTGGGCAAGCCATACTTCACCCCACTTGCCTCTCTCGGCCCAGGAGTATAAATCGCGTACCGGCATTAGCTGGGGAGTAATCTGCAATGGACTAGCATCCCATCCAGGGGAAATAGAAGTATCCTTGGTCGTTTCATGCCAAGGAAACTGGAGATGAAAGTCGGCCTGGTGACCCAAGTTGGCTTGGAACAGACTTACTTCATACTTGATTTCAAACTATGGCTTCGGTACTGCCAGAAGAGACTTTGTTTTTATTTTGTATTTTTTTTCTCTTAATGAGAACAAAACTGGTAGATTTCCATTCTAGAGATAAATAATTGGTGAAAACAAGGATTAAGAAGAATTTATATTTCAATGTTGTGTTTCTTCTTTGTATAGTTCACCCCTGTACTGCGTCAGTGAATCCATGTAGGAACTTTGCTGAATGTTTCTCGCCCGACGGTATCACAACAAAATGTGTTTGTGCTTACGGCTTAACGGGAGATTACTGCCAAATTGGTAAGTCATTTCTAAATTACATTAATTTTTGACTATCACAAGAGTTACCATTAACAAGTGAAAAATTATCTCAAAATTGGAGGATTCAGGATTGTCAGGGGTGCTGTAGTCCAGTGGATACAGTTTTCGACTTGTGGGCCATGGTACAGGGGTTCGAATCCTGACAGAGAACATGTGCTTGAATTGTGCTTGTGCTCTTGGGCAAGACACTTTACTGCAATTGCCTCTCTCCACCCAGGAGTATAAATGGGTTCCCTGTGGAGGTAGAGACCATATTGCGCGGATCTTGAGCTGCTGCAGGGTCTCATTCCTGATGAACAGGGATAATAATTGGGATGCGCAGTTGATCGTGCGCAATTTGCGCAGTATAAATGTATAAATTATTTAAAGGGAAGATACAACATTTGCCAACATCAAAAAACGAAATTATCAAATTATAACAAAATATCCTACTTGATTGTTAGTGAATGACAGTATAAAGCATCCTGTAAAATCTTGGCTCCTGGTGTGCTGACATTTTCAAGAAAAACTTGTATTTTTCCAACACTGGTCGGCCGACCATCATTGGAGAACACTGGCTTTTTTTTTCTTCAAAAAGTGCTCCTAAGTTTTCATATTTAGTTATTTCACATTTTCTTTGCAATTGATACCACATCTGTGAAGTGGTACAAGTCTGTTAGACTGATTCTCTGACCTTACAATTACTCTAACTCTATAAATTGCAACGTCTCATCCAGACTACAAGAACATGGTTGGTTTTCTTAGATTTTCCAGCATCTCCAGTCCCAAAACGTGAAACAAGTCAGTTTAACAATATTTTCTATAACATACTAATCCTCCAAGTCCATTTAGTTGTGAAAATTGCAGCAAAAGCAAATGTTGTATATTCCCTTTAATTCTTATTATGTGCACAAACCGTTCAAATGGTCCCTTCTATTTAACTTTGTCTATGTTACCATTGGGGGGTCACATGTCCGTAGTAGTAACAGGCATGACAGTTTGGGAGTGGTACAGGCATCACCGGTTTATTTAATGAGGAACAAATATGACATGTTAGTAATTCTCAGTAACAATTGGTGACTATTCTTGCCAATAGTACCACCATGCTACCCCTCCATCAACCCATGTCTGAACGGAGCGACGTGCTTGGAAGAGGATTCAGCCACAGTCTGCATCTGTGCTGAAGGCTTCGTTGGAGATTACTGTGATACAGGTAAGTACTTTCGGGGTTTTTTTCTTAAAAAAAACAACAATGTGCTTTATACATTTTGTTCTCTTATACAGAACTTTAGCATTAATAAACAAAATTGTAAGGAAAATAAAGAGATGTGTCATCTGACAACAATTGGGGTAGGGTCAATAAATAAGCCATTTGCGAGTGACGTACACCCTTTGGGATTTACATTTGAAAAACATCTGGTACACTGACTTGCTCAGAATGCTTGGCACATTTTAACTTTGAATTCCCCAGACCAAAGACACTGTTGCTAATCACATGATTCGGGGCAAGAGACGCTCAGCACCAATACATTGTTCACAATGGGTGAGAATGGCACAAAGACACCAGACCATGCTGGAGCTGTGGGTTGCTAGCATACGGCTTGCCCCGAATCATGTCATATAGTAACAGCCTCTTTGGTCTGGAGAATGCAAAGTTAAAACGTGCAAAGCATTGGATTAAGTCAGCATTCCCGATTATATTCAAATTTAACTCACAAATGGCTTATTGCAACCACGTTTCATATGAAAATTTGACCATTTGTAGCTTTGCAAATATTTGACGCAGCTGTCAAGAAATTTCAAACTTCTTGAAATATTTCCAGACTTTTGTTTGTGAAACATTTTTAGTATGTTTTCTTGTGGAATTATTTCTTAAATTACACAGTTTTTGTCGGACTGCACCCTACTTTTCATAATCCAAAGTGACAGTGGCTACTATATTCTCTGGATCCAAGAGAAGAGATGGAAATGATTGGTTTGCTCATTGTGTTCTTTCCTCAACAGTTGATCCTTGTTCAGCTGAGCTCAATCCCTGCCTGAACGGTGGGTCCTGCTACTCGCCTGATGAAATCACAGCCAAGTGTGCATGCCCCAGCGGGATCTCGGGAACAATTTGTGAAATAGGTAAGGACCGCTGGTAGTCTGCACTCGACCAAAATATCTCCTGGGGAAAAGAGTTAGGTAGTAAATTTGTTGATATTGGAAAGGTTTTTGCTTTAATACCCCACCACATATGGTCAGAAATTAAATAATCTTGGAGAAAAAACAAGTGTCCAAGATCACAACTATCTGAAAACATTGTTGTAGTCCAGTCCGTCACAAGTCCTTTGACCAGTCCTTCCATAAGTCCTTTTACAAGTCCAGTCACAAGTCCTTTCACAAGTCCAGTCACAAGTCCTTTCACCAGTCCTTCCGTAAGTCCTTTCACCAGTCCTTCCGTAAGTCCTTTCACAAGTCCTTCCGTAAGTCCTTTCACAAGTCCAGTCACAAGTCCTTTCACCAGTCCTTCCGTAAGTCCTTTGACAAGTCCTTTGACAAGTCCATTCCCAAGTCCAGTCACAAGTCCAGTCACAAGTCCTTTCACCAGTCCTTCCGTAAGTCCTTTCATAAGTCCAGTCACAATTCCAGTTACAAGTCCAGTCACAAGTACATCACATGTCCAGTCACAAGTCCAGTCACAAGTACATCACATGTCCAGTCACAAGTCCAGTCACAAGTACATCACATGTCCAGTCACAAGTCCAGTCACAAGTACATCACATGTCCAGTCACAAGTCCAGTCACAAGTCCTTTCACAAGTCCACTCACAAGTAACAGGATGAACAATGACAAAGGAATGCTTTTGCAACAGTTCATTTGAATAGCTAGTGACTTGACTTGAGACTGAAGGACTTGTGATGGACTTGCAGGGACTTGTGATGGACTAGACTACAACACTGTCCGAAAATATGGCACAATTTCTAATTCCAAGACTTGTATACAAGTTTTAAAATGTGTAGACTTTAGATGACAGTACACAGTGTACTGTAACTTAGACCATGGATTAAATCTTAATATGTGAGAAAAAAAATGATATTGGATGTGTTTCCCTTCTCCAAGGTATTCTTTTTCACTTTATACTCGCTGCTTTCCAAGAGCATGTGAGAAACAAGTTCACAATCTTACTTGGATTGGACTTGAACCCACAACCTCCGGCTTGCTAGTGCAGCTGTCTCACCACTCAACCATCAAGCTTGCTTGCCGGGGTCAGCTGGCTGGTTCAAATCTGAAATAACAGTGGATAACGCAACCAAACTAAGATGGAGTTTTTTAATGGGTTTTAGGTCATAAAAAAGATAAGAAAAAGAAAAGAAAACCTCCATTTAAGCCTTCAAATCTTGAGGAGTCAGGTCGGTGCAGTGGTTCTTTCCTCGCCTTCCACCTCTATGGTTCAGGTTCGATTCCTGCCCTGGTCCACATGTGGATTGGGTTTTCAGTCCCAACCTGATTCTGTGGGTTTTCCCCAGAATATTCTTCTGGGGTTTTCCTATCACCTCTAAAACTTCTTCTCATTGTCTCCTCTCGACAGGTTTTGTCAGGCTTGCGAGCTACAGTGCCTAAGGCACTTTTTAATTAAGGAATCCTTGGTTTCACTACCATGCAGAAAAAAATCATAATACATATTGTAATGATAAAATAATAATAATTTGTGTGTTCTTTCAGTACCACCTTGCCATGAGAGCATCAACCCATGTGTAAATAAGTCCCTCTGCATAGAGATGAATTCAACGGCTGTCTGCGTGTGTGCCCAAGACTCCAGTGGGAGTGACTGCCAAGAAGGTTTGTAGAGGGGCGGGGCTTAAACAAGCTTATCATTAGTATAATTAGGCCCAAAAAAATATCTGTTAGAACAACTTAACGCTTTTTTATTTGTTTAAGTGTAAAGGACGATTAATACTTCATGCAAATACAAAACAAATTTTAAGCCAGTGCCAGTGTTAACGTGTTCAATCTTTGCTACCTTGCAGCATTAAAACTTTTTGCGACGTCGCAAATTCACGTTCGTGTTGGCTTTCGCGCTGAGTTTGAACTGATCGACCTTTAGGAGAAGTATTTCACAGTATTTCACTAAAAGAATTTACTGTTGTATTTTCAGCTCAACCCTGTCAATTCTTGCTGCTGCAAGATGTCACTTCAAAGTGTGTGTGTACGAACAGCACCAGTGCCACAACGTGTAAAAAAGGTAAACAATAATCAATGCACACATAAAGTGTTCGTTTTCTACCTTTAGATGTGATGTATGGATTAATTCGGCTTTAGATGCAGGAAGCCAGGCCACCCAGATTTTCTATAAAAGTTTTCAGATTTTGTGTGTGTGTGTGTTTGAAATTGTCTGTTTCAAGGGGGTCAACAGTAAAAAAATTATAATGTTTCTTAACATACATAACACTCAGATATATTCACGAGCAAATGAAAATTACTTGTGATTTCTTGAGATTGGGACAGGTTTATATTTATCCCCCAAACCAGGACTCCAAGCAGACGGTGGCACTTAAGTCCATCACAAGTCAAATCAAAAGTTCATCACAAGTGAGGTCACAAGTTACGGTGTATAAACAATGAGAAATGCGTATGAATAGATTGTGATTGACTTGTGGTGGACTTGTGATTGACTTGTGATGGACTTGTGATGGACTTGTGGTGGACTTGTGATGGACTTGTGGTGGACCCTGTGATTTACTTATGATTTACTTGTGATGGACTTGTGACTTAGTTGTGATGGACTTGTGATGGACTTGTGGTGGACTTGTGATTTACTTGTGGTGGACTTGTCGTGATTTACTTGTGATGGACTTGTGACTGGACTTGTGATAGACTTGTGATGGACTTGTGGTGGACTTCGGATGGACTTGTGATAAACTTGTGGTGGACCTGTGATGGACTTGGGATGGACTTGGGATGGACTTGGGATGGACTTGGGATGGACTTGTGGTGGACTTGTGATGGACTTGTGGTGGACCCTGTGATTTACTTGTGATTTACTTGTGATTTACTTGTGATGGACTTGTGATTTAGTTGTGATGGACTTGGGATGGACTTGTGGTGGACTTGTGATAGACTTGTGATGGACTTGTGGTGGACTTGGGATGGGCTTGTGATAAACTTGTGGTGGACTTGTGGTGGACTTGTGATGGACTTGTGGTGGACTTGTGGTGGACTTGGGATGGACTTGGGATGGACTTGTGGTGGACTTGTGGTGGACTTGGGATGGACTTGGGATGGACTTGTGCTGGACTTGGGATGGACTTGGGATGGACTTGGGATGGACTTGGGATGGACCTGTGGTGGATTTGGGATGGACTTGGGATGGACTTGTGGTGGACCCTTGGTGGACTTGTAGTGGACTTGTGGTGGACTTGTGATGGACCTGTGGTGGACCTGTGGTGGACCCTTGGTGGACTTGTGATGGACTTGTGGTGGACTTGTGGTGGACTTGTGGTGGACTTGTGATGGACTTGTGATGGACTTGCGATGGACTTGTGATGGACTTGTGATGGACTTGGGATGGACTTGTGATTGACTTGTAATGGACTTGTGATGGACTTGTAGTAGACTTGTGATGGACTTGTGATGGACTTGTGATGGACTTGGGATGGACTTGGGATGGACTTGTGATGGACTTGTGATGGGCTTGTGATGGACTTGTGATGGACTTGTGATGGACTTGTGATGGACTTGTGATGGACTTGTGATGGACTTGTGGTGGACCTGTGATGGACTTGTGATGGACTTGTGATGGACTTGTGATGGACTTGTGATGGACTTGTGATGGACTTGTGATGGACTTGGGATGGACTTGGGATGGACTTGTGATTGACTTGTGATGGACTTGTGGTGGACCTGTGGGGACTCTGTGGGGACTTTGACTACACGACTGAACATTATACTTTATTATCCGTTCGTCAGTGAAACAGCTATAGTTCTGAATTTACTTTGTATAATCCTTAATATTTGCAAGAGATTGTAATATGTTGGTTCTTTTCCTTGCATTTCCATTGCAGTTCCCCCATGTCATGACAGCATCAACCCATGCATGAATGGTGCAACATGTGCAGAAGAGGATTCAGCAGCAGTCTGTATCTGTGCTGAAGGCTTCATTGGAGATTACTGCGAAAGAGGTATGGAACATGATACTCGACTCGGGCTGTTTTTATTTCAAACCAATACTTGTAAAAATGTACTCGCGACTGCAAACCAAGGATTGAGAACTCATTTTCATACTTGTCAGAATGTATGCTTGCAGGGTTCAACCTCAGCCGTAGTCCGCTCGCCAAATGCAAGTAAAAACAGCGGCAGACTAGTCAAAACCTTTCTTAAGTAGTCCGGCAACTTTTCCGTATATCTGATAAACTCTCCTAAATGTGAATATTCATTTGGATTGTGTCCAGTGATTATCTAGCACCTGAGTCAATCAGAATCCAGACACTGGTCGAAACTTATTAATGTACTTTCGACACTGGTGATGGTATGTATACCACAATGAAATCTCTTTGCCAATGTCTGTATTTCAAATATCTATATGCAACAACAAAGTGTTATAATAAGCAATTGTTTTTCTCTCTTTTTTTGAAGTTCACCCATGCGCTCCTACAGCGGACTCTTGCTTGAACGGTGGGAAATGCTTCTCCAAAGATGGTGCCACAGCCAGATGCTCATGTTTGAAGGGTATTTCTGGACAGTTTTGTGAAATAGGTTAGTTTCATATCCTCAATGTTTTTCTTTTTATCTTCTAAAGAGGACTTGACATGGTTACAAAATTGTAGTATTGGATTATTTTCATTTAGCACGCTTTTTTATTTGCATATTCCATTTCTAACAAATCAAATATTAAAGAGAAATAATTGTGTATTATTATGTGGACGTAGTATTTTTTTTCTTTGCCAAAAGTTTGTTTTTGTTTTCAATGCATTAACCGTGCAATATACATGTAAACATATGAGTGCCTTCAATTATAACGCTAATGCCTAACCCACAAAGCGTCATCACAAGTTATAAATGCACAAACCATTTCGGATATTTGTTTCAAATAAAGTTTTTTGAAAGATCATGTCTTATGTAAAAGACACAAATTTACAAAAAAGCAACACCCAACTTAATAGATACCCGTGTTTTGTATCCTTTAAACATCTGAAATTGATACTAAAAATTCTGTTTTCCTGTAAATCTTAACAGCATCGCCATGCCATGTCAGTATCAACCCATGTCTGAATGGAGCCATGTGCGTAGAACAGGATTCAGCAGCAGTTTGCATCTGTGCTGAAGGCTTCACAGGAGTTAACTGTGAGAGAGGTATCAAATTCATTTTGGTTCAATTTTGATTGTGCTATTTACAGAGGTGCATATTTACTACCCCACAATGGGGACAAAAAGAGATTTCAGCATTCCCACCGTCGTGGAAAAATCCTGGAACTTAAAGCTTATTCCTAAGGAGTTTTAGAAAGTTGCTATTCCAAGTACAATGTCATGAAAAAGTCATGGAATCCTGCACAACCCACGTGTGATGTTGCGCAATATTAGACTATGACAGTCTCCCAGTTTGCATTCCAGGTTAACGTATATTTCCTGCATGTAGGCTTTCTTTTTATTGCATATTCAATGCATCATTGTGATGGGAGTAGCGTCCCTTGGCTCCATTATGATGACTGGCCAGTGTATATAGACTTATTCAGTGACAGCCATTTTCTGAGGTGCCTCTTGCGGGCCTCTTGTTTACAAGAAAGCTTGCGGCATGTGCACGTATATATTCCCACCTCAAAAACGGCTTCTGATTTTGTTCACCGAATTGTAAATAGGCTCCTAAGATGCCGAAATAGTGTTGGAAATGATCATGATGCGATGTGATGATGCAATGCACGGGTGCAGCCTATCCTACACCGTCTCAGGACTTGGTCGCCACCCTCTACTCTTCCCTATCCAGCATTCGGGTCTTCAGCTTCCCCGTGTCATTGGGACCAACATCCCGCTGCAGCGTGTCAATGTATGTGACTCGCCTGCACCCCCCCCCCTGGCAGTTCCCTGAGCCGGCTCCCACAGGATGGTGTCGTGGGCTGCTAGCTACGGGTGGCGGATGCAGTGGCCCGCCACTTAGATTAACATTTTGATGAATATATTAACATAATGGTACTTGTTCTCTCCTTTATTATTTTTTTTTGTTTCTTTAGTTCACCCATGTGCTGCTGGGGTCGATCCGTGTTTGAACAATGGCATCTGCATCTCCACTGATCAACTCACTGCAAAATGCATGTGCATCAACGACTTCACCGGGCTCAATTGTGAAACAGGTAAAAACAATGCAAGTTATTAACTTCAAAAACAGCACTAGTTTAATCCTAAAAAATTACAGAAATGAAATGACATTTTTTTAATGAAATTCAGTATGGACATATCAGTGACATTTATGCTTCACCACACACCCGAGTTTTAGTTCAGTCAGACAAAGAGTTTTCTCGTTATAATCATTAGTATTCCACACTTCTGTCCATGAATGAGTGCATTTTTCTTGGCACAGTCAGCAAAAAAACAAGAGATTTTTCTGTGCACTGCTTTGGATATTTTCAGATTTTGTATGAATACTTCATCTACTATTTGCAAAAACAGTGCTGAAACATTACTCTCCCACAGCACGACATCAGTCTACTTACAAAAGTTCAGCATGAAAACAATCACCCAACAATGATACTAGGCGAAAAATTATCGGGAAATAAAGTTCAGCAGAAATGTAATTTATGACTGTTTGTTTGATTTTATCCACAGTTCCCCCCTGCCATGACAGCGTCAACCCATGTCTGAACGGTGCTACCTGCATTGAAGATAATGTAGAAGTGTTCTGCGTCTGCACAGAGGGTTTTGCTGGCAATAACTGTGAGAGAGGTAATGTACTTATTACCATAATTATCATACCATATGTTGTGATCCAAAGTTAGTTTTAAATGACTTCTGTTTTGGCTTAAAAAAAACTGCTTAACAAAAGAGTTATTGTGTTGGTTGTTAAGTAATACTTTATTATCTGTGTGCTCACCTTTTTTTGTATTTAAATTGTTTGGGGGAGTCAACAATCAAATATTAGGTTTCTGGCCATCTAAAAAAATTATAAAATTTGAAAACAAAACTTTTGGAAAAGAAGTAATGCTTATTGTTGACTCTACTGGGAGGGTTCCTGCAAAGGCTTTGATTTTTTTGATTTTTGATTTTCTACTATTGTTATCTATTGTTTCATCTGTCCCAAATACCATAAACTTCAGCTGCTGGTGATGGTTTGATCACTTCTAAACTTCACTTAAAGGAAAAATACAACATTTGCAAACATCAAAAAATAAAACTACCAAATCATTTTGAAATACCTTGCTGGACTGTTAATGAATGACAGTGTAAAGCATCCTGTAAAATCATGGCACCTGGTATACTGTCATTTTCAAGAAAAGTGGTATTTTTGTATCAATTTCCAGCGCTGATCGGCCGATCAGCGTTGGAAACAACTGGCTTTTTTTTCAAATACTGGCCCCAATTGACCATCGCACTTGTTTGCAATCGATTACAAACCTATGAACGGGTACGAGCCAGCTAGACTGGTTCCCTGACCTTACAATTCCCCAATGTATGTAAACTGCTCTGTTTCTTCTTATATGGAGTCAGGGAGCCAGACTACAGGAAAATGATCGTTTTTCTTGTTTTTTATAGCATTTTCGAACCCAAATCCTCAAAAAAGTCGGTGTAACTATATTTGCTATATATTTCCAACCCCCCAATTCCATCCATTTCTGAAAATTACAGCAAAAGCAAATGATGTATATTCCCTTTAAGTTACATCTCTCTTTTATAAAGTTTTGAATTTTTTGTTGTTTTACTGTTTTTTGACAGTTCATCCATGTGCTGCTGGTGCTAACCCTTGCATGAATGACGGTGAATGCTACTCCACTGACGATGTGACGGCCAAATGCGCTTGCCCGGATGGCCTGATGGGAATGCGCTGTGAAAGAGGTAAAAGAGACAACTCAAGGGATTGTTGAAACCTTGTTCCTGCTTTGTTTATAGAATCAATTTTTAAAGAAGCCATGAATGTGAACTATATTTGCCTAAAAACTTTAATCAGGTCAGTGCAACAATATTTACTTTAACATACTAAGGCCAAAAAAAAAAGGCTCCAGTTTCTGGTATGCGCGCGTGTCGCCGTAGCCATGCGTGTCGGCAAAATGAAAAAGTTTTTTTTCAATGAAAGATGATGTCTCAAAACTGCCAAACTCACTGGTTTGACTGGAATCCTGCTGCTGCACAATTTTAACGTGTTTTTAGATTGGGTTATGGTCGAGAATAAGCTTTATGTGGCCTCTCTGGACTCCCATATATTTGCACTAAGTTTAGTCGGGCACCATTTGCAGTCATCAGCCGACATTTGAAGCCAAAAAATCAGGTAAAAAAAAAAAAAAGCCGCGTCGCCGCACCACTTTTTGGGCAAGCTCCATACCAGAAACAGGAGACTTTTTTTTTTTGCCTAACCACCAAATTCACCCATTTCTGACAATTACATCAAAAGTAACAAGGTTGTATTACCTTTAACTTGTGATTGATTAAATCACAATACTGGTTTGGCATTCTTCTAGTTAACAGCCCAGTTAGGCAACAGAAGTAGAAAAATGCAGTTAGGCTAATTGATAGAAGTAGAAAAACAAGTCAAGGAAGGACTAACTTATATAGGCTCCTTGGACCAGTACCCCATCAACGGCCAGAGAAGGACAGTTGGGGGAGACCTAGACTCAGGTTCCAGATCCATCCACTGCGTCTTTCGAATGTATCCAAAGTTATTGGAGGCAGGGATTAGTCTCGGAGACCATCGCAAGTTGAATTCGAATGTATTCACGCGCCTGACGCTCATGCAAAGACGTGATGGCTATAACTTTTGCGTATTCAGGAAGTTGTGCGTACTTCGCGCGCAAACAAGTACAATGCAGTACGCGCACGCTGTAGGTCCCATCCACGGAGCTGTCAAAAGAGGTAAAAACATGCCCTCTTTTTTGGCGCACGGAGCCCATTGGTGCAACTTTCATTTCGCATAGTTTTAATGCAGCGTTTTTAAAGCAATTGATTTAGCACTTAAAAAATTACAATATTCGGTGTCTTTTCTTGCAGCCACTCCGTGCTATCATAGCATCAACCCATGTAGGAATGGAGCGACCTGCGTAGAAGAGAACTCATCAGCAGTCTGCTTCTGCGCTGAAGGCTTCGTCGGAAATCACTGCCAAAGACGTATGTATTTGGACTAGCAATATTGTAATTAACTTGCTTGAAAGGTGTGGACACCAATTGTAAACATTCAAAAACGAAACTGCCAAAATATTATAAATATCCTACTTGATTGTGAGTAAATAATAGGATCAAGCATCCTGTGATGGTTTGGACCTGACCAGTGCGAGAAGAAAAAAAGGTTTTTGAAATACTGCCACAATTAACAATGGCTCATCCCATCTATAAAAATAGACATAATTACCAGCGCTTTGAGTACCTAATACGGGCGATTCCCAATAGTGCGCCTCCAAGAGTTTGCAACGCGTTGGCCAATCACAATGCGCAAAATCTGTCGACCCAATGCGCGTTTGGAAAAGGTCGACTGATTTCGCGCATTGTGATTGGCCAACGCGTTGCAAACTCTTGGAGGCGCACTATTGGGAATCGCCCGTATTGGTGGTAGATACGGGCGCTATATAAGACTCCGGTATTATTATATATTAGTATCTTCTGTTTGTAGGGCACAAGTACAGCAAGTTGCCGGTTGCAGGTTCAAGTCTCGCTCAAGTCAACTCTCCATGATTACTGTACTGTACAGCATTTTGCTATCATTTTCTTGCCGACAGCTCATCCCTGTGCAGCCGGGGTCAATCCATGTGTGAATGGTGGCACTTGCTTCTCCATTGACGATCTGACGGCAAAGTGTGCGTGCATGGATGCCTTCATCGGAACGCATTGTGAATATGGTAAATAGCAATTCTGTATTTATTGGACATACCAATTTTTGTTGGTTCACTCCTATATTTCAACATAACTTACCTCAATATTTGTTGATTACATTATCTGCTGCTATATTGGATTCGAACCAGCCTGCTGACCCTGGCAAGCTTGATGGTCGAGTGGTAAGACGTCTGCACTAGAAAGCAGGTGGTCGTGGGTTCGAGTCCCACCTCTGCAAGCTGTGTGAAAATTTACTCTCAGTACTCATGGATAGCACTTTGCACAGTGCATGTAAAAATCAGTGTATGGCAAGCTCAATATTAAATAATTGTTTGGATGATAAAAGTCTTTTTAATTTTCTAGAGTCCAGAATTCATCAAATGCTAAAAAACTATTTATTTGGATTTGGATGAAACTTTAATACAGAAGATGGGTTAATGTCCAAACTTCCATGCACTTTGCTCCATTACCACAATTTATGATTTTGACAACGATTTAAGATTTTTCCTCAGTACACTCTTGATAATACTAATAAGAATTGCATGATATGAGCAGGGCTCAGCTTCATAGCTCATAACCAAAGAATTATATGCCTACGATCCTCATTAGGTGCTAACAACACAAGCAAATTTTGTGCTGAACTTTTAAGCACAGGATCCTTAGTTACTGGATGTATGTATGCGCAGAAGCCAAAATTCCTCGCTAACCCATAAAATTTGCTAACCGTAAGCACAGAATTTTCTGCTACAGTTAGCAGGCGTTTTTCGCTAATGGTGAAGCTGAGCCATGAAATTGGGCCCTGGTCTATAAGTCAACCCTTCATACAGGAAAGACAGAGAGATAAATTTGATATGGTTTCAGTGATGTGATCCATCTAAAGTTTCAGCAAGCCCATCACAAGTCCTCCAGTCCCAATTCAACTCACAAGCTACTCAAATGAGCTTTGACAAACGATTTAAGATTTTTCCTCAGTAAACTTTGTTATTGTTCATCCACGGTTACTTGTGACTGGACTTGTGACTGGACTTGTGATTGACTTGTGACTGGACTTGTGATTTACTTGTGACTGGACTTGTGATTTATTTGTGACTGGACTTGTGACTGGACTTGTGATGGACTTGTTATTTACTTATGTGTGAGTGACTTGTGATGGACTTGTGATTCACTTATGACTTGCGATTTACTTGTGATTGGACTTGTGATTTTGTGAATGGACTTGTGAGTAATGTGTGACTGGACTTGTGATTTATTTGTGACTGGACTTGTGATGGACTTGTGATTTACTTATGACGTATGATTGACTTGGGATTTACTTGTGACTGGACTTGTGATTGACTTGTGATTCACTTATGACTTGTGATTTACTTGTGATTGGACTTGTGATTGACTTGTGATTCGGACTTGTGATTTACTTGTGATTGGACTTGTGATTTACTTGTGATTGGACTTGTGATTTATTTGTGACTGGACTTGTGATTTACTTGTGACTGGACTTGTGATTGACTTGTGATTCTATATGACTTGTGATTTACTTGTGATTGGACTTGTGATTCACTTGTGATTCACTTATGACTTGTGATTTATTTGTGACTGGACTTGTAATTCACTTGTGACTGGACTTGTGACTGGACGTGTGAAGGACTTGACTATATCCCTGAATGGTTGTACTTTTGCTTTCAGTTGCCCCATGCAGTGTTTTCGTCAATATCTGCGCTAATGGTGCTACCTGTGTACCAGATGTCCCCACACCCAGATGTATCTGTGCAGATGGATACGTCGGAGATATCTGCGACAGAGGTTGGTTTTCGTGGGTTTTTTTTAGACCCCATGTATGTTTTCAAATTCAAGCTTTGTATTAAAAAAATCACTAGCAAAATGATGAAAGTGGAGGCTATATGCTAAAATGAAAGTAGTTTGCAAGTATCTCTTGGATGAATTAACCCCCAAATCCATCCATTTATGAAAATTATAGCAAAAGCAAATATTGGATATTACTTTTAAGAATGTTGCATTATTTTAGAAAAGTCGGGCATTCTGTGCAAATATAGAACGGCTTAACCTCATCTCTCCTCCCCACCCAATTTCCCCTTCTTTTAGAGCCAAGAAAATTTCCTGACAGTTTGTGTAATTTATGCAAAACTGTCAGAGTTTTATCTGATAGTAATCAACTTTCTAAGAATGCACTACGGTTTCAGGACGAATAGCCAAGACTGTCCAATACAGTTTTTCTACAAAAAACCACAGTTTGTTAAGAATATGGATGGATTGTTGAAGTACATCGATGGTATAAGAATAATGACGTGAATGCCACAGTTGTCTGCGATTGGGCCAGAGATGACCAAGGTTCTCCTACAAATAAAACATACATATTCGTAGTACAACCTTAGCATATCCGGGCATATCCGTTGGACATTCATAGCAAATTCGTAGAGATTCTGAGCTACGAATCTCGAAGCATATGTACGAATAACACTATGAATTAGTACAGTTGTCCTACGGATGTCCCACGGTTGCACTACAGGTTGATTTCACGACCATTCACCACGGAAGTTTGGAACAGTTTAAAACTTCCGTAGCCCCTCCAGGAATACCCAAGAAAGATGACAGATAACCATGAATACGGCACTTCCACGGTTTAACACCAATTTCAAACCGTGGATATCCGTAGCTTCAAACCGTGAATGTGTGACTGGGGCTTTACTTGTTTGAAATCTTCATCAAAATGTACTTCATTGGTCAAGCTTATCCTAAAAATTTGATCAAAAGTGTTCCTCACAGTAGAATTTAATAATTTGATTCGTGCTTATACAATTTTCTTTCAGTTCACCCTTGTTTGGCAGAAGTTAATCCTTGCTTGAATGGGGCCAGCTGTTTCTCCATGGACGATATCACTGCAGTGTGCTCATGTGTCGACGGTTACACTGGTGAACATTGTGAAATGGGTAAGATCATTTAAAAGTTCTTCTAGACTTTAGATTTCTAAATTCAGGGATTTTTATATTCAGTTTTTTTACACAGGGGAAATGGTCTGGCCACTTAACTCAACTTATACTCCAAACCTGTCATAGGCTTCTATTTGTGTTTGATAATATTTGTATTGATGTTGTCCTTATATATCACTTTTTCTAAGGTTTCAAAGTGCTTTACAATTGTTATCCATTCATACTCCTGGGCAATTGTAGTAAAGAGTCTTGCCCAAGAACACAAGCACTATTACCATTATGATAAGCATTATTGCAACAAAATCTTTTATTTACTGAGACAAAACCCTGAAATGATGGCGGACAACTAACGTACAGAAAAATCCTAACAATGTAGCTCAGTTTTTGAATGTATTTATCTGTTAACACGCAGATATACGAATGAATATAAATTTTGGAAAATTCAACAATGTCACGAGACACCGTTAAATCTATATTGCCCTGACATTGTCGGCGTATTATTGTCTTTATGTCAGTATTTTCTTAAAAAAAGGCTTTCTCTTATATAATTTTCCCTTATTTTGTTGTTAACATTGCTGGAATTTTGTCACGTTTCTGGCTTTTTTGGTTCCTTCACAGTTCCCCCATGCCATGAGAGTGTCAACCCCTGTGTCAACGGAGCGCTGTGTGTTGAGCGGGATTCAGCAGCAGTGTGCATCTGTGCGGAAGGCTTCGTTGGAGATAACTGTGAAACAGGTTAGTGTTTAAACAGTGAAAGATTTATTTTGGGAAATTTACAAGTACAAGCTGTAAAATGTAATGCAATCTACAAATATGTTTTAACTATTGTATTATAAATCTTCAAATCTTATTGTATTTTGATTATTTACTCCACAGTTCATCCTTGTGCTGATGGGGTCAATCCATGCACAAACGGCAGTAACTGCTTCTCTGTGGATGGCGTCACGGCGATATGTGCATGCGTCAACAGTTCAACCAGACAAGAATGTGAAAATGGTAAGAATAGGTCTCGTTCAAATGACGTCATTTCCTACAGACCATCAACGTGCATCAGCATTTTGAGCATCAACTTGCATGACGCGCTTCGGCTGCGTAGTATTTCGAACACATTTTGGGCAACAAGCATGCGTGTTTGGAACATTTTTAACACTGCACAATGCATGCTTGATTGCGTAAAACATGCAGTTGCAGTTCTCCTACCAAGATGGCCGTCATTGAGCAAGCCCTATACATGTTCCCTCATTTTTTGCCACTGCAAGGGACATGTTTGAACTCTGCATTTATGATCACCATTGTGTGCTAACAGTGCAAGCAAAGATGTCTGTAATTAGCCCATAATCTTTCTTATATTGCATATTCACTAATGCACACCAGCCAGCTCACCATTAACCTCTGCAATGCGCTAACCATTAGCCCAGAAGTTTCTTGCCAGCAAATTTCCTTCTTGTTAGTTAAGATTGATATCGTTCATGGTAAGCAGATCTGTAAAATTGGGCCCTTTTCTTGGCAAAAAAAGGATTACTTGGCAAATGTATTGCTTAACACAATTCTGTGCTTAGCAGCAGTTGTGATTTTGGACTGAACCCGGACTTTATTTCTTGTATACCGGGTAATAATTTAATTACACTAAACAAAACAAAATATTTTCACATGTATTTCTGGGATCAAGTACAACTGCATGTGTGTATGTGAGTGATTGACTCATTTTGGTATTTGTGTGTTTGTAATTCTGCACAGTGGCCCCCTGTCATGAAAGCATCAACCCATGTCGGAACGGAGCGACGTGTCTCCAGCACAACTCCAAAGTTGCTGCCTGTCTGTGCCCAGAGGAATACATCGGGGCTTACTGCGAAAGAGGTTGGTTGTCCCTGGCAGGGTCATTTGTTGTTTGTGCTGTAGGTCATGTCAAGACTTTCTCCAGATTCCTTTTGGCTGTGTCTAGCATTAAAGCCCCAGTCACACATTCACGGTTGGCGCTACGAATATCCACAATTTACCAAGAATTAATCGATCACGATGAACCGTCGGTTTCAAGACGGATAGCCAGGACTGTCATACAGTTTCTCTACGAATACACTACAGAATATAGACGGATCAGTGAAGAATATAGATGGTATTACTGAGAATAATGACGTTAACGCCACGGGTGTCTGCAGTTGGGTCATGGATGACCAAGGTTCTCCTAGGAATAAAGTGTGGATATTCGTAGTACAACCTTAGTACATCCGGGCATATCCTTAGGACATTGGTAGCAAATTCGTAGAGATTTCTACAACGAATGAGCTACGAATCTCCAAGAATATTGTGGCGGTCGTGCCGACAGCAACCCCGAGTCGTCCTCGGCCGACGTCAGCGAGCGGTCAATTCTGAGAAGGCTAAGGGAGCAGGCCCGTTTTGGGGCAGTCTACCGCCAGGCGCAGCAGGGGAACAACTTTATTCGCGGGCGGGTCTTACGCCAGCAGCTCTCGCGCCAGGCAGGGGAAGGGAAACGGGGCACCTCTAAATCAAACACGGGACTCTTCTCTTTAGGTTGACATTCCTTTATTATAATCTACTCAGACAGACTGCAAATCGTCTCTAGACCTTAACAGGTGTTGGTCACCTTCCCAGGTGCCTCCCCTAAACAGGTGCGGGTTTCCTAAACAGGTGCAAGTTCCCTGTACAGGTATAAATCTTCCCCACTAAGTTAACGTCCACTCACCACTACGGCCTCGCTACTTATTCCCGTGGACGGAATTCCTCCCCTCTTCAACTGACCGAACAAGCCCCCGCTAAACTTATCCCAGTAAGAGCCTCACTTACGGACACAGCTGCCTACTACCACTAATCTGCACGGGCGAGGGACTGAATAAACATGCTCAGCAACTGCGATGCACTACTGGTCACCCGTGTCTCACTCTGGTACGGGACTGGAACTGCTCAGGAACTGAGGAACTGAGGAATTGCCGCACTGAGCGCGCGCTCGCGCTTTCATACCCACGCGGCAAATAGACTGGCGCCGCGGCGCATTACGCGCATCAGCCCTGGCTGACGTCTAGGTCATTATCTATTTTATAGCTACGATAGCCCCTGGCTACCACCAAACTGCTATTGCGCTACAATATGCACGAATAGCCACGAATAACACTACGAATAAGTACGGTTGTCCTACAGATGTCCAATGGTTGCACTACGGATTAATTTTCATGACGGTTCACCACGAAAGTTATAAGCAGTTTCAAACTTGGAAGATGACAGATATTAAACCATGGATGTACTGAAGATGAATATGCTACTCCCATCGCAAATTTTAAACCGTGGACATCAGTAGCTCCAAACCGTGAACGTATGACTGGGGCTTAAAAGTGGCTACAGACGGGCGCTTGTGCGCATAAGTTATCGCAAGTCGTAGCCAACTGACTCAGACACGGCTCAAGTCTCCCAGTTACAGGGGGTGTATTGGAAACCCTGTTCTCGATTGACCCGCAAACAGTGTTCTCGGGTTGTCGATTACGAACGCCCTAGTGCATGTGGAGTGCAGCTTGGCGAAAAATTCAAGATGGCAGCCACCGTATTAACACGCCAAATGATAAGAAGCGAAAACTATTAAACTAAATGAATCCATGTTTTTGTTTCTCTTACTCAGTTAATCCTTGTGCTGAAGGCGTCAATCCGTGTCTGAACAGTGGAAACTGTCTCCCCAACATCCAAGCAGCATGTGTGTGTGTGGACGGCTTCATGGGAGTTCATTGTGAAATCGGTAAACAACAAAATTGTGATAAAAAGTTTAAGAGCATGTGCATATCATATGAACATGGTTCCATTTCAGATTTCAGTTGAAATTTCAGAGCGTGTGCCCATCATATCATCGCAGAGCTGACAAACCGGCGAATCAACCGTTTTGGCGATTTTGAGATTTTACCATTTTTCTGGATTTTGAGGTTCGGAGCCCCTCCTGTTGCGAATCAGTCATAATAACAAATCCATAATTTGACATAGTGACGAATACGGAATTTTGCTGGTAACCGGCTCGTGTAAGGAGTGCGTTCAAAGTACCAATGAATGATGTGCTACTGTGGTTGTCAAAAATGTCACGTAAACGGTGACTTTTTAAGACTAAATTCATTAAGTAGCTACGAGGTGAGTAAAAAAAAAACGAAACACAAATGGCAGGACCAATATTTGATAAAGTTTTGCCTGTAGCACTTACAAAATCTAGGACATGAAAGCCCAGTCATTAAGCCTTCTTTTAGCACAAGAATCATTCAAATCACTCATGTCCTTTTGAAGTTATGGAACTTTGACCACAAACACAGTTTTAAATTTCTGTCCACGGATGACAAAAAAGGTAAGTGTTCTTTTAGGCCAAAAAAAAAAAGTCTCCGGTTTCTGGTATGTGCGCGCGTTGCCGTAGCCATGCGGCAAAATGAAAAAGTTTTTTTTTCAATAAAAGATGATGTCTCAAAACCGCCAAACTCACTGGTTTGACTGGAATCCTGCTGCTGCACAATTTTAACGTGTTTTTAGATGGGGTTATGATCGAGAATAAGCTTTATGTGGCCTCTCCGGACTCCCATATATTTGCACCAGGTTTAGTCGGACACCATTTGCAGTCATCAGCCAACATTTGAAGCAAAAAAAACAGGTAAAAAAAAAAAAAAAGCCGCGTCGCCGCACCACTTTTTTGGGCAAGCTCCATACCAGAAACCAGAGACTTTTTTTTTTTCGCCTTAGCAAATGAAAACAATTCTCACACGGATGCATGTGAATTGGAATTTTCTGTTGAATGTGATTTGCTTGCAGCACCACCATGTCACCCTAGTGTGGACCCATGCCTCAATGGAGCTACGTGTACCGTGGTGGATTCAGCAGCAGTATGCCATTGCGCTGACGGTTTCGTTGGTGCCAACTGCGAGAATGGTAAGCCAATTTTATTTCTTTGGTTATTTGACAATATCCAACGACACAAGAAAAAAATCCTATTGATTAATATTATTTTTTTTTAAATGAGAATTGTATTATTGCAAAGAGTTTGTAATAGGGATGTGCATTTACAGGTAGTACAGGAACCGGGTACCCTATTGAAAAAAACATGGATACCTGTTAAAGAAACCCAGGCCAGAAATTCAAATCTGGGAGGTTGCTGTTCAGATTGTTCTTACAGGTCCGCACGATAATACTACCACATCGGTGCGTCAATACAGCTAGATAGGGTGTATACAGTGAGCTCTTTAGCTATGTGGTGAAAACTGCAACTTTCGCAAGCATCATAACACGTGAAATTGGTTTTGGTTTTCCGTGAATCCTGTTTTTTATTTTGAAATTTTCCCACTGACATTCGAAACAGTTCTTTTTCATTGACTGAGAATATTTGCAAAGTTGGTTATGCCGGTACTCGATTCAATAATCTGGAACCGGTTCCTGACATTAACGGTCGGGTACCTGGTTGCGATGTACAGCCCTAGTTTGTAAAGTGTAAATTGAAGGATTGCACAAACTATGAAATAACCAACCAAAAAATATACAGAAACACCGGTTCTCTTCAAAACGTTTCGCTTGAAAAACGATGACCTAACAATATAGTTCCATTAAGAAAATGTATACCAGCACTTCACTTAAATTTGCAAAGCATGCTTCTACTTAATAATTGTGCTCAAGTTGAATTTGATTCAACTCCATTTAGTGTCTCAAAAACTTGTTAGTGTCTCAAAAACCATCTAAGTCCTATTCCCAGGATATTCTTGGTTATGTTCATCTCCATTCAAATGGAATGCAAAGCCTCTATTCACGTTTTATAGCCCTAGCTTTTCTGTAATTGTGTTTTTTTATTTTGCAGTAACGCCTTGTCATGCTAGCGTCAACCCATGTCTGAATGGAGCTACGTGCACAGAGATCAACTCAACAGCTGTCTGTCAGTGTGCTTTTGGTTTTCACGGTGCAAACTGTCAAGATGGTAAGTGGATCTTCACCCTGTCCGATATGTATCGACGGTGTTCTCACGAAGTGACAAAAACTTCAATATCCTGCAAAAAGGCCATCCCAAGGCAATCGCATTTGGAGTTGATCCATTTTTTCACGTTTTTGACTACTTTGTACTTATGGATTTGGGAATATTTTGCATTGTCAGGTAATGGATGCTTTGCTTTTTGCTAATTCAAAGCTTTTTATTCAAAGTCTTTCTTAATTAAACAAGTAATTCATTAAGAAAGATAGTCTTCACTTCGCGAAAACAGCAATACGCAGAGGCCTCTAGTGTTTGTCCCATTACTTTGTACACACTCTTCGTCACTTCGTGAAAAAAATAGAACGTTGTGAGAAATTGTTACAATTGTTACACCAGAATGGCAGCTTGAACTGTATAAGCTCTGTGTGCCAACAAAAGAGGGCGCGGTTTTATCTTTTTTAAGAGCTCCTTGGACAGGACACACAGCGTTGTGCGTACTCACGCTCGAAGTACGCACGACTTCCTGAATGTGCAAATGCTATAGCCACCATGTCTTGGCTCACGTGTCGGGCATCATCGGTGCGTGAATACATTCAAACTCAACAAAGTATATGTTCTAAATATGCAGTGGATGGATCAGGAACCAGTCTATTAAACTGAAACTGGCGGATATGTGCACTTGATAAAGACACATTATTATGAAATCTTTTTTTTTTTTATTTCCGCATGAAACTCGTAAATAATGCAGAGAGTACATGTTTAAGTTACATGTATTTATTTTTGGAATTACAATTTCCGAGATAATGAGAGTTTTCTCCTGATTGTATGATGTGTTTTATTTCTCTTATTTAGTGTCAACGTGTGATGAAAGCAGGGATCCGTGCATGAATGGAGCAACATGTCTAGTGATGGACTCCCGGATCGTTTGTCAATGTGCTGAGGGGTTTATTGGCATCAACTGCGCACGGGGTAAACCAAAATATAAGTGCTTACTTAAAACATTTACTTTCTTTAGCACATTCCCTCCCCCCACTCGGTCCCCCTTTGGGGCTGTCCATATGTACAGACCCTACCCGGAGTATAACAATTTAGCCCCCAAATTTAACATTGTATTAGTTGGGGGACAGAAGAATTAAGTCAGTGTTGTAGTCGAGTACTTTTTTTTCCGAGTACCGAGTTCTGCCAAGTACCTAGGTTGCCGAGTACAAGTGCAAGTACGAGTACTTGTATTCCGAGTATGAGTATGAGTACTTCTATTTCCAAATATGACCATACGAGCAAATGGTTCATTGTACGTAATTGGCCATGCCAGCAGTCAGACCAATATACAGACCCACTCATGGCTATAGACTGTTGATGTGTTTGTCCGGACGTGCACTTTGATTTCTTCGCAAGCTAATCAACCATTTCAAACTGAAAGTATCAATAAAATAAGGTTGTGGTAAAGTCAAACTATACCATTTTTTCGAGTACTGCTATTTTGAGTACGAGTACTTTGATGTACAAGTTCGAGTATGAGTACTCTTAAAAAAAGTACTCAAGTTGTGTACGAGTACCGAGTACGAGTACTACAACACTGGATCAAGTATACCAATGAATGTGTCTTTGTTTCCTTTTTTTTCAGTAAACCCTTGTGCTGAGGGCGTCAATCCGTGTCTGAACGGTGGTAACTGCTTTCCAAACATCCAAGCAGTCTGTGCGTGTGTGAACGGCTTCACTGGAACTTACTGCGAAATAGGTAAACAAAAAATTAAATTAAGAACCCCAGTTATTTTACCACAAGCAATTTTGTGAAATTCTACTTTTTATTCATTCAAAATTCTACTTTTGTATAATTCTTTGTAATTTGCTTACAGCACCTTCGTGTCATGCCAGCATCAACCCATGTCTGAACGGGGCAAGTTGTGTCGACGTTGACGGGACGGCAGTCTGCATGTGCACCGATGATTATGAGGGCGTACACTGCGAGAATAGAAGTAGGTGATTTGTCACAGGGAAAAGTAAAACGGGCAACTAAGATTAGCCGGGATTCCTAATTGGTTGTAAATTGTGGCTGTTACTTGACCTCTCCAGAACCATACAGACTGATCCAACCACACTAGCACGCAAGTCGATTTGTTTTGGCAAATTCCAGCGTCACGGACATTACAAATCAGAATTTTGCTGGTAACCAGCTCGTGTAAGGTGTGTTTGTCAAAGTACCAACAAATGATGTGCTATTGTGGTTGTCAAAAATGTCACGTAAACGGTGACTTTTTAAGACTAAATTCATTAAGCAGCTACGGGGTGAGTAAAAAAAAAACAAAAAACAAACACAAATGGCAGGATCAATATTGCCTGTAGCACTAACAAAATCCAGGACATGAAAGCCCAGTTATTAAGCTTTCTTTCAGCACAAGAATCATTCAAATCACTCACGTGCTTTTGAGGTTATGGAACTTTGAACACAAAGACAGTTTAAATTTCTGTCCACGGAGGACTAAAAAAGGTGAGTGTTCTTTCAGCAAACGAAAACAATTCTCACAGGGATGCATGTGAATTGGAATTTTCTGTTGAATGTGATTTGCTTACAGCACCACCATGTCACCCTAGTGTGGACCCATGCCTCAATGGAGCTACGTGTACAGTGGTGGATTCAGCAGCAGTATGCCATTGCGCTGACGGTTTCGTTGGTGCCAACTGCGAGAATGGTAAGCCAATTTTAGTTCTTTGGTTATTTGACAATATTCAACGGCACAAGAAAAAAATCGTATCAATTAATATTTTTTTTTAATGAGAATTTTATAATTGCAAAGAGTTTGTAATCGGGATGTGCATTTACGGGTAGAACAGGAACCTGTTTTTCATTTTGAAATTTTCCCACTGACAATTCGAAACAGTTCTTTTTGATTGACAGAGAAGTCACTAAGTAATATTTGCAAAGTTGGTTATGGGTACTCGATCCCATCATCTGGAACCGGTTCCTGATATTAACGGTCGGGTACTCGGGTACCCGGTTCCGATGTACAGCCCTTGTTTGTAAAGTGTAAATTGAAGGATTGCACAAACTATGAAATAACCTATATACAGAAACACCGGTTGACTTCAAAATGTTTTGCTTGAAAAACAATGACCTAACAATATAGTTCCGTTAAGAAAATGTGTACCAGCACTTCACTTAATAAATTTGCAAAGCATGCTTCTACTTAAATAATTGTGCTCAAGTTGAATTTGATTCAACTCCATTAGTGTCTCAAAAACTTGTTAGTGTCTCAAAAACCATCTAAGTCCTATTCCCAGGATATTCTTGGTTATGTTCATCTCCATTCAAATGGAATGCAAAGCCTCTATTCACGTTTTATAGCCCTAGCTTTTCTGTAATTGTGTTTTTGTATTTGCAGTATCGCTTTGTCATGCTAGCATCAACCCATGTCTGAATGGAGCTACATGCACGGAGATCAACTCAACAGCTGTCTGTCAGTGTGCTTTTGGTTTTCACGGTGCAAACTGTCAAGATGGTAAGTGGATCTTCACTCTGTCCGATATATATCGACGGTGTTTTCACGAAGTGACAAAAACTTCAATATCCTGCAAAAAGGCCATCCCAAGGTAATCGCATTTGGAGTTGATCCATTTTTTCACGTTTTTGACTACTTTGTACACTTGTCGGTGCGTGAATACATTCAAACGCAACGAAATATGTTCAAAATATGCAGTGGATGGATCAGGAACCAGTCTATTAAACTAACTGGCGGATATGTGCACTTGATAAAGACACATTATTATGAATTTTTTTTTTTTTTTATTTCAGCATGAAACTCGTAAATAATGCAGAGAGTACATGTTTAACATGTATTTTTTTCGGAATTACAATTTCCAAGATATTGACAGTTTTCTCCTGACTGTATGATGTGTTTTATTTCACTTATTTAGTGTCAGCGTGTGATGAAAGCAGGGATCCGTGCATGAATGGAGCAACATGTCTAGTGATGGACTCCCGGATCGTTTGTCAATGTGCTGAGGGGTTTATTGGCATCAACTGCTCACGGGGTAAACCAAAATATAAGTGCTTACTTAAAACATTTATTTTCTTTAGCACATTCCCTCACTTGGTCCCCATTTGGGGCTGTCCATATGTACATATGCACAAGGGCGGATCCAGGGGGGGGGCCAAAGGGGGCCATGGCCCCCCCCCCCCCCAAAAAAACGAAACCAATTGTTGTTTTTTATGTGACGTCGCAATAAAGGCAGGCAATGAGTACACCACCATCTTTTCCTCAAAAAACATTGGCTAAAGTGGTCAGAAATTGCCTCAGATCGCACCACAGAGCATCGAGAATCCAAAAAAAGGTCGGGGCCCTTAAGCGGGCCCCGAACCCCACGCCGTAATTTTTTTACCCACTTTTTGGGAGACACAAATTTATTTTTTGGCCCCCCCCCCAAAAAATTGTGTTCTGGATCCGCCCTTGCATATACATTAAGACCCATCCGGGAGTATAACAATTTGGCCCCCAAATTTAACATTGTATTAGTTGGGTACCAAGTTCTGCCAAGTACCTATAGGTTGCCGAGTATGAGTACTTGTGGTCCAAGTATGAGTATTTCTGAATACGACCATACAGCAAATGGTTCATTGTACGTAATTGGCCATGCCTGCAGTCAGACCAATATACAGACCCACTCATGGCTATAGACTGTTGATGTGTTTGTCCGGACGTGCACTTTGATTCCTCTGCAAGCTAATCAACCATTTCAAACTGAAATGACTGGGTCTGAGTACTTTGACGATCGAGTACAAGTACCACCATTTCGAGTACGAGTACTTTGACATTCAAGTTCGAGTACGAGTATGAGTACTCTTAAAAAAGTACTTGAGTTGTGTAAGAGTACCGAGTACGAGTACTACAACACGTACTGGATCAAGTATACCAATGAATGTGTCTTTGTTTCCTTTTTTTTCAGTAAACCCTTGTGCTGAGGGCGTCAATCCGTGTCTGAACGGTGGTAACTGCTTTCCAAACATCCAAGCAGTCTGTGCGTGTGTGAACGGCTTCACTGGAACTTACTGCGAAATAGGTAAACAAAAAATTAACTTAAGAACCACAGTTATTTTACCACAAGCAATTTTGTGAAATTCTACTTTTTTTTCATTCAAAATTCTACTTTTGTATAATTCTTTGTAATTTGCTTACAGCACCTTCGTGTCATGCCAGCGTCAACCCATGTCTGAACGGAGCAAGTTGTACCGACGTTGACGGGACGGCAGTCTGCATGTGCACCGATGATTATGAGGGCGTACACTGCGAGAATAGAAGTAGGTGATTTGTCACGGGGCGAAGTAAAACGGGCAACTAAGATTAGCCGGGATTCCTAATTGGTTGTAAATTGTGGCTGTGACCTCTCCAGAACCATACAGACTGATCCAGCCACACTAGCATGCAAGTCGATTTGTTTTGGCAAATTCCAGCGTCACGGACATTAGGCCAAAAAAAAAAAGGCTCCGGTTTCTGGTATGGAGCTTGCCCAAAAAGTGGTGCGGGGACGCAGCTTTTTTTTTTTTTTTTTACCTGTTTTTTCTTTGCTTCAAAAAATGACTGCAAATATTGCTGCAAATGGTGCCCGACTAAACTTAGTGCAAATATTATGGGAGACCAGAGAGGCCACATAAAGCTTATTCTCGATCATAACCCCATCTAAAAACATGTTAAAATTGTGCAGCAGCAGGATTCCAGTCAAACCAGTGAGTTTGGCGGTTTTGAGACATCATCTTTCATTGAAAAAAAACTTCTTCATTTTGCCGACGCGCATGGCTACGGCGATGCGCACGTATACCAGGAACCGGAGACTTTTTTTCTTGGCCTTACAAATTAGATGCTTTTTTTTGTATTTTGGAGGAGCTCAGTGAATAAAACTGAAAATATCTTTTTTTTTAACTATCAAATCATTATGAAATACCAAAAGCATCCTGTAAAATCATGGCACCTGGTGTACTGTCATTTTCAAGAAAAGTGGTGTTTTTGTATCAATTTACATTGGAAAAAAAACTGCCTTTTTTCAAATATTGCCACCAATTTACTATATTTAGTTAGTCTGCATTTTGTTTGCAACCGATATCAAGCCCGCTAGACTGCTTCCCTGACCTTACAAATCACCGACGTCTATAAATTGGGAACCGCACTACAGGAATATGATTGTTTTTCTTGGTTGTTCCAGCATCTTCAAACAAAAAACTACAAACAAGTCAGTGTAACAAATGTTTGCTACAAAATACTAACCCCCCAATTCCATCCATTTCTGAAAATTACAGCAAAAGCAAATGTTGTGTACCCCTTTAACAATGGTTATAAAATTCTTTACTGCAAACACTGTACCAAAATATGTGATTGATAACCTTTTTTCTGTGTACAGTGGACCCATGTCATGAGAGCATCGACCCCTGCCAGAATGGAGCACTGTGCACAGTGGTCAACTCACAAGCCGTCTGCAACTGCAGCTCACTGTTTTCTGGCCCTACCTGTGGCAACGGTAAGTAGTAAAACCAAGCATGTTTTTTTTTCGCTCCTAAAAGTGTGTCATGCCAATCCTTAAAAATAAATGTAAACAGTATTGCCAATCCTTAAAAATAAATGTACACAGTATAAGTTTGACAGGGGACTGTAAAACTAATGAGGACTTAGATCAAAGTGGAGTTTACATGGTCCACGTGGGCTAGTGCATTGAACTCATGATCTTGTGGGTAATTCTGCAGGTTGTGGGCTTGATTCAATCCTGGCGTTGTCAGGCGCGGATCCAGGGTAGGGCCGCGGGGGCATGTGCCCCCCGTCAAATTGGAGTCCAAAAAGAAGGGAACCCACGCCGTAAGACAGGCGTGAGTCCGCCCTCGCATAAGTCCTCGGAGCAAATGCCACCATGCATCGTTGCAACAGTTTACAAAACGAATACAATTCCTTTTCCAAAATAAAATGCAAGAAAATAGGAAGACGTAAATACATGGTTTTCGACTTTCAAGCACACAGTAACTTAAAAAATGTAAAAGTAAGATGTTTTTTTTTTAAATCCTTAAAATCTTAGTTGAACTTTTGCTCAACTAATTCAGCGGAAAGGAGCCAGGAATCGCCTCAGATTGCACCACAGAGCATCTAGAATCCAAAATTTTCTGGGGCCCTTAAGCGGGCCCCAACAGTTTCGGAAGCAACAGGGACTAATATAGGCAAGACGGTTTCAGGCGCTACAGTGAGTTTGCCGACAAGAGAGAGTACTTGTAGAAATGTTGAGTTCTCACAGATCACTAAGAAATTGATTGTCACATTTGGTCACTTCCAACCTGGACTTATTGCTGCTGCATGGATGCAAACCTTCAAGTCTTCTTATTCATTTCACTTTCTTTTCCCCTCAGCTGTTTTGAGTCTTGACGTTTCCTCCTGTTCTGGAAGCATCAACCCATGCCTAAATGGAGGGACTTGCGTCGAGATGGAGTCAGGAGTCATCTGTGTGTGCCCCGGAGGGTTTAGCGGTCTGAACTGTAATCTAGGTGCATAGAATTCAATTTTAACTTCAGGCTTGGCATAGTATCGTGGATAATATCTCGGATGAAACCATCCATCCATCGGATAGCAGTCCGCATCAAGATCCTACTTTTGCTGATTGGTGGCATCACGTTCTGGCAAAATGAGGCGGAACCGGGCACAGTTTGTAAAAAAATAAACCGAATGGGGGTGATTTTTTTTTTCAATTTTCCGATTTATTGCTGTTTGTCATCTCTAATGAAAGGAATAGAATAATGTGGTATAAAAGGTTTTTATAAGGAATAACTAGTGATATCTTTCCTTTTCAGACTACAAATGCCTACTTTAAACAGCTATAACTTGTCAACGGAATATCCAATTGAAGTAAAAACAAATAGTATTGTAGGGGGAATTTATCTTTCATAATACCAGCAAACCCTCATTTCGACCTCTGCCTAGTCCGTCTCATGTTGCCAAAATGCCTCAAATTTTATTTGTCAGTGAGAAGTCATCCACTGGATCCGGTCAGATGAAGCAATGTGTAAACTCAAGCAGACCCTCTGTGCATGATGAGAAGTGCAGGTTCCATTGACTGTGCACATACATACACTCACAAACGTGTGTTCACCGTCGATGGTGGACGTCCTATTGTCCCTCTTTTGTTTGTACTCTTAACTTTTTAAGGAAGACTCCCGTAGGTTTTGTACACGACCCCAATCGTGGACGTATGCTGAGAATTGTGGACGATATTGTTCTCTTGTTCTCTGGTATTTTTCGTCCACGGTTTGAAAAGATGAACAGGTACACAGACAAGCCTGTTCACACCGTTAATCGTGGACGTCCTATTGTCCCTCTTTTGTTTGTACTCTAACTTTTTAGGAAGACTCCCATATGTTTTTACTGGAAGACTCTTATATGTTTTGTACACGACCACAATCACGGACGTATGCTGGGAATCATGGACAATATTGTTCTCTTTTGTTCTCTGGTATTTTTCGTCCAGGGTTGTATTTTCTTTGTAACCAGAATTGTGTTATAGTGAGAGTCAACTGCAATTAAATGCCTGGGCTCCAAGTCATAGAATGATGCATTTTTTTTTTTGTATGACAACTATTCCTAAGATGTCAACTTGACAGATTAATGCAATCCTCTTCTCGTTTTGTCTTGTTTTGTAGCTGACCCGCAAGAGCTTGTTTTGGAAGAGCCTGTGGCAGTTGACAGTCACAGACGAGGTGTGTCTTCTGGCCAGGAAGGTAAAGACTATTCTTTCTTTACGTTAATTTTATTTTACCCAAACGTTTGGGGTTTACACATGCACTGCCATGTTGGGAGTTGATGCCACTCTTTCTTTTTTTTTTGCCCTGCAGATTCTGACGATAGTTTATCTAATGCAGCTTCAAGTCATGGCTGGCAAGCAGCGACACTGTTGGTTCTTGCCACCGTCTCAATAATGCTTTGTCGGGAGTAATAAAAACCTGGAAATGCTTGTTCTTGGAAAACAAACTACAAAATAGCACTTCATTATGTTTAAAACTTTTTTAACTGGTGAACCATTTGAGGTGGCGATAGATTCAATTCAGCATAAACATTACTAGATATATATATGACTTGAAGCTTTGCATGGCAACACTCATATGGAAAGAAATCTCTTCTTGGAAGAAGTGTGGTTCTGAAAAGAACCGCTTGGTTGAGTGTAGAACTCGACATTTTGGCCAGTGTGCTCTGTCCGTCCTCAGGAGGGTGAGACTTTTTCTCTATTTTATTGCTAGATATGTGGCGTGATGACAAAATCATGTTTATCACAATAAACAAAACTGTTTTGATTACATGTGATTTGAACCCCCTCCCCCAATTCCCACCCCAATCCACCCCAACACACAAAAGTGTATATTTACCTTCAATCGGGGACACCCTATTGTCTCTTTCGTTTGTACCACTAACTTTTTAGGACAACCTCCCATATGTTTGGTACAGGTTTGGGAACCCTATTGTCTTCTATAGTTCAGCGTCCCCTATTGTATGCAGAAACAATCTCACCCCCACCCTGACAACCCCCCCCCCCCCCCAACCAAAAAAGGTGAAAAAAATTGCTGACATTAACCCTAACCGCCCTGAATCCTCCAAAATCCTTTTTGCAAATTGGAGGAATTTGCAGGATTGAGGTTACATGGCAAAAGTGCGTTGCTGATTTCGGAGTACGCACTGTGTCAAGGTCTTGGGCCGGACCTTGTGTTGTTTATGCTCAGCCGTGCATAAATTTAGCCCTTGATTATACTTGACATCCTCCGCACTGCTCCAGGATGTCACTGCCTCAGCCTATTGACTGTCATAGCCGGAGGATTTTGCAGGATTCAGGCAGTGGTCACCCCTCCATGGACCATATTCAAGAAATAGCGGAGGAATTTGCAGGATTGAGGCTATATGCTATTTTTCCATGAGGCCAATTGGAGGATTTTGCAGGATTGAGGCTACATCCTAGCAAAAAGGCCTAGGGAGTTAGGGTTAAAGTTAATAAAGCATTTTGTTGACACATTATTTTATTTCGAAAGTATTTTAACTGGTTTAATGCTCAATTTTTTTTTAAAGTAAAAGTTTTTCCTTATACGATTGTACATAACATTTTGTCTTCTGGAAAAATCCTATTCATGACTCCACACTTTTATAATGTGAAGAAAATAATGCGAACAGTGATTGTGAGAAAACAGACAGCAGACAATTAAATTTGAATAGAACATTTACATGTATTGTGAAATCAATGCCCTGGAGGTGAAATATCACCAGCTGTTCACAATAAACCGGCTTCTTAACTTGAATTAGTTGCAATAACTTACCAGGACTCTTTCTGGTTTATCCAGAACAGTTAACCAGTTTAAGGTAATAGTTAAGCTAACTTTGTTATTTTAACCAAGTTGAAACTACTAAACCCCACTAGAAAATTTTGATGATTCATTTATTGGCTAACAATTTTTTGGGTTTATGGAGTTACTTTTGAAGTGTACAAAAATAAATGAAGGGAAAAACCTGAGCCCATCAACAGCCTTGGTCAGTGGAAACGCATAAATCTGTTGGGATTTTTTTGCAGCAAACAGTATCCGTGAGCCGTTTTGTCAGCAGAAATCCAGCGAAAAGGCCCTGTACCCAAAGTTAGTATAGACATCGATGAGGCTGCTATTTCCTGACACGCATAATACCTGCAAGGAAATACGAAAATTAGTTTAACATTATACTCTTATATTTTTTGATTGTGTTCAGTTAAATTCTTCTTTTTTTATTAATTATTTTTAGGTGGTGTTTGCATTTTCACCACGGGGGCAGATGCAACCTTCTAACAGTATTACCATCAGTATTGTAAGGCCAAAAAAAAAAGTCTCCGGTTTCTGGTATGGAGCTTGCCACAAAAGTGGTGCAGCGACGCGGATTTTTTTTTTTTTTTTCTTTTCCTTTTTTCCTTCAAATGTCGGCTGATGACTGCAAATGGTGCCCGACTAAATTTTGTGCAAAATATATGGGAGCCCAGAGAGGCCACATTAAGCTTATACTCGATCGTAACCCCATCTAAAAACACGTTAAAATTGTGCAGCAGTAGGATTCCAGTCAAACCAGTGAGTTTGGCGGTTTGAGACATCATGTTACATTGAAAAAACTTTCATTTTGCCGACGCGCATGGCTACGGTGCAAGCACGCATACCAGAAACCGGAGACTTTTTTGGGGCCTAATGTCCTGTGTATATTCTAACCAGTTTTTATGCAATAAATATAGTACTAATAAATACGTGTGTATCCATTTTGAAACACATTTGTCACTTTTTGACATTATTTTGTGTATGTCACTTACGGTGATTTTTCAGTCTGTTTATTTTTGGAAATGCATGCTACAATTGGAACATTGCTTGAAAAACACATTTTAATTTACGCGCGACTGAGTTATTTGTAAATTTCATCTGCAGACGAGAGTTCTTTTAAACTGCACTCAAACTGACTATAAATGGTAAGTCTTAAGATAAATGGAAATACATGTGATTTCCATTTTAAGATGGAATTTTGCATCGAGGTGATATCAAATTAGGTTTTGCCCTTCACCAACGTTTAAACACTGTATACTCAGTGTGTTACCTCCAGAGTGAAAGTTGGAAAAAATCACTCGGGTGGGACTCGAACCCACAACCTCCTGCTTTCTAGTGCAGATATCTTACCATTCGACCACCGAGCTAACAGGATCGGTTGGCTGGTTCGAATCTGATGTACTAGCAGCGGGTACCGCATAAACTATTTTAAGATGGAATTTTGCATCGGGGTGATATATATCAAATTAGATTTTGCCCTTCACCGACGTTTAAACACTGTATACTCAGTGTGTTACCTCCCGAGTGAAAGTTGGAAAAAATCACTCGGGAGGTAACACACTGAGTATACAGTGTTTAAATGTCGGTGAAGGGCAAAACCTAATTTGACATGTGATTTCCATTTGGAATTATACTGCTCAATGCATTCCAGTCAGAGCTGTAATGAGTCACTGAATTTTGTGAGTTGAGTTGAGTCATTAGGTCAAGAAGGTCGAGTTGAGTCACAGTGTGTGTTCGAATCGAGTCGCAGCAAGTCAAATGTGTGCTCGAGTCAATTCGAGTCACTGATATTTGAACACTTTCTAAAAAATTACAAAATTGAAGAAGGAACACAAGGCACCATTCTATTGTAAATGTCTAAAGACTTAAAATGTGCTGTGTGGTACCCAATTAACCTATCGGGTAGAATTGCGTTAACGCAGCATGTGAAATGTCCAATTACATGATATGGCAGCGGAATGCGCAAAATCTGAGACAAACAAAAATGAGTGCACAAAAACTCCATAGGGTTGTCTAAGGGGCGTGGCTTACTCGCAATCAGTGATAGGTCAATGGACAGCATCTGCTTGACGTTTCTACCAAATATCCTCCGTAATCAGTTAACAAGAAGTTAGACTTCGGTTTCATTTCAGGTTTGGTTTTGGGTCTAGAATACGTTTATTGGTTGGCACACTGTGACTCTGAGTGCAATGGTTTCAAGTGCAATGCATAGCACGGGCAAGACATGTCTCAAATCTGAATTAAATTACAATGAATTCCATGAAATTTATATTTTTTTTTGTGGCATGTAGATAAATATTCCCATACATAACCAATTATATGTTTACTTTCCATGGCATGAACAATCTGTTCACATGAACTGTTGAACAATATACATACCTAGGATTAAATTCAAAAGGGATGCTTGAGTGATTTCATCGACATTTATGTCTTTGATATTTCTATCTTGAGGATGATTATTTGGTAACAGTATGTCATCATCATTGTCAGTAATCAAAGTTAACACTCCTTCTGAGTACATTTTATGCGCGACGAGGGGTTGTAGTCATTGCATTATGGTAAGAGCGCTACCGCTCACATGGTTTGTCCTCTTGCGAGCGGGCCGTGAAAGAAGCTCAGACCAATCCAACTCTTGGCTAAAAGTCGCCCACTTTTCCCTCATTTTAGGGGTAAGTTGAATTCTAATTAAGTATTAAGTAGATAATGTAAGGGATGTAGAAGAGGTTGGTTGATATGATTATTGTCAAACTGATTGATTCTTATAGTTTTTAGGGTGTTAGTTTTGTGTGAAAGTGTCAAAACTTTACTAGAGTTGAATGACCGTTTTCGTATACATTTGTGGCATGTAGATAAATATTCCCATACATAACCAATTATATGATTACTTTCCATGGCATGAACAATCTGATCACATGAACTGTTGAAAAATAGACACACCTAGGATTAAATTCAAAAGGGATGCTTGAGTGATTTTAATACTGTTCACACGTATGTATTGTAACAGATGACGCCAGAGAAATATTCTTTTACTTTACATGTTTTTTGTTTTTTCAGGGGGTCTTCGTGTGCACAGGATTTGAGTGTCCTACCTTGTTGCTCTCGCTCTCTGTGTTGACGGCCAGACTGAACACACGCGTCGCCGTGCAGGGAACCTTGGTCTTGGGATCGCCGTTGATATTCCAGTGGTATACGAATGGCGTGCTGCCTCCCGATATAATCTGCAGGGAGAGACGCGAGAGACCAAGTAGAGAAAAGTCCTAAGTTGGAATTGAGCCTTGATGCTGATGTTATCTCGTGTGATTAAAAAAAAAAATTCTGAGAAGTGAAGATTTCTGTGAAATTTGCGTAAAGTTTGGATTGTGAGATTTCTGTTTCTTTCCCCGCTCTTATAGGAATACTGAAACCGCATCAAGAAGCTGCTTTAGAAAATACTGCTCGCAATAAATTTTGAAGAATACTTTTCAAAAATTAGCCAGGAACAATGTAATTCTAAGACCCAGAAGCTTCAAGAGTAGACAGATGTAAGGGTAACTTTTAAAAGCTTAGACGGGTCAAAGTCTACACACAAACCAAGATACGTGAAAATTTGGACAACCACAATAAAAGGTGCAGTGACTGCACATTGGATGGGGTGTTTTCTTACCGAATCTTCATGAAAGGTCACCACTTGAGGGCAGCAGTTTGGGGCGTCAAAGGTCACAGTGGGGGTCAATGACCTCAGATGCCAGAGGGACAACGAGGGGCCTCCGCCGCAGACCTGCGGAATGGTTGCAATTGGTTTTGAAATTATTTTTCAGAAAAACGATGACATGTGTAATACTCGCTTGTGGACCGAAGCCGTTGTGGTCCCATAACAATTGGGTCTGATTCGAACTGGATTCGAACCCTCTTTTCTAAACTACTCAGCCACAAGACTAGGATCTCTCACCACTAAATCATAGCATCAAACAATGTTACATCTCATTTGCAGTGTGAGCCCAACATTACCCACTAATGTTTCACGTGGAATTTTTGGCACGAGTATGCCTGTTGTGGGGAGTGTGGCCTAGTGGTTACTGTTCGTGACTCCCGATCAGAGGGTCAGGGGTTCGAACCCAGCTGCTGGTCATTTGTTGTGTACTTGGGCAAGCCACTTCACCCCCACTTGCCTCTCTCCACCCAGGAGTATAAATGGGTACCGGCATTAGCTGGGGAGTAACCTGCGATGGACTAGCATCCCATCCAGGGGGAGTAGAAATATTCTCAGTTGTTTCATGCTATTGAAACCGGAGATAAACGCGGGCCTGATGGGCCACATTGGCTCATGACAAACTTTATTTTTATTTTTATACTTGTTGCCTAACCTGCAACGCATAAGGTGTGTTCCATCGACAAAAGGACCGAAAATTTCAGATAGGTTTTTAGTTAAGAAATAATTCTCTGCCCTTTTGTAACTACAAAGTTGAAGGGTGAGAACTTTTGCATAAAGTTACTTCCAAAGTTCCAATACAATAATCCTGAGTTTCATGTACATCCTTACCAGCCATTCCTCACCAGCATCCACCGATACACACCCAACCCACTTGCCGTGCTGAGGTCTCGCACACTCCTGAAACAAATGGAAACAAACTCATCAGATCAGAAACCTTATGATAACCTACCAAGGTAGTTTTATAGAGCTTGAGATTAGAGTTGAAATCAAGTCAGTCACAAGTAAGTCACAAGTGAGTCACAAGTCAATCACAATTCAGTCACAAGTCAGTCACAAGTCAGTCACAAGTCAATCTCAAGTCAGTCACAAGTCAATCACAAGTCAGTCACAAGTCATCACAAGTCATCACAAGTCATCACAAGTCATCACAAGTCAAACACAAGTCATCACAAGTCATCACAAGTCATCGCAAGTCTATCACAAGTCACCAAGTCTCAAGTCAAGCCATAATGCTATTCAAATGAGCTGTGACAACAATATTCCTTTGTCACTGTTGCGACATAACTAGTATATTGACCTGTAATTTCACCTGATTAAAACATAACTTTTGCTTCCCTAATTTTCTTTCAGTCACCTAAAAATCAAATTTTCCCATTTTTTTCTTCTCATTTCCCCCTAAGCATGAAAAACACCTTAATTACCTCATGTTTGTGTGGTTCAATGATGTGTACTGCTTCCCCTGAAGTTCTTGCGTCTACAAAATGTGAGAAATGATAAATGCAAGACAATTGTTAAAGTAATGAATAATCATTAAATTCTTTGTCTGAACTTCTTGCAAATCTCAAAACATGAGACTTTTGACTCACCCCATATCCTTACGGACCCATCTTCCGCTGATGAAGCCAATTGCTGTGATTGGTTGTACAGTGAGACACAGTGGACATAGTCAGTGTGGCCACTCAAAGTCTCCTGCAAAAACAAATCATTTTATCACAACGATTTCAGACGTATTGAAGCTGTAAAATAGCATGGAATCCTATGCCATCCAAAGCAATTACACAAATTCATTCTAAGAGGTGTTCGTTTTACATAATTAATTATTATAAAGTTCTCAAGAGTAATTATATTTTGCCCTCTTAACCTCTGTTTTTGCAATTCTGAGGCAATAAAACTACAGTTGACTTTATTAATACAAACTCAGCCGGACCTAGCCAAAATGTTTGTTATATCAGAAGCTTGTATTAAGAGGAGTGCCAGCCCATATCATTGTGCACATAAATGCACAGTCGGGATCAAGGCTTTATGTTTGTTATAACCAGAATTTGTATTAACAGTGTTTGTATTAAGGAGAGTTGACTGTATAAACAAATGAATTACAAATAATAAGTAGAGTACAGTTACCTTTTTGGTGCCACTTTCCAGATCCCAGGCGTAGACCTTGCAATCACCACCACCAGAGTATAAAACATTGTCCTGTATTTCGGAGAGATAGCAAAAGAGAGAGCCCACCCTTAAAACAAGGACATTTTAACAAATTTAGTTCTGAGCGTCTTGACTTATCACAGAATTGTCAAATGATTCGACACCATTCCTGGAAAAAAATAATTTACAATCAATGTTGATTGCAAGCCTAAAAGTCATTTATGTTTTATATTTTGGGTGATAGCAATTTTTTTTTTCTGTGAGGAACCTCAATCTTCAATTAATAATGCCAAGTGAGTAAATAGTAGAATCCCCACTACCATTGTAAAATCACCTTCTAACCATAACTCCCCTTCAAATGCCCTTCTGACATGCCATCTTTTTAAAATTGTGCTTTGTATACATGTACTTGATTGATTTTTAAATGAAATTACCTTAGTACTGTAGGCTAGCGCATTGGTCTCAAATGCGCCAAAGTTACTGGAAGCTGGCAGTGACAAGGACCAGGAAACCTTAGGATTCTGAAGAACAAAAATATACACAAAACTGAACCAATATCCGAGTAAAACAAAGAGAAGCTACTCGAGCAGTGCCCTGCATTTTCCTCTTTACATGGGACTGCTACGTACAAACAACATTGAGGCTTCACGTGTATTAAAAGCAAAGACACTTTTTAGTCATATTATGATGGTTGCTCAGCTGTTAAACAGATGTGATGTTTTTGCCTCACCTTCTGAAAAACGTCTGTCCAAGCCCAGCCTTTGATGTCGCCACAACCCGCACTGAAAGTAAACAACATATGAATAGCATTTACTGCTAATATATTTCATGTGATAAAGCAGACCTGGAGGAATTCAAGGGATGTTTGTGAGAGCAGAGTGCCTGTGGCCATCATACAAGACAGCGTCAGCACGCCTGGTAGCCAACCTTGAAACATGTGCCCAATGGCATACAGCAGAGTTGAAGTCGAGTACTAGTACGAGTACATATCTGCATAATACTGAAATTGGACAGTAAATACTAACCAGAAGAAATTTAAGACTTTAGACAATCGGAATCTCATATGAGCTACCATTTTAAGACAAAAGCATCTGGAAAGTACTTTCCAGTACTTTAGAGTACTTCTGTCCGAAAAGTTTAAATAAAAAGTATTTTTTTTTAAAATTTTAAAAGGGCTTTTCTCTAACAATGACTGCTGTGTACTGGCAATGTTTCTCGTTTTGTTCGCAACAAACAGCTCAATATTTGGTAGTAAACAAAGTACTCGACTACAACTCTGGTAGACTGTCTGATGAGAACTGAGCACTCTTGTAGAATCATTTCATTATTGCTTGCAAAGCACTTTCTGCAAAAACAAGAATGGATGGGATGAATTCCTGCATTTTTCATTGCTGTGGAGTTTTCCATTTTGCATCAGGACATCAGACCTATTGTGGTCACTTCATTTGCTGTGTACTGGTGGCAATGTTTCTCTCGTTTTGTTCACAACAAACAGCTCAATATTTAGTAGTAAACAGTACTCGATTACAACTCTGGTATGCAGGTTAACAATTGGGCTGCTCAACCCCATGCCAACACTCACTAGGAGAACACGTATCTGGCAAGGGTGTTATCTTCAAGTCCTGTAAGATCTGTTGGCAGCGACAGCCCAGCAGTCAAAGATCTGAACATAAGGGTTACAAAATCCCATTCAAACTCTTACATCCCTATAATCAGCTAAACTTCTAGGTCACAAGTTCACAACGTCTGTTTTGTACCCTAATTAAGTGCCAAAAAAAATGACACAAACAAACACTTTTTTAAAATACATCCCAATTTTAGATTCAGATTTAAAGGCACTGTGAACAGATTTTGTAGATAAATTTTTTTGAACTCCCACTGAGTCATCACCAGACCTGCACATCTCTCTGCACTGCCCAAAAAGTTTTGAGCAGTAAAGTGATAAACAGAGCAAATTTGTTCTGTCTCTATATCTGTATCCGTATGGCTACGTTGCAGAAACCTATTCAGGCATTAGCGCAATGGAGTACTGAGGTACTCAAGGCACTGGGAAGTATGTCTATTGTTAGATGAATGAAGTACATGAGAGATATGAGACCCATTATGTAGCACCAGGGTTTACAAGGTGCTGCGGCCACTGCCAGAAACACCGGGGCGAACCCCTTCTCTTTAATAGCGACAAGTGTTACTGGGTTCTTTAAAGTGCATTACACAACACACGGGACCTACGGCTTTACGTCCCATCCGAAGGACGAAGCAATAATGGTAAAGTGCCTTGCTCAAGAGCACAAGCACCACGTTTTCACGGTCAGGATTCGAACCCGTGTACCACGGCACACGAGTCGAACACCGTAACCATTGGACCACAGCGACTGTTGTGGCTCAGTGTATGACACACAATTTACTTTGACAGCTGGCATGTTCACATACCTTATCAAGAATTTTTCAGTTGATACCAATGCATAAATGGCTCCATCATATGCTGTGAAAAAAAAAAGAAGACAGAACAATTCTTTGACTGACTATTGCATACAGTAATTAATAGCACTCTTGTAGAATTGTTTCATTATTTCTTGCAAAGCACCTTCTGCAAAAACAAGCACGGATGGCGTCAATTCCTGCATTTTCCATTGTTGTGGATTTTTCCATTTTGCATCAGGACACGAGGCCTATTGTGGTCACTTACAGTCCAATGAGGGCCACAGAGGAGCATTAGTGCCCTCACTGCCAGTCAATATACATATATTTCCCTCTGGACCCACCTTTGAAGGAGACAAGCGGTTTCCAGGTTTCCTTGTTCGCCTCTGCACTCAATGAGGCTGTGATACTGCACACAAAAAATTCAAGAAAACTTTGAATGAAGGAGCTCAACACATAACTTTAAGTTCTTATTTCAGAGTTGTATTGAGTCAAACACAGGTGAATTACAAGTCTGATAAATAGTTACAGTCTGACTGGTCGGGATTTAGGCCAAATAAGGCCTTTTTGAAAAAAAGGAAGGAGGAGGCCCTTTTGTTTTTGGCCGCCCGACCCGGCTATTTTTCAAGATGGCTGCCAGTGGTTTTTTTAAATGGTCGCCACTTGGACTCAGGAAATGGCATACCAGCTTTATGGCAAGATGCAACAGACAAAGAGGCCAAAATGATGTCACTGTTAAAAATTTATCATTTTGGGGATTTCTAAAAAAAAAAGATTAAAAAAAAGGAGAGGGCCTCCAAAAAGGAAGCGGGCAAGGACGCTAAACATGTTTTGTTTTTTTATTTAGCATAATCAATACACACTTTTTTAAATCATTGGGTCAATTCAAAATCAAAAGCTCAAAAGTGCACGACCCAGGACTTGATTAATGATTTAATCAATAATGCAAAGGCTCGATTTGTGATGAGTGACAATGCTGCATACCTGAAGACTGCGATGGTTCCGTAGTTGTTGCCAGCCACAAGGTACTTGCCGTTAGGGGAAATGCACTGGGCATATACTGTCATGTGCATCTGCTGGCGCTGCCGACGGATCTCTTCCTACAAATTTTGTATAAATGGAAATAATCCTCGGTAAATTTGTTTTATTAAAGTAATAATTGTGCCTAATTAAAAATAAAATAGGTAGGGCCTAGTATAAATTAAACATTTCAAGTCAATCCACAGAGTTTGTATACATACAGCAACTAGTATGAGTACTGAGCTCCCTTCAAAACCCCAAATTCATGCTAATAATAATACTATAACTTTTATAAGTTCACTGTAGTGACCAAAAAAAAGCAAACTTTGTAATACTGTAACTGGTCAAGGCAAAAATACTGCATGTCCTAAATCAGTGTTAACTGAAAATAAGAAATATTAAGAAGTGAAAGAAATATGCATATAAAATGAATTGTTTTATTATAGTGTTAATATAAACGAACCTCTAGACTTAAAGCCATTTCGAAAAACTGAAACCACAATGAAAAACAGCAGCTTTCTTGCAGCGGATCGCAGACATGTAGCATGTGCAGTGCAGACGACAAGAAGTTATTGCGCCCTCTATTGACTACTTGTCATCACATTTTTGCCTGGTACCCGGTGTGAATTTCTTTTCCCCGTGTCCACGTACATACGTCAACGCGAACGCAGAGTACCATCGAATAGCAAGTGACGCCATTTTTCAAGAATAAAGGGCTTCCGTCACGTCTAAATCAGCTCGGAAATTCCCGTTTTGGAACTGAATTCTTGCTCACGTGCATCAGCTGATGTGAGAGGGGATTATCAAGTTCCACTGGGTACGAGTCTGAGTCGTAATCCATCTTAAAACAAACCGAAAAACTTGAATTGCAATCAGGGTGGTTGTTTTGCCATGAATGAGTGAGGTCGTATTGCATTGGCCATGCATTGACAATGTGTTGGATGCGAGGATTTGCATTTGGCAGGAACAATTCAAATTTCGTAGTTTGGCATGGATAACAAAAGAAATACCCCAAATTGATTACATAATGTACATCCACAAATTCTAGGTTGTGCTTCCATTAAAGATAATCTTAAATTTGTTCAAATTTAAGCTTTCATTCAGCACTGTCATGACTGTTCAGAATTTCAGTTTCCACCTTTAAAAAGTTCCAAATTGACAAAGAATTGTGACTCGATTGAACTTACTTAGAGGCCTAGTTTAGTTATTTATCTTCAATGTATTTTAGAACATTCTTCTGTCATTGTCTGTGGTTACGTTACCATAGTGTCATTGTCCAGATAGTGAGATACAATTACAAATGTAGCGTTGGTTGATCTCATCCATTCAACCACCATGACCACTAGCTGGAGTTACCCAGCCCTGAGTTTTATCATTGCTTTGGGTTGTCTATAAGGGCTGGAGCGAATTTTTCTCGTAACTTGTAGTATTTGCAAAAAATTTTGGAAAATGTTCAATTTTGTCCCCGTTACACACTAATTGCAACTGCAACTCACCCCAAACTTGCCTGGAATAACCATTACACATGTCCTTGAAGTAAAAAACGATCCACGATGAAGATTCAGCCTACAATTGCAGTGAAAACAGGAGGAATAACCGCTAACTTGACAACCTTGCTGGATTGGCCAGGACCGCAATTGGTTTGTGCACAAAAAAAATTGTGTACAATGAATGGCGGTCGATTAACAGGCTAGGCACAGAGAGCGATCGCTGTCAACTACTCGTTTTTGCCGGCTGCGCTGGCTGTTGGCACATGACGTCACGCGGAAGCGTAACACCCGATGACTGTTTCATGCACTAATATAAGGTTTACCACTCGCATCACAGCTTTGGTACTGGAACCGCAACCAATAGTGCATAAAACAGTCATCGGGTGTTACGCTTCCGCGTGACGTCATGTGCCAACAGCCAGCGCAGCCGGCAAAAACGAGTAGTTGACAGCGATCGCTCTCTGTGCCTAGCCTGTTAATCGACCGCCATTCATTGTACACAATTTTTTTTGTGCACAAACCAATTGCGGTCCTGGCCAATCCAGCAAGGTTGTCAAGTTAGCGGTTATTCCTCCTGTTTTCACTGCAATTGTAGGCTGAATCTTCATCGTGGATCGTTTTTTACTTCAAGGACATGTGTAATGGTTATTCCAGGCAAGTTTGGGGTGAGTTGCAGTTGCAATTAGTGTGTAACGGGGACAAAATTGAACATTTTCCAAAATTTTTTGCAAATACTACAAGTTACGAGAAAAATTCGCTCCAGCCCTTATAGACAACCCAATGATAAAACTCAGGGCTGGGTAACTCCAGCTACATGACCACAACATTTTTTTAATTTAAGTACATAATTATGTGTGTAAGGGATTGTAGGCCCTACTGAATTCTGTGCTTTAATTTAAATCTTACTTTTCAAGGGCAAAGCTGAGAATTACTTGACATCCCTATACGAGTACCAGCCATGGCAGACTTCTTTGACAGCGAAGCAGAGGTGTCCGACGATGAAGACATCAAGCTGAGCAGTGATGAGGAGGATGAAGAGGAAGGCGAAGGTGAGCACATCAAAGATGGAACGAAGGAGCAAAATAATGTTTCGCCCAAACTATATCAATGAACCGAAATATAGTTGGGATAGTCCCAACTATAGTTGGGAGATGGTATATGATTGGGGGTGACATTATCATGCAAATCCAACTTGAGCCTTTTTGAGACATATTATGGTGGACAGAATAGGAAGGCAGTACTTGGTAAATACCAAAAAGTTACCCACTTAAAATACGTCTTCCCATTGTGTCCTCTATATCTTAAAAGTGGTCGTGCTATTTAGCGTCAACAAAAGTGTCAACAAGCATCAACAGACACAATCAGCATCATCAAAGTGTGAACAAGCTCAAAATGCACTTTTAAGCATTATGAAAATGATCTTAGAAGCCCATTGAATATTATGAACATAACATTTAAGCCAAAAAGTCCTTTAACAACTTTTGATGTTTTGTCGACGCTTGTTGACGCTTAATAGTACGACCCCTTAAAAGGGCTAGTTAAATAATTGAAGGGGAAATAGTGAAAATCACTGGTTTCAAGGTGTTGGGTACTGAGGAACCAGTATTCGCACTACTTCCGTGAAATTAACCTTCTGTTTTTCAGTTCTAGTGGGGCAGTGGATCGCAACCAATTTAGTGGTGTCAAATTACGCTGTTCTTTTCAGGATTAAGCCTAATTCAAAGTTGTGAAATCCTCTTGATATAAGCATGGACTCTGTTCATGAACAGTAGAGTGCTCTTTTTGACGACTTTTGAAACACCACTTGGAGAGGAACACTGCACGTGTGTATGCTTGTGCACGCATATGCCACAATACACACTCTTGTTTTACTATACTCCCAAGGACAATGCTTCGTGTTTTCCTTAGTCCCTGTAATGTAACACACTCCCATAGACTAAGCTCACAAACCTACCACAGAGGATTGTTTTGAAGAAAAGACCCGACTCCCGAGGACTGAAAGGATCTGTTGTTCTTCCTTTGTGTGTCTGTCCTCGGGGATTATGTAGAACAAATACATACGCACAATTCTAAGGCAAAACAAAAAATAGATCTGCTTCCGATTACATGGCATTTGAAAATAGGGTAGGTGGGTAGGGAAATAGTTTTTTTTTTTTAGGGGGAGGGGGAGGGGGGTAATTATATTTTTTGTTTATGATCCTATGGAGGTGTCTGCGTGTAGCCAAGGGTAATTGGCAGTAATTGATGGTTTTAAGGTTTTTTCCTCATTTTACCCCCCCCCCAAAATTAGGGTAGAGGCTGTCAAAATAGGGTAGGTAGGGTAACCGGAAGCAGAACTATTTTTGTTTTGGCCAAAATTGTTCAAAATATGCACAAACCTGTGGCTTCTTTGCGTGAGCGTCGGGTTTCATCAGCAGTACGTGTGAATGTCCCTCTGAGTGGTCCCTTCCAACTGTTGAGGGGTTACTAGTGCACAAAGTCTATCTTTAAGTGTTACAAGAAACTGCCGGAGAAAAATTAATACTGCCTTTTAGCAAATGATAATTGTACCAAATTTGTCCCGTTTCCGTGAAAACAAAAGGTGAGAATGAGAATCTGGACGACCTGATCAATGACGAGGATGAAGAGGAGGACCAGCGTGGGTCAGACTCGGAGGGAGAGATCGGCAAGAAGAAGAAACGCAAACGCAGAGGTCAGAAATTCACACATCAAATTGTGTTTATGATTACTGTGTTTCCTACTTACACATTGTGTATTGATGTAACTTTATGTCCATACAGACAAACGTAGAAACAGGTTTGAAGGTGGATACCCATGCTCTTCAAAAATGGATGTTTTTTTCTTGTAATGGGTGTGTTTTGTTTAAACAAACAAAAACAATTATTCCAATTTTCGGTGTTGCAGACAGCATTTTGCGCACAAATGCGTCGCTCTGCAAGAGCAGAATTATTGTCTGGCAGCCAAGAATTTTGAAGTGAATAACTTTTTTTTACTATACTAAGAAAGCAACAGTTGAAAAAAAACACCTGTTTTTGGTTAAAGATATAGTCCATCATTTGTAATTTGTGCATTTTGTTCGTTTGAAGCAACAAAAGTGCTCAAAATCTAAAGAAAGGTACTAAACAACTAACCTGATGAAGTTTCAGCTCAGCTTCAGCTGTATATTCCGAGAAAAACAGCATTCTAGGATCTTAATTTCAAATCAAAAGTTGCTGAATCATGTTTTGAATTGCGCCTGAATTCAGCGTCCGAGACACGTTCTCGCTGAGCCGATTGCAGCTACGCGATGTCGTGCACTGATCCGACGAATTATAGCAACCGGGGGTGCGTGTGCGTCGTGCCAATGCTTGCGCGTGCTTCGCCGAATAACAAAACGAACTACTAATTTAAATTTTCCTACGGTGCGTCTTAAGACGCACCGTTGGAAAGGCCTTCTTTCGTTGATTACTTCAAAATGACAGCTTGCCAGAGAGAATAATTTCACAGGGAGTTTAGTCCCCTTACTATCTTTCAACTAAGTATGCTTTTCAACAATAATTACGCCAGTTACTTTTCGGATAGCTGCAAATGATGGACTATAGCTTTAAGTGAAACTCAAAAATAGCGCTGGGAACGCATCTTATAGGCTGTGATAATCAAACTCCTAAACGTAACACTTTCAGTAAATTGGTAGAAAGTTCACATTGTGTTTCATTCAACTTTTTCATTCTTCAAATGGAATCAATGAAAAGGAAGTTTCCTGAATTTGATCAGACATTCAACTTTGGGTTGTTGTTCCTCCTCAGAAATTGATGACAGACTTGAAGATGATGATTATGAGCTGATTGAAGAGAACACAGGATTCAAGGTGGACAGGGTAAGTACTGTGACCTTTGAACTTAGAAACAACCCAATTTTGGCCACGTCTTTGCTACGGCTAGCTTTAACACACCCACCTATGTGGCAAGTGGCTTCAGACGCTTCCATAGTCCCGCGTGTAAATGCAAGCCATAAAGCCAAGTAATTTTGGATTCGGCTTTTGAGTCATTCTGTCTAGAGTTCTGAATTCCGGATTAGTTTGAGTGTGGAAAATGTCCCTTCCATAGAGGATATTGTGGTGATCAGTTTGACAGAATGTCATCTTCTCTTGCAGAAAAAGTTCCGTCGTTTGAGGCAGATCTCGGATGAGGAGGACAGCGAGGATGAGGAAGGGATCTCTGGGCCGCAGGCGGAGGCCACCCAACGAGACGCCATCGCCAAGGAGATCTTCCAAGACGACATCGAAGGAGAAGATGACGAACCAGTGAGTCACCAAGATTTCTCAGTTGCCTGGAACACAGAGTGTTTCAAATTTGATTTAATTTCTCATTGAAAAAAATGCCATAATAATGAGAACATTGTGGCATTCCTTTTACGACACATTCAGTGAGCACTACATTTGATCACAAACATCTGGCAGGACTTTTTAAAAATTATCATCTTTCTATGCTTTTGTCGCACATTTACAGCCGGAAGAAGGAGAGATCCGTGAACCAGCTCCTGAACATGACCAGTATGCTGAGATTGAGTCAGATGAAGAAGAGTCAGGTAAGAATATGTTACTGTGTTCTGGTATTTCCTAAAGAAAAATTTATGGACAAGAAATTCCCTTAACGAGCACAGTGCCACACATACATTACAGGATTTTTCCTGATTTCAGGATTGTTAAGGAATACCTTTTGAAATCAGGAATTCCTGAGGTTTTACCATAAAGGTGTTTTTTTAATCTATTGAAGTTTATATAGAACAAAAGAAATGGGTGTTATAAAGGGAATGTACAACATTTGCTTTTGCTGCAATTTTCAGAAATAAATGGATTTGGAAGAATGGTATGTTATAGCAAATGTGACCCGCTCTGCAAAAATGAGTCACATGTCTCCAAAGCCACTTTTGAGCTAAAGGTCTTTGAAAGAATGTTGCACAGTGTTTAAGCAATTGGAATCCTCAACAGTTTGGTTTGATGAAAATGGACATTGTGTAGAATTTAAAATGTTGAGGGTTCTAATTGCTTAAACACTGTGCAACATTCTTTCAAATACCTTTAGCTCAAACGTGGCTTGGGAGACATGTGACTCATTTTTGCAGAGCGGGTCACAAATATTGTAAAACTGACTTGTTTCACGTTTTGGGCTGGTAGATGCTGGAAAAACCAAGAAAACCAATCACATTCTCGTAGTCTGGCTCCCTGACCCCACTTCAGATGAAACGGTGCAGTTTATAGACTTTGGGGAATTGTAAGGTCAGCGAATCAGTCTAGCAGGCTTGTACCCCTTCACAGGTGTGTAATCAATTTCAAAGAAAGTGCGGGATAACTAAATATGAAAATTAAGGAGCAATTTTTGAAAAAGTCAGTTTTTTCCAATGTTGGTCGACTGACCAGGGTTGGAAAAATACCATTTTTCGTGAAAATGTGAGCACACCAGGAGCCACAACTTTACAGGATGCTTTAGACTGTCATTCCCTAACAATCCAGTGAGGTATTTCGTGATAATTTGATCATTTCGTTTTTTGATGTTTGCAAATGTTGTATCTTGCAAATGTTGTATCTTGCAAATGTTGTATTGTCCCTTTAAGGTGTGATTTTTGGCCAATACCAACGTATACCACAGACCCTTCGTTGCCCTGGGGACCTCTCAGTGACCCTTTACCACTTGATGTCGGGATTATGTTTGGCCAAAAAACAATTTTTTTCAGAACGACAAAATATATCGATCAAATTTTAAAATCAAGTCAAACACAAATATTGACTCTTTAGAGTCATTTGTACAATATTTGTATGATACTTCTCATCACAACTTCGTATTTGGCAACACTCCGAGGCCCAGCCACGGAGTCAAATTTGCTATGATGACATGCCCATGTGCGCCGGGCAAGTTCAAGTTCAACACACAGGGTGTACAAAACCAATGGGAACCACTGACGTGTACACACGTCCATCGCCACAGACTGGGTGAAAGCTTGACAATTTAACCTGTCACCCGCCCCTGCAAATGTACATATTTTTTTATTTTCCCCAAATTTCACCACTGAATGCTGTGATATGCACTATAAAATTAATGAGCTATTCAGTTGTATGTAGTCTTTTCCAGTACTGAATGAATAAGAGTTGCAAAGGCTGTTCTGGCACAGAGAAAATAAATGGGAACTGCCACTGTTTTCATCAACATAATATTCAAAGGTCATTGGGATGACAGTAGCCAGTATATTTTCATTGTCTACCAGTGTGTGCAGTCAGAATACTGCAGAAAATATCAAGTATTGTGTTTTATGGGTGAAATCAATGTCAGTGTTTTGAAGATGTGCTTGATATTTCAACCTGTATATATTAGTGTGTTGGAATATTCAGTCTCTTATGAATATATCAATGTACCACATTGGACTTCTAACGATGTCAGTTTTTAATTTACGTCAAATCATTTTGAATTTTAGAATTACACATACTGCAAGATTTGCCATTTTTTTCCATTTAAACTACCAGATCCAGATGATTTTATCGTGGATGATGAAGGCCAACCCATTGCCAGAAGGAAGAAGAAAGGTCACAAAAGTCACAGATACACCGACTCGTAAGTAGACTTCCACCTCCACCCCCACACCCCCCCCCCCCCCCCGCCCCAAACAAGACAGGGTTAGCTCTGCAGAAAGATTAATAATTGGAAAACTGAGTATGTCCCAACATTAAGATTTCTTCAGTTGACTTGTTATCATTCATATCTTTCTTTTTTTGGCCAGAGCCTTACAAGAAGCCCAAGACATCTTTGGTCTGGACTTTGACTTTGAAGAGTTCAATCAGTATGGTGAGGATTACGAGGAAGCGTTGGAGGAAGATTCAGAGGTACGTCTATCTTCCAAAAAAGAACTTTTTATTATAATTTATAATATTTGGAAAACAAGTGTTCTTGTGTCAAGACAAATCGTCTTATGTAAACTCCCCCTGCAAATATTCTTTCAGAAATAAATGTGTTACAAAAACAGATATCGAGAAAAATATGCTTACAATTTTTTTACGACAGGGTTTAAAAGTGCCAAAGTGAGGTATTTGCTGACATCACACTAATTAGCTTTAGGCATGATGGAATTTCAAACCATCAGATATTGAGTTTTAAAAACTCACATTTTAATGGTTTTTATTAGAATTTTTTTTTTTTTGAAGATCCTGACGAGCACCAATGATAGAAATCTGGCAACTGAAGTCAACCCTTGTCAAAATTTGTACATTTGCCTCGACCTTTGACTTGGACTATATTACTGTTTTAGCATTGGGCTGCAGGATGATTGGTTTTATCTGATATTTCCACTTGTCATTGGTCAAGAAATCTAGCTTTCCTTGATTTCCACCCGGAGATGGTTCATCAGATTTGAAATGTAATCCAACCTTTTCTTTGTAGTATGAGGATGAAGAAGAGGATGTTGACCTGGGTGACGAAGGACCAAGAAGAGTCCGGAAAACTGGCAAGAAACGAACCTCCAAGAAGAGCATCTATGATGTAAGTTTATAGGCTGATTTTATCATCCGCATTGAATCACCCACTGTCATTTCGTGTCCGGTTTTGCAATTTGGTTGAGGTTACCAGATATTTGCAAAAAACACATCCCTAAGAAATGTTGACAAGCCAGAATTCAATTGGCTAGCCTAGCCAACTTCTGGAAGTTCAGTAGTCCATTGATTTAGTGGGTCATGACTTCTGCTTTAGCATGCAGCAGGCCCTGGGTTCGTGCTGTGTGAGTGGAAGCTTTTGGGTTTTTTTAGGCTGCCTGAAAGCACTGAGCGCACATTGCTAGAAATACCATTTTAAAAAGACCAAATTCTTGTTTATAACTGACAGGAACTCCACAACTCAGCTATCAGGGGTTTTGTTTATATAAACTACTGCAGCTTTTTAATACCTTGAGAGAGTATTTATAAGATGGAATTCGCGTGGGGATGATTTAATTCAATATTGGGTTTTGCCCTCCGACGTATTTTGAAAAAACACTGTATACTCGGTGTTGTCCCGAATGTGATTGTGAGAAAAAATCACTCGGGTGGGACTCGAACCCACGACCTGCTTACCACTCGACTGCCGGGTTTGACTGGCTGATTTGAATCTGATACAGCAGCGGGTACAGCTACCAAACTATTCATAAGATAGGATTTACGCCGGGGTGATGTAAATTTAATATTGGGCTTTGCCCTTCAATGACATAATTTTAAAAACACTGCATACTCAGTGTTGTGCTGAGTGATTGTGAGAAAGCATTCACAAACTACTTGGGTTGGACTCGAACCCACAACCTTCTACTTACTAGTCTGCTGGTTCCCTGTCTGGTGTTTACCCAATGCCAAACATACTAATCTCCTTGTTTCTCATCTTTTTTTTTTTACAGGTGTTTGAGCCAAGTGACTTGGAGAGGGGTCACTTTACCGACATCGACAATGAAATCCGGGCAACTGACATACCAGAGAGACTACAGGTAGACCATACATAAACCTAAGAGATATTCGTCGAATTTAATGGAATATTGATGGAGATATACAGTTCAATCTAATTGCTAATCATCTAATTCAATCATCTCTTTTAAAACTTTTTGGAGGGGTCTTAATGGATATTTACACCGCAATATATATTATAAGAACAGTAACGTTTCGAGTTTACCAATTCAAAAAACTTTCTTATTCAATAATTTTAATCATAAATATAGTCACTGAAAATAATTGGTTCAACTTCAATTTACACTTAACACTTCTCCAAAAACTTACTTTGCATGAGTGCATGCAGTTTAAAGTGAACTATGCCCCTTTTATTCCCAGCTTCGCCGGGTACCAGTCACCAAAGCAGACGACGCTGAACTTGATGAGGAAGCTGATTGGATCTACAGACAGGCCTTCCTGACGCCACCAGTCTCCAATCAGGTAGGGTTGTTTCCTTTAACTATCAACCTGGTTAAGTTCACCGTACATTTCACAAAACCCACATGACGTTGTACTTGCCTATTGTACTTGCTACTTTTGCTGCTATGTTTTCTTGAGAAATCACAGTTTAAATTGTCCACTTGTCCACAATGCAACTTCAGTTTACTAGCCTGCTGCAGTTTTTATTCTTGTTTTGTACAAGGTACATGTAGATTGTCAATTAGTAAGTTGTCTATTAAAGCAGTCATTTATTCAAAACGTTCTTGCAAAAACATTCAGAATGGAGACCCTCGAACATAGATTTTGAAACTTTTATTTCTAATGAAATTATAGTTTTAGCTTTAATATGGTTGAGTTCATATGCCCTGCTCTGTGTGAGTGTTTTGGAATTTAAGTGAATTTGGTAGCACTGTGGTTACCGGTTGTTGAAATCCAGCGTGGTTGAGGGGTCAACAGAACAGTTTTGAGGTTCTATTTTGGAGTGCTGTGGCCTCGTGGTCTGGAGCATTGAATTCGTGGTCTGCAGGTAATTCTGCAGGTTGTGGGTTTCGAGTCCAGCCTGGGGTTGTGGTGTGTGTGCCCTTGGGCAAGGCACTTTGTCACTCATTGCTTCTCCCCACCCAGGAGTAAATTGGGTACCTGTGAGGGAAGAGATGGTTATTGTGGTTGATTTTAGCTGCTTTGCGCCGAAATGGCAGCATCAAGCTGTATACTCCCCAGGGAGCTGAGATTGTCTTTGGACTGTTTCATTGGCCCAATGAGCAGGGTAATAATGATGTAGCGCCTTGAGCACCAATACTGGTGGATACGTGCACTTTATAAAATACACATTATTATTTTACCTTAAAACCTGCTTTATTTAAGAACAATGGAGTCTAATCTTGTCAGAATAGACACAGCTTATCTCATGTGGGACTTGTGTTTCGTTTCTTTCATTGTAGGAATACTCTGAGCAGGACAGTGGCTATGGTTCTGGCTATGAGAGGAAGCCGCCTCGCACCAAGAACCGAATCAGAGAGGCTCTGCATTTCATGCGCAATCAGCACTTCGAGGTAATCCTAAAACAAAAACTATATCGAAATTTTTGCTTCAAAATTCAGGAAATTATGAATTCATGAAAATAAGTTTTATAATAGTAAATTTGGAGTCATTGTCATTGTTCCAATGTCATTGTTCCAACAAAATTCTAGAAAACCGTTTTTGTGAGAGGAGTCGGGTTGGTGCAATGGTACATTCCTCACCTTGCACCGCTGTGATCAGGGTTCAATTCCTTCCCTGGTCCACATGTGGATTGGGTTTTCAGTCCCTACCCGATTCCGTGGCTTTTCCCTTGAGTATCCTTTTGTGTTTTCATCCCGCCCTAAAACTAAAGGTTTTGTCATTGTCTTCTCCTTTTCTAGGACTCTTCAGGCTTCTGAGTCACAAGTTACTTTAGCACTATTGAATCTTTGGTTTCTTGTACTAGAAAGAATTAAAACAAATTTGTTTAATCTTGAAGGGATTGGTTTCCCATGTGCAGCTCGCTATAATACTTCTGTTCTTGCATTTTACCACAGGTGCCATTCATCGCCTTCTACAGAAAGGAGTACGTGGAACCTGAGCTGAACTTCAATGATCTTTACAGAGTGTACCATTGGGATGAGAAGGTGAGATTGCAAGCGCAATCAGTTTTTTATTTTATAACCCAAACCAAACTGATTTCTAGTATGTTTAGAAAAGAAAAATTTTAGATTTTTTCCCCGAACTATAAAAAATCAAATGCTTGACATTTGGATTTACAACCAAAAAAGTTGTGACCGGTTCTAAAAATCCTTGCCAATGACACAAATATATAGGGGGAAAAATAGTTTTTGACTAACCTTTGTTGTCATACTAACCTCAGTTTCAAATTAGAGTACTAGCTTGTGCAATCTGTATACAGTCGAGTCTCGTTAATGCAAACTCGTTCGGACCTAGCCAAATTGTTTGTTATATCAGAATTTTGTATTAAGAGGAACATCAGTCCCATTCATTGTGCACATAAATGCACATTCGGGACTAAGGCTTTATGTTTGTTATAACCAGAATTTTGTATTAACAGAGTTTGTACTAACGAGATTTGACTGTAATTATCAATGCTTTCCTTAAAGTATAAGTTCAACTTGTGCAAAAAGTAGGTTTTTCAATATCTTTAACCTCTGAAACCAGTCGGGTTTCCCTGGACTCTGTCACACGCTCAAAACTGAAAGAGCTAGACACCACTTTGAATTTGTTTCTTTTATAGTGGTGTCAGCTGAAGAATCGCAAGGCTAACCTGAAGAAGCTGTTTGAGAAGATGCAGGCCTATCAGTTTGATCAGATGAGCACAGAGGAACTACTACCGGACTCAGTCAGACCACTGACAGAGACGGACCTGGACAGGTATGTCAGAGTTGCGGATTTGGAAATGCGGCCCTAAATCCAATTGCACGCAAATGACAAATTGCTCATCCCACATACACAGAGCACAAACAGCTGAAATCTTTCCTGCCGATTGCCAGTTTTATTTACAAGATTTTTCCAGTGCGTTTGTGTTTGTGTGTTACTACATGAAAACAGTGACGGACTGATGAGTAACTGCAATATATGAAGGAAGTCCAGTAAAAAATTGGCCTCTTCAAGGCAGTCCCTTGGGCACATACTCTATGGGCTCTGTTCGCCAACAAGAGAGGTCGCTTTTTTACCACTTTCCAGAGCCCTGTGGACGGGACACATCGCGTGCGTGTACTGGTTCATTAACCTGTAGCGCGAAGTGCACACAACTAATTTTATTTTGATTGTGCCCAAAGCCATGATGTCTTCGCCTGATGTCTTCGCCTGAGCATCAGGCGTCGTCACCAATGTGTTCGGATGTCTCTCCCAGTGGTCTCCCCTAACTCTCCCTTTCTTACTGTTGAGGGGCTACTAGTGTACAAAGCCCATTGTGAATCACTACTTTTTATAGTTATCGGGCTGTTTTGATTTTGTTGACGTGAAGTGTTCGTCATTTTTATGCAAAACTTCCTGGTCTTTTCCCAGACTGAACGACGTAGACTCCATGGACAAGCTGAAGGACGTCTACATGCACTTCCTGCTGTACTACGGCCGGGACATCCCCAAGATGCACAACGCCCTCAAGAAGTCCAAGAAGAAGACCGGGAGGACCAAGCTGGTCCGACGGCCGGCCAAGAAGATGGTCAAGGTCATGGTCCGGAGACCAAAGATGAAGAAACCCAAGGAGAACGAGGATGATGACAGTGATGATGACAAAGATTGGACCGAAGAGGATGCCAAAAAGGCAAGTGATGCCTCAGTTGTTTCTTTTAGTCAAGTTCATCACAATAATACGTGCAGATGTCCGAAATAGGAAAAAAAAGTTTTTTTTGTTTGCATTAAAATAAAACTCTCCTAGTTCAAATTCACTACGAGAAAAAAAGGTAATTTTTAAAGAGCATATCTTTTATGGGATGCCACTTTTGATTGTATCACACTAGGATGAGGAATCTGATTCTGAGGAGGAGGAGGTTGAGACCGAGGAGGAGGTAGACACTGAGGAAGAGGTTGAGGTAGAAGTCGACGAGGATGGCAATGAGCAGACAGAGGATGGGACCAGTCATCAGATCAAGCAGGCTACCAGGAAGTCTATGTATGCCATCTGTCAAGAGGCTGGACTCGGTAAGCAATTCTGGAATTTCAAGCTATCATGGAAGTCGTGGAAAAGTCCTGGAATTTTGTTATTTTACAAGGAGTCATGGATAGTTGATATTCCAGGGGGGGGGGGAAGTCAGAGTTGTAACGAGTCACTGATTTTTGTGACTCGGGTCGAGTCAAGTCATTTTAAAGAAGTGACTCGATGCGAGTCGAGTCATTAGGTGGATAAGGTCGAGTCGAGTCGAGTCACAGAGTGTAGTCGAGTCGACTATACAATAAATACGCAGAGAAAGTCATTTTTGGCTTTTTTAATGTTACATTCAGGCTACAATGTACTACATGTGGTGAGTGACACCACATTTGACTCCTAATGAAAATAAAAAGGGGGTGCCAGCTGATCGTTATTCAACTAATGGGGACACTGATCAAACACCGCATGTATGTACATTATTCGCGAACATTCTTACGTGACGTGTACAAAACCTGGCACCGGCGTAAATCATTGCAAATGTTGTACGCAAAGTTTTGCTTTTGTTTTTTGGGACTCGAGTCTTATTAGCCTTCCTCGAGTCGAGTCGAGTCATTCTGATGAGGGACTCGAGTCGAGTCAAGTCATTTGCTCGCACTGACTCGAGTCGAGTGAAGTCATTTGCCCTTAGGGACTCGAGTCGAGTCGAGTCACCAAAAAATTTCACTCGAGTCGGACTTGAGTCGAGTCATTGACTCGAGTCATTACAACTCTGGGAAAAGTCATGGATTCCTGTACAGCCCAAACGTGATGATGCCTAATATTTGGCTATGGCAGTCCTGAAGGTTGCATTGCCGTTTACTATGCTTCCTTTGTGTGCATGTATGCTTTATACTTGTTGCATGTTCAGTGCACCATTGCAATGCTTTTGGGGTGCTCAGTGGTCTTGTGTCAAAACTTGAAGGCTGAAAGGGAGTGGTGTCCCTTGCCTCAGTGTGATGACTGGCCAATGTATTGTAAATGGGCTCCTAAGATGCCAAGACAGCATAAGAACTGATCACGGAAAGCCTAATTTTGTCCTTTTTAAAACTACTTGGTCAACAAGACCAAATCAGGAACTTCGGCAATGCAGGAAGTCACTTGTTCCTGGTATTCTGGGAACGAAGTGTTGCTCACAGAAAATAAATTGCGTTTATTCTCTCCAGATGCCCTGGCCAAGAAGTTTGGTCTGACCCCGGAGCAGTTTGGTGAGAACCTACGGGATAACTACCAGCGCTACGACCCAGAGCAGCACCCAGTGGAGCCAGCTGAAACGGCTAAGGACTTCATCGGCAGGTAGGCGAACCGGTCAATCCCAAGAAAGATATCCTTAATTTGCTAAAGCAGGAACAGCAGATCGTGCTGTGTTGCTGCCAACATGTTTTTTTAACCATGGGCGACTTTTGTCGACTAGAAACTACCCCACTTTAGTCGACCAGGAAACCGCACACAGAATTCTCTTAGCACCGATTTGTTCACTGCTTTTCAGCAATCTGGCATATTGGTACGGTATGTATTGCCACCCATATACCAACTGAAGAGTGTTTTCGGACCATTCTAATGGTGAAGTTTATTCATAGTGTTACCAACGCTAAAAAAAAACAAGTTGGAGAAAAGTGCTTCAGAAGTATCCATGCACAATTTGAGGTATGTAGTGCCATTTGGTCATGCGGTGAAATGGCTTGCAGTTTGATAACTGGGACCAGATCAACAAACAGGAATAACTTTCTTATGTTTTCAAATATGGCCATGATTTTCACATCATAGAGTAAAGTTCAAGGAACAAACTTTACACACAACAACATTGATTTTAATCACTCCTTGGCAGTGAAAATCTGGTTTTCAACTTGTGGTCCACTTTCCACGCTTTAGTGATTTTCGCATGACTGAGCAAACAATTTGGTTCTGGGGAGAGCCAAGTCAAAACAATGGGGTATTTTGACCAGTCACAGTCATGATTAATGTGCAACATGTGTCTACAAAAGTCCAAAACTGTGATACAAAACTTTGTTTAATTTGAATTCTTTCTTGTAATGAAACCAAGGATTACTTGTAAACCATTATAAAGGTGCTACATAATGGTTCTCATATCTCTCATGTACTTCATTTACCTGTCTCTAATAATAGACATAATTTTCAGCGCCTTGAGTACCTAATTGTTGGTAGATACGTGCGCTATATAAGACTTCGGTATTATTATTATTATTACTCAGAAGTGCATAGGCATTGTAGCCAGGAAGCCTGTTGTGATCTAGAAGGAGAAATGTCCAGTTTTAGAGGTGGGAGGGAAAACCCTGAAAATCCAAGCCACACATGGCCCCGGGCAGGTTTTGAAGACAGACGGTGAGGGAAGTACGGCTGCACTGACCTGACTCCCAAAAAACGTTCTCCGTTCTTGTCATTTTCAGCAAGTTCCAGTCAGAGGAGTCTGTGATGAAGGCGGCATGCTACATGGTGGCCTTGCAACTAGCCCATGATCCCCTGGTGCGCCAGTGTGTCCGGCAGACCTATTACGAGAGAGCCAAGATCAGTATCCGCCCAACCAAGAAGGGAATGAAGGTATTGGACTTAAATTACCCCATGCCTTAATGTTTTGGGGGGTCTAAATTGGACATCTCAATCTTGTAATTACTTCATCCAAAATATTCTCAGTTGTTTTTTTCTCAGAAAAATTAAATTTAAAAGTAGCCTTAATCAGCCAAATCAGAAGTTACATACAGCTGCGCATGTGCACAAAACTCTTCTTGAGATAACAAATCCACTGGAAAAAAAGACAATTTGTTGCATTCACAAGAACATAATCATAAGAGGGCGCATGAAATTAAAGTTAGTGATTTTGTTTTGTAGTATTAAGTAACTTAATTCTGAAAATTTTGACTGCACCATATTTTACATTGTTTTTTTTTCATGATCAAACATGCCAATGTGAATGTAAAGCCAACTTTGACATCACAACACAATCGCGGCAAAATAGGCTGGAGTACAAATATGGTCTACTTAAAGTTTGCATCATAAAATCTTGCCAAATTTAGGTTCACATTTGCACCAAGTATTAACAAGTCTTTAAAACCAGAACTACAAATGTACTCCCTACTGTCGATTCTTTTTGCATTTGTTTTGCCATTTTTCTTTGAAGGAAATTGATGAGACCCACCCATCTTACGGATGTAAATACCTGAAGAACAAACCCGTCAAGGATCTGTTCGGCGATAAATACTTGAAACTCCTGCAAGCGGAGGACGAGAAACTCCTCAAGATCACCATGGATATCGACCTGGACAAAAGCAGGTACCCTTATCGCCCTTTGAATTGATAGAAGTCTTGGTCCAGACTGGATTTTGGATTTTGTTTTCCTGCTATAATGCAGCCAGTCCTGATCCCTGGCAAGCAGGCCTTGCATAGGCCCCTAGTTATTTCAGAGCACAGAGAAGAGGGATACAGCTTGTTATCATTACCGAAGTATTTGACCAATGAAATCAGAGCATGGGCTCATAAATATTCATGAGACTTTATCTTTGTAGTGACAGCAGCTACCAGAGCCAATCCTACTTTGAGGATATCAAGCAGCTGTACTACCGAGACGAGTTCAGCCACACCGTTCAGGAATGGAACAAGGAGCGCAGCGCCGCCATCGAGACAGCGCTCTACAAGATCCTATACCCTGAGATGGCTAAAGAGCTCAAGAGCAGGCTGGTGCAGGAGGCTAAGGAGGGCATCATCAAGGTCAGTGGAAGGTCAAATCAAATGCCTTATGGCTATGGCTTGTGAGCTGATGAAGGAGGCTAGGGCATCAAGGTCCATTGAAGGTCAAATTTAGAGCCTTATGGCTATGACTTGTGGGCTGGTGAAGCTGGTGGTTCATTTCACAAAACACATCATAAGTACAATGCGTTGTAGGTGTATTTATAGCACAACACGATGACTGTTGTATGTATTTTCATTCTACGCACATTAAATAGTCGTCTGATATTCAGCAAAGAGTCGTCGGATCTCTTCTCAAAAAGTTTTTAAAATGTAAAACAAAATGGCGGATGTATGATGCAGTTTTAAAGGAAAACAAGCTCATGGTGGACTGTTATCCACATCGAATTTTCAACTGCAATATTCCAGGCTAATTCATATTTATTTCAAAGGCATATTCCATTCACAACTTCACACACATTGTTTCGGTATAAAGTCTCCTTTTTAAAATTTTATGTCATAAAACTGGCTATGAAAAGACGCTTCTTATTTTGCAATAACCAAAAGACACGTCGTAACTTGTGACACATTTTGAAACGTTGTCAAGGAGCTTACGACGCATTCAACGCATTGTACGGTTTGTGAAATGGATCATTCAGCAGTGCCAATCGGGGCGTGTTGCGTGTTGCAGGTCCAGTTGCGACACAAAGCAGCACTTCGTGAAATTGGGTGCAGAACACATAATTGACTCTTTGCAATGAGTTCTATATTCATGCTCAGATACATGATTTTGTCTTGTTGCTTGTAACGTACTAGATGTGTTGTCGGAAGATGTTTGATTGGCTGAAGGTGATGCCATTCCAAGCTGACCAGCAGCTGGAGGAAGATGAGGATGATTATCTGGATGGTCAGGGTCACGTGGGGCTACGCGTCATGGGGCTGGCATTCACCAGTGAAATGTAAGACCTGTTGCTTTAAAATTTGGCAGAAAATCTGGCCAGTTTTTATATCACAGAAAACATGCTTGCTTGTATATGACATATTTGACTACTTAAACCTTTCGTGCCCATCATATCCAGAAATTGTCAAACTGTAATGCTCGTAGCAAGCACGACTCGCCAGCATTTCCAATCTGTTGTTGTTTATCAACACGTAAAATTTTAGACTAGAAATAATCTGTTCATTCAGATCGTTTAGAGCTTAAAGAATCTTCAAAAATAGTCACAGAGATTGACTAATTTCAGACATGCTTTGGCATGTAGCATTGTAGAATGAGAAAAACATTGTTGTTGCCAATTGCTTTTTTTTTTGACAAAGTACTGCCGAGTACCAAGCTATCGAGTACCACTCGCATCAGAGTAATTTGACCCTTAAAAAAGAGTACAGGTACCGGAGTCCAAGTACTTTGACGTACAGGTACAAGTTTTGTAAAGGCAAATCGGAGTGCTCGGACCTTCGAGAACATGTATAAGTACTTACACCTTCGAGTACGAGCCCTGGAATACTCCAGTGAAAACTATCAAAATCTTATGTATTGGGTGGAAACTGAAACCACCAATACAGCAACATGGATGTTATGGACTACTTTTGAGCAAGACTTCTTGAAAGCCAATTCTGCCACACTGCATAGTGAGGAGGAATTTTTCATTCAAAACATGAATTACTTGATTATCCCATGTGTCCTTTTAAACGAGTATGAGTACTTTGATGATGGAGTACGATATCGAATGGTCGAGTCCAAGTACTTTGCTTCTTGAGTACAAGGCCCGTGAATTTGAGTCCAAGTATTTTGATATTCGAGTGCGAGCACGAGTTTTCTTAAAAAGTACTGGAGTTGTACTCGAGTACAAGTACTGAGTACGAGTACTACAACACTGGAGAAAAATGGTCACCAAAGCGTACAGTGTTCATGTATAAACCCTAACTTTTGCACAACCTGAAATATCCATGATGAGAAAAACTTAAAGTAGAAATTTATGGATTTTGGAGGATTTTGGGACTAAGTAGATATTGAACAATCAGTTCATTAAAGTCGTCACCATATGCTTTTGCTAGGGACAATGCTGCATTCTGTGTCCTGATTGACGGGGATGGGGAAGTGGTAGACTTCTTAAGACTGCCCCACTTACTGCGCCGGACCAACAGCTACTACCAGCGGGACCGGGAGCTGAAGCAGGCTGACATGGAGGCGCTCAAAGAGTTCCTGTCCAGCAAGAAGCCGCACGTGGTAGCCGTAGCCTCAGAATCAAGGTAAGCCGTAGTCCTAGAAAAGAGGTGAGCCATAGCCTCAGAAACAAGTAAGCATAGATACAGAAATGAGGTTCGCCATAGTCTCAGATATACATATGTGATGCGATCAAGCTAAATGAGTCGTGTGTCAGAAACATTTATTTGGAGATACAGGCCAAAATACAAACTAGACATATGTTTGTGGACAAACGTAGGGCAGTTTCGGCATTATGATTTTTTATTATACGTCCCTGACTATGCGCATGCATGAACATAAAATCTGTCAAAGTTAGCCGAAAATCGGCTAAAACGGTCACTCTGATGTGGCCAGGATTTGACCCCGGCAACACGTGCTCTGCAGGCTGACTAACATACGATGTACATGTATGTGCGTAACGTACGTGTATGTACAAATAGACGTTCTGTGCATGTTTTAGAGCAGAGGTATTGTCAACCTGAAGTTTTAAGCGTGCGCAGGGCATGTCCGAGTTCGCTTATTGCCTCGAAGCTTTGAAATGTTTTAGACCTACCCTTAAATCGACAATTAAAGTAAAAACTAACATAAAAACTGCCATGGTTAATTTTTCAGGAATTTTCAAATGAAAAAGGGTCTTTTTATTATAAATTCCGGTCTGATGACGTCATTCGCCTAAAACTTCGCACACGTCTTAAGTGGGTCAAGGTCATCATATACACCAATATTTAGGCGATTCCAACAAACTTCGCTACAGACATCTATTCAAAATACATTTTTGCAAATTGTCAACCTGTCGCTAGAGGGCGCTCGAAGATTGCATGACGTCATTGGTAGATGATTTGAAGAATACTTTTAGCCAAGAGACTAACACCGTTGAAAGCAAGTTCATATCTATTACCATTTTCAAATAAATAGCCACTTCCGGTTTTGGCCTTTTTCGACCGGAAGCAAGAGTCACGTGATTTCACGCACACTAAATTAAATAAAGACATCAACCTACTCTACCACTTGCCGGTAACAGAATGCTGCGGACGCGTACGGTTGATTTCTTATGCATTTTTAAATATTGAAGGTGTCACAATTTAACCCTTACTCTCTGAGGGTAGTTTACTGCATGTCAGTTGGTTATGCCAATGCCCTCCAGCTGCAGTTATTTGGCAGATAACAAGTCTTAGCAGTGAAGGCTCCAATTGGCAGGAGTTGGAGGCCCTGGAGGGTGCCTGATACTGACCAGCTGGGGGCACTCACTTTGTTATCAGAGGACTCTCATTGTTCTCTGTGGCATGTATTGGAGTGCCTGTCCAGTTACCCTTGAAATGACATGGCAGATATTGGAGGGCCATGCAAAAAACATAGGAGATTTTCTTGAGGCACAATTGGCATGCGTTGGAGGGTCAAGTAGGGTAAGGGTTAATTGCCTATAAAAACACACCGGATGACGTCATCATGACGTCATCATTACACAATGTTGTTTGAATTAGGGTCTTTGCTTGGACAAATATTGGTGCAAATGAATTACTGGCAAAGAGTCAAAAATGCCCTTTGAAAATCGACAAATTTTTTTTTTATTTCTGTGTACAAAGTCTATGGGAAAAATTAAATATTCAAAATTCTATAATAAATTAGTCGATGACGTGACCATGACGTCAATCTTCGGCACACAACTTCAGATGCTGGTCTATGTGTGTGCCGAGTATAAAGTCAATCGGATTGATTTTAGTGCCCAAAGTGCCTTCCACTGTAAAAACGTGTACAAATGCTATGGGGAATGGCTGAAAAAGAAGAAGAAAAAAAAAAGAAGAAAAAAATAAAAATCTTAACGAAAACAAAGGCTGTTTCGGCAAAAGTGCCGAAACAGCCAAATAGGGCCACTTCATCAGAATCAATTTCCGATCTGCTAGATATTCCAGCAATATGTGATATTTTCACTTATTTTGGTGCAATTGATTTATTATTTAGGGTGACCCTGGGTGTGATCAAGGACGTCCAGCAGTGCGTATCAGACCTAGAAGCAGAGCAGCAGATTGCACCAATCAGCGTCCAGCTAGTGGACTCCAACGTGGCGCAGGTGTACTCTGCCACCAACATGGCTGAAGTAAAGAGAAGTTTCATTTGTTTATTAAGGTTTAAACTCTCAGGGCAAAGTGGCGAAGTCATGGTTTAGTAACAATTTATTTTAGAAAAGGTAGAGTAGATCATTTGCGCATTTGTTTCATTTGAAGCAGCAAAAATGCTCAAAATCTAAAGGCGGGTGCTTAAACTAATTTGATGAAGTTTTAGCTCTGTGAATGCTGTATATCTACTCTTGGTACCTTTGATTAAACCGTGCTGATTTCTCATGTCATTTTGTCATTCCTTCCTCAGAGTGAGTTCAGGAAGTACCCCCAGCTGTTACGTCAGGCCATCTCGGTAGCCCGCAGGCTGCAGGATCCCATGGTGGAACTGGCCAGACTCTGCAACTCAGACGAGGATCTCATGTGTCTCAAATTCCATCCCATGCAGGTAACGACTCCTGTGGTCCAAATAAAAAAAAATAGTTTCCACTTGCATGAAACTCTTGGTACACTTTACCGTACTTTCATAAATACCTGAGACAGTTTACCCATTCCTATTGGTCGAGATCCTGCACGTGGGTGGTTTTAAACTGCCAGTAAAACACCAGTCAGTGTTTAAACAGTGATGTTTAAAACCGGTCGCAAGCACCTGCGCTCTGTGCCACATGCGTGTAGTACGCACCGTGCGCTCTACCAGCTTGATAACTACTAATACGATCTCCATATATAGTGTGCTGCATGCATTATAGAAACGTCCCGGACACAACTTAAAAAGGTAGAATAAAACTCCTCCATATTGTGAGCCACACAGAAGTGATAGCTGATAAGAGCCCTAGCCTTCAGCTCGGGCCATTATTGGCGGCCAGGCCCCTAACCGGTTTTAAACCACACGTTTGTAACTGCTCCAGTACTCTGTTGGCCCCTTATCAAAATACATGTTCTCTGTACCTTCAGTGTTAATGAAAAGCTTTACTCGTAAAAGAAAAACAAGTGCAAAAATATTCTAGGGATAACCCACGGAATCAGGCAGGGACTAAAAACCCAATCCACATGTTGGCCCAGGCGGGATTCGAACCCGGGTCACAGCGGTGGAAGGAGAGGATAGTACCGTCACGCCAAATTGACTCCCCTTAAAATGTAAAAATCAAATCTCAAGGGATGCTTTCTTTTTTGCTATCATGCACACACCAATATCCTCACTTTCCCTGTCCCAGGACTCAGTGAGCAGGGAGGAGTTACAGGAAGCCTTGCATCAAGAGTTCATCTACAGGGTCAACGAGGTGGGCGTGGATATCAACAGGGCCATGGCTCATGCACACTCTCAAAGCTTGGTGCAGTTCATCTGTGGTCTGGGACCACGTAAAGGACACTCCATCTTAAGGGTAAGACAGGTCTTTTTGTTTTTTGTTACTTTTAGCGGAGATCGTATCTGTTTATTTGACATCCCAGACCAAAGTTCAGTGTCTGTGTTTCTGAGTTGAAATTGAAAGCTTAGACAAGTTTACACATTTCAACTTGATAAATTTTGAATTATCCATAAAGGAAAATCGTTGACTTATAGGCCTACGGGTTTCTTTAACAACCCATATAAACTTTATAAAATAACAAGATTCTGCCAAGAAAAAATTAGACTGTTTGATGAATGTTCATTCTGGCCGATTAATATGCAATGATGTTTAGAACTAACTGTGATGTGGCCCTGTAAACCTCTCAATAAATTGCATGAATTAACATACTACTTCTCAAAGTGTGAACATGTTTACTATTGCTTTCATATAAGTGTGCCTCTCACGGAAAAGGGTGCCTCTTCCTAAATAGGCCCTAATAAATCTGACAGGATTGGCGATCAAATCTGCAACTGATTAAATCTGCAACCGATCAAATTTGCAACCTCCGGGGACATATCTAACACTGATTTTTCAAGGTGATGTTATCCAGTTTGTAAGTGACTGCATCATACACGTACAATGTACATGCACCTGTAGTGCCAATTGACTAAAAAGGCCACTTTGTACTTATTCTGGTTCTAATGGTTCCAGTGCTACTCCATGTGTAGTGGGCATGGTTAAGGGTGAAATGATACACAGTTAAGAACCGGAATGGAAATTTGTTAATTCCATACGGTCAGTGATCACACCCAAAGTCAAGATTCTTAAGTTGATATAAGAGCTTGAAGCAAGTGCATATGAAGTATTCTGTTGTAATTTTTTGTTATCCTCAGACTTTGAAGCAGCAGAACCAGCGTCTAGAGAATCGCAATCAGCTGGTGACAGTCTGCAAGCTGGGCCCTAAGGTCTTCATCAACTGTGCAGGATTCATCCGGATTGACACAGCCTCTCTCGGAGACAGGTGAGACGGAAGTTTTAACCTGCCTCACCTAACGTTCCCCCCCCCCCCCCCCACCCCCGAGCCAAATGTTTCTTGTGCTTTCGCAATTTCTGGTTTGAAACTCATTGGTAGGTGAGGTTGTCTACTTGGTAAGCATTGTATTCAAACTATGATTCGAACCAGCCAACCGATCCCGTTAGCTCGGTGGTCGAGTGGTGAGATGTCTGCACTAGAAAGCAGGAGGTCGTGGGTTCGAGTCCCACCCGAGTGATTTTTTCCAATTTTCACTTGGGAGGTAAGTGTTTATACGTCGGTGCAGGGCAAAACCTAGTTTCTCAAACAGAAATGACCCCAATAAAAGACCATAATCTCTAACCGAATGTGTTCCTAAATGTACACCGCCACAGGTTCACTGCATTTCAAAGATTTTGTTAAGAGTTTTGAATCATCAAGCTAGCATTCCGATTCTGTTTCATCACACCAACAGCTCGGACTCATACATTGAGGTCCTGGACAGCACCCGTATCCACAACGAGACCTACGAGTGGGCTCGTAAGATGGCCGTGGATGCCTTGGAGTACGACGAATCGGCTGACGATGCCAACCCGGCCGAAGCGCTGGAAGAGATCCTGGATAATCCAGACAAGCTGAAGGATCTGGATCTGGATGCGTTCGCCGAGGAGCTGGAAAGACAGGTAGAGTGAAAAAAAAACGAGAATTCAAAAATCCTTGTTTTCTACGTGAAAGTTTTCTGTCTGTCAGCCAGACATGCCTATGGGCTCCGTGCACAAGTACCCCCTCAACGGTAAGAAAGGGAGAGTAAAGGGAAACCGCTTGGGAGTGACATTGTAAACCTTTGCTGACGGCGCTTGATGCTCATGCAGAGATGATGTGGCTTTGTGCACATTCAGAATGAAACAAGTCCTGCGTACTTCGCGATATATAACCGCGCACCAGTACTTGCACACTCGTTTGGACCTGTCCACAGCACTCTCGAAAGTGTTAAAAACACCAAGCGCCCTCTCTGTTGGTGCGCAGAGCCATACCCTGTCAAAAACATTCTTGTCAAAATACATTTTTAGGAAAGTCACCTTGTACAGAATTTTTTTTTCAACACTTTGCTTCAGCATTTGAAATTTAGCTTCTAGTATGGCTTTACTTCCAAGAACTGATCTGAGTCAATGCTGGAAAAAATTTCAGAAGTGCAGAAATTTGCTCTTCGATTATGCAAACTATCTGAAGTTGAAGTTTCAAATTTTGTGAATTTATTTATTTCCAGGGTTATGGCAATAAGAGTATCACCCTGTATGATATCCGAGCTGAGCTGAACAATCGCTACAAGGATCTGCGCACACCTTACCACCCAGCCTCCGCTGAAGAAACCTTCAGTATGCTGACTAAAGAGACACCAGACACCTTCTACAGAGGTATTAAAACTGCTTTCTTACTGGAAAAAATTTTTAAAATATCAGAAATCTTGTGGATGGTCAAAGGCATTGTCCATTGGCACGGATACTGTGCAAAACATATGACAAGAAACACAATAGAGGGGGTCACTTTGCTACTGTCACGTTAGCAGTTTTTCCAATGGTGATTTTTTGTTAAATACCTGAAACCACTGAAGAAGAATTTCAACAAATGAATGGACATGCAGCCTTTCACTAAAGATGATCTGAGTTATTAATTTATATTGCTTTTTGATATTATCCTCAAATTTCCTTCAAATAGTGTGCGGAAAACTTAAGTTACTTTTTCCTTCCATTTTTGATTAAAATTGGAGGGTGATTTTTGAAAATTAAAAAAGAAAGAAAGAAATGATTCAACACATATTACGTATGGCACCGTCAACTTCATCTCATTCCATTAATAGCGGTCTCCCCAAACGTGGTCATTATCACACAGTGAAGACCTGATCCTCACACTCTTATTCCCTTATTAAATGGCTGCAATAATAATTTTGATTCTGTGTTCAGACTAGCCTGAACCCCTGACAGCTAGTCTGAGGATGAGACATTCACGTGTGCAGCCACACTGCACTACGAACGTTACGCAAGAGCCGATAGGAGGCGCCCGCTGAATGGTCAGAATCTGGAGGTCAAGACACAGTCTTGTTTTGCACAAATTATCCCAGAATCTGCACGAATATCATAGATGATTGTCTTCAAGCAGCTATTCCGTGGCCTACTGACAGCAGGTACAGCTGTAAATCGATATTTTCTATGATTTTATGATTTTTGTTTTCGTGTTTCAGGTAAGATGGTCTTGTGCACAGTGACCGGTATCGCCCGGCGACGGCCTCAGAAGGACCAGCTAGACCAAGCTAACCCAGTCAGGAATGATGAGACAGGGCTGTGGCAGTGCCCATTCTGCCAGCAAGACAACTTCCCTGAACTCAGTGAGGTAAAGTCCCAAACACTTTTCCTTATCCGGTTTTTAAGTAAAAACGTCATACACGCCCGCGCACTACTGATTACTAGCGGCCATTGGATAAACGCTGGAGTTGCATTAACTTCCGGTTCCATTCATGCTATGCTACACCGTGTGAAGTACGCATGGTTGAATTGAGATGACATCACACTAATGAATTGGATACAACTAACTGCATCACGTCGGGTGTTCTTGTAAAAGGGTACTTGTGGGGTACTCACACAAAGGGAACAACGACTCCCCACAAATCAGTATTTGTTTGACTATATTCCACAAAGGAGATTCAAAAAGAAGAGGAATATGACAAAAGAAAACACAAAACCCAAATGTGTGAGGCATTCTAGCAAAAAAAAGAGCTGGGCACAGGCTGTAGTGGAAAAAAAAAAAAATTTTTAAATGAATGGGGTGAATTTTTCCCTTCTGATTTTTAGATTTATTGATATTTGTAAACTTTGATGTCTACTTTACATCTTTTAAAGAACTAGTATAAAATCATTGAATAAAAGTGTTTTTAAGGGAAAAGAATTGGCATCTTTCATTTTCTCGACTACAAATGCCTTTTCCTCTGTATTTTACATGTCAGTATTTTACATGTCGATTATTTTACGCTTTTGACATGTCGATAAGTTTGAACTTTAAACAGCCATAATTTGTTAGCTGAATGTCCAATTGAAGTAGAACAAATACTATTGTTAAAAAATGTATTCTCTTATCTAATACCCACAAACTCTCATTTCAACCTCGGCTCAGTTCTGTCTGATTCTGCCCGAACGCCTCACATTTCAGGTTGCTTGCATTCATGTGAGTTACTTTATTTATAAACATGAGCACCCTTTGAGTAAGAAAATTTCAAGAATGCAATACTCTGCTCAGGGAAGTACATTCCAACACCTATAAACCCATAATGTGGGCATGGACCAGCTCCAAGTCACAATGCTAGCAACATTAGCAAATGCTGCAAACATGGGTAATGACATTTGGGATCCCTCAGACAGGACAGAGCTTCTAATCAATGTCAGTAAATAAACCACAGAGGAAAACCAACTAATGTCATTGTGTGTGACTTCTGACTTACACCCCTTTTTACCTTAACTTATTCAGAAACTTCCAACATGGGGCTTGATATCTCAATAGGTAGAACACTGGTACGGTGATCCAAAGGTTCTAGGTTCCACTCCAGTCAGTTTCTTAGTTTTTGCCATGCTTGCTTATGTAGTAGCCCTGTAAGAGAATTGTCTAGAGAGCAATTTCAAACAAACTAATGTGACAATTAACAAGAAGATAATCAATCTCAAATGCACAACTTTTTCTTCCTTAAAGGTGTGGAGCCATTTTGACGGTGGTGACTGCCCTGGGCGATCCGTGGGTGTCCGAACCCGCCTAGATAACGGCATCGCTGGATTCATCCCTACCAAGATGATCAGCGACAAGCAAGTCAATAGCCCAGAGGAGAGGGTCAAGGTAAGGAGCAAGGCTTGGTAGTTGCCATTCATGACTTGTGATCGGATGGTCTAGGGTTCATATCCTCACTCAGATCAGGGTTCAAGTCCTACTAAGGTGATCAGTGTCAAGCCTGTCAATAGCACCGAGGAGAGTGTCGAGGTGAAGAGCAAGTTCTAGTTGTTACTGTTCATGACTTGTGATTGGATGGTCTGAAGTTCAAATCCCCACCAAGATGATTAGTTGATGATACTTTTATCTCCTAGCTTTATTATGGCACAGTAGATCTTCACTATAGCGAACACAAAAGATAGTTTGGTAATTCTTTAGTGATTTTATGCCACCAATGCTCAGTAATTGCCAAAGGGGATATTTGTTAAATTGCCAAATCTTTCGTTTAACAGTATTCAGAAAAGCAGCTTTCTGTTGTTATTTCAATAAAGTACCTGCATCTTAGGAAATTTGTGTATGCTTTTTCATTGCCTTCAAATATTTCCTTCAGGACAAAAGGTTAAAGTGGTAACACCCTGTCACATCAGCAACTTGTCCTTTCGTAGTTTCTTTTCACTGAAAGGTTAGCAAGACATAACATTATCTCATAAACTATTTTTCTGAAACATGTCCTTTCCCAAATAGGTTGGCATGACATTACACTGTCGCATCACCAAGATCGAGATCGAGCACTTCCGCGTGGACCTGACCAGCCGTAGCTCGGACCTCCAAGATAAGAGCGGAGAATTTGCCCCGCCGCGGGACACGTTCTTTGATCACACTCTGTATGAGAAGGACCAACGCAAGGATGAAGAGAGCAAGAAGAAGGTAGCTCAAGGTAAGTTTTTGGACGGATATTTGTAGCTTTTTCTTTTTAGTTCATTTTTTTATTATTATAAATTTGTCAACCAGTTAGTCCCTGTACTGCCCCAATTTGCCTGCCTGCCTGTTACTCCCTGTACTGCCCTAAACTGCCACAACATGGTATTGTTTTATGGATCAGGGAATAAACACACTGTAATGCAGTGATTTCACTCAAAAGCAGCATAATTTGTGCCATATTTTGTTGGGTAGCGGAGCAAAACTTGGTGAGCAAATTCTCGCCCTTCCACAGTAAAACTGTGAGCTTGGACATTTTAACAGGTAGCCAATTTTTAGTTAGACTGGGCTATGAGCATTCGCAAAGTCATGTGTTCAGTAAGAATTCAAGATTTGCCCAAGTGCGTTTTCTGTATGGTGCTTAAATCATCTAAGGTCTTTGCAGTATTCTTTTTTGTTTTTCTTTATAAGAACATTCTTAAATTGCGAGTCCTGCAAATGTACAGAAGCATTCCATCTTCACTTTGTGCTACCAAGGTTAAAACAAGAAGTGGTCTAAATATTAACCTTCTCAGATTAAAACAGTAGCTGTCATGCTATCTCAAATCCAATTCAGAAACCTTTTTCGCTTGATGTTCACTAAGCGGGAATCTTTAAACCTCTAGCAGGCTTTTTTTGTGAAAATTTGAGTAAAATGAAACAAATGAGAAAGATACACACATATCAGGCACCTTGGTTTACAAAAAGCTGAACCTATGATGACATATCTCAAGTGTTAAGCAATTTGTGTGAGAAAAGAATCATATTGGTGAAAGAAGTTGACAGGATTGTGTCCGTCAATTCAAAAAAAACTTTTTCTATTTTCTTGAAGCATACACGAAGCGAGTTATTGTCCACCCCTCCTTCCACAACATCACCTTCAAGGACGCAGAGAAGCTTCTGGTCAACATGGATCTGGGAGAAGTGGTGATCAGACCCAGCAGCAAGGTACGCTCTAAATGATGGGACTTTACAGGACATACTGAGTTGTAATGACTATTACAAGACCAAGTAAAACAAAAAATAGGATTTCTCGTCTGTGCTTTTGGAAAAAAAATGAAGGAGGTGGGCACTTTTTATTTTCTTTTTTTCCAAAGATTGTGGATTTTCCAAGATGGTGGATTGGTTCTTCCATTTTCTTGACTTTTTTGCTGATACAAAATTGTGTCCGAAGGAGCCGTAACCCTTTCAACATAGCTACAAGGTTGTTTGAAAAAAAAAAAAAAAAATATATTGCAGACTATGAATTAAATCAAAATTGTATGCCATGTCTTACCGCGGAGCACAGCCGGATCAAAAGTTTTAAAACTATTTTGCCATATAGATGTTGTTTTTTTTTCATAATGTGTTATACCATAATTTGGTTGGCTCATTTTGGAATAGCTGTAAAATCTGGTAATCATTTTAGATTGCCTTCTTTTAATACCTTGTGTAGGGTTCAGATCACCTGACAACCACATGGAAGGTGGATGAGGGAATCTATGCCCACATTGACGTCAGAGAAGAAGGCAAGGAGAACGCCTTCAGTCTTGGCACGTCACTCTGGATAGGAAGCGAGGTAAGGTCATGAAAACTCATTCCCAAAAAACACAGATTCCCCAAATATCTTCTCTTTTTTTTTCCCTTTTCCTTTTTGTGTCCCTTGTGAACTTTGACGAGTAGAGTATTTGTTGAGGTAGTTGTCTGCTCATTCCAGAGCTTAAGTTGAGTCCTCACAAGTCGTCACAAATTCATTATTAGTTATCTTGTTGCACATCACTAGACAAGCTATCGAAACGAACTGTGATCAGGGCATTTTTTGTCATTGTTCATCCCCTGTTATGTGTGACCTAGCTTGAGATGGGATTTGTGGTAGATTTGACTAGTACAACTCTGACTTGTTCGTAGCAAAGAAATTCCAGTATGTGGCATATTTCAAGTCCTGTTTTGGTGTTTTACATCTTTGAGAAATTGACGGAAAGTAAAATCGGAGGTTTTGTATGTGAAAATCTAACACCAAGGAATGTTGTTTAACACCAAGGAATGTTGTTGGTTCATAATGTGGACTTTTTCTTGTATGATAGACAATGTCGTGGAAATTATATACAAGCCTGCGCCTATATCGGCAATAATGCAAATATTTATGCACTTTAACCCTTACTCTCTGAGGGTAGTTTACTGCATGTCAGTTGGTTATGCCAATGCCCTCCAGCTGCAGTTTATTGGAGGATACTTCTATGTAGCAGTGAAGGCTCCAATTGGCAGGAGTTGGAGGCCCTGGAGGGTGCCTGATACTGACCAGCTGGGGGCACTCACTTTGTTATCAGAGGACTCTCATTGTTCTCTGTGGCATGTATTGGAATGCCTGTCCAGTTACCCTTGAAATGACATGGCAGATATTGGAGGGCCATGCAAAAAACATAGGAGATTTTCTTGAGGCACATATTGGCATGCATTGGAGGGTCAAGTAGGGTAAGGGTTAAAGGGTTATGTTGCCATTACTCAGTTGCATTTCCTCTTACACAAAGTTGCTTTGGGTCTCTGTGCATTAAGCTGAAAATTGCGTTGCGCACTCTGCGCTAGTCATACTCTCAAATAAGTTTTGCATACCCATTGAGTTCTTCCTTGGCCCTATGGGCTCCGTGCGCCAACAAAAGAGGGCGCGTTTTTACCTCTGTTGAGAGCTCCGTGGACGGGACACACAGCGTGCGTTGATGGGGTACTTGTGCACACAGCCCATAGTTCCTGCAAGAACTTCATGTGCATCTTTAATCTTGTTAATTTCTAAAGGAGTTTGAAGACTTGGACGAAATCATCGCCCGCCACGTCCAGCCCATGGCGGCCTACGTGAGGGACACCATGCAGCATAAGTACTACCGGGACACCGAGGGCGGCAAACGCGACGCCATGGAGAAGGTGATTAGTGCAGAGAAACGCAAGCAGCCCTCACGCATCCCCTACTTCATGAGCTTCTCAAAGGTAAGCCCCGTCGGTAAAAGAAAAGATGTCTCTCAAAAAAAAACAGCAACATGAAAAATTAAACCTCCTGTTCTATGCTTTTTTGCACACCATGTTTTGCCGTCATTTTTGGCTTGTTTTACGTTCGTTCTTTTTCTTTTGTACATGTCATGATTAAACTTTTTTTAAAGGTAACATTTTCATGCCATTTTTGCGTATGATTTTGCAATTTTTGTACTTCATTAAAAGTTCTAAACCACTTATCCTGTTTAATCTCCTTCCCATACATATAAACATATTTTTCAAATGACTTTTTGTACATAATTTGTACATGGCATTTTTTAAAACTACTTTTTGCACTTAATACTTTTATCCCACTATTTTCATACATTCTACTGTAGATTTCCTTTTATTACAAGTTACTCTTTCACATGCTCTTAGTGACATCTTCAATGAGACCAAAGACAAGTTCTTTAAGAACTAAGCAGAACTGTTCTTATCAGAACTCAAAACTACATAAGTTGATAGTAAGTTGATAGTAAGCAGGACAAGTTCTTATCAGAACTAAACTTCCACTGAGCGACAGTAGTTATTACCACATGGTGTTACCGCAAACCGAAACGAAAATGACATATTCTGTTGGCCTTTTTTATATTTTACTTTCCCAGGAGTATCCCGGCAAGTTCTTATTGTCCTATCAGCCACGTAGCAAGGTCAGGCATGAGTACGTGACCATCACACCGGAAGGCTATCGCTACCGGGGGCAGATCCACCAATCAATCAACGCCCTACATCGATGGTTCAAGGAACACTTCAGGGACCCTATACCTGGTCAGTACAAAACACTCTCATATTATTTTCTTGGACCTTGTTCCTTATACCAAGTTCTTCAAAATCCACTAAGGAAATTTGGAGGTTTTAACCCTCCAAAATCCTCCAAAATCCTCGAGGTGGTTTGCAGGATTGAGGCTGAATGGCAAAAAGGGTTGATCGATCCATTGAAGGATGCATTATGTCAAGTTCGTAGGCTGTACCCTGCATTGTTTATGTTCAGCCATGCATAATTGAGCCCTGCATTACGCTCGATATCATCTGCACTGCTTCTGAATGTCATTGGCACTGCCTCAACCCATGAACAGTGTTTGTTGGAGGATTTTGAAGGTTTGAGGCAATTGTCACCCCTCAACTGAACAAATTCAAGAAATAACGGATGATTTTGGAGGATTGAGGCTGAATGTAGTTTTTACATGGTGGCAACTGGAGGATTTTGCAGGGTTGAGGATGGTTCCTAGCTAAAAGGGCCTAGGGGGTTAGGCTTAAGGTTGGCAAACATGCCTAAGGAGCTAGGGGCTTCTTGTGTTTGACACAACAAGGGAAACTAAAGAGAATTTAAAATTTCTTGTCTTGTCCACACAGCAATATTTGTATTTTCTTTAATGCTGCAGCTTCTGAGATTGAATGAGCAGTAATAAGTTGTATAAAGCAGTTCTAGATTCTAGGGTTTTTTATCAATATTTTGAAAGTTCAGAAAGTTTATGCAGAATTCAAATATTTTTTTCGATGGCTTGAAGAATGACTTTTCCATCGTTTGCAGCGTTTCTGGAATCAGTTTAATGTGGTCACAAGAAAACTCCAGAAATGGTTCCCAAAAAATCCTTGGGGAAAAAGTCTTTCCGTGTTTATTTTTTTAAGGGATTCCTGATAGAGTTACAGTTGTGTAAACTCTGTAGGAATAAAACAAAGACTGCAGCTCGATCGTTTCATTTTATTTGACTCCCACTGATATATTTTGCTGTTGTAGGTGTGACCCCAGCCAGCATCCATCGCACTCCCATGGTGGCTGCTCCAGAGAGAACACCGGCAGTCTACAGCTACATGGGTGAGTCTAACCCTCCTAGTGGCAAGTCAATTTATAGAGAAATATGTAAAGCATGCAGGTCAGTTTCAGGTGAAGGGATATGAAGTGTTAAACTGTGTCATACAGGGCCCAATTTCACGGCGCTGCTAAGCACAAAAATTTGCTTAGCACAAAAAAGTCTGGCTTATAAAAGTAGGTTACCAGCCAAAACTCCATATGATTTTCATGCTAAGCAAACAATAGCTGAATACTAATCACTGGCAATATACTTCACATGGAGTTTTGGCTGGTAACCTGCTTTTATAAGCCAGACTTTTTTGTGCTAAGCACATTTTTGTGCTGAGCAGCCCCGTGAAATTGGCCCCAGATTGTCACTGCACACCAAAACACAGCACTGTGGAGAGCAGTGAACCGTGACTGAATCTGCTTACTTGCCCTGAGCTTAACCACACAACAAATTGTGCAGGGTTTTGAAGTGTTATCCATATTCTGCAGAAGATAAAGTCAAAGGAATTTGAAGTCTGGGTGTTAACTCTATGGGCAAAAGTGGTTTTGCAAATCTTGAAGAGTAATGAAGTGCAGCAAACAAGGAGGGTTAATGTGCAAACGTCTTGAATCTTGCTTGATGTATTCTCACTGGATATCATGCTTAGGGTTGATGCAGAATGTGTGTGCTCACTGTCATTTCACATAAATCTTAAGTCCCGCCTCCCGCCTCCTGTCTATCAACCTACAGGCACGCCCATGATCCAGAAAATGTGAAGTGCAGAAAATTAGGAGGGTTATTATGCAAATGTCTTGAATCTTGCTTGATGTATCCTCACTGGATAGCATGCCTCGGGTTAATGCAGAATGTGTGTGCTCACTGTCATTTCACATAAATCTTAAGTCCCGCCTCCCACCTCCTGTCAATCAACCTACAGGCACGCCCATGATCCAGAAATCGGGCGCCGGCTACAGCCAACTCTATGCCACGCCCAGCATGAGCATAGCCACGCCCCGCCAGACACCCGGTGCCACGCCCCAAATCAATGCCGCCGCCCGCTACGGAGCCTACTCTGGGACATACTCCAACATTCCATCCTATGCCACGCCCCAGAACAACCCACTAGCCACGCCCCTGATGACACCCTCATACCAGGCAATGCAGGTAGGCATGCATGAATTTTGTGGACTATTTTGTTTTGTCTCTGTTTTGGGGGGGGTGGGGTGTTCGGAACTAATTTTAGGGTTAGGAGATGGTTTTTCTAAAACATTAAAATAAGTGGGTCGAAGTGATTATTTTGATTTTTGATGGGTTTTGTTTCCTTGTACAATTTAGCAATGTTTTCTTTAAAAAATAAAGCCACTTGCGTTGCCGAAACCAACAGGATTTAAACCAAGAAAAATGGAAAACATTTTTCAAAAGGTGCCCAAAATCCTCTTTTTTTCAGTTTAAAATTGTTTGCAAATCTTGGGTGACCAAATTTAAACTTGACTTTTTTTTAATCAGCCTGGATGCAACATGAAAATTTGATGCAGGAAAAAATTCTATTTCAATTCAAATTATATTTGTTAATTTTTCTCCCCCACAGACCCCCTCACAGGGTCCCATTCGCACCCCGCAGATCAACCCCATGCGCACCCCGCAGATCAACCCCCTGCGCACCCCACAGACCAACACCAACCCCATGCGCACCCCGCAGCAGAACCCCATGCGCACCCCTCAGCACGCCCCAGCGGGCTCCACCACCCCTCAGATCAACCAGATGCGGACCCCTCAGTACCAGCCCACCCCCAAGCAGAGTTGGGGCAGCAGCTCATCGGCCTCAGCCTCGGCCACGGCTCAGCAGGTGGTCAACGCACTGAAGCAGCAGCTACAACGAACTGGTGGACCAAGGCAAGTATTGGTCTTTTTTTGGAAAAACAGAAATTTTCTCATCCCCCCTCAATATTGGTCTAGGGATAATAGGTTTAACCAGTTCGCGCTGGAGGCCATGTATTACATGCATAAGTTTTTCAAAAGTCAGATTGAACAACAGAGGCCGAAAAATATCCATCAGCGAGCCACAGCCACCGATCAAGGCCTGAAATATGACTCTGCAGCCCACGGGTGATGGCTTCGACCTGCCTGGCATTGTGGTCAAGTGAATATTTATCCCACGCCTCAGTCCGTTCTTGTCAAAATTAACCCAACCTCAACTGGTTAAATGAAGACTAAGTTTCAAATTTAAAGCTAAGAATCAGAATGTAGCCTGCTCTTTCAAAATGAGTAGTAAGTTGGACATTTATGTTTACATAGCTCATGGTTGGTGCTTATTTCAGTGCATTCTGTACGTTTTGAAACACACAGTCGATTGCATGAATTCTCAAACTTGGTTTCTCAGAAAGTCTGTAGCTTACATTACCTACAAGTTTTGCTGGTAAGGGGCATATCCTAACACTTAACTTCACCCTGAAAATGTTGGTTCTCAGACCAAACAGTCACCCCTCACACACCCCAGGCTTCTTTGCTGTCTACCTTGCTGAATCCTCCAAAATTTGCACTCTGCAAAATACAACTGAAACTTTTTTTGTATTTATACTTCTGTGTTGCATCAATCGCTACATGAAATTAAAGTGGCTGGGCTTTACGTCAAAACCTGAACATTTTGAAGGATCAATACTCTTTAGCCCGGCTTTATCTTTACCTAAAAACTTTGAAGGATCTGAGAGATGTAACGTTTCAGGGATTCTGTATCCTAAATTTGTGAGAAAATTTTCTGATTTGAATGGCAGGTGAGGTGGAATAGGTTACGAAATAAAATCTGACCACCTTACAGAAACTTAAATATTTTGTTTCTTGTATCTAAATTCCCTTCATTGTAGATCCAACGCCGCGTCTGTTGACTGGGCCAGCCAGGCCGCCCAGTGGGCCTCCAGACGACAGGACCAGACCAAGGGCAAGAACCCCCAGGCCAGCCCCGCCAACCCCTCATCCCGTTCCTCTTACCATCCCAGTCCCAGGAATTACCCCCAGCCTAGCCCCAAGAGCTACTCCCATCGCAGCCCCAAACCCTCCCCGTACCCAGAGCCCAGCCCCATGTCCATCTCCACCACCCCGGCGCATAGCGTGGGTGGGGACGCTACTCCACTCTTCGACGAGACTTAGGTTGCACCCTTAGCCCAGTTGGTGCCCAAAAACCCATTTTGTACCTAGAGCAGGCACCTTGTGCCTAGTGTGAGTGGGGATGCCACTCCACTCATGACCAGATGTAGGTTGCATCCTTAGCCCAGTCGGTACCCAAAAACCCATTTTGTACCTAGAGCAGGCCCCTGTTGCCTAGCATGGGTGGGGATCCCAATCCACTTATGACTAGATGTAGGTTGCACCCTTAGCCCAGTCAGTACCCAAAAACCCATTTTGTACCTAGAGCAGGCCACTGGTGGCTTGTATGGGTGGGGATGCCATTCCACTTATGACGAGATGCAGGTTGCACTCTTAGCCCAGTCAGTACCCAAATCTTGTACCTATAGCAGGCTCCTGTTCAACTCCGCCACCCCGCACCCAGTATGGATGGGGACTCACACCTCTCATGGGCAAGACTTGGGTTGCACCCTTTGCCCAGTCAGTCCTAAAAATTCACAGGTTGTACCCATGTAGATTCTTTGGGTGGAATCCACCACTCCTGAACCAACTTTGGAAAGAGTTCGCTGTAATCCATATTATGAATGATTAACGATGTAGTTTGGTCCCAGATTTGGCCATTAGTGTTCAAATCTATGCGAAATCATGTTAGTTCACAGTTGCTGTTGCATTTTGGCATTGTGTCAGTTTTTGCGGATTCCCCCGACCACCAACCACCCCCTTCCCCAACCCCAAACACCCCCACCCCCAACCTTCCCCTACGCCAGATTACAGTATTGTTAAATCTTGATTGTCAGTGTACCGAGGCTTTGCAAATTAATGCTGTACGTGTATATTTAATACTTCATCTTTGCTCAAGCAATGTTTTTGTAATACTAATGTACATGCAATTAACCCTTTGCTTGATCAGTCTCAGACTGTCTTACGTTTTATAGTCCACTTCCTCTGCCATGCATTTGTATACAGTTTAGTTAAAAAAAACCAGTCAGATCACTTTCGTGTTAAAACAATCTGACTAGTCAAATCCCATCAACAGACAAAAGAGGTAACTGGTAGGTACAGCTGGCATATCAATCACCTCCAGTCAAAGCATGGATATGTGAAGTTAAGAAAGGGGATTCCGTAACTTGAAAACAGTCACTTGCAGTAAGTTTGTCTGCTGTGATGGCGTAGCTGAAATTACCAGCCAGAGAGGCTTGTGCATTTGCTAAAGCATTTGTGCAGAGATGCCTGCTTGGTCACAGACCCTTTGTACTGTGTGCCGTTACTAAAGACAGATTTTGAAATATAAATTCAGTAACAGAAGAAAGTACACTGCGTCTTCATGTGTATCACAAAGGAACAAAGATGTGCCCTTGGATCTGACATCACATGCAAAGGGTCTATTGGGTGCATTCGAGTATCATAATTTAAGAGTGACACGCTAACATGAAATTTTGTCCCTGCTAAAAAAAAAACACAGAAAAATTACTGTAAATGTAATATTTAATGGAGGTTATTTGTGAGTTTGGGCTCAATTTACTATTGAGCAGGTTGTGTATGATTTAGTGACATCTTCACAACAGAAGGTTTTAGTGTATACATTAAATATGATTTCATTTTGTGCCTACAGCTAACGACTTGTATTATAAAAAGGAAAAAAAATGTACAGTAACTGACTGCTTAGATAGCTGTAGTGTTGGAAATATACACATTACTGTTGTTATTTAGATGGTTCTGCAGTACACAACTTTAAATTCCAATCCTGAAGTTTGGTTGATGATATCTCGGCTGTTGAAAAATCGGACAAATCGTAAACTTTTTAAAACGCTGACGTTTTGTTTAAGACAGTAAGGTCTCTTTCCTTGTTGGTAATGTTTTGAGATGTGTCTTGTATTTATTTGATATTTTTTTTTAATTTGTTTCTTGCATTGGTTCACCAAAAATAATGAGTGAACTTGGTAATGCTGTTTAGTTCGTAATGTAAGAAAATGAAGTTGTTTATTTTCTATGTCTGGAGATTTCCACTCGTTGAACTCAATAATTAGTATTTGACGAAGTTTGGCATGTCGGAAAATGTCCAGCAGGGTAACTCTACAAAATTCAGGTCCAAAAGCATGACATTTTTGTTCCTGTCCCTGTTACCTTGGTACTTTGTAATTTGCCATTCAAGTATCATTAAGAATGACTTCAAACTATTTTTTTATTTTGTAGGGTAATTGTGTGCTATTGATAATCACTCTTGGAGGACGACTGCATTCCGGAGAGCATCCGTATTTATCAATCATAGATGTCAGATGTAACAGGGAACAGAAAAAAAGTGGACCCCAAATGTATACAATGACTCAGCTGCAGATGTTGGCAAATCGAGAATTTGCCTTTACCACGAAAGAGGTTCATTAAATTAAAACAGTTTTTAAACTTTCGTTTTACCCGCCAATCATGATCAATATTGAAAAAACCCAAATCACTTCTCAGTTTCAATTGTGTAACATGTTGTTTTTATTTTATTTTATTTTTTAAATATTGCAGTCCGTGAGAAAGTAGTACAGTACAGTGGATAAATCGACTGCAGTCATTCTATTTTTCATTAAAGCTCTAAACAGTGTTTCTGTAAGGATTTCACAATTTTTGCGTAAGCTATGTCAAATAAATTTGATATCTATCAAATAAATTGAAGTGATTCTTGTGGTGTTTGCTTCTTGTGAACGTCTTTTAGAAATATCTTGATTTAAAAATTGAGCACTTGGTATAATGGTTCCAAGTGCGGAATATAAATTTCAAAATTGATAAATTATTTTGCAATTTGATTATTTCATTCATTCATTTGTTCATTCACATTTAGTTTCATGATGACTTGATGAGTTGGGCCCATCTGTCCCTGTAAAGCAAAGTGTTATTATTTAAACACAATTTATAAGTAAAAGAGTTCGCTCTCTAAGATGTGATAGCATTTTTTTTAAACGAAAACTACCCAATTAGATAATATCAGTGTTGTAATGCTCGTTCCCGTACTCGAGTATTACTCGAGTAAAACGACCGTGTTGTTTTTTTCCACGAAAGTTGACTCTTTTTCGCGCTGGCACACGACATCTTTTTTTTCTTTTATTATTTGACACATATTCAACAGACTTGTGTTATAATATCACAACCAATGAAGCTTCAATTCATACAACAGACTTTTCTTATCATTCACACAACGAGTGCGTGGGCGTCAATCGGTGGGGGACGGGGGACATGCCCCCACCCCTACTTTTTAAAGTGGGGAATAACATATCATTTGCCCCCCCCCCCCCCCTTGCTCCATGCTCACACACACACACACACACACCCAAGCACGTTTCTTTATGGTGTCAATCGAGGATTTTCTTTTGTTCCTCTTCCCTTTTCCTTTGTTTGTACAGGGGAAACCAACTGATGTCGCGCCTAATGGTTGTATGAAGGCATCGGTACCAATTGGGGCGACCAACTGATGATTTTAGCGATTTTACCTTTATTTTTCGTCCGAATTTCCCCTTTAATAGCACATCTGTCCAGCAATCGATTTGGAATGCGTTCCAGGGCCCTTAAGGCATCTTTCTAGCAACTTTCAAGCAATTTAATTTTTTGGCCAAAATTGAAAAAAAATGCAAGGGGGTTAACCTTACATTTTTAGTCAAAATCGCCCAAAAATTGACTTTTCTCAAAACAAGGCAGAAATGCATCTGGATGAAAGAAGAACATCAATTAATACTCTAACACGCAGAATTTGGAAGATTTGGGCAAAAATCATCAATTTTTGGATAAAAAATTCAATTCTTGGGCGATTTTATCTTAAATTTTTCGAAGGAATTTCCCCTTAAATGCACATCTGTCCAGCAATCGATTTGGAATGCGTTCTAGGGCCCTTAAGGCATCTTTTTAGCAACTTTCATGCAATTTCAAAATTGAAAAAAATGCAAGGGGTTAGCCTTACATTTTTAGTCAAAATCGCCCAAAAATTGACTTTTCTCAAAACAAGGCAGAAATTCATCTGGATGAAAGAAGAACATCAATCAATACTCTAACAAGCAGAATTTTGTAGATTTGGGCAAAAATCATCCATTTTTGGATAAAAAATTCAATTCTTGGGCCCTTAAGGCATCTTTTTAGCAACTTTCATGCAATTTCATTTTTTGGCCAAAATTGAAAAAATGCAAGGGGTTAGCCTTACATTTTTAGTCAAAATCGCCCAAAAATTGACTTTTCTCAAAACAAGGCAGAAATTCATCTGGATGAAAGAAGAACATCAATTAATACTCTAACACGCAGAATTTGGAAGATTTGGGCAAAAATCATCAATTTTTGGATAAAAAATTCAATTCTTGGGCGATTTTATCTTAAATTTTTCGAAGGAATTTCCCCTTCAATGCACATCTGTCCAGCAATCGATTTGGAATGCGTTCTAGGGCCCTTAAGGCATCTTTTTAACAACTTTCATGCAATTTCATTTTTTGGCCAAAATTGAAAAAAATGCAAGGGGTTAGCCTTACATTTTTAGTCAAAATCGCCCAAAAATTGACTTTTCTCAAAACAAGGCAGAAATTCATCTGGATGAAAGAAGAACATCAAACAATACTCTAACACGCAGAATTGTGAAGATTTGGGCAAAAATCATCAATTTTTTGCAAAAAAAACAAGTTAATTTTTGAGCGATTTTACCTTAGGTTTTCGTCTGAATTTCCCCTTTAATAGCACAGCTGTCCTGCAATCGATTTGGAATGCGTTCTATGGCCCTTGAGGCATCTTTCTATCAACTTTCATGCAATTTCATTTTTTGGCCAAAATAGAAAAAAATGCAAGGGGTTAGCCTTACATTTTTATTCAAAATCGTCCCAAAATTGACTTTTCTCAAAACAAGGCAGACATTCATCTGGATGAAAGAAGAACATCAATCAATACTCTAACAAGCAGAATTTTGTAGATTTGGGCAAAAATCATCCATTTTTGGATAAAAAATTCAATTCTTGGGCGATTTTATCTTAATTTTTCGTCAGAATTTCCCCTTTAATAGCACAGCTGTCCTGCAATCGATTTGGAATGCGTTCTAGGGCCCTTAAGGCATCTTTCTAGTAACTTTCTAGCAATTTCATTTTTTGGTCAAAATTGAAAAAATTGCAAGGGGTTAGCCTTACATTTTTAGTCAAAATCGCCCAAAAATTTGCTTTTCTCAAAACAAGGCAGAAATGCATCTGGATGAAAGAAGAACATCAATTAATACTCTAACACGCAGAATTTGGAAGATTTGGGCAAAAATCATCAATTTTTGGATAAATAATTCAATTCTTGGGCGATTTTATCTTAAATTTTTCGAAGGAATTTCCCCTTCAATGCACATCTGTCCAGCAATCGATTTGGAATGCGTTCTAGGGCCCTTAAGGCATCTTTTTAGCAACTTTCATGCAATTTCATTTTTTGGCCAAAATTGAAAAAAATGCAAGGGGTTAGCCTTACATTTTTAGTCAAAATCGCCCAAAAATTGACTTTTCTCAAAACAAGGCAGAAATTCATCTGGATGAAAGAAGAACATCAAACAATACTCTAACACGCAGAATTGTGAAGATTTGGGCAAAAATCATCAATTTTTTGCAAAAAAACAAGTTAATTTTTGCGCGATTTTACCTTAGGTTTTCGTCTGAATTTCCCCTTTAATAGCACAGCTGTCCTGCAATCGATTTGGAATGCGTTCTATGGCCCTTGAGGCATCTTTCTATCAACTTTCATGCAATTTCATTTTTTGGCCAAAATAGAAAAAAATGCAAGTGGTTAGCCTTACCTTTTAGTCAAAATTTGCCAAAAATTGACATTTTCTCAAAACAAGGCAGATATTCATCTGGATGCTATCAATCAATACTCTAACACACATAATTTTGAAGATTTTGGCAAAAATAGTTAACTTTTGGAGAAAAAAGAGGTAATTTTGGGGGGTACCTATAGGGGCGACTATTGATGGTCGCCTCTAGCGGTAGCTACCTCTAGGGGCGACTATTGATTGTCGCCTCTAGCGGTACCTACCTCTAGGGGCGACTATTGATGGTCGCCTCTAGCGGTGCGTACATAGGGGCGTATGTACCTCTAGTTAGCCTTGCATTATTATAAAAAACGATTGCACGAACGTAATTTTCATTAAAAATTAAATACGCTAAGGGATTAGCCTTGCAGTCTTATCAAAAATGGCACGAAAGTCAATTTTATCAAAAATGACTTGAAAGTCCAACTTTCATGGAACAAAAACACCACACTCATTGTGGAGACGATAAGCAATATTAATGTATTGAAGTAAGTTTTATTGAGTGATTGGTCGTCGTAGGTAACAAAAAGTGTTCGAAAATGGAGAATAGTTAAACAATAAAAATAATATAACCAAAAACAATTTAGCGTGATAATCCTGAAAAATACTAAGCAATTTTGAGTCAACTTTTATGACTTGAAAATAACACACTCGGTTTCCAGAATATAACTCAAGAAATATTTGCTGCACTGAATTAAAATCTCGTATATTGATTAAACGTGACAGATAACAAAAAATCTATTTATTTGAAGAGGATTAATCAACTAACGAAATTATTGTAGTGTTTTAAGCGCGATCAATACAAGCCGAATTCAAGTCAACTTTCATGGAACAAAAACGACACACTCGTGGAGATATCTCTAGAAATATGTATTGAAGTAAAATTTTATTGAGTGATTTTTCATCATAGGTAACACAAACTGTTCGAAATTTGAGAAGAATCGTCAAACATTAAAAATAATATAACAATAATATAACCAGCAAATTAAGCATGTTAAGCGTGAAAAATACAAGGTGAATTTTACTCAACTTTCATGACACGAAAGCAACACACTCGGTTTCCAGAGAATAACTTTAGAAGTGTCTGTTGCATTGAATTCAAATCTCGTATATTGATTAAACTAGATAGATTACACAAATCTGTTGAATTTGGAGGGGAATCAATAATTAATAAAATGATTATAACCAAAACAATGTTGCGTGTTAAGCGCGATCAATACAAGCCGAATTCACGTCAATTTTCATGGAACAAAAACGACACACTCATTGTGGAGACGATTTCTCAAGAAATATGTCATGTGTTGAAGTAAAAAAATTTGAGAGATAGGTCATCGTATGTAACACAAACTGTTTTAAATTGGAGAAGAATCGTCAAAAAAATCAAAATAATATAGCCCGAACAATTTAGCGAGTTAAGCGTGAAAAATACAAGGCGAAGTTTACTCAACTTTCATGACACGAAAGCAACACACTCGGTTTCCAGAAAATAACTCGAGAAACATCTCTTATATTGAATTGAAATTTCGTACATTGATTAAACTGGATAGATAACGCAAATCTTTTGAATTAGGAGGGGAATCAATTAATAATTAATACAATTATTATAACCGAAACAATGTAGCGTGTTCAGCGGAAAAAATGGCAATTTAGTGTCAATTTTCATAACACGAAAACAACACACTCGTTTCCAGAATATAACTCAAGAAGTATCTGCTGCACTGAATTGAAATTTTGACTATTAATTAAACTAGACAGATAATACAAGAGGAATCGTTTTATCAATACAATTATCATAACCGAAACAATGTAGCGTGTTAAACGCGAAAAATAAATTGCAAGGCGAAATCGAGTCAACTTACATTGAATAAAA